GACGCTCTCCATCGGGGATGGTGCCAACGATGTCGCGATGATTCAAGAAGCGGACGTCGGTGTAGGTATCGCCGGTGTTGAAGGTCGTCAAGCCGTCATGTCTGCCGATTATGCCATTGGCCAGTTCCGATTTCTCGAACGATTAGTTTTGATTCATGGCCGCTGGTCCTACAGGAGGATGGCGGAAGCAATCGCCAACTTCTTCTATAAAAACATGGTTTGGACCTTATGTATTCTTTGGTTTCAGTGTTTCTGCAACTTCGACATTACCTATGTCTTCGAGTACACTTATATCCTTCTATTCAACCTTATCTTCACCTCCGTGCCCCCCATTGTCATTGGTGTCCTCGACCAGGATGTGTCCGATAAAGTCTCGTTAGCTGTTCCTCAGCTATATCGACGCGGCATTGAACGGCTTGAATGGACCCAGCACAAGTTTTGGTAATTATATCCCCCCTGTTTAATTACGTTTAACTGAATTTGCTAACAAAGGATAGGTTTTACATGTTGGATGGTTTATACCAAAGTGTAATATGCTTTTTCGTTCCATACCTAACCTTTGCATCCACCTCGGCCGTTACCGGAAATGGGCTTGATGTGATGGATCGGTATCGATTCGGCGTCTATATTGCACATCCTTGTATCATTACAATCAACCTTTACATCCTCATCAACACATACCGATGGGATTGGCTTACGCTCCTTATTATTGCTCTCAGCGACCTGGTTGTCTTCTTTTGGACCGGTGTTTATACATCATCAACATTTGCTGGTACACTCTATGAAGGGGCTCCACAGATTTATGGCGAAGTTTCGTTCTGGGCGGTTTTAATTGCGACTCCAATCCTTGCGTTGGCTCCTCGGTATGCTATCAAGGCCTTGCGCAAAGTCTACTGGCCCCGAGATGTAGATATCATTCGGGAACAGGTTACCATAGGTAAATTCGATTATCTAGAAAAGGAGAGCCCAAGCGAGGTCGTAGCGAAGTCCAGTTTGTCGGGATCATCACAGTCCTCTAAGCGCCGTAGACACCAGCAATTCGCGAGCGTGGACGAAGATTTAAACCCTATTTATCCACCTTCTGTTGCGACTCAGTCTATTGCCGGTCATAATTCTCGTAGCCAGAATGGCAGCGACGGCACTAATTACACCAGACACGAGCCCTCGATTGATATTCCCGTTGCTCAGCCGGTTGACCCGCCTGCTGAACCTCCAGTACGCCCATCGCACGATCGCGTTCGTCCGTCTTACGACCGTATGCGAGCCTCGATGGATCGAGTTAGGCAGAGTTACGAGATGTCCAACGAGTTTACGTCAGCTGCCATGTTAAGCAGATTTGAGTCAACTCGCTCCGGTGTTACGCAATCACAGGATGGTAATGGGATAGTGAGCAGGATAAGAAGGCGGACTCGGGGCAAATCCTTCAAGTCCGCATTTACTCACCATAAGGACAACCATATTCATGAGCATGAATAAAGAACACTCACGACGGCTTCCGCGACAATCCTTAGAAGATGGTGCGATGTTCGGGTTTTGGCTTCTTTTATTCCATTCGATGTGATATCCGGAGCACTAGGTGCTCAAGTACGATCTCGGACGAACTATTCACGATACCGCTATGGTTTCCTAGCTAGACCACCGAATCAAGCATTCTGCATGGTCTTTTCCTTTTTTTTTTTGCTCGTTTCCATTTACACGGCGTCGGCGTTTCTAGGGTGCATGGAGTCTGTGGGAGGACTTATACGATGAGATGACAATGTTGGTCAGAAGGTTGAAGGTTCTAGTTTCTTGCATCATAGACTTTCTTCTTAAGTCGAGGTTGCACAACACTTGTCATCGCCAGTCCCTCTCGAGGGAGACCCTTACTATATCTCGAACTGCTATTATTACAGAGGAGAGTTGGTGCCTCGTCTTTGTTCTTTTCTTGTGTTCTGTTTTCTTTTTCTTCACATGGATTTTTCCCCCATAGGCGACTGGCTGGTGACAAGGCGTTCTACCAAAAGAATAAGGCAGGATTTGACACCTGGATGTGATAACATACCACGCGCGCAGCAAGCAAAGAGAAGGAGAGATACGGGATTCTTAAGGCATGGTGGGCTTCCGCCGCCTGTGTATATAAGATGATGGATAAATGCGACGAGTAGAGCATCGGTGGCGGGGTGGACGAGTAGATACATATAATCGGCCAGAATTGGTACTTTCAAGATAAAGACGTCACTTTCAGTTTATTCATTTCTAGTTTAATGTGCGGCCGAATTTTTGTACCTGTTATTATTAGGTGAGACTTGCCAGTCTTGAAATTTAAAATATTTAGGGGAATGAATATATGTGGAAAGGATGACTTGATACAAGGCCCCCTTGACCTGGTATATTGATGATGTCTTCAATATGAAATCCGACTGTTATTGCTGAACTGAGTAGCCGAGAGACTGTTCTTAGGCATGGTACGGGGTATCTTAGTAAAAACGCGTATTGTTATTAGGTTAGTAACTTCTACTTTCTCCGTAACCCTTAGGTAAATTATAATAGGAGAATATTGGGAATGCGATAGATCCGTTTAATTAGGTAGGTACATATTGCAATAAAAGGTCTGTCACGAATGTAAGAGCACCAATAGTTCATAGTTGACTATCAAGGTCGAAGGGGAGAGCCTCTCTTCTATATTTTCTCGATGTTAGATAATCCTAACTCGCGCGTTCCCAAGCCTTTGACCATGGCGCAACGTACTAGGAATTTGGGGTTTCTCGGAACAGCATATCCAGCTAAAGAGCTTCGTAGCTTTCCGCTTTAACGCGGCGAGTATTATATCAGGGATCTCCCTTACGGCAAGATCCGGAGGCATTTTGGCCTGCTGCCCTGGCGTGCTTGCAGCCGTGAACATCGGTGTTCTTCCATCTTGGATCTTCGTGTTTAGGTTAGCACTGTTGACCAATAGGAGCTTCACAGTAGAAGAATTTCTCTTCTGTATGGCTGCTGCCAAAGGGGTGTGGCCTGATGCTGGGTTTCGTTTTTTTGGCAAGTGATCTGTTACCTTTGAGGTGCTTGGCAAGGTTAATCTTGTCCAGGGATGATGGCGTAGCTCCCGCGTCGATCCAGAGAGACGTATTGCGCAGATCACTGTGATAGGTATCGAATGAAAAGCTAAATACCTAAATCTATATATCTTAAGTGTGGGAATAGCGCTGTGGAGCGCATACGTATTCATGCGCGGGGAGAGGAGTTGGGTATTTCCATGTATGATATACGCTGTACTAATAGAAGCTGGGAAAAGTGGCTGGCTGAATGACAAGCAATTTCCCCATGGAGACGTGGCTATTCAGAGCGGTCAGTATGCATTTTATATGCCGTAGTTTGCAGTAACGCTATGGTATATGCCTTACAAATATGATTACGAATCTTTGATGAGACAATTGGAGAAGATCTTGGATATACGTCTGTCGTTGATCATTTGAACCTGGTGGCTGTCGATTTGGTTGGGCGCAATAATATAGGCGTTCCTTTGCTGGTTGATTTTCTTGTAACATATGATGTTAGTGGCTTGCTGAGAGCGAGAAGCCGTTGCCATATCGGCGATGGCGTCCCCGCAGAGGGAGATAAGCGGTCGCGAATGGCAAACTAACTACCAGGATTCTAGATGAGACATCTAGAGCAACGAAGTTGCTTTCAACCCGTTTGGTCCCACCTCGTAATACTAACATGCAGGACGGAAAAAAAGCAGGATTCAAAAGAGAAAATGAGAAGACAATAACGTTAATCTTGTATAACCGGGATATTTTACGTGTACCTAGGTAATTCTTTACCCTAAAAGTTGAATGTTTCAAACAAGACGCCTCCTATCAGTTCTGTTCAACTCTTCGATTTTGATCATACTCGGATAACACGGTATTTCTTATTCGCTACGTCTCACAGTATACTTTCATATTATGGCTTGAGCAAAGGAGCTAGCCCCTCCGCCCTAGGTAGATGAAACAGAAGACAGATTTGCAGAAGATTTACAGAGAGACTTGGCACGCGGATGAAGGATTGTGGATAACCCAGGTCATGTGATACCCCTGGAGCCGAACGCACCTCCTGGCTCCTCAGGTTCGAAGTACCTGGGATGGTCGATTCCTCAGCTCCAGTATTGGGGATCGTATTTTAGGCCACTCCCTTCGTCTAGCAACGGAGGATGACCGCCACGGCGCGTTTTAGATCTGGATTGTCTTATTAGAAAGCCACCTCTCTACCCTTGGGTGTTTCAACCACGGTGGCTGCGCTATTCCAAGATGGCACTCTGGCGCTTTCCCCACTCAAGGTGAACCCCGAAGAGAAAGACATTATCATTATCTTCCAGGCCATAAGCCACGGTCTAACCTCGCGGGCGTAACGATTTACAACGACGTGTCGAGTTCAGCTAAGACTACCGTGTTTACACCGCTAGACGTATAACGCTATACAGCCAATGGTATAAGAGCTTACCAGCTTCAAAAGTCTTCATGCCCGACCAGATACTAGTGCATATTACATGTGATAACCACATACACATCCTCGATTCACTGAATTATTCATACTGGCATATTTAAAAGAGGGCCCGAGGAGATCGGCGACTGGGTAACGGTTAGACGTTATAGATGCCGTGTCTCCATAGCTATGTAGTTCACAGCACTCGTTAAGGATGTGGTATCATCATCATCAGGTGGCGAGCTGAGCTGCAATACCAAGCGTCCAGTGTATACAGCCGCAGATAATCGAGATCAAGGGCGAGAGTGTCTCCCAGGACGATAGCCCGAAGGTGATGTCACTCCGTGTCGATTTCTTTTTCCCCTTTCCCCTTCATTCTTCCCCTATCCGTCTATGCGTGTATATTTCCTATTCTCCTTGAGATATATATTATCAACCAAGTCGCCCACAAGAAAAAGAGATCTTGGACTGCAACCACCAATTATCGACCTTGGAACTCTATCACCACCTATTATTATTATCATTACATCTCTACACTCCCAAAACAAAAGACTTCAATCATGCCTACTACTAGAGCCTGGATTGAACCGAAGGATCACTCCGTTGAAGGGCACACAAAGCAATGTATCCTTACCTTCAATGGCGTTGTTAAATGGGGGCCGAAATCGTGTCACGATAACACGACCCAGCTGCGAGACGCCCTTCACAAGGCCGATTCCCGCTTTGATATGATTATTATGGACAAGGAAAAAACAGTCGAGGGTCACACGGCTACCATCAGCGTCAGCGCTGGCGATCATGTCTATTTGGATAAACTCTCCACGCACAACAACATGACAGAGCTATGTAAAGCCGTCTTCGACGCCCAGCATGAGAATTCGGTATGTGGCTCTCGTTCTATCTACTTGATACCTCGTCCCCAAAAGTTCTCTGAGGATAAGGCCGATGCAACACTGGCGTCTCAGCTTCCCCAGCCATCTCCTCCCATGTACCTTCAGTTCTATACCACATACTTTGACACATTGCAACCTCATACAAATATATCACAGCTAACCCCTTTCCAGTAAGGATTGTACTTGCACCGATTCTTCGTTTCGACACTTTCGCCTCCGGAGATCGCGTCACGAAGGGTGTACTTCGTCGTGGCAGGATTATTGCTAAACAGAGGGCGATGGAGTTTGAAATGGAGGACAGCATTTGCAAGGGTCTCATGTGACATATACCTACCGAAGTAGGGTGCATTGAAATGCCCCTATTTGCCGCTCACTTAATGTCACGTGTCCTAGAGGTCATCACGGTCACTATTAAAATAATAGGTACCTATCTAGCCAGCCTTTGACCGGCCTACAGCCTACACGGTAGTTGGAATTCAGCACTAGCCGGAATACTACCCATTCGTTCATTTAATATATCATTATTTTCGATACCAGTTTCCAGTGCCCCTTTACGGAGTACCACCAGTAGCTATTTGGTGTTAGCATTGGTGTAGAAGTTATTGTGGTAATTATACTTGTGCTGTCTTAGGTTAGGTACCTAACGTAACTCGACGACTGCACCCTTCAGGGTGCTGCACTTCAATTATGCATTTCTCCTATTTGAAATTATTTCTCAATCTTCATAAGCTTTCATAATATTTCATAAATCTGTCGCCTTTTTCAATGATTTCCAAGCCTCATAACGTCTTCTATTTGCTTCAACCCCACTGCAACGCTATCCTTAATACCCTTCTAACGCTCAATTAATGCGCAACATCGTTTACGGTGCAAGTAGAATTTGTATGAAGAGTCAAGACAGCACAAGTGTCTTAGGTGATTACATAAGCACGACTATTGGAGATGATTAACCATTTACCAAATTACCTATTTTTAGAATCAAACGCGGTGTAACGTGGGGCCCTCCCGACACCCGAATAACTACTACCGTGTATACGACGGAGCCGAGTGGATATTAGAATGCCGAATGTGAATGCAGTACCTTGTCGTACATTTGAGAATAAAGGAATGAAGGGCTAGTTTTCTTGTCCTACCAACTCAAGAGCTTTTCTAGATAATATACGTAATATGATTTGGGATTCGAGGGCAGTTAATAGGTACGTAACCTTTTTTTCTTTCAACTTAACTACCTACGTAGTTAAATGTTGAGTAATAATTTCAGGCAAGCGTAAATAAAGTAAATATATCAATAGTAGAGGTACGTTTTAGGCACTCGTGAGGAATGGATAGCACATTGTGTATATGCCTAAGGTTTACCTTAGTTTATTTATTTATTTATTATTATTTATTATTTATTACCTTAGGATGTTGTGTTGAATGCGAGTAAAAATTTCCTATTTGGAACACATGCCTTGCTACCTTACAGATAGTTTTCCTACCTTATGAAAGCAGTAAAATGTGAAAGGAATCGGTCTGCATATGCACATGTTTAAGGCTTCATTATTATTTAGGTCTCGTGGGTATTGGAAGTATTGTCTAGCCGTATAATAGCGGTACATAAACTCGGGCTATCGTAAAGGTGCTTTTTAGTTTAATAAGGGGTAGGTCACTAATATGTAATAAAAATAAAAATAGCATAGAAACATGGTGCGGTGTAAACCTCAGGCTTTTGTGTTGCCCGGGGGATAACCTCTAGTTATGTTGTTGGTATTATGTCGTTGGATTATGTCGTTGGTGATAGATGTTTATTAAAAAGTATCAAAAAATTTTGGTCATCCCACCGCCCTGATGATGAGAGGAAGTTCTTCAGATTCCCAAATTGTATTCACACATGGAAGCGATAAGGGCCGTACCTTATACCCTTCAGTTCTCGCAGATAAAGTGTCGAAAAGTGTGAATACAACCTGAAAACCATCAGAAACTTGTTCCATCATGGGGATTCGAACCCCTCTTCTTTTCAAGCATGTATGGTGGTCCATACGTACTGACTGTTGGTCCTGACCATTGAGCCAACTCCTCGATATCTGCAGCACTGATTTTTTGACTTATGTACTTACTATCCTTCTCCCCCACTTGCATGCCACTTGGTACCTCATCATCTGGTACGGTATCTTTACACCTGTCACCTGTCCGTGTATCTCAGTAAGATCCACCAAGCAACCATCTACCAGGCAACCATCTACCAAGTCTTTACCTGCCTATTCTACCACCTGAAGCTCAATGCCCTAAGAATTCGGCCGACATCATTCTTTCTAACAAACACCACCACACCAACCGTCAAAATTTGGAATTAATAATTTCTTTTTTCTACCTCCTCTTTGGCGCGTTACTCATATCAAATCATCTACCATCTCCCTCTACCTACCTCAACTCTACCTCAACTCTACCTCAACCCTACCTCACACACCCCAACTAATTACTCTTGCGACGCTTGTCGACAATATGGCACCCAAGCGCAAGGGTCAGTACGTACCACATCTCCGTCACCTAATGTTCTTGGACTTCCTCGGAGGTCTAAAATGGGAAACCCAACCTCAAGAAGAGTATGACCCCCAGGATAATTCCATAGTGAAGAAATACCACTTTCTACTTCACCACCCTCACTCGTTTCATATCTCGAAAAGTATAGTTCGTCATCTAGGTACAAAGAATCCGTTAATCATCAGCCTTGCCCTTGCGGACATATACGAATTTGCGGCGGAGAATGTGGAATGTTGCCACTCTTTGGAGCCAGAAGAATTCTTCGCCCGAGCGAAGAATTCTTTCGATTGGTCCACCGCCTTTAATGATAAGGCATGGTGGGCCTTTACCTACAAAGCTTTCCACGCGCGCGCGATCTTCCTCAACACAGCCTTGCATCCGGATGAAAAAGCTCCTCCTGGACAGCCTCTGGCCCGAGCCCTCGATATTTTCCGAGAAGCTTTTCTCGACTGTTACCCGCTTGATCCAGCTATCATTCACAAAAAAGGCGAAAAGATCTGCCAAGAGAATATTGAATATGTCGAAGATGAGCTCTCTTTTAACAAGGAAATTCACGAGAGATACTTCCCCCATCACCTTACCCACCACGATGGGAAGGGAGACGGTACGGACAAGATAGTCTATTGCCAGAAAGTCAGCAAAGCATCCTGGTATAAGCCATACAACACCAACGGCATGACGGAAGATGATCTTGATATGTCGAAAGTTCCCGATGATGAACTCTTCTTCTATGATGTAGAATGTAAGAGTAAGCATCACAACGCTTACAAGGATCCCTCGAGCACAAAGCAATATGGCACTTCCAAGGAAAAGGAATCTACGAAGGGAGATGGATTGGTAAGGAAGTACGATGCATTCAAGGAATATCGAGAGGAAACCCGCGATGACGATATCTCTGAGCCAGACATCTCAAATGAAGGCGGAAGAGTTTTAAACGATGACGACGATGGCGACGGCGACGGAATGCCAAATATCAAGAAGCTTAAGATCGCAGACGATGTAACTGAGATGGATAAGGATGGAGATGAGGGAGTCCCGGATATCAAGAAACTTCATCTCGAAGATACCAATGAAGAAGTATCTGCCCCCTAATGGCGGATGGCGGTTAGTCTAATGGCTACACCTGGCGGTTTTGAGATGACAGCTGGCAAAGTATCGGTGACGCCCAGTAGCAAAAACATAAGGCTGCATCAAGCGGACGCACAACTTGTACTTTTATTTGCATTTCTTTGCAGTACTCTAAAATAATAACAATAATAATATTAAAAAAAAAAAAGCCCCGAATTTCCTATCGTCAAGTCACACGTACATAGAGGTCAACAGAATTACTTGATCCATCATGTCTTTTGAACATGCCAAGGTTCTGGCCACAGAACCCCTCGTAAGTTATCCGCCCCGTTGCCCGAATTGAACTGGATCTTCTAACACTGCCATAGGCGAATGGCGACGCCGTCTGGACCAAACTTGTCAAGTAGGCATAAATGAAGTGTCCAATATTTATTCCCAATTTGTATTACTAACACTATTATACGTCCAGGCTAACTTACACTGATTCGAAACGCCAAACGCGTACTTGGGAGTCAGCCGAGCGTACTACAAGGTCCAAGAAGTGTGAAATCGATGGCGTCGGGATTGTTGCCATCCTAGAGAAGCCCACCGGGCCTGAAATTGTCCTTCAGAAACAGGTTAGTGATTGGAGTTTCTCCTCGTCTCTGAAATCTGAGACTTCACGCCAGAGTAACACGCGTCTTGGGTCCGTGCTTAAGGGGCTCCGTTTTATAAGGGGCTCCGTTTTATCCCCCTTTTCTGTCGGTTAAATCTCGGATATATTCGTACGTCTGCTAACATTTACGATTCAGTATCGAGCACCTATTGACAAGGTCACCATTGAGGTTCCAGCCGGTCTTATTGACGAAGGTGAGACTGTCGAGGAGGCCGCTATTCGCGAACTGAAGGAGGAAACTGGCTACGTGGCCAAGGTATCTGAGACTTCGCCTATGATGTTCAATGGTAAGTACCTCTTTATTATTGTGACATGTACTATTCGAGGAACATGGGACTAGTTGCGAAGACTACTTGTCATAAGTATCAAATAATATCCAAAGGACACTTACTCATGGACCGCTAAGGAGGATACCACTTTGTGCTATTCCACCGAGTCTTTACATGATAGTCTATGATAACAAGTAGCTTGCTAACGGAATATTACAGATCCCGGATTCTGCAATACCAATTTACGAATGGTCCACGTCACTGTTGACATGAGTCTTCCCGAGAACCAGAATCTACAGCCCGAATTAGAAGAGGATGAGTTCATTGAGGTCTTCCTAGTCCCGCTGACAAACCTCTACGACGAATGCAAGAGGCTCGAAGCAGAGGGCTACGCAATCGACGCAAGAGTAGGCACATTTGCCGAGGGAATCGAGTGTGCCAAGAAATTCAAGCTGTGAGGTTTACAGCCGATTTATAAGCTTCTAGGGCTCGGAGTAGGGTTGCGAGGACGAAACGTTTTATCATTACTGAGTACTCTACATAGACTTTTTGTTGTTGACGAATACCCCGTTTTGAGATTTTCTTCTCGCGGTTAAGAAGGCGGGAAACAGACTAGGTTTTAGATTGGCTACTAATCCAGGAATAACATTCTAGAACTGCGAGACCCTGGACATAACTTTCGTTCAGGGGTATTTCTCTAAGTGGGCTTGATTTGACGAACATTAGTCTTTGAATATTAGTGATAAGTGGTCAGGAGATATGAGGATGGAGAGACTTAGGTATGTTAGATGGATGCTAATATTAGAAGTATCGACTAAGTACATCCGAGTTCTAAAGGGGACTCGAATATATTACATTAATCGATTAGTAATCTTGTACATGGAGTTTGAAATGAATACTTTGAGGATGACGTAGTATTAGTTGAACAAGTAAATATGTTTACTGATCAAATAGACAACCCGCATTGGATTGGTTGGATATGCGTATATGATAAACTAGTTCCTGCGCCACGCAAATCTCCATGTGTTGATGGTATCAAAATTCTCCTGCAGGTAATCTCAGTAAAGTATATTTAAATAGTATTTATCAGCAATTAGTTTTAATTAATAGTTGACGTCGGGGTTCGGGTGCCTGATTACTGACAGCGGTGGCACCGTGATAGAATAATCAGAAAATACAGCCTCGGCCACACTAAAAAACGCCATTTATTGGTCGTCTACGATTAACATAATGACGGGTAAAAACTCAATATGATGACAAAAGGATATCGAAGGGCGACATGCAAAAGATATAAAGTGTGAGGGTTTTGAGAGACCTGGCTAACTTGCTGGAATATAATTCATTACACAACACAACATCTATCATACAGTCTTCAAGCAAGAAGCACTTACTCCAGATACTATTTTATTCCATAATGTCTTCAGCTCGTCTAATCGCAGTTGTCGGCGGCACCGGCGCCCAAGGTATCCCTGTCGTACGGGATCTTTTGCAATCCGGAAACTATTCCATCCGAGCACTTACGCGTGACACCTCCAGCTCCCGCTTCCGAAAGCTCCAGTCTTTCGGGAAAGTGGAACCCGTTATAGGCACATTTGCGTCCGAGGACAACCTACGGGCTACGTTCCGCGGTGCCTGGGGCGCGTTCGTCAATATCGACGGCTTCAACTCCGGCGAGAAGACCGAGATCTTTTGGTCTATTAGGGCATACGAGCTAGCTATTGAAGAGGGTGTGCAGTTCTTCGTCTTCGGAAACCTTGATTACGCTTATAAGAAGAGTGGCTATAGACCCGAGTTCAGGTCAGTTTTCTCTGTTTCGTTATAGGCTTCTATCCTTCGAAGTATCTACGGTGTTAATTACAGAATTATGAACCCCTGATGTGGGCCGTATGACACTTAATGGAATGTTATGCAGATTGCATGCTAATCATTAGGTACGGGCAGAGCTGGTCATTACGATGGCAAAGGGCGTATCGGCGAGTGGATTCTACAGCAGAACCGCGAAAATCAGCACCGCATGAAGGCTGCCCTTTTTACAACTGGCCCGTATATGGAGATGACTATCTCCTACAACACACCTATGACCATTTCTGTTGAGGATGGCGTGGCTATATGGCGCTTACCTCTGGGAGACGGTGCTGTACCCTATGTTTCCCTGGACGACTGCGGTTACTACGTAAAATGGTTATTCGACCACCCTGAACGAGCGAATGGTCTCGAACTTGAAGTCGCGATTGGCCACATCGGGCGCGATGAGCTAGCCCAAGCCTTCGAAAAGGTTACCGGACACCCAGCTCGCGCCATCAACGTCGGCATCGACGAATACTTCGCCAATGTGTGGAAGGGGATAGACTCTTCGCTTCCTGCGGGGTACAATGCGGATCCGAACGACCCAGCGACGTTGAGTCTTAAGCAGAACTTCTCGGGGTTCTGGACTACGTTCCAGAATTCTGGCGGTAATAAGGGTGTCTTGAAAAGGGACTATAAGTTGCTGGATGAGATCCATCCTCATCGTATTAGGAGTGCGGAGGAATTCTTCAGACGCGAGAACGAGAAGGGTATTAAGGAGGGATTAGGCACACTTTGGGAAAGGGTCCAATCTAGTCGGATTGGACACATCCTGAAGATTACAGAGGATGGGAGGGTTGGTACACTGTGAGATTATGGATTATGGTTACTGAATATGCGTACGGAGATCTATGAGTTAGGGGAATCAGATTAGACATGACTCGAGTTACAAGGTGCCATTTCTTTATGATAAACCTACCATGAACTGGTCTTCTATGCGAAGGCATCTTAGAGTTCGCCGGACCGAACTTACCGTTATTATCTGTTGTGATCTAGACACATGCAGACATGGAAACGTTCCCATTGAATAGATATTTATTTCTAATAAGTGTTCCTGACGATATTGCCCCATTTTTAACACTCTTAATAATGCCATCATTACGGAAGATTTTACCTAAATGGCGCCGGCGGCTCGGATACCAGTCTCTATCTAAAAAGCTTGAAGAAAGCTTGTTAAGGTTCTCCTATGTCATAAGAGATGCAAATTGGCTTATAAATCAAGTCAGGGTGCCTTGTAGGGGTAATAGATGCATCCCTAATAAATAGTCACTATGCGTGTCTATAAAAGAACACACATAGGCACATACCTAATAAAATATACCAACAACTCTAACGTTTCTCATGGTGAACATGAAGCGCTCGCGTGAAGCCAAAAGACCAGCTAGCGAACACACTGAACACTTCCAACGCCTGAGGAGACGCAGACTGAGCACACGACATAGAGATTTACCAAATAACCCGTCTGAGACAATCCACGGCCAGCTAGGTCGAAAGTCCCTAGAAGATATGTTGTCGCAGCAGGTAGATTCCGGTCCACGGAGAAGACGAGTATCCGCCCCCGAAGGAATCCATCGCACGCCTCATGAAAAGAAACCCAACTGCACCGATGCTAAGACAACGCCAAAAACAGCCAAGGTGCCCGTGCTAGAGAAATCAGAAGCGGAATATTGTGCGAGTGATGCCATTCCTCCTATTCGAGCCATTCCGTGGGATTTGCCAGAACAAAAGGACACAAGTAATATTTCAACAGCCACCTATGAGCCGGCGTATATACTGCGGCAAAACGCTGAGTATTTTGACGCTGATAAAGATGGAATTATCTGGCCAGGGGATACGTATAGGGGCTATAGGAAGTTAGGTACGTCTTGAGGTTTCTAGCTACCTAGGCATTGACAGTTTGCTGACAGAACTTCTAGGATGGGGAATTACGTACTCATGCTTGGTTGCGGCTATGCTCCATTCGATTCTCTCATATCCTACTGGGGACAATTATGTCCCTGACCTGCTGCTCCGAATTCGCCACGACAGTAATAGCCACGGAAAACACAGTATTGGCAACGCCTCTTACGATGAAAAGGGGCAGGCCAGGGGTAATCAAGCTTGCGAGAACATCTTGGCCAAATACGACAAGAGCAACAAAGGGGGTATGGATATCTGGGACATCCTACGTTTCTGGAAAGACCAGAGGTCCGTGTCTAACTTCCACGACCGGAGCCTCACTACCATAGAATGTAAGCTAGTTACTTATTTATCCTTTCTCTGATTATAATATTATTTATTATATCGGTACTGACGATTGATTATAGGGCTGGCCCTATACCTTGCACTTCGACACCATAACGGTATCGTAAGCAGCGAAGACATCTGCACGGCCTTCGACGGCAGCGTCCTATTCAAACGATCCGAGGAGCGACAGCGGAAAAATGAGACGCGTCATAAACATGCCGGAAGCGCCACAAGAAACGGGGATATAAGTACAAGTAACATAAAATTTGATCCACTGAAGCTTGCCGTGGTAACTGTCGTTGGGCTGGCCATTCTCCTGTGGATTTTACCGGGTTTATACCGCGACCCTTCCGGCTGGGAAAAATACTGGTCGAAGAAGGAAGACACTTCTCAAGGGGAAGATTGGACGAAACAGGAGTTTGTGAATAATTGGTAAGGTGTACTCTTTATCCGGGCCGCCATATCCCGGGATCAACTGGACACCGAGGATAAAGAGTTTCTATATATTCAATAACTTGATCTCGAAAAGTTCATAGTTCCTCCTTATTTAAGAAGCTAGTTTCCCTGTCTTTACTCGTATTCTTACACGCGCTGAATAAAAGACATAGGGGCAAGAAGAGGTTGAGGTAAAGCTAACTTGATAGTCTCTTAGACGACCAGTAATAGTCAGTTTTACATTGGCGTAAGCGGAAAGTCTGAATTTTATCATCCATAATTGGGGGATTTATTCATATCTAAGGGATTCCATCATCCTAATCATAGTATCAGGCAGATACTCTCTCACCTGCCTATCTGGACAAGACGTATTGCATGAAACAAAGCATACACAAAAGGATGTGCGAGCATGCAAAGGGTATGGGGTAATCGTGCAACCATAAACATCTCGCTGGAGTTTATGAAAGAATGGAACCAGTGAGAGGTGTTGATCACTGCAGCCACTTCCAAAATACGTCGTCCGCCAATCCAAGCCTTACGGCGTCCTAATTACTTTTCTCTTCCGTAACACTAGGTGGCGCCTAGCCGAAGAGACTCTTGTTAGCCCTCTTACCCTTGGAGACAAGCCCTCTCTGTCGAGCGCCTTCTGTAGAGAAAATCGGGGCTAATGCTGCATCCTCTGCCTGGGGACCGACATCGGCCATTCGAAAGCCCTCGCCATCCTTGAACAAGGTCGTATAGAGGCCCGCCACAGATGCTGCCCAAGAATCCATAGCTTGTACTCGCTCGGCATCGCCGTCTGATCCTATTTCGAGCACACCAGTCTGCTGGTCAATTTTACCTTTGACCTTGCCATCTACGATTAAGAAACCGAGGATATCCTGGACCTCTGCCTCCGATATCTTGAGTTGTCGTGCAATCCCAGCAAGCTTCATGCGCGTGTAGGGTGCGATCAACTTGACAATGGCTTTAGTACGCATATTGCGGGTAACCTCATCAATATTCTCCGCGATGAACGGGTCGGCCAAAATGTCTTGGTTCTTCTGTAGGACGTTGACGTAGGTCTCCATATCGTCTCGCTGGTACGCATCTACTAGCTCGGTCATGGCGGCAATGCGAGGATCGTTGCGGTAAGGCTTTGTCTCTTGCGAATCGAAAGGGTTGATATCGGACTTCATAAGCATGGTGGTAAGGAGAAGATATTTGAGGACCTGGATTCGTTGTAGGGAACCGGCTTCATCGTAATTTCGGAATGACTCGAAAAAGTCACTTTGTGCATCTTTCCAGTTTTCTTCACTCATATGCATCTTGCCTCCACATTCACGAATGATGCCCATAATCTTCGGGTGAGGTACCGCAGAGCGTACCTTAAGCGCTCTCTGGTAGAGGACCTTCAACTGCTTGTTATTGCGTGTCTCGGCATACATTTGGATCTCGAGGGCATATATCTCTAGAGAGTAAGTGCCTTTGCTAGGGTCGTCCGTGCCGTCTTCTCGTTGACAGACTTTCTGTAGCTCTCGGAGCTTCTTAGTAACTGCAAGGTATTCTTTACGATCAAGCAGAAGTTTCGCTAGCTTGATATTTGTCTTGAGCCACAGACGCTCGTTGTTTGTTGTCTGGAAACAATTCAGTGTCAAGGAATAGAATTGCTCCACGGCTTTTCGCGCTGCCTCGTTCTCCGATTCCTTCTCGATATAATCTAGCATTTTTGTGATGGATGTCTCGGAGTAGTTACGTGTGACAGCAGACTTGACGTATGTGAGGAGTTCAGTGTAGTGCTCTACGGCCTGGGTTTAGTTAGTCAACTGCTGAAAGTGAGGATCGTTTGGCTAACAGGGGACCTGACCTGATCATATCTTCCAAGTCGAAGCTCTAGTTTGATAGCTTGCTTCAGTCCTTTGAATCCCCAGTCACCTTTCTCGGTCTCAAGCTCGGGAATGCCCAGAAACTCCTTGAGAGCTTCTTCGGGATCATCATCCTTGATCTGCTTCGCATTATAGTACTTATTATCGATATCAACGTCGCCGGAGTCCTCGACGCCATCTTCGTCTTCATACTCGAAGTCATACCTGCGAAGTTTAGCTATTAGCGAGCTGTTAATTGAATGGGGATGGGTAGAGGTACATACTGTTCCTCATCGGACTCTTGCATGAAATCCTCGTCGTCAGACATCGTAACGGTATTCGGCGTAGTAGATAATGTAGTTGTAGAATATGTATGCGTGTGGTATGCGTGTGGCTTGAAGTAGATAAATAGTTGAATTACGAGGAACGCGAGCTGCTTTTTATAGAGCCTCTTGTATGGAGTTGTTAAGGTTATGCTTTCATACTGCGACGTGATGCGGAACGATACCTTTATCTTATCGGAGCTTTAAATCACTGGGGGAATCTACAACGTGGGGCTGCCTGGCTTTCTGGGGTAGGTACTTGGGTACTAGTGACCCCTGCTGCTGCCCTGCCAATTGAATAGATAGGTACGTACCACCCAATACGAGTACGCGTTGTGAGGTACTTAAGGTTGTAAAAGGTTCTGTGTTTGTATGGAACCCCACTACTTAAACAGAACACGGGCCAACACCCGTGACTCACTACAGTAAAACCTGGCCATAGCGAACCTGCTCTATATTCATAAAATTTATGGCTTCGTCACCACGTACGTAATTCGTTATAAAAAGGTAAACTTTAACCTTTTTGGGTAAGCACGAAGCCGTTTTTGGCAATATTTCGTTGAATTTCGCTAAAATCGGTCTAAGCTCAAGACTTCAAGGTGCCCCTTACCATTTTTTTGGGTAATAATGTGGCCTGTGCACTTACCTTAGGTACTCTAAGACGAACCCTTGTCATAGCGAATTCAGATTGGCTGGGGATTTTAGGTGGCAATTAATTACCTAATATATGGAAGATCCATCTTTGCGACTAGACAAACAATAAATCCATCCACTTCAACTTTGCATCACTAATCTACAATATTCTATCGCTCTCCCCAACGTTTGCATCGCCCAAGTCGCCAACATGTCGTTGCAACTAAAAAAATCTTACCATCCTGCCCTCCTCCGAAATCAGCGACGTGTTTACGAGGAGGAGCAAAAGGCTTTAGAAGAGCGCAAGAAGACCGAAGCTCGCATCCAAGAGATTAAGGAAGAGCGCGCCAAAGAAGAACTCCAAAAGCAACTTGCTATCTCCGGAGGCCGTAAAGTTGTTGATCGCGTCGATTGGATGTACCAGGGCCCTAGCGATGGCCAAAATGGTACTTCTGAAGAGCTCGAGGGCTATCTACTTGGAAAGCGACGCATCGACAACATTCTAACTAAGGGGTCCGATCATGAAAATCTCAAGAAGACTGCAGGCCCAGAGAGTTTCATGGCCCTACAGAATGCGAATACGGAAAGAGATACCGCGTTAAAAATTCGAGAAGATCCTCTTTTAGCCATTAAGAAGCAAGAACAGGCGGCATACGAAGCTATGATGAACGATCCTATTAAGAGAAGACAACTACTCGCATCGATGGGACAAGCAGATGAGAAACATTCATCGCACAAGAAGGAGGAGAGACACTCAAGACGGCATAGGCATAGATCGCATTCCAGAGAACATCGCCACCGCCGACATCATCGATCCGACTCGAGGGAAAGAGATGAATCAAGGGAACGACGGCACAGGCGTCGCCGGGCTGATTCGAAGGATAGGTCCGAAAGTAGAGATCGCCACAGTTTAAGGAAAGAGAAAGAACGCTATGCCGAGCGACCTGAGCGGAGGGAATCAGACTCAAGGGGTGAATACCGAGATAACGATAGATCACACAGAGGTCGATCAAGAAGTCCGCATCGTGGCGATACTAAGGACGACGGATATCGCCGACGGCGAGAATATTCTGAGGAACGAACGCGAGACCGGCGACGGTATTCGAACGATCGGAATGATAGTGACCGCCGTGATTACCGCGATCGACGGCCACACAAAGATGGACCCAGCAATAATCGCTATAATAAGGTCGCCGGTACCGACAGCTCCGCAGAATCAGCCGCAGAAGAGCGAGCTCGCAAGCTTGCAGCTATGCAAGAGGCAGCATCTGAACTCGATCAAGACCGGGAGAAGCGCTTAGCAGCACTCGCAGAAAAGGAGCGTCAAGAACGAGAAGCTGACGACAAAGCGCGGGAGAAGTCTGGGAAGTACGGAGACAGGGAATTCGTAAACGGTTTACGGAGACAGGTTATTTCTTGAGAGAAAAGAAACCATTACTGCAAGACTGGTAAGGTGCCATCGACCTAAATCAGTGATACAGGGGATTTTGTCAGGCTTTATAGCCTCTACAGGGATAGCTATTGCTCAATTACGAAGGCAGTTCCCGCAGGCTTACCGTTGGTAAGCGTCGTTATTCCGAGATTATGACGACGAGTCGTTTTGTGACTTGGGACGGGTGCGAGCATGTCTTTCAAGTCTGATTTCGAGTATTTTATCGCTCGATGGAGTGATTTGGAATGATTACGCGGGTTACTGAAAACTCCGTCTAATAGAAAGCAACATCTATAATCAAATGGTCTTCTAGAAGAAAAAACTACCACCGAAAAGCAAACGAAGCTGAGGATTAGCTAACTCTGGATATTGTAGATGTTGAAATGAAGTAGTACGGCGAGATATAAGCGCGAGCTTCTAATCAAACGACTATTTTATACCACCGACCTCTTAGGATGAATTTAAATATAACTTTCGGTACCTACCTATCTATTAATTGCACTCATTTTCAAGACGCAAGACTAATTGTGAGAGTTCTTAGAAGAATCAAAACTCTGGAATTGTCAAAACGATTTGGACTGAATATTCTATTTGCCCAATCATCCTTTACGTGCTCCTACTCCGCTCGCTACAAGTATCTGTTGCCCACTCCGGCAGTAGATGGACAATAAACATAGAAATTAAATACTCCGTGACACCTTCGCTCGATTAGTTTCCGGCAATATCAGCCTTCAATCGGTTCCCGAGCGTTTAAGAGCTGCCCTCGTCATCACCATCAATAACAAACATCGTAGTAATCGCCGAACCTATTGAGGTAATCCGAGTCCTCATCCCATTCCTCAACGTCCCCTTCGTTGTCGTCGGTGAAGACTTCGTCGAAGTTATTTATAGCCTCCTCGTCTTGGTACGAGAGCGTATCGTTGCTATTAAGAGTCAATTCGCCCTCCGCGTCAACCAGGGAGTCGTCGAATTCAAGTTGGATGGCGTTGCTTTCGTACTCCTCATCAGCATCCTCCCCGTAGTCGGCCTAGTCGCCGTCGACGCGGTCCGCGATCTCTAGGAAGAGGAAGAGAACGTAGCAGTCGTCGACTTCACTGTTGGTGATGCTGTACTCGACATCGGGAGACTTGAGGATAGCCAGCCCGGCTTCGATGTCCGATTCGATTAGATACACCTTGGCGCCTGCCAATGCGTTCTTGTACGTGCAGATTGCCGGGAAGAAGATCTCGTTGTTGGTTTCGTTATAGCTGGCTTGAACCACCAACACTGCGGCAGCCTTCATCGACGGAACGGCCTCGACACCAATAGCTCCCTCGCACCTCGTGCAGCCGTTGAAAGTAGTGATGGCAAGTTTCAGACCAACTAGCACGCCATACTGAGCGACGAGCTCGACAGACCCTTCAGCCTCGAATGTAGGCTTGAATTGAGACTCAAAGTTGGTCGATGAAGAGCTTCCCTTCTTGCAGCCGTAACGATACTTTGCGCTGGCAAGACTAATATCAGCCCGTGCGAGGGCGGTACCGGTCTGATATTAATAATTTTTTACAATATATAGGAAGTACCTAGGTTAGGTACCTAAGGTTTGATATACGCTTGACACTTTACCAAGTTGATAGGTAAAGGGAATCATGGCTCATACCGCTATAATATATCAAGACCTCATCCACTCTGCATATTGCCTGCATGGAGAACAAATTTTAGAAAGTATATCAAGTATGTTTCATTCAATTAAACTGCAAGGGGTGACTTTACTCTAAGCCAAAACCCTCGAGCCTTGGTCAATTATAATATCTTCGATTCTCCTCTAGGCACAATCAGCTTTAACCTTGGCAACCGTTAGAAGAGTTTTCAACCCTCGTTTTGAATCTCTTCGGCAATCTTCTCGGCCAGTGCATATACCATACTCTGCGGATGGCCTGGGGGTAATAGGGCAAAAGCGCTTGAGTCGACGACACGCAGTCTCTCTACACCGAAAACCCTAGCATGCGGGTCTACCACAGCAGTGGGGTCTCCGGCGCGCCCCATGCGACAAGTCCCAGAGGCATGGTAGATAGTGGTCATAGTATTACGGATCGTGTGCAGAATCTCTTCGTCGGCCTTCACAGTGTCAAGACCGGGGAAGAATTCCTTTTCCGGGTCTGAGTCCAGGAGGATATCTCGCATGGCTGATGACGAGAAAAGCTCCCGCGCCCGCTTATACCCAGCCACTGCTAGCTGGGCGTCAATGGGGTCCGATAGCCAGTTTGGATCCACGACCGGGAGATCTGCCGTATCGTCAGAGGTAATAGTGACACTACCGCGTGATAACGGCGCGCATGGAGAAACTAGAATGCTGGCGTAATTATGGCCATCATTGGGTAAGTTGAACAATGGAGATGAGAGATCACCCGAATACGAATCCATTGATATGTATTCCATATCAGGCCATGAATGAGGTAACTGGGAGAGCTTAGCGGAAGCTTCTTCGGATATCAGATGCCTGGGTATTTTCTCAAAGGCCACGTATTCAATACCCGGGTTTGCCAAAGGACCCCTTGCGTTTTTAACGTAGTCGAATAGCAACGGGACAATTTGGGCAGGGTTGGCTACGACCGTTGATATAGTTTGGACTTTAACGCGGTGGCACGGCCCGTACATTATGTGATCTGTCAAATTCTGTCCGACTCCGGGCCTGTCCACAATAACCGGAATACCTAACCTTTTGAGAGTGTCTGCTGGACCAATCCCGGAAACCATGAGGAGCTGTGGTGATTGGAAAGCGCCGGCAGACAAAATAACTTCACGTCGAGCCGTTAATACTAGGCCGGAACTAATCTGAACACCGGTGGCCTGTTTGTTTCCATTAATACAGACCCGCTTAGCGAGCGTCTCACGGAATACTTTGAGATTCGGTCGAGCCTGACAAAGGTCCAGGAATGAGGTCTGGGCAGAGCTTCTGGTTGCTGTGGTAGGATCGATAGTAAACGTACAGAATTGGGAGCCTAATAGACTACCACTATTAAAATCTCCGATGGTTGGGATTCCAATCTGACTGAAGGCTCGCCCAAGACATTGAGAGAATGGTCGGACGTTATTGCCGTATGACACGTGTAGCGGGCCGCTCTCTGACGAGAAGGCATCGTTTCCAGGTCCTGGCATGACTTCCACACCGGAAAAAACACTAGGATCCGCTGGGGTAAACTTGCAACTCTTCCGAAAGTAAGGCAGCATGTTTTCAAACGCGTATGTGGAATCCCCGACTAGCTCCGCCCATTGATCAAGAGAGCCTTTGTCAGGGCGTAGGTACATCATAGCATTTCTCCCAGAACTTGTCAGTGGCATCTCAGCGTTAGCAGGACGTCAATTTCTACTTTACAAAATCATATGACATTGAAGCTATCACGCACCTTCCACCAAGACACTTTCCCCGCGTATAGTGCAACTCCCTGTTACCGGCACCCTTTTGTGAAGTGGTAATAAAACCCCAGTCTACGCCCGGGTTCATGTCGGTGGGTGATGAGCCCGTGAACCCACCAGTACACATAGGGACGGTTGAGAAAATTGGATGGTTTATTTGGTAATAGGTCCCCGCCTCCACGACAGCGACGGCTATCTTAGGATTCTCTGAGAGTCTGGCCGCTAGCGTCAAGCCAGCTGTTCCACCGCCAACAATGACATAGTCGTAGATAGCATCCATTGCGCACATAAATCTAGTACAACAAATCTAGTACAACAGAAGCGGTCAACATAGATAACACAGTAATAGCAAAATCATGGCGTGGGTGATCATGATTAGGGGAGGGAATCTAACCGCTAGATTGTTGCTGATACAGAAGAGCAAGTCAAGTTGTAGAGCACTAAATACCAACACCTATTAACCCAAGTGTAGTTAGTACCAATAAAGTGATCAATTGCTATATATTTCTGCCATCACAATCCATGTGCACAATTCCGGGAATTAGTCAAGTCTACATCATATACCTAGTCTGTCCATATCCGGACAATATTTGCGAGATGCATTGGAGGTGACGGCAAAGGTGACGTCCAAAACTCGTATCCAATAAATGATAATGAAGTCCTGTGAATCGCCGTGTAACGGAAGGGAAGTGAATAATACTCGGTCAATCTAATATCGGTGACCACCTCCCAGGTAGCCTTCTCCTAGAACTTGACGTTCCATAATCGCCAACTCTAGACGACCAGCCCCACTAGCATAAAGAGAGACGAGCGTACCATTGGTTTGCTTCAATGTAGGATCAATTGCTACATTGTAGAGTGACTGATGCCTATAACTTTATAGATACCCCGGGCGTGTAGACTTGGCCATGTAAGATGGTGTGGTCAAGAGAGGGGCGGAGTGGAGGAGCTTTTCATCAACACTCCGTCAGTTGGTAGCACAGCATCTTGGCACTTCATCTCAGAGAAGTTGAGACAGTAGGAGGGATGAGTATTATGTTGGAAAGGAATGGGTAATATCTCAATGAAGAAATGGGGTAATATCTCAATGAAGAAATGGTAGTTAATGCAAAGGAGATAATGAAAACTATATGGGCGACGTATTAGCACTATTTGTCGATTGCCTTGGTGTTCACCATATTCGTTACAATTCTACGTATTAGTTTACCTACTCACCTCGAGGTACCTAGGTATTGTCACTTATACGTTCCCAATGGCTACAGCTTCGGGTGACTCCAATCAAACATTCGACGTCATCATTGTTGGTGCAGGTATCTCTGGAATCAACTGTGCCTATAGACTACAAACAGAATGTCCTGGCACTAAATTCATAGTTCTCGAGAGCCGTGATCAAATCGGCGGCACCTGGGACCAATTCAGGTTTCCTGGAGTTCGATCTGATTCAGATCTTTACTCATACGGATTCGCATGGCACGATTGGCCATTTGAGCAATTCTATGGTGATGGGCCACAGATATTAGAATATATGCACGATGCTATATCAGCCCACAAACTCGAAAAATACATTAAAAGACGTCATTTGGTCTTGTCTTCATCATGGCAGTCGTCAAATAGCCGTTGGGAGCTGACTGTTGACCACGGCGGTCGATTGATACGTTTCATAGCACGGTTCATCGTCCTTGGTACGGGTCATATCGACCACAACAGCCTACCTTCTGTCGAAATTCCCGGGATTGATAACTTTGGCGGTAAGAATCGCCTTTATGGCCCTAAGTCCAGCATCTAACTATTTGAAGGGAGAGTTATCAGCCCCCAGTTTTGGCCTCGCGATTACGACTACGAAGGCGAGAGAGTCGCCGTCATAGGTAGCGGAGCCACTGCCGTGACTATGCTTCCACACCTTGCGAAAAAGGCCATGCAAATCTCACTCATTCAGCGTAGCCCAACATATGTAGTTGTCGCGGCGGGTTCAGGATGGCTACAGAAATTCTTACCCCTAAAGTGGGTCGCCCGGTCGAGAAGATTTCTCAACACGATTTCCCTTCATATAGCAGCCTTATTTTGTGCCTTCTTCCCTAACATGTCCAAGAAGATGCTTCTGAAAGAGACAGCCAAACGACTACCAGAATGGATCGATCCAAGTTTCGACTTTGAGCCGCGGTATAACCCTGGAGAGCAGCGTTTATGTCTTGATCCCGATGGAAAGTTCTACTCTGCTTTACATCTTGAAAACGTACGGGTAATGACTGGTAACATTAAAAATGTCGTCAAAGGAGGTATTTTGATGCAAGATGGTCAATCTGTGGATGTTGATGTTATCGTCATGGCGACAGGGTTCCGTATGAGGCTTGGGGGAGGGATCCAGATTAAGGTCAATGGCAATTCAATGTCGTGGAGCAAAAGGCTGGTCTGGAATGGCGCGATGCTCGATGGAGTCCCGAATATGATATTTATGCTAGGATATCCAAACAATGCATGGACGCTGAGGGCTGATGACACTGCTTTCATCCTAGTGCGGCTGCTAAGTCACATGGATCGTCAAGGAGCCAAAGTCGCGGTACCATTAGCCCCGGAAAGTGAAGGTTTGCAGACACAAGTGGTGTGGAAATCCAGCGCCACGTATGTTCTTGCTGCTCAGGACGAACTGCCTGTGTGCGGGATGACGGGACCCTGGAAACCGAGAGTTAGTCCACCTATTGATAGGCTGCGAGCTAGGTGGGGAGACATTACCAGCGGCTTACATTTAGATGGATAATACTTTGTATATACCTACCTCTGGGTACCTATCTCCTCTGTCAGGTCGCGTTAAACTATTATTCTACTTGCTAAAAGCGTCTGGCAAGATTGAGCTTCAAAGGTGATACTACCATGTAAGTACCTAATCTAAGCTACCTAGGTAGGTAAACATATAATTCATACCAGTGTACTATAGCAGAGTATATAGAGTATATCAACGGACCCAGACAACTCATTCTTATGATCAATGAACTCTTGAGTGGAAGATCAAGCTGGGCCCATCATGAGTTGAAGAAACAACATCATAAACCTGAAATTCGCTCTCCCGGTGTCTGCCATAGGTGGCCTTTCTACTTCCAGCTCCAAGCTCACCAATCTTACCCGGGGCCTTTTCGAAATCGAAGTGCCACAACGTTTTTGCGATTGTCACGCTGGCTTCTAAATAGGCCATTGCCTTGCCTGCACAGATGCGAGACCCTGCCGAGAACGGAATAAATGCATCATACATTATTTTCATTTTCCCGTCGGATTCTTCGGATAGCCATCTTTCCGGTTTGTAGACGAAGGGCTCAGGGAAATACTTCTCGTTGTGGAGGATAGAGTAAACGTTCACTCCAACAATGGTTCCACGAGGTATGACATGGCCATCCACAATGAATGGCGCGTCATCTGTGTCTACTTGCTCTCGCCACGGGGTGCCTGGGGCCGCCGGTGACATACGCAGGGCCTCATCGATGCAAGCTCGTAGGTACTGGCAGTTAGCTAACTTTTGACCGCTGCGAATTTCACTACTGGAATCGAATGAGGTTCGAATCTCATGGGCTAGCTTGTTATAACAGTCCGAGTTGCGAGATAGGTAGAAGAAGAGAGCCGCGATGAGAGAAGAAGTTGTGTCTCCACCTAAACGGTATTAATTGAATCGATTAGCTATCAGGGTATTTTTGGGTAAGGGTCATAAGGGGTAACTAACCCGCCGCAAATATGAATATGGCCTCTGCCCACAACTCGCTTGTTTGAATATTTTCTGACCCTCCTGTGTTGATTTGGTCTGCGACCATGGAATATAAATCCAACTTGGCATCCTGATTCTCGGCCATGCGAGAACCGATTAACTTCTTTAACATGGCTCTGTATGGCTCCCTCTTTTCACGTATGCCCCCAACAAATTGTAGAGCTTCGGTTATCTGGAGTTGTGTCAAGAGGGGACACTGTAGCTTCATGTTCTGGAAATAGTTCCCAGCCACGACACCCTCTGAAATGAATCGGTATTCCTCTTTCTCTTGGGTCCGCAAGGGGAAACCAAATGATAATAGGGTTATAATATCCAATGTCAAGTACCTCAACATGGGCGACATGTTGACAGGCTTAGTGCCGGCAGAGGATTGAGATAGCTGCTGGATAAAAATGTCGATTTGCTCAAGAATGATAGGTTCAAATAGTCGCATACCTCGCTCATTGAGAGCCTGGCCGATCAATCGACGCTTTACACGATGTTGCCGCTTATCAATCACGGTAAAGACGCTGTGTACATTGGGAGCTTGCATGATGTTCAAGTACAGGCTAGCTTTGGAAGCCTTTTCATTGTGATAGATATCTTGAGAGAACATTAAACAATCTTTCATCGAGAACTCGGCAGCATCTGCACATACATACCTTGCAATGCTTCGATGGTGTTAAACACCAACTTATTCGGGCCATGCCTTATAACAGGACCTATAGTACAGTCGCATAGGTAAGTCTAAAGTTCTCATCATTCGTTAAACTTCGGATGTATCATAGCTCTAGCTTACCATATGATTGATGATTTCGCCAGGTGGCTATATGTTCACTCATCAATACCGCATGATAAAGGTTGTATAAATCGGACAGCTTAGCAGAAATGGGGCCAGGGTAAGCGCTCAAGGGATGTAGTGTCAGTCGGTAACTGACGAAAATAACAAACTACGATACGTTAGTAACAGCAAGAGGATACACATCGGAGTTTAATCCGCTTTGGAAAGTGCGTACGCATAGAGCAAGGGTATAGCAGATATAGGTGAGAACGAGTATGGCATTATCTTGGAAAGCCATCTTGGTGAGAGACAGCGATAAACGCCGCCGCTATAGAAGATGAATCTGGAAACAAATGTGGGATAAACATCGAGAATTGAAAGACTACCTCCTAAGGCAACATCAAAAGGTCAACTGTGATTATGTCCTAAGCTACAGAGGTACATAATGAATATCCTGTCCACATTGTGTAACACCTTTCACATATGACTTCAGCTAAGTCCAGGTAAATATTGCACGCGCGTTGCCAAGCCTCCTCCAAAACATACAGGTGATAAGGCGCAGCATATCTACCTAGGTACCTATGTTATATATAATACCTATGATTTAAGGCTACCTATTAGATGAGTAAAAAAAAGCGATTGAAACCCCTTTTAGTTCTCGCCACGTCAAATATCATATGCTGCGGGATACAACGCTGGGATGATCCTCAAGTTCCTCCACTAAGGTTCTTGCCGAGATTCAAGTCCTTCATAAAAAAGGCACCTCGATAGATCAACCCCTCCCGTCGTACGAAATTCGATAAATTAGGAACCAACAGTACTGCATGTTGGTAGCTTTTTATTCTTCGTTTCACTACCTTAGGTAGACAGGGTAACTGCTCCTGGGATTAACTTAAGAAGATCACTTGCCGTATCTTATAAGGCTGTGTTACCGGTGTAAGTTGTATTATTGCCACGGTTGCTGCAAGAGTTGTGAGGCTACAGCTATTAATTCCTCCGAAGTCTCCAACTGTTAACAATAAGATTGAAGTCTATTAATCCAACGTGAGATCCCCCACGCTTCTAGTAGTACAAGGCCTAGGCCTTGTTGGTTAAGAGTATTCTGAATAAATTAAAACACCCCCTTCCCAGTCTTATCTGACAAAAGTTGGTCTGTAGGACCTCAAAGCCTTGTTAGCATTGCATCGGCCTGTGTGACCATGCAATACAAGCAGAGTTAAGTGGTATAACACCAACAAGTTGATGCAAATGCCGCCTTTTAAGGTTGCCAAGAAGTCATCCTAAGACGGGAGGATGTCGGCACTTTGGGGTCAAAAGCCTTATCTTTCGTAAGAATTGAGGCTCTGTCAGTCACGTACCTCCTAAGCTCTTCCAATGCGATCCTCACCTCGTATCTTACAACCTGATAGAGCACCGGCGTACTACACTAAAGGGGAGGGGTTGTTGGAAGATGGATAGCACATGGACCAATATATTAAACCATGTCAGGTAAGGAGGAAGAACAATAGTATAGGACAACTAGGATGGCTACACGGCTTTCTAAGAATGGGTTTAAGAAACCTACATGGGACAGCCACGAAGCAAAATACTATGAACAATGGATTTCAACTTTTAATAGACTATAGGAGAGTAAACCCCTGAGGTTTATCTAGGTAATAGAAGACCTACCAATGAAACCCTGAAGAGAATGTACCTAATAGCCTGCTTAACCTAGATACTTATGTGCGTCACCCTTTCGCATTACCTAACTTATTACTCCCATGTTACTCAAGGCGGATATCCACCAACCGTCCTCGCATGCAGACAATCAGACTTGCGTGACCACAGTAGAGGCATCTTTTGAAGTGGGGCGTGGCGCTAAGGGAATCCCGTTGTCGTCAAGTATCAGATACTCCTCACTAGGCTTCACACCTTGAGGAGTTTGTGACCATCTGTGTCCTGGGTCCCGATTCGACCCAGTCTGCTTCTTACTGACCAATCCTATCAAGGAAATAAGCGAGGAGACCAGCTTTAATAATAGATTTTCACCGTTGAAGACCTTGACTGAGTATGGTAGCCCAAAGACGATGAACCCGCAGGTCATTTCAGCAACAGCAGCAAGTGTCATAGAGCTCACAGTATATACTTTGTCATCAGATCTAACATATTTGACTGTTTGGGCAAGTCGGATAGTGGCAGCGACGCACCCGCTATGATCCCACTCGTTAGTGATGTATTTATAGTGAAATTCACCACACGTAGGTTCAGATGTTTACTTACAGAAGACCGAGCATGAATATAACAGAAAGGCCTATCTTCCTTCTCCGTGGCATATTCAGTCGCCAGATGGTTGCTTGGGGAAGGATAAAGATGGCGAAATCTGAGATGACGTTAATAGAAGATGCCGCCAGGAGGCCGTACGTCCAATCGTAACACGTGCCGGGGACGGTTAAATCCCATATCCTTTTGAAAGGTATGCAGTGAAAATTCTCCATGATCCGGTTGGACAAGTACCACAGCGTGTTGAGGCTCAACACCAAAACGCTTGCCCACCAGAACGGTGTCCGTGAGCCCCGAGGAACAAAGATGCCCATCCAATCAACTAGAATAGCAGCTTTTAGGCCAAGAACCGCAATTCCGTAAAGATTGGTTCCAACATGTATTATCTTTTCACTGTTATTAATACCCCCTTATCAAAATGAACGGACACCCTGGTCCAGACTTACGTAAGAAACCGTGAAGGCATCACGCATGCGAACATCCCATTGATGGACAAAGAAGCCGCTGGTATTCATAAACCAATAGTTGATATAGATGTATCCGACATAGCAGCCCTGCTCAGTAGATGAGTAATTGTCTAAACTCGAAGTATGGAGACAATAATGGACGTACAAATCCAATGACAGCCAGGTCTATACATTATTAGCGATCATGCTCAGTTTATGGAACAAGCTGAATGAATAATAGAACAAGGTCTTACAGTCTGCGACCTGCAAACTCTTGGACTGGAATATTCGGGAGTATGCGCGGATCGAAAGCGCAAAAACAGTCAAGATCAGACAAATAGCCAAAAGAGCGTGGGCACCAGCGTTATGCTGTGGAGGGTTATCGAGATTGGGTACTACACCCGGAGGCGGTGCGAGGGCAGGGCCATTGAGGAGCTTCTCCTGTTGTTCTTTCGACAGCGACTGGAAGTTTTCCAAGGACATAATTTCGATTAACAAACAAGTGCGTTCTTCAGGGTGATCGAAAAATTTAGAGTCCAAGAAATTTCAAACGAGGAAACCAATAAATATTAAACTTCTATGTACCTAATATTTGTGAGGCTGTGGAAGAATGACGGATAGGAATAATACATGACCCCAAGGATGCGCTGAGGGCCCGCACACCTACCATTTTCGAGAAACGGACCCCCGAAAGAAACCTTCGACCTACCAATGAGCTGGATCTTACAATAAGTATAATTTTAGGATGCTACCTGCAGGTGGTGGGTGGTAGTGAACTAATCCAACGGTACGGAGCGCAGATGTACCTTAGTCCTAGAATTAAAAAACAGTTTAAGAAAATATTGATAAAATAATTTCCTTGTTAACGAGGTAGGTATGGATGTCTGACCTATGGCAACTTTGAAACTATACAACCTCTAGGAATCTGTCCTATATTGTATTTATATATATTTATTAATATCATTATTCTCTCAAGTCGCTTTCCCCTTTAGTATAAGTCTGAATACATTATTTAGTCGTCGAACAGCGACACATGAAGGTCACTCACCTGGGTGGCACCTACAATAGCCCATTTCGAGATATCTTAGTTTTAATATTCATTATATAAAATGCTATAGTTAGTGGTTGTATTGGTACCTAGCTAGGTACCCGTTGGCGTAATCATTGCGTTTTTCACTTTCGCGTGGAACTTCGTTGGAACCCGTGGCCTTTGAAGATGCACCTACTATAAACACCTTGTACGTCTATATAACCCAAGTTTCTTCCGTACAGAAGCTAGGCTAAGGCGTTATCATTCGCAAGCTCCGCCGTGTCTTGTTCCCGGACCATATTTATCTCTCTCGTCTGTTCTTAATTCGTCGGTCTGTCGGATGCCAATGCGCTTTTTACTTTTATCTCTGAATCACTAAACTACTATATTCGGTCTGCCCTGCACTTTGTTTCATCATGGATGACATTGCTATTGTCGGATATTCATTCAAGTTTCCCCAAGATGCTAAGGAACAGTCCAGTTTCTGGGAGGTCCTTCAGAATCGAAAGAACCTGATGACTGAATGGCCTAAGGAACGCCTAAATGTTGACTCGTTCTACGGGGAGAGGTCCAATACATCAAGCACTGTAGGTATAAATATAAATATCTACCTATTTTAATAAATTGTAAGCTAACTTTATCATTTACACAGATGAATTGCCGTGGTGCGCATTTCATCGATGAAGACCCATCGGTCTTTGATGCCCCTTTTTTCTCCATTACGGCCAAGGAAGCTGCTGCTAGTAAGTATTCCAGTAAGGTACTGTCTTTGGTCAATAACTGATGCGGTCCTCCCAGTGGATCCACAGCAGAGATGGGCGCTGGAAACATCTTACCGTGCGTTTGAAAATGGTACGTGGAATATAGACCGTCCCAGACTGGAGTAAGCTAAATAAATTGATCATAGCTGGGATTCCCGCAGAGAACCTCAAGGGCTCTAATACAGCAGTATTCGGAGCTTCATTCTGGAGTGACTACTTAGGATTATATTCTAAAGATATCGATAATCTTCCTAGTATGGGGGTCACCGGAATTGCTTCTTCCATGATTCCAAACCGGCTGAGTTGGTATTTTGACTTGCGTGGCCCCAGCGTTCATATTGATACTGCTTGTTCAAGTAGTATGGTTGCTGTGGATCTTGCATGTCAAGCAATTTCTAATGGTTCTGCTACAGCCGTAAGTATCTGATGCATCTCTATTAATAGACTATCCCCTCCGACTAATATTTTGTATTTATGCTTACTAGGCGCTGGTGGTTGGAACAAACCTACTTCTTGGTCCGGAATGCTCAATACTACTTTCGAATATGCACTTCCTATCTCCGGAAAGTCTATGCTACAGTTTTGACGCTCGCGCAAATGGGTACGCGAGGGGAGAGGGTATTGCTGCAATAGTACTTAAACCGGTTGCTGGTGCCGTTCGCGACGGCGATATGATTCGAGCTGTCATTCGTTCAATTGGTTCTAACCAAGACGGGAAGACACCTAGCCTTACGCAACCGAGTTTGCAAGCTCAGGAATCTTTGATTCGCAGCGTGTATGAGAAAAAGGGGCTTAGTCTCGGTGCTACCCGTTACTTCGAAGCACATGGTGAGTTGAGAGGAATAGCTAACCCATTCATCTGCTAACGTATAACAACCTAGGAACCGGAACTCCCGTAGGGGATCCCATCGAGATGAAAGCCATCGGGCAAGCTTTCCGAGATTATCGTTCTAATGAGGAGCCACTTTATGTGTACATTACTATTCTCAAATATCAAGTAATTTTCCAGGAACCAATGCTGACGACCTACCCAGTGGTTCCGTCAAATCCAACATCGGGCACCTGGAAGGATGCAGTGCCTTGGCTGGGATTATAAAAGCTATCGCCATGCTTGAAAAGGGTGTTATTCCGCCCAACGCTCTATTTGAAAATGCGAATCCCAACATTGATCTCCAATGGCTCAAATGCGTGGTGAGCGGATCTGGTTATTTAGTATTCTCGAAATATAACTAATTTTCTCTAGGTTCCTACTCAATCCATTCCTTGGCCATCCCAAGGCCTACGGCGAATTTCTGTGAATTCTTTTGGTATTGGTGGAACAAACTCGCACCTAGTCATGGATGATGCATTCCATTATATAACGGAACGTGGCCTAAACGCCAACCACGCCACTATTCCCTCAAGGACACGATTCGTAGGAAATCCACCCACATTCACCGAATATCCCACGAGCAGTGTACATTCTAGTGTGGCTTCGGATATGGCTCGGCGATTTTCTCCTATGAACTTTGAGAAAACTCTTGGATCCTCAGATGAGGCAGAGGTAGTTAGTGTTAGCTCAGAGGCTAGTAGTATTGCACTGACGCCCCTGTCCTCCCAAAATCCCTCTTACCTTCGACTTCTTATATGGACTGCAGCTGATGAAGGGGCTCTTGAGCGTGTAGTTCTAGGTTATAACCATTTCTGTCAGTCGTTCTCACTCGCCCACGAGGACAATCTCGACCGGTTGGCGTATACATTGGCGAAACGACGCAACCTTATGCCATGGCGAAGCTACGCCGTGGTGGACAGTTCCAAAATGACAACCAAATTACGCACTTCTAAAGCAACTCGAGCGCCACTGTCTCCATCAGGCCTTGCTGTCGTCTTCACGGGTCAAGGCGCTCAATATGCCAATATGGGAGTAGACCTTATGCAATTTGATTGTTTCAGGGACATGTTACGGAGTATTGACCGTATATATCAATCTCTAGGATCACAGTGGTCACTTTTCAGTACGACATAATCTATTCTTCATACAAATTGTACTTTTCTAACACTTTTTCCAGGGGTGATTGCAGACGAAGACAAAATCAATCAACCGACATACAGCCAGCCTCTTTGCACTGCTCTTCAGATTGCCTTGGCTGAGCTCTTGAGAAGCCTTGGCATCGTTCCAAATGCTGTTGTTGGCCATTCATCAGGAGAAATTGCTGCTGCGTACGTCTCAATTTTATAAAAACCTATAAATGCCAATGAAAGCTTACATCTGTAGATACTTGGTCGGTGGACTTTCCTTGCGCTCAGCTTGCAAGGTCGCCTTGTACCGTGGTCAAGTTTCAGAAAAGCTGAAGGAAGCTCTTTCACGTCCTGGTGCCATGATGTCGGTAAACCTTACAGAAGATCAAGTTGTGGAATATTTAGGCGGTGCGGACTTGTTGGCCTCACGTCGCCCTATCCACGTCGCCTGTATCAATAGTCCATCCAATTTAACTCTGTCCGGTGACGAAGAGGCCATTGATAAACTAGGAGACCGTCTTACAAAATTGGGTATCTTTGCTCAAAAACTCAATACCGGCGTTCCATACCACTCTCCTACCATGCATTCGATTGCATCCGAATACCAGGACCTAATGGGAGATTTAGAACCACGTGCTCTGGAGGGCACAACCGCAATTAGGATGATTTCAAGCGTGACTGGGGATATTATTACATCATCGTCATTAACATCTCCGACCTACTGGGTTAAAAATTTGATATCTCCAGTTCGGTTTTCCGACGCCATCCAAACTCTTGCTCGGCCAATCCTGGGTAGAAGTGCGGGTATAGGAGATATTATCGAGGTTGGGCCCCATTGTGCCTTGCGACGCCCCATCAAAGATACCTTGGGCACGATTGACGCGGTGGCTGGTAATATCGAGTACTCTGCAGTTCTTATAAGGCAGAAAGCTCCATTACAAACACTCTTGGAAAGCCTTGGGAGTTTATTCTGTCGTGGCCACGCCGTTTCTATATCAGCCGCAAACCAACACGACCGAGTTGTTGCAGATCTGATTCCATTCCTCGTTGATTGCCCGGAATACCCGTTTGATCGTAGCAACACATACTGGGCCGAGTCTAGGCTTAGTAAGGATCTGAGACGTCGTGAGCCGACGCGGAATGATGTCCTCGGCCCTAGGTTCTATGATAACCCCTATCTTCTGAGGTGGAGAACGTTCCTAAGCATTGCTTCCATGCCGTGGATCAAAGATCATATGGTGAGTTGTGATACGCTCTCTTACCGTTCTGCCTTCCCAAATGTACTGTCCTACCCAACAGCAGTGCAACTTGTTCTTGATTGTGGGTCTAACTACGGGTAGGTTTCTGATACGATCATATTTCCCGGTATGGGAATGATCACAATGGCTCTCGAAGCAGTCAGGCAGGCGAGTCGAAAACAACATCAACATGAAATATTTGGTTATAATATCAAAGAAGCTCATTTCTTGAGCCCTATTCTTGTATCTGAAACTATACATCACAAGACCGAGACGATACTCCATCTTCGGCCGAGGAGGAAACCATACGAAAAACAGTCAACGTGGTTTGAAGTGGAGATATACGCACTTTCAGATGATAAATGGGATGAGTGCTTCAAAGCTTTGATTGGAGTGGAGTTTGTAAAACCAAATCACGAAGCTGTCGCTTTAAGACAGGGGCAACTCACGAAGTCGCATCTCACAGAACAATATGCCGCCGCTGAAGCGACTTGCACGAAGTCTATTGATACGCAGAAATTCTACAAATACTCAGCAGATCATGGCTTACAATATGGCAACTGGTTTCAACTACTTAAGGATATTCTATGGGATGGGGGGAGAATCGCCACAGCTAGGGTGGACATTTCCAGTCCATATCATACCACCGATCTTGTCCACCCCGTCCTATTAGATGCTGCATTGCAACTTCTTCAAGCACAACGCTCACAAGGCTTATCAAAGCCAGTCACCACGAGTGTGCCACATAGCATATCCGACGGATGGATTTCAGCTACGGGATGGCTACAACCGAATACATTCTCCGTACGGTATCTGACCAACGTTACTCCTAGTGCTAAAAGTAGAGACACTGAGTGTACTATAACTGGTCTATCTGAGGACGGACAAGTATTGTGTACCTTCCCGAAGGTGATATTACGGTCAACATCGAAGAGCGAGACTACCGACTTATCGAACAAGAGATTCGTGTGGGGTATTGATTGGAAGCCACATTTAAGTTTACTCGACCCATATCAGCTACACCATGCGTGCAATACTGGACAGCTTAAGGACGAGTCAGAGTGGTCAGAATATAACGTAAAACTTGAGTCCGTGCTTGGCCAAGTTCTACATACCACTTATAGCCAAATCGTCGGTGAAGGGCTCGTAATCCCCAGCCATATGAAACAATACGTTGCTTGGATAGAATACTACGTCAAGCACAAGCTGGGGGATATCTCTTACCCTACAACCGACGGCGTTAGCCTCAATGACCAACTTCAATACCTCGAGCAGCTATATCCATCTTGGGGTTACATGGTGAGAGTGGCACGCGACCTTCGGGATATCTTGACCGGGAGACAGGATCCTCTTCACATCGCATACAGTACAGGCTTAGCCGAAGCCCTCTATGTGGATGCATCTGATAAAATGTGTGATAACCGATTTAGTTCTATGCTCGAGCTGTTGTCACATGAGAAACCGGATTTGAAGATTCTCGAAGTGGGTGCTGGGACCGGCGGACTAACTAGACGAATCTTGTCTCTCTTCCGGGACCTTGAGAAGCGTACTGGTGCAAGTACCTTTTCTAAATACATGTATACCGACATCTCGCCAGCTCTTTTTGAAAGGGCTGCTGAGACTTTCTCAGACTTCAAAGATCGTATTGCATTCAAGACATTTGACCTGGAACGCGATCCTTGTCAGCAAGGCTTTGAGTCCGAAATGTACGACCTAATAATTGCAGGCAGCGTCTTACATGCTACAACAAACCTAGGAACCGCCACACAGAATATTCGAAGACTTCTTAGGCTGGGCGGTCACTTTCTCAATGTCGAAATAGTCGTTCCCGAAAAAACGGCCATGCACTTTGCGTTTGGCACTCTACCCGGATGGTTCTCGAAGAATGATGGTCTGAGAGATTCGAACCCAATTGTGGATGAGGCAACATGGGATCAGGTGCTTCAAGACTACGGGTTCACGAAGAACATCCTAACCATCAGGGACTTTACAACCGAGAATTGCCACCTTTTGAGCGCCATGTTATCCACAGCTACCGAGCAGCAAAAACCTGCAAAAAATCCCATCTCGAGTCTTCTTATAATCGTAAACGAACGATCGAAGCTCCAAGCTGCCCTTGCCCAGTCGTTTCTAGAAGGGCTCTGCGCGGATAATCAATATCAATGGAAGGTCGTTTCCATTAATGAGGTTCAACATGAACACCTCAGCGATGCCGATATTACTATCTGCCTGGTCGAATATGGCGGACCCCTCCTACATAGGGTGAGCGGCGATGAGTATGATTCGCTTAAACTAATTATCCGACACTGCCAAAGACTGCTGTGGGTTACATGCGCGGAAATCAATGATATGACTTATCCTTTTCATGGTGTTATGCAGGGTTGGCTCCGAAGTATGCGTTCCGAAAGCTTCGAAAAACATATTGTCACTCTCAATATCGAGGCAAATGAGCACGACACCGTTTCCCCTATAGCAAATATAACCAAGGTGTTCGAGGCGTCTTTTCTAAGGAATTCACCCGAACTTGAGTATATTGTGCGAGACGGACGACTCCTCAGCGGGCGTCTAACCCAGGAGCCGGAGCTCGACAGTTCTATATGCGACCTCATCTCCCCACAGTTGAAAAAGCAGCCGTTAGTGCTTGACGGAGATTGTCCTATGAGACTTGCTCTGGGCAGTATTGGCATGCTGGATACTATTCATTTTGTCGAAGATGTGGATTACTACCTAGAACTTGGCCCTGAAGATATCGAAATCGAGGCCAAGGCGTGGGGGCTTAGTTTTCGAGATTTGTTCGCGGCACTCGGGCGTCTGAATGAAAACGACTTGGGGGCCGATTACGCCGGGATCGTAACGAGGATTGGATCCGCATGCAAAACGGATCTTCGACCTGGTGATCGCGTTTGCGCGTTGTCCCTAGGCTGCATGCGTACTATTTGTCGGACCCATGAGAGTAATGTATTCAAGATACCTGAAGGCCTCACTTTCGAAGCTGTCACATCGCTGCTCTTACCCGGAATTACTGCCTACCAGTGTTTGGTCAATGTTGCTCGTCTACGAAAAGGCGAAAAAGTTCTCGTACACTCGGCTGCAGGTAGCACTGGCCAGGTTACGGTGAGTATTGCAAAATGGCTTGGTGCGGAGATATATGCTACTGTTGGGTATGATGATAAAAAGGAGCTGTTGGTCAAGAAGTTTGGACTAGACCCCGAGAACATCTTTTACAGCCGAGACACAAGTTTTGCCGAGAGTGTTATGCGCGCCACAAATGGCTATGGAGTTGACGTGGTGGTGAACTCGCTTTCCGGGGATGCCTTACAAGCATCGTTTGAATGTGTGGCTCCTTACGGCCGCTTTATCGAAATAGGTACTCATTGCGTACTTCGTCTCTCCTAATTACCTACCTGTCCTTAGGTTAGGTACCTACCTACCTAGGCACTTTACCATCGACGTATGCAGACTAACTAAGAGATATAGGCAAAGCCGACATCAATGCGAATTCCCCCCTATCCATGGCCGCCTTCAAGAGGAATGTGAGCTTCTGTGCGGTGGACATATATCACATGGGCCATTTCAGAAAGGAGTTGATTAGCGACCTCATGAAAAACGTCCTAGACCTAGTGGCTAAGGGTGCTATTAGTCTTCCAAGTCCCATCGAAACTTTCTCAGTATCGACTATCGAGGCCGCATTCCGCCACCTGCAAACTGGTAAGAGCATGGGACGTATTGTTATCACAGTGAATCATTCCGATACCGCCTTGGTGAGCTTTCCATTTTTAAGCCGGAAGACATACTTTCTGACATGAGAATTTAGAAGCGCGTCACTAAACGACGCAGGTGGTCTTTGGCCCAGGATGCCTCCTACCTTATAGCTGGTGGCCTTGGCGGCCTTGGCCGGGCAATATGTATATGGTTGGCAGACAAAGGGGCCAAGAACTTAATAATACCGTCGAGATCTGGGCCATCATCCAAGGCTGCTTCTGAGCTCATATCTGAGCTACAAGAACGTGGTGTGAAGGCTGTAGCACCTAAATGTGATGTTACATCATATCCCTCCTTAAAAGAATTGCTGGATGACTGCGCCGGTACGATGCCGCCCGTAAAAGGGTGTATAAACGCAGCAATGGTGCTTCAGGTATGATCAATGTGTCGTGTCCCGCATGCTAGATAAGCCCCCGAGCTAACAAGTTGGGACAGGATGCCGTGTTTGACAACATGACCTTGGAGCAGTGGCAGACCACTATTCGCTCCAAGATTCACAGCTCGTGGAATCTTCATCGTCAACTCCCCTCGCTCGACTTTTTCATCTTTTTGTCGTCTATGGCAGGCATCATTGGAAGTGTCGCCCAGTCCAATTACGCCGCGGGTTGCTCTTTTCAGGATTCCCTTGCCCTTCAACGGAGCACGCTGGGCGAGAGAGCCTTATCTCTGGATATCGGATGGATGAGGGCTATAGGAATCATCGCCGAAACAGAACGATACCAGCTAAATCGAAAAAATGCCGGAGACATAGGACAGGTAGAAACCGAGGAACTCTTAGCCGTTTTGGATCTGTATTGCGGCCCAGCAGATCCTGATTTACCACAGAAGGGCCAACTGCTGCTGGGCGTCATCGTGCCAACAGAACTCGTTGAAAAGGGGCAACCACTCCCAGCCATTCTCCAAAGGCCGCTATTCTCGGGTTTCGCGAGCACCGACAAAGGGGTTCAAAGTGAGAGAAGCCAAAAGGGGCCAGACCTAGGGTTTTTATTCCGACAAGCAGCGACCGCTGAGGCAAGGACAGCCGTAGTTGTCAAGTCACTATCGGCGAATCTGGCTCGAGCGATGAACGGTTCGCCTGAAGATATTGACCCGGCAAAGACTTTGTCTGACTATGGGGTCGACTCACTCATGGCGATCGAGCTACGAGAGTGGATAGGAGCGCAGTTTGGGGCTACGGTTGCCGTATTTGACATCATGGGAGGTATACCTATCTCTAATATAGGAGCGTTGGTGGTAGCGAGATCAACGGTAGCATACAACGCTGTAAACCACTAGAACGTAGGGAGGTTAAAATAGTCAGAGCTGTTTCAGAAGGAATTTGAATGAGATCAACGTCCGCTCAGACCACTTTGCGACCAAGGCGCAAGACTGACACGAAAAAAGACATAATTTCTTGGCGTATCCTTTAATTAACACTTCGTTTGAATGCCATCAACTATCCTTTTCCTCCTTCGCCTTCGCTCGAGAATACTGACATATCAGGCCTTTCTAACTTGAGTCTGACTGGCCTTCGTAACCAACTCACCAATGGCCGTGACGGATCTCCCTCCCATCAGCTCGAAAACAGCCACGTCTGCAGCGAAATCTTTAGCAACCCAGTTCCTCAATTCCATAGCAACGAGCGAATCCACACCAAACGCGTGAAGCGGCTGGTCAGCTTCCGCTTCAACTTCTTCGGGCTGAATAGACAACGCCCGCGCCAGCTTTTTAGCAAGGGACTTGACGACAATGGCTGCCCGTTCCTCAGTCGACTCCGATTGCCGGAACAAGGCGGCATAGTTCACGTTGTCCGAGCCTAGGTTCTGAGGCGTGCCGGGGGATTGGCTGAAACGTGCGAAGAGAGGTCTCTGCGTGAACTCGGCCGGCTCGATTCCCCGCGCGAGAAGCTCGGCGGGTGTTGCGACGCCCATAACGATGTGGCTTCTACCCGGGTCGCTGGAAAAGAACTGCTGTTCCTCTGGGTCGCAGCACATATCCAGAACCGCCAATATCTCGTCTTCTTCGATTTGGGCAAAGTCTTGTAACCCCGCGAATTTCTTCTGCAGCGATTCGGTCTCCGAAACGACACCGACTGCGCGTACTACACCGAGATCCAGAGATATCGCCCGCTGGTTGTTGGAGTTGCGGTAGCGGGCTAACGAGTCTTGAAAAGTACACCCAGCCGCGTAGTTCGACTGCCCGGGATTCCCCACGATGCCGGAAATAGACGATAGGAGGATGAAGAAGTCGAGGTCTTCTGGTAATAGAGCATGCAGATTCCACGAAGTCTGTACCTTGGACCGGATTGTTTGTTCCCACTGCGTATGCGTCAAGTTCTCAAAGATTGAGTCCTGTAAGTTATCAGTTAGTAGAGTCCACATTTGCGACTCGCGCGTAGGTCTACTTACGTTCAGGACCATGGCCGCATTTATACATCCGCGAATAGGAGGCATGGTCTTCCTATGCTCTTCAAGGGCTCGTGAGAACGAGTCTGCCACAGAGACGTCGCATCTTGGCGTTGAAATGCGGACGCCTTGCTCTGTCAATTCAGTTATGATACTAGTTGCCGGCTTAGACGTGGCCCCTGATCTCGAAGGCACTATGAGATTTCTTGCGCCCTTCTTGGCCATCCACTTAAGAATCAGTCGTCCGATGCCACCTAAACCACCGACGACGATGTATGTAGAGTCGCTGTCGAAGCTCCATGTCCTGCGACGAGTAAGGCATTTCTAAGATACGTTAGCTAAGGTCTTGCCCTCTGACGATGTTCACATACCTGTACTTCAGTCGAACGGTCAATTTGGATGATAACTCGTCCAGTATTCTTTCCACTCTGAAAGTACCTGAAGGCCTTGTCGATCTCTGAAATTTTATACACGTGAAGGGGTGCTGGCGAGCGGATGCTGCCGTTCCCGGCCAATTCCATAGTCTTGTGTAAGAGCCTCTGCCCAATGTCGTGCCGATGAATCAAGATATGGTGGAGATCAACCCCTGAGAAAGAGACATTCTTTGCAAAACATGCCATCGGCAAGGCGGTATTTGCCTTGATATCTGCCTTTCCGATTTCAACGAATCGCCCATATGGCGCGATACACTCCCATGAAGCACGCAAGCTTTCGCCTACTAGGGAATTCAGCACCACATCCACACCATAGCCATTCGTGAGGCGCATGATCCCTTTGGCGAAGCCGGGATTCCGGCTATACAGGATATGGTCTTCGGGAATTCCGTAGGTGTCCATGAGAAGTTGCTTCTTATGATCGAAGCCAACCGTCGCGAATACCTCCGCGCCGACTAGCTGCGCGACCTGGACCGCGAGCTGTCCTGTTGCTCCCGATGCGGAGTGGATGAGCACTTTTTCTCCTTTTTGTAAGCGCGCGACCTCGACCAAAGAGTACCACGCCGTGATCCCTGGATTGACTACCGCACACGCCTCATTGAAGGATACAGAGTCTGAAATCTTGACGACAGCGCCTTCTTCTGACCTGGGCCACATACGCATGCACCCGGCCACGAACATACATACGCGGTCGCCTGGCCGTATATTCTTGCATTGGGACCCTACTTTTGTGACGACGCCAGCGCAGTCAGTACCGAAATCGTCTTCCTCGAGTCTCCCGAGAGCAATGAACACATCTCGGAAATTGATGCCCCAGACTTTGGCTTCGATCTCTACCTCCGTCGGGCCTAAATCAGCGTAAAAGTCCTTATCTTCGACCAGACGTAGCGTCTCAAGCGATCCAGGACTTGCGTTGTCCAGTTTTAGAGGCGGGCCCGGGAGCCAGGGCTCGGTTTTCGAGCGTGGAGTAGTAGACGAGCTGAGCCCTTCGTTCAAGGCAATATCCTCGACCAGCCTCCCAGTCTGTAATAGGCCGTCGCGAACTATATACTCAACCTCAGGCGATGCTGCACCAAACGTCGAATTAAGAATCCTAATAATGAAGTCCGACGTATCTGCGGCCCCATCCTCTATTGAGAGGGAGATGATACGCTTATTGGTGAACTCAGCACGAAGCGTACGAAGGAAACCGTCCTTTAGCCCTGAGTATGGGTATGGGCCAGTTCTAGCAGGTATAGAAGCCTCACCTGCTTCAGCTGATGTTACCCAGAGCAAATTACTAGACTGCTGGACCAGTTTCTGCGTATACTTGAAAATGGCTTCTGACGTTTCGGGCAAAAGTGATCCATATAAATCTGCGAGGAAGACGACATAGTCAGTCGCTCGTATATCGCCATTGCCGATCTGTGGGAGGGGGATAACCCTAGGACGGCCGTCTGAAGAATCGACAAGGCTGCTCTCGAGAGACATGGCAAGATTTTGTTGGTATTCGTTTTGGTCGTCTATGGCAATAACAATTTTGGAGCCCCCAACCAAGTGTCGTGAGTCGTCTTTAGCCGACGAGATGATCACGCTGTTAAAATGCGCTCCCTCGTTTTGGGAGTCCCTAATAACCAGGTCATTCCCCGAAAATCCGTTCCCTTGAAGGACGGTCTCCCATTCTGGCTCAGTCATCGTCGGGCAATAAGGACGAGTCGCATTTTCGTCAGACCAATAACTTGACAGGACACCAAAGCCGAAGTCTATCGCAAAGATGTCAGAAGCAGTAATTTCGTTCATGATAAGGTGGCCGCCCGGTTTCAAAAGGCGCCTGAGATTTCGGAGGGTGCCAGTTACATTCTTAGCCGCGTGTAGTACATTGCCCGCCAAGATGGTGTCATAAATACCGAGCTCGAATCCTTGCGTAGCGATATCTTGTTCCATGTCTAGAGATTGGAAAGAGATTCGCCCCTCCTTAGCGAACTGGCTTCGGGTTTTCTCCAACTGGGTCGTTGAAGCATCGGTATAGACATACTCGGAAAACGCAATACCGCCATTACGTTCTTCAATCTTCCAGAGCATCGAAAGTATGCAGCTAGTCATAGCTCCCGCACTCGATCCTATTTCGAGTATCTTCTGGTCTGGAGTTTGATGGGCTAAAAGCTCCATGAAAGAGGCGAATTCCGGCTTGTGTCTAACTTCATCAAAGAATCCTTCGGCAAGTGTCGTAGAGAAGAGAAGTTCTCGAGAGTCGACTTCCCCTTTTACAATGGGAACAAGGTTCTCGGCGATCTCGATGAACATGCTCCACGACGGCCTTGTCTTCTGAAGATCTTCAAAATCAGTAGCAACATCTATGTCGTCAAATTTGTCGTCCGCCAGACCCTGAGTCTCTTTTTCTAGCCAAGAGACATACTTCTTCATGTGGGGAGGTGTCTTGGTCCAATCCGTATTCTGCAACTGGGCCAGTTTTGATAGTGCGTCAGCGCGTAGAGTTCGTTGTAATTTTTCCCAGTCGCCAATCCTGGAAACATCGTCTTCCGCAACGCTATTCGCATCACAGTAATTCCGCAACTGGCTTGGACTAAGCAAAGATAAGTGAGGCTTCCATTCGACGCCATGGAATAATTTTATCTTGTTCTCGCTCGCCGAATTGTTCCCAACAACAGGCAGCATCTCGAGGCGTTTGCAATGTGACAGAGTGGAACCGTCATCTGCCAGAAGCGTAAACGAGCACTCCAGACCGGGCACAAGTGTCTTCGGCTTTGATGTCGTAAAAACTCGGATCTGACTCGTATGTGGATGCTGCCATCCCGTCGCCGAGATCCAAGTATCCTGCATCCTGTGGGGGATGATCGTTGGTAGTGATTTGGACATGCCACCGGATGGAGCCGCAAAACACACCTGGCATGATGCGTCAAACATGGCTGGATGAACCAAACCCTCGAATGGGTCGATAGACGCAACATCAATACGAGCTACCCCGAGCTCCTCGCCATCCCAGAAGACATCTTCTGCTCGCATGAAAGCCGGGCCGTACCTGAGGCCCTGTTCGTGATGCCATTTGTAGAAGTCCTGTTTGATAATAGCCTTTGTGCATACGCTCTTGGCATGTTCGTAGCCCTGGACGAAAGCCTGCGCCGTGGCATGGGTTTCGCGGCCTTTGTCAACCTCTGTGGGAGCCTCCTCATATTCAGTATGTATAATGGCGTTCAAGCATTCATTCCAATAGCCATCTACTACAGCGAAAACACGGACCTCGGCGCGAAGAGAAGTCTTCTCGTATGCGTGTTGCAAAGGCCTAAGTTGTGTAATGACTTCCGTTTTGGCTTCCGGGCGCACAACGATTGGGCTCATAAAAACAGCCTCTTTCAGGAGATACCCTGATATGGTTTTATGAGCATGGGCCATCTGCTTCACTGCCTCTATTGCCATCATTAGTGTCCCCGTGGCCGGGAAAAACGCGACATCGCCAACCACATGGTCTGCGATCCATGGGATTTCTTCGATGCTTAGCATTTTGCGCCACCTTGGCTCGAGCGGATTCCAATCCGTCGCGCGTACTCCGAGTAGGTTTCGGGGGGATGCTCCACGCAGGCGCCACTCCCGGCTCATACGTGTTTCATGCCAGTATATATGCGAATGATCAAAGGGGTATTCTGGAAGGTCTACGAGGAATGGTGGGTTCCTGGATCCCTGGCCATTCGCGGCGGTGATGGTTACTGGATAGCCGCGAGAAAATAATCGTCCTGCTGTCTCCAGGACAGTTTTCAGGGGCGATTCAAACTTAGATAGAACCGCAGTATACTCGAAGGTCTTTCTATCAGTGATCTCGGCCAACGTATCGTTAGTGGGTCGGCGCAATGCCCCATGGGGACCAACTTCGACGTAGTTCGATATTTTCCTTAGGCCGTCCATCTTAGGAGCCACAAGCACCAAATACTGCAATGCATCTGCGAATCGGACAGGAGATACCAGATTATCAACCCAGTATTGGCTATCAGATAATATGCTCCGTGGAATCTTCTCGCCAGTGACAGAGGAGATCATAACGACACTTCCACCACCAGTTTCCCGCTGCTCAAGACGCCCTAGGCAGGAAATATATTCGGAGGCAATTTCATCCATTGCAGGGGAGTGATAGGCGACACCCGTGTTTAGCTTTCGAGCGAAGATATCCTCACTTTCGAGGCACCCCTGAAGCTTATGGATGGATTCTTCATGTCCAGAAAGGGTAACATTGAACGGGCTGTTGACGCAGGCCACGTGGACGTCAGCTTGAAGGCCAACCTTCTCCAAGTAGATATGGGCTTTATCTTCCGGAAGATTAACAGACATCATCGAGCCTCTCGCGGATGTCGTTGTGGCCAGCCGTCTAGCAAGCCTACCTCTATGGTATGCAACCTTGCAAGCAGCTTCGAAGGAGAGGGCACCAACAGTGTATGCAGCCGCAATTTCGCCAGAGGAGTGTCCAATCACAGCTGCTGGTATAATCCCAAAGCTCCTTAATAACTGAACCAATGATAATTGTAAGGCAGTACAGAGTGGCTGGCTAAGGTCGGGGTCGTTGATCCTTTTGCCATCATGAATCTCGTCTGTTTAAAATGTCAATTAGCCCAACCACGCAATCTGTTGGAAAATGGAGTTAACCTACCGAGTAACGACCATTGAGCCCCTAAACCATGCAATATGTCGGATGCTTTAAGCATAGCAGAACGAAAGACGGGATAATGAAGAAGATCCAATCCCATCTTTATATACTGTGCACCTTGGCCGGTGAAGATGAAAGCTATTCCTGTGTCTTGGCTCGAGCGAACACAAACAGAGGATGAGAAGCTAGCCCTCGAATCCTTCTCTTCCGCATTTACGATGGCGAAAGACCTCCATGTCATCATACTCCTCCGGCTGGCCAGCGTGTATCCGAGTTGACTCAGCCGACTTCGAGATCCAAATACATGCGCCTCGAAGTATTGAGTATGCTGCTGTATCATACGCTTGAGAGCGCTCTCGTCCTTTGCAGACCATACTAATAATTCATATTTGGAAGGCGACTCAGGGGTTCTCGGGTGGACATCTCCGTTGACTTCCAATGTGGAATTGAGCTTTTTCTGAACAGTCCCCTCTTTTGACTGGTCATGGTCCAAGTTCAACCCGTTATCAGAGGATACCCCGTTAACTTTCCCGTTTGATTGCAACGGTTGGGTTAGTGGTGATGTCTGCTCTTTTCTTTCTCCGTTTTGTGCTGTCCCATTGGATAGAGCGCCGTTTACATGATTCCCATTAGTTCCGCAACCAACTCCCTTTGTTTGTTTTTCAATCACAAGCGTATTATGGTTGCCATTCTCACCAAGCCTCTGAAGCGTGTGGTAAGCGTCATCCAAGATAATATGGCCATTGGATCCACCGAACCCAAACGAGTTAACAGAAATCCGACGAAGTCCATCAGACGGCCATTTAATGCAAGAGGTTGGTACCTTGAAAGTATCAATATCAGAGATAAGTATGGTAAAAGCTCAGGGTTCTCATACATCAATATTGTTCAACTTGGCATTGATCTTGGGGTTCCACTTTTCGAATAGGGGGTTTGGGGGAATGATCCCCTTTTCTAGGATCAAAATAGCTTTGAGGATACCAGCAAGACCACTCCCACCTTCTAAATGGCCAATGTTAGCTTTGACAGAGCCGCTGAAAGGGCTGTTAGCGAAACGTAAGTAACCGGCTTTTAGGATTCTTACATGTAGAGCGGCTCTTTCCGGGAGCGACTGTTCCTGAACACTCGGGTAAGAGCTTTTACTTCAGTTGAATCTCCAATCTGTGTGCCGGTCCCTAATAGTCTCGATTTAGCTCAGTGCCATATACTATGTGTTAAGGGAGCTTTACCATGGGCCTCTACATAGCGCGTTGATTCGAAGCCTAGATTGCAGCTTTTGTATACGGACCTAACTAGCTCTTCTTGAGATGCAGCACTCGGTTGAGTGAGCCCAGGGGTATACCCATCTTGGTTGGACCCGGTAGCCCGTATAACAGCCCGGATCATATCGCCGTCTTTAAGAGCGTCGGATATATTCTTCAGGACTAAAACGATAGCACCCTCTCCTCGTCCGTATCCGTTTGCCCGATGGTCGAAGCTGTAAGAGACACCGTCCGGGGATATGAAATTCATGTTTGATAGGTAGAGAGATGTCTCGGGGCTTAACATGACATTGGATCCAGTTACTAATGCCTGATTATACGTCAGCGCTTCTCATTAATGTTTTGGATTGATGTCTAGTCGGTACCATAGAACTCTGCCCAGATCTCAGAGACTGACATGCGAGGTCCATGGCGATCATGCTTGAAGAACAAGCAGTGTTGATCTGGACACTCGGACCTTTCAAGTCGAAGTACCAACTTATCCTGTTGGCCAAAATGGACATGGAACTGCCAGTGGCGGTGGTTGTTGGTGCTTCATCCGGGTCTTTAGCGAGGATCCTTGAGTAATCGTCCGTCATGGATCCCGAAAATACTCCCATTTGGGTACCCGCAACTTTCTCAAGTGGAACTCCAGCTACCCCGTCATGAGTCAGATTTAATATTCTTAGAACGAATACTTCAACGAAAGAAATTACCGTTTTCTAGAGCCCCGTAGGCAGCCTCCAACAGCAAGCGCTGCTGGGGGTCCATCGATGAAGCCTCCTTTGAGGTAATAGAGAAGAAAGGGGCATCAAATGCTGAAGGGTCTTCCCGGAGGAAGTGAGCTCCTTTTGATTTCAACTTATCGTCGTTAGTTAGTAGATGTTGTATCTAGCTAGATACCGAGACTGGATACATACTACATTCTTCAGAGTAGAATCTGAGCTATAAAAAGCTTCAACATTGGCTCGTGACTCAGGCCATGCCGTCATGACATTTCTACCGGTTTTCAGGATTTCCCACAGGCTGGACTCATCTTCAGCGCCCTGTGGAAGTTTGAATGAAAACCCTGTTATTGCTATTGGTTCCATGGTCGTGAATTGATTGATGGTTATGAAATGAAATGGATAATGATTGAGTTGGCCTTCACGTATACTAGTCTTATGGCTTTGGTCATATTATATAACTAATACGGTAGCTATGATGAGAAATATGACTCTTAACTACTTTATTTCATCAAACACCCTTCCCTGCTGCTTATTGAGACCATCTTTAGACATGTGCCCGCCCTCCCACTAACATGGCTTGATAACGCCTCATCAATCCTCCCATCTTTGACGATGAAATGCAAAGTAAACAAATGCATGAATACGTAAGGATGATGCACTATAAAATTGTAACACTACATTATATGAAGATGTAGCATTATCAATAAGCATAAATGCTTGTTAAGGTAACCTCATACTCCTAACATTGACACATATCGCGACTACCACCACAGATAAGCAATATAACTTCAAACTAACATCCGAAAGGAATATGCCTCAAGCGGTGCAATGCTACACTATTGGGCCTCTAAACTCTAGTTGGCTGCGTAATTTAGGGAGGCGGAGCACCCAATGTGCACTACAGATGCTCTAGATCCGCTTGTATTCACGCCGAAGTAAACAACCAACGACAACTGCATATTCACTGTATTACCCCTGAATTGACACCGCTATCTCCATAGCATGTAGCACTCAGGCCGCCATGCAGCCAATCCCCAACTCATCGGCGAAACAAGCCCCAAGCACCCGCTATCATAAGTCTTAAAAGGGGTAACGCAGGAGGTACAGAACTTTGCTGCCGCTAATCCTCGGACGATCTTCTCTTCCAAAGTCATCATGTAACCACAAAGAAGGACCCGGCTGGTCCCGACAAAATAGGATTCATCTCTAATAAGTAGTGAAACAAAATATTAAGTTGTATGTAGTTAAATGAAATACAACTCTATCCTATGATGTTAAGAACTCTAACGTTACAATATAATCGTAGATTTACTTAGATAATCCCAAAGCCATCTAAGCCTTCGCTCTTCATCCAGTCATAGACTCTACCTGCAGCCTTGGTCACGTTCACACTAGATCTACCGTCCTCAATAGCCATGATCTCTTCCACCCACTCGAAAATAGTGTCTACGAGGCCTTTAACCTGTGCCTCAGTGTTGCCCGCATGAAGCGAGACTTTGATCCGGCCTTGGCCAGGTGGCACAGCAGGGTGCTCAATGGGCCAGACGCAGTACCCGCGAGACAGAACATGGAAGTAGAGCCAGTACAAGTATTTTGGACGTGTGAAGATAGTAAATATGTGCGTGAGAAAGGGACGGTCCTCCCAATTTTCCGATAGGGGGACCAAAAGAAGCCCCTTTTCATGAGCTACGTGCCATGTCGGATGCGAGGTTAACGATTCAAAGAAAAGTCGCGCAAGGGTTTGCACGCGTTCCTGGGCCTGAAAATAATATCAGCATTTTTTGCACCTAAGTGACTTTGGTATAGCTTACCTCTTCCCCCTCATTTGTATTTAGCAGGTTATATCCTGCTCTGATAGCAGCGACAAATGGAAATGGTGGCGCAGTGGTGAATGTGGTTGATCGAGCGAAGTTCATCAGTGCAGTTTTCACCGTCTTAGAACCAAGAATAGTCGCTGTCATAGTAATCGTTAACAGCCAAATAGATAAAAAATGCTTCGATGAACTTACCTCCACTCGATCCCATAGCTTTTCCATATGTCTGTATTCTTACCGCGATTCTATGTTCCAGCCCCAGTTCACAAACAAGACCGGCGCCCCTGGGCCCATACAGTCCCGTACTATGCGCTTCATCAATGACGAATTGGACGTTCCCGTGTTCGGAGAAAACGTCATCCGCAACATCGACAAGTTCTTGCAATGGGCACACATCGCCATCCATACTGTACACCGACTCAACCGCTACCAGAACCGAGCGTTTACCACGCTTGATCAGCGGTTGGGAGTCGAGGATAGAAGATAGGGTGTTACGAAACCCCTTAACATCACAATGAGGAAACTCGACTTTCAGCGCAGCGGGGCTCTGTGCCATGCCTTCGTGCGAGCTAGCATGTACTAGCTCATCGTATACAATGACATCTCCAGGCCGCGGGATAGCAGACCAGACCGCGAGGTTGGCGTCGAAGCCGGACCCAACGATCAAACCTTCCTCTGCACCATGAAATGCCGCGATCTCACGCTCTGCTAGCTCAAGATACTCGTAGTTCCCATCCAAAACACGAGAGCCACCAGATCCAGGACAGAAGTCCGGATGTTGCGCTAGTATAGAGAGAAACTCAGCCCGTAGAGCACCGTTTGCGTTCCATGATAGAATGTCGTTAGAAGCGAAGTCGACTTCATCCCCTGTTTGCCAGTCGTTCAGAACGTGCTGGCGAAGATTGTAAAGAGCACGTCGCCCATCCAAAGCCTCTTCGAGGTTGCGGTAAAATGTTGGAAGAGTCTTTATTCGATGCGGATCAGGCTGTTGGCCTTTGATCCGGGACTTGAGTGCTTTGGTAGGAAATGACATCGTGTTCGCCGCTGTAAGCATTGAAGTCGTTAATTTGATCGGAATTGTGAATTGGTAGTTTCAAGTTGTCAAGTCTCACGAACGAATATCGATAAAATCTCTCCTTCTCATCTTTGTGACTTACAGATGGGTTTAACCGATATAATTCTCTTCTAACATCCTTCTCAGGGGTCAGAATGGTCATGCATATTGGTAAGACATCCGACGTAGAGTCTCGTCGCTGTCGTACAGCTGGGAGAACCCGAAAGGGATTCTCGTGTTAGCTTATTACATGTGCTACTATGAATCGTATGAATTGTCGCGAAGGATCATCGGTCCTTCTGCAGTACACATGCGCGTTATACCAGTCCCAGATAATTGGCGTAATATAGCAGCAACCTACAGTCATCGCGGCCACAAAGCTGACCTCACATCACGAGAAGTCCCGTAGGAACATGAATAAATGTATCCGCAACACCGGCTGCGGGATAGATTGCCTAGGTCGACTTCGATATAATCCGTACGATTGCCATGGCAAGGTTCTGGTGGAGGTTGGCGGTATTCACACTCCAATTAGGCGGGGTAGTAATCGCATTTCTTTTCCCAATATGTCAACTATACCGGAAATAATATCAGATATCAAGACATATCCAGATCGTACGGTCACCCCCTCTTCGACGACCCAGGTCTTGGCTACAAGGTCTAAAATCTCACCCCTGCCCTTGATTCCAATGCCAAGGATGATTTCAGTGACAGGGATTCCGATGCTAAAGCAAGACCGGATACGGAGGTGTAGAGGGAACACATTAAAAAAACGTAAATTTTCTTAATACACTTACCCCCATCTGACTTTGTTTTAGTGTATATGCAATTATCAAATATAGCCAGTCTTATCTAATCAAATAGCCTTAGGGATTATACAATACACATAATTACCTGATTGGCCAGCCGGCCAGCCAGCCAGCCAGCCTTATACATACCTCCAAACCTTACATCGGGACCTTATTTTCAGCTGTTTACCTTGCAATGACTGGATGCGACCGTATAGGCTGACTAAATTGAATTGAATTGAATTAAGTTGAATGAGAGGCTGTATAAGAGGCTTCAAGATAAGGTGCGAGATAACTAAGGGTATTGCTAGGTATGAGATTTAGCCAATGAGAGGGCGCGCATCGTATGAACGGGCTGTTATAAGAGGGATGCCCCCTTAAAACACCCATATACTTTTAGCCGTATTGAGACCAATACAGGTCTGAATCACATGCGGTTAAGTTTATTCTTTTTCTTATTTTTCAATTTAATTCAGTAGACTTTTTGAAAAATAACTGGACCAGAATTCGTAACGTTATTGATAAAAGTAGGTAGTTATGCGAATAATGGGGGTAGCCTTACTCTTATTAATGAATATTATTTAGCCATAGCTTTACAAACTATACCCCGAAGAGTCTACGTATGAATTTTAGCGTTTTTTTAATGTGTTCCCTCTACACCTCCGTAACCGGAGTCAGATCATAGTTTGCCAACTCGACGGACAACAATAGACCATTCTGATCGAGAATCACCCTAAAGGGACAGCAGCAAGTAGCACGGAAGTTCAATGACAAGAATGAAAATATCTACTAACACCGATTGTCTATCATGGTTTTATCTTAAAGTCCTCATTTTCGTACACCTATCTTTGTATAACCATAATGTAATAGTTACAGGCAAAGAGAAAGTGACTTATTCTCTTCCAAGGTGTACAGCGATGGTTGAACGTACTGGCTAAATAGTGACATAGTTATACAATTACGTTTCCGCGCTCTCCAAGCTGTCTTCCGTCTCCGTTAACCGTTAGATTTATGCAAATGTCGCTACTAGTCTCATTCGGTGGGTGATTATCATTGCCGTTGATACTCTTCATGGGCACCGTGTCGTTAGTCTCTAGTTCAGTGATCTCCCAAAGCCCGCGACGACGCTTTCGCGATAGTGGCTTACCCCACGTCCGAGGTATTACACCACCGACGTTACTCGACGCACTATGCTCCGTCAACGACCTGATCAGGTTCAGCACTGAGTCAGAGAAGGGTAGCTTCTGGAAGACTTTAGGGGCAGAAGGGATTCCCAAGATCAGAAACCCCCCAGCCCATTCACCAATCCCCCAAATGCTGCGGATTGACATGCAGTAGAGTATATCCGACGAGTTAAGCATTCGGTCGAGCCAAACGATACTAGCTGTCGCGCAGACACAGATACTATATTCACAAGGGTAATCAGTATAACAACTCATAATCATGGGCGTGGTGAACCAACAAAATTCCGATTACGAATAGCAATGATATACCCAGCTTCCTAGCTCTTGACATGTTGAGACGCCAGATGATCCATTGCGGTAGGGCGAGGATGATGACGTCGGAGATCAAGTTAAGTATTCCAGCTGAGAAATTCTGGGCTGCTATGTTAACAGGACAGCTACCACCTTCGTAAAATACGTTCCAGATCTTCTCCCGCGGATTGCAACGGAAGATCTCAGCGAAGTTCCCAGCCAGATAGAATATAATATTGCACCAGATCAATATGTGCAGGGTCCAAAACATTGCGTTGCCGCGGCCTTGGGGAACGAATATGTGCAGCCAATCGATCAGAATAGCGACTTTAAGGCACATGACACCGAGGCCGTAGAAAATGGACGCAATATGGACATCCTTTGCTATGTTAGCCATGCCATACAACTGCTAGTTTCGGATCTTGAGGTACACTGACATATAGAAAATCAGGAAGAAACTTGAGCTGAAGATTCCATTGATGAACCCCTATCCCGGGGAATATCGAGTGCTTGTAGATGACGTATTGATATCCCGCAAAAAGACCCTTCGTCGTCAGTTTATTTCCGTGACCCGGTAGCATCATTTCAGGATCACTTACGAATGCCGAGATCATAAAGGCATCGTCTAAACCTATCTTCCTCAGAAGGAATCTTGATCCTAAGCGTATCATGATGGCAATGGTGGAAACGATGGACCCCACTAGGACAAGGCCGTATCCGACGGCGTGACTACCCCCTGGGTTGGAAAAGTCAGGTATTACATTCGGCGGTGGCTCCAACGCAGGCCCGTTGAGTAGCTCCTCCATGGATGGTGCTTGGTCTGCGGAAGCCATGACAAAGTGCAAGTTTGAGAATGTGAAAAAGAGTCAATTCGGAACGTAAATATCATGTAAACAACAGGAGTTAGAGGAGTAGTAGGCAGAAAATGATAAAGTCTCGAGAATCACCATGTTGGTAGGTGGATGATTATCAGTAAACACTTGAGGTGCCCCTATATAGTCTGTAAGCTGAAATCGAGCAACAGCTCAACCGCCTTGTTATCTGCCCATAATCACATCTTAGGATTCGCGGGTACCAGTGCAGCGCAGCAATCGGCCGCCCCTCTACGGCAAAGCACCAGACGTTCATAATCTGGGGAAGCATTGCATAACAGTTACATTTGGGGCCTAGATGAAGCGAATTGGCCAAGCCCGCCAGTTTCTAGAGAAATCCTACCTAACGTTGCAGTAAAAGGCGGCACGTTTTTCGTACCTCTGTAAACAAGTCCATGTGAGTATTGTTACACGGCAGTTCTTAGGTAGCATTATTGTAAATATTTATATTATTTTGAAGGCACCTCCATCATCCATTCGTGAAATATTTCCAGAAAGGTTTTCATTGGTCAACCCTTGAATCTGTAAGGGAGCATTGAGCGATGGGGCCGACCACCCTTCCTCGCATCTTCCTCGCATCTTCCTATGGCTTGGCAAGGCTGTAGTTTCCTTCTCGAAATGTGAAACAATACACGAAGTAGCCATTCGATCGAAAAAGAAAGGTTCTACGTAAGGTAGTTATCTACCTCTTATAACTTCTAACTAATAGGTACAAAGAACTACGATCTACAGTCTAAATATAGAAGACCAATCAGATCAGTCAGGCTAAAAAAGGGGGCTACCGTTACCGCATTTCATTAATCTACGACCAAGCTCTAGACATCTTAGCTTCAACAACTTCAAACTCACAAGGGAATGTTACGGAGGTATTGTCAGTCGTAGAGTTTACTTGGTTATTAGCTGGACGACTATATCCCTCAACTGATCGTGCCAGAAACCATGTCTTTCCAGAGGAAATTCCAGGTGACTTCCGGAGGCGAAGGTTTGACGGACTCATCCAATAAGACTACACAGCGGTACTAACTATTCCCTAGAACGTGTCAGTAGGGTCGTCGATATACTAGGCCCAGCTTTCGAGTTCGACCCCGTATTCAGATTCGAGCTTCAAAACTTCTCTCTAGCCGAGCAAAAACGGATACTACCAAAGCTCTTTCACAGCTTCTTCTTTGCCAGTGCCATCAACGATGGCATGCTGCTCGAGGCGGACAACTTCGGATCTTGTGCTATCCTCATGCCGCCCGGAAAGACAAACGACAACTTCTGGACCGTGCTCCGAGCCGGCATAATACCTAGACTCTTCACTATTGGACCTGCTGCTTGTAAGGTGTGTGTACCATATCCCAAGATGAAAGGAGGGCGTGAATCTTATGCCTTCAAGAGAATCGTTTTAGACTACCCCGGGGGAAATAAAGCCGCAATGGCGAAAGCCCTCACGCCGGCCGAACAGAAAGCACATTGGTACGTCTTCATCATGGCGACAGCAGTGGACCGTCGTCGAGAAGGGCTTGCAAGCGCGTTACTTGTGTACATGAAGGACAAAGCCCGAAGTGACGGACGCCCGCTCTGGATCGAGGCTACAACAGTGGAGTCTCGAGACCTTTATGCTAAGCACGGCTTCGAGGTCGTGACCAAAGTTAATCTTGGAAAGGGGCAAGTTGGTCCTGACGGTTTAGTGAAGAAGGATGGCGAAGGAGTTACAGTATGGCCGATGGTATGGCGTCCTGAGTATTAGCTTATAGGGAATTACGTTGTGGGTACGATTGTTGTGTAAAAGTTGTATAATAATATTAGAACTGGGAACCCATGGACATGACTCCAACGTAAAAGGCTCGTTTGACTATTTCGTAAAAGTAGGCAGAAGTACGGGGAGAGTTTTGCGGTATGAGAGAGCGTGATATGCATTATGTATACGAGGCTAGACTAAGCTGTCTCAGACTATATTCCTATAATGCCAGTCTTGAGAATTAACCTGAGATAGGCAATCTAGGCTGCCTACACTCGGAATACTAACCGTACATCCACGATACTTAATCGGTCGAGGATATAAGCCCCACCTAACATCACGAGACGTAAGTAATCTCATCCTGGTTGATCTTCAGCGAGAAGTCCACATGCGGCGTGCCTTGGTGAATCGCGCTTGTCGAGATGATGTCGACATCTAATATACTATTATCAGCAAAAAATAAGAGGTATGAATAAACAGGACTCACCATTATGCGCATAGTTAAACACGTTGTCCTCGCGCAGACCACCAGAAACCTCTATCAGAAATTCGCGTTTTCCCTTCCACTTCTCCCTCAAATTCTTAGCCGCAATCTTGACGCCATCTCCCGTGAAGTTGTCGAGCATGACGACGTCGGCGCCAGCAGCGATAGCCTCGTTAGCCTCGTCCTCGCTCTGAACTTCAACTTCGATTTTGAGCGCAAATCCGCCAACCATCTTGGCAGCCTTCACAGCCTCGGTGATACTGCCACGGCTCCACACGTGGTTATCCTTTAGCATAATCATGGAGCTTAGGTCCATGCGGTGCGTATCGGCCCCGCCGACCAACATGCCGTACTTCTCAACTAATCGAAATCCCGGCGTTGTCTTGCGCGTGCCCGCTAGCACACCCTCGTATCCCGCGCTGCGTAGGGTGAGTAGCATATCGCGACTGACGGTAGCGATTCCGGAGCATCGCGCCAGAAGGTTCAGCCCAACTCGCTCGCCTAGCAGCAAACCGCGTGCGGGGCCTGTCACGGTGGCGACCTTAGTCTTTCCTGAGCCATCCTTAGGACGGTCGATATAACCTCCTTCCTTGACATACCACTCTACCTCGCACCCGCACTGCTTGAAAATCTCAGTGAAGAATGGGATGCCAGCAACGATACCGGCACTTTTAGCCCAAAGCGTAGCACTTCGAGGGTGCTCGCCTACGACGAAGCCGGCGTAATCATACGACGGAGTGTCCTCGGCTAGCCAAGTGGTAATCTGAGACTTCCAGCTGGGCGGTAGGAGGTGCTCCAAGGAGCCGTGGTGGATGGGCTGATCCGGATGCATTGGAGGAGTTTATGAGATGACGTAAACTGAGAAAAGATGTTTTCTTTTGAACGACTGAGGGGTTATGTTAAAGCTCGAGGTGTGATGTTGTTATTGTGAAATATGATGATGGGTTCGTATTGCAAGCTTGTATTGGTCAGGATGAAGTTAATTCTCGGAATCTACGTAACATCGAGGTAATATGTAGGTACATGCAAATGTATATCCCGTCGCGGTTACCTACATGAATGTACCTACCTAGCATACATATTGACTTGAGCCGGTTCAACCCGCTGGTGAGATCGATTATTGAAGTAGGGGCGGGGGCGGGGCACTGCCGATCTATTCCGCTGTGGGTGAGCTTCTAGAAGGACAGCCCCTCACTACAGCTGCAACAGGAGGAACACAGCTGTTGACAACTGTTATTGATATCCGATTTTTTTCCTAGGTTACATATACCTAAACACTTACGCCTATACTTGGGTGCATACATTTTATATCCCGTGCCACCGCGTGTCCTGTTACAAAAGTCGCGTCTTAATCAACCTCCAATCAACTCCCTCTTAATAACAACTCGATCAACTACAATTCCACGAACAATTTGCCAGAAATGCTTTTGTAACTAGATCCATACATTTCATCTCTCCTGTCCACGTATTCTTTGTCTCCTAACTTTGTGCTTTCAATCGCCGACGAAAGCCCCTGTCTTCCCTTCTACTGTTGCTTGATAATTTAAGAATAGTATCGTGCGGACCACTTCGGTTTCTTGGCCAGCCCGGCATCCTTGATATCGAGGAAGGTTCTAATTGTGTCGGTTGCCTTGGCATCCGCCGTAGCCTGGATGGCTTGGAGATCTCCGGTACGGCAAAGGGGCTCGAACACTTTGGCCGTTGGGCAGACTTTGATAGACCAATGGTAGGGCGCCTGGCTGAGGTTGATATGGTCTGGGGCCCGAGTAGGTTTGAGCAGCTTGTCTATAGGCTTCGGGAAATCGCGCCGCATGTTGCGTGAACTGGGCTTGCAACTCGCCTAGGAAGTCGAAATCCGCCATACGGTGCACATCCGACATCGATGGTAGGTTCGGTCGAGTTGGGGTTATGTTCACTGGCGACGTGGTAGCCTCTGAAGAAGTTGTCGAGTTTGAATATGTGTATGACTGTGGCTGGGGCTGCGGCGGTTCTTGCGACTTCGTTTCCGAACCCGCTTGCTTTTTATTGCCATTTCCCGTTCTGTCTCGCTCCATGGTCACCACGACGCTTTCGCACGGGATCAACGGGCCGAAATGCATGGTGCATGGGGCTCCCGTCTCCATGTACTTGCTCACCCATGCGTGTCTAACAACGGGGAGCAACAGCTCCGGGCGCCGATGATAGATCATGATCACTAGCTTAATGGGGCTCTCGTGGATGACGACGCCGTACTCGGAAAGTTCGCGGAATTTAATCCCCAGGTGGCGTAGGGGTATAGCCCGAAAGCTACAATTTACCCTAGGGTCGATTTCAAGAATAGGACGTCCCATGACGGTGCTGGCCATATGCACGTCGTCCAAGTTGTAAGTATTTGGTTCCATCCCGGGTCGCTCCATTCTGAAAATCGAGTCAGCTATGCTGCGTACGGGACTGGCTTTCGCGGGCTCAGTGTAGGTTTGATGGATGAGGCACAATAGCGAATCACGAGTTGGCTTTATTCATAGCCAAGTAAGTAGCAAAAACTGTTGATAGGCCGCAGAGAAATATCTACGAAGAATAAGGGTAATCATAGAACGGAGATTACAGTTGCTTCTTAAATAGGCACCTAGTCATACTTGACGCCATGACAACGGCAAGAAAGGTTCAAGTAGCTCAACGCACGTACAACTATGCACATGTCGCTATGGGAACAGCGTATAGACCCTCACTGGTTCGACTTTATCTAAACTCTCTTCAAACTATGGCGCGGCAAAAGATGTGGGAAAGGCATTGACACATTTCCCAACAACACTACGGCCCTAGCGCCGATGATATTTCGTCTATAGCACATGACGCTATGCTGGCTGAGCCACCCTACTTAGATACAGGTATCCAACAAGACTTCACTAGTGTTTGATTAACGAGCGCTTAGGATTTATAACAGAAGCTAAATACAAGTACTAGCAAGATCCCTTATTGTCAGACTACTTTGGAATAGTCGAATACTTCAATGTTATGTTGACTTCTCAAATTCACCAACGTATATATCATATAGCACGACAAGTACTATCTCACATCAACACTAGATTTCCTCCTCCCATTCAACATTCCAACCCTAACCAGTAGTAGGAAGACGTGCTTTCGAGTCTGTTATTTCTGTTAGCTGCAAGAAGACGCTACCCCTAAAATGATTCATGGTAGATAGGTAAACAAGAAGATAGGGGTCTAGTAGAGAGAGATACGACTGGATACCCGGTAAGCAAAACGAGAGGAAAGTATATAACTAGAATTATAAAACAAGAAGATAAACGAAGGAAGAGAAAGAAACGACGATTTCCCATGCAAGAGAAAAACATGAAGCGCCACCAATGCAAATCCCCCAAACGAAGGAATACCGTGCCATGCAAAACAAAAGCCCCTTGTAAATGCGCGCAAATCTAAAATGCCATTTTCCTATATAAGAAATGCCTTCGCGGCACATAACAATCCAGCACCGTAAGAAAAGCAAGTGCAATTTTTCCTAGCGCCTTGCCAACCAGAAGCCCATGCATGCAGTGATCAAACGACAGACCTAAAAGGAGAAAACGGGTAGAAAGGAAGGCTGTTGAACTTAGTACCATGTCGGCGCGGCAGGCCAGTGCCGCAGCATATTCTCGACCGCCTGGGTCCATTCGTACTCGAAGCACTGCGCCAGTTGGTCTGCTTCTTCCTGCGTGGGATCGCGGCCTCCCCACATCTCTCTGCGCCAGGCGTCCGCTTGCGCATACGCGGGGATTAAGCCGCTGTTCGAACGGGGTGAGCAACTAACTACCACGGGGTCCGAAGACGTGCGCAAAAAGGGATGGGGGGGTGGGGGGGGGTGAGGCGTTGAGGGCGTTCTGGGGATGGGACTTACTCGTCGCGGATCTTCACCAGGCACAGCCATGCCAGGTTCCAGCTACGGTTTGAGTTGGGGTCGTTTCGGACGAGGTGATGCGCCTGGTCAACCAGGTCTCCCGAGATGGGATAGTTGCGCGTCAAGCCTCTTAGCTCCGTCAGGAACTGGTTGCTGTTCACATAGTAGTCCCATGCGGAGGTCATCGGGGCCTGGAAAGCTTGCGCGTCTTCCTCGTTTTCGCAGCTAGCAGCAACTCGTTCGATGCGGCAGAGCTCAGTGAGCGTGTTAACTCGGTGAGTGCGCAGTGACTCGATGAGCTGCTGGTGGGATGACTATCATGCTCTAGGTTAGCTAATATAAACTATAAACTCCTAGGTTAACTAGTGTTGAGGCTTGTGAGTCATGAGTAGAGTATCGAGGATGGATGGATGGTGTTGAGTAGTAGGAGGAATTTACGAAGTAAAAACCGTCACGCACTTGTCTTCCCTTGCTACCGCGGGAACCTCTCTGGCCACTTCCACTTGATCGTGATGAAGACATTGCGAATAGCCCCACAGTGTGCTCTGGTGTCCTTTGAGTATCGTTGGTGACGGAATTGCTCCCAAATGGTGCGTTTGATATTCGTCGTTGGTGAAACGTCTTGAATATTTGGCTTCTGGTAACTAAATTTGCTAGAAATCGATCGCTTTCGGAGCTAGATGTTTTTCTAAATCTTTGATGAAGTTTCGTATGAGGGACGAGTTTGACTTGTGTCTTGTTAGCTGGGGGGAGGTTGTCGATGTTTATATCCTCGAGTTGAATGCCTCGAGAGCCTCTCTCGCTAGTATGAACATAGAGCATGACTTGACAAGTAAACAGTGAATTAATTGAAGCTACTAAAGTCACCCGAGAGGGTGAATACATGTTAGCAAACGGGCTGAGTCCTGATGGTAATCTAGAGTAATCTAATCATAGGCACAGGCCCTCTTCACAGTATGATATTGGGAAACTATATTGAGAAAACAAATGGTTGGTATAGTGACAGAACCGTGGGATTGCGCCGGCAATTGCCCACAATCAGTGACGAAAGTCATGGGAGGTCTTAGAGAAACACCCTACTCGTGATTATTGTTCAGCCATGAAGCTATCAAAGCATACCGATTCTTATCGAAAGCTATGCCCTATCATAAGGCTCGCCAATAGCAGCGCCTCGGGCTAGGGTAGAATTAAAGTAAGTGACTAGTCAGACTCAACTTTCAACTTGAGCCAGACAGGACGTTCTCCGACCTCACCTCACCCGCACATGCGGGCTGATGCTGACGTCGCTACCCGTCATACTAGGCGTTCGCATCACTATCCCATTGCTGAAATAGCTATTACTTAGTACGGTATAGAAATAGACAACAAAGGTTAGAGTTGAACATGCAAGTAGCTCTTGTCGGCGAAGACGTTAGAGCCGCATCCTGATTGGATAACCGTAGATATAAGAGACCCGTAGAAATACTAAACTATTGCCTTAAGAGAGACCCAAGAGAAAGCAGAGGTGACGAGAAAGGAAGCTATTGTTCCATTCCGGATGGTCATGTCGTTCCTAAAAAGAACACCTGCTATTAACTTCCAATGGGATTTGAGGGGTGTATTCCGTATTCCGTCGTCAACTTACCCATGACAAGGTTAGAAACCGTGCGAACCCAGAGATCGGCCGTTCCGTGGTAGCGAGCTGCCGCTCCCTGTCAGTGAGAATTTAGCGGCTTAAGGCTGTGAATCTAGGCTGGATTTGGAATCATCGTAACTCGATTTGCAATTTAGAGGCTGATTTACTCGAAAGACACCCTTGCCGGACGATTAGTTAGTTTATATAGTTCTCGAAGCTATCTTGAGATACCAAGATACGAAATCGAAGCTAAGGTTAGAAATAACGTCGAAATAACCTAGTCCAGCTGGGTCAAGCACAAGGTCCTGTGCCGATAATAAATATAATATATCCTCTACCAGCATAACATCCCAGTCAAGTAGCGTCTTCGTACATATAATACGCGGATAGGGTGCCGCTGGATGGCAGAACCCCAGCATGTGTATCTATCCGGACGTTTTTGCTCTCTCTGTGGGAAGTCCATGCATTGTGCATTGTGCATTTACCTACAGCAACGATGAGCGAGGAGGCTGAAATAAGGCCGGCCAATAGCGTTGCTGTCTTGTAAGTTCTGAGATATAATTGGAACGCTTTGTCATGGCTGGAACAAGAGTACATAGAGAGCTTTTGGGTGTTGGTCTGTGCTCGGGCGTGATCTTAACCCCCCCTGGTCACCCGAGAACTCAGAACTTCTAGAAGGTGGGCTACGATCTTTGAAGGAGGTGAGCCTATCTGAGGAAGGTCATCATCCGTGGCCTCATAAGCGGAGAATTCCGTATACAGTCAGGACCTGTTCACTTATACTATCTGGCCTGTGAGCCGTGAGGCTGCTGACGCGGGATTAGACAAGTTCGTCAACGCCCCGGAAAGATTGTCCGGTACGGACTGATGACGATGAGGCGATGAGATTGGGAAACGGTTATGTATTTTCTAGCACACGGGGAAATGCAACGACTGGATTTATTATTGGATCTGTCTTAGACAAATGGCCAATACTCTGCGTGAAAAGCTAGGGTTGGAATACTTGGCACGTCAAACCAAAGTCCTGGATCAGAAGGTAGAAAATGTATCCTTTCCGGCGGGGTTGAAAAATATACCAATAAGAATTCGACGTTCGGTTGAGCTGAGCTGGACACTTAGCGGGTAAGGCTAGGGCAGTGCATATAAATGAAGAGAACTCTGCTGCCATTGGCTGAGTAGACGCGAATTTTACTATTCTCGGACAAGGACACCCTTGCATTATCATTATCAAGAGTGGGGGGACTTCTAGAAGCAAACTTTAGAAGCAAATGGTACGTACCGATATACCTAAAAATAATTGGAAGCGCGGGAGAAGCAAATTCGCATTGGAAATTCCGGGGTTCGTCTTCTCGTCATCACGGCGTCGCATCGTCACATGCATGCAATGCTTAAAGCTTTTTGGATTACATTTTAGGGAACCCATGGCCGTGGATGAAGCCATCTTCGAATCGGCCCGCGGAAAAGAATAAATATCGAAATTTGAATATCGCATGACCCAGAATACCTACATGCAAGTTCGATTGTCTCATCGGATTTACAGTGATAGAGCCGACACGGACCGTATAAGACTCGAACATATACAGTACCCATATGCATTACCTACTTGAGTCCGTGTGTAAATACCGGCGGGGGAGGAGCCGCTACTTACATACTACATAATAACCCTTGTAGTCAAAGAGCCTCTTGCATATATAACTCACATATATAACTCAGTACAATAATACCCGTCTCTCTCGGCCGGTTCAAGCTGACTACGAAGAGGCTTTCGTGGCTCCGATATTTGACTTCTTGGGTCGCCCGCTTTTATGATCCTTGGCAATACATGATGATGGTGAGGTCGGCGAATCGACTTACTCCTCATGACGTTCGGGTAATTCAACATATTAGCGAATAGGCTCACCCCGGTCTGTGTCTCTTGAGGCTCGTAGCACCTTGACCTGGTACCTATCCTTCATAAGATATCGCTTCGCTTAAGATATTTCTGATAGAAATAAACATCCAGTCTGGGGATATCGAAGGGGGCATACTAATCGATTGATTTGCATAAGGTAAGTTCTAAATTTGGTCCCATCAGAGACTAGTTTCTTCCCATTTCATGCTCTAGCATGTAGATCTATCCATCATTATCATTATCATCAAACTTCCTATTTATCACCAATTGCGTCCAGTTCGGTGGCTCAAAACTTAGACGCGCGGCATGACCTCCTAATCCTATTACCGGAGTAGGCCGAGGTGAAGCGACGTGAACGCCAATACCGATCGCCACAAAAGGGCATATCCTCTCTTGTATCATATAAACCTTTTGCTCGGTGAGTAGGTGAGCTCAAGGACGTCCAATCCGCAAATTCAATGCATTACTGCTAAAAATTAATCAAGTCTTCCCCCATTATTGGTACTGTTGCGTGGCGGTGTAGCTCCCTCTTATCGCCGCGAAGATCATATAAAATGGGCGTGAGGATAGAAGCTAGTCGTTACACCTTTATAATAGCTTCCCGGTTCAGCACCTTCAACAAACCCACGTAAGCAAACGCCATCGACGTTCCTATATTATATATCAGAATAGCATCATACGTCGCTATTGTCTTGGTTTTGGTTTTGGCGTTCGTCAACATTAGCCTCCTCTTCGTATCCATCGTCCGTACTCTCAAGACCTTCGCCATGAATGGCGTAACTTCCCAGCCATCCAGCAAGTGCTATCCCTGCGAATAAGCCCCAAGCAAGAGCCTCGCCCTTCGGCTGAACATGAGTTGAGACAGTATAGAGCCCACCGGAAAGGAAAGGGCCGACGCTTCTGCCGGCAGCCGAGAGACTCTGCGCGATGCCATTGAGTGTACCTAGGCTTGCGTGGGTTGGCGCTGAATTCGTTATCTGAATATGCGTTAGCTTTGCCTTGATGTAGACTCTTCTTACTTGGAGCAACTTACCAGTAACATAACGCTCGATAGACCACCAACAGCGCAGATATTCTTAATAATCAATATCACGCCAATTTCTAGGTACACCCATGTTTTGCTATCGCCAACTCCAAACGGCGGATCGGAATCCACGTAACCGACAAACGGCATCAATGCCATCGTCACCGCGAAACCGAGTAGCGAGCCTCGATAGGACCGAACATTTCCTAGGCGCGACTTTAATGGCCTAAAAAGGAATAATTGAAATAGGATGGTGAATGCTCCCGCGACAGAGAGGGATACACCGATAAAATCCGCGTGCAGGTCCCTGCCCGTGGGCGTCTGTCCGGACGCAAATATAGGATACAGACTATTGAAAGAGCTATTTGATAGCTGGAAGACCAAATGTGTGGTGAGAAGGACTATAGTCGTTCGATTTAAGAGTTGCCGCCACGTTGTTGTATCTTGCGATAATTTCGGGTCGTCGCCGCTCTGTTCGTCCCCGTGAGGTTCTAGCAAAGTAGTCTCTTCCCCCACATCCTCCTCATCAGCCTCTCTCTGATCGTTGTCGGCGGCTCTACCTTCGGGAGAAGCTAATGAACGCTTAGATCCATTATGGACTCGCTCGTTAGAACCAGAGAACCAGGGAAGTCTCTCCATCCAGTCCGGAATATCCCTCGGGTCCTCCAAGGTTTCGTCAAACCAGATACCTAGAACAACCACGGTGAGCGCCAGAAGCGAAGCTCCTAGTATATTCGGAGCTAAGAACGGGTAACTATCTTTTGCAAACCTGCCCGCTAGCAGTCCACCAAGCGCTGGGCCAGTAATACTTCCTAGGCTGTAGACAACGGGTAACCAAGTGAAAGCCTTGCTCTGGTTGCTTCGGTCGGTCAATTCTCCCAGGCAGGTGGGCACTACAGCCGCATTGCCATTGAACAATCCCATAGCTACGTGTACTAGAACGATATGAAAATACCGAGTACAAAATCCGAAAGCTGCAAAACAAAAGCACAAGAGTAAAGTACCGAGTAGCATGACGGGTTTTCGACCAATAATATCCGATAAGTATCCCCATAGTAGATTAGTTGCTAGCTGAGCTAGCGCAAACGCGGAAGCCAGCAGACCGACGTATAAACCGACTTGATCATGACCTATTCCAGGAAATGACTCGATCATTTCTGGTAGATAGGGCGATATGGAGTTAAGTGCTGTCTGCTCGGATAATGATAAAAGGGCCAAGAGAGCCAACTGCTTGACAGGCAAAGGTGTTGTCGCGCCATGGTTATCATGAGCGTGCGAGTCGGATGAGCTTGAACCAGTATCCGGTCTCCGGCCGGCCGTCCTCGGCGGCGGCGTTGGAAATGTCTGGTAATGATGCTGAGATGACAGACGGCGAAGTGTCGAGGATAACCTGTTTGTTGGAAGAGAGGGTAGGGGAGAGCCGGCACGAAAACTTCCTATAGAAGTTGATCTTGCTTGCGGTCTACCTGGACGGCCGGCCGGCGTTGTAGTCGCAATAGTTGCGGCGCGTACCATCTTATTTCTCTTTCTTTTTTTCAATGGTAAATCCGAGCTCGCAACTTCAACTCAAATATTCAAAAGCCCGTTCATGATATAAGCTTACTTAACTGGTTACCGAGCAACTATTGTTGATCATGAATGAATTTGTTTAATACGCGTAGAGTAGGCAAGCGTAAAAGAAAACGCCCCCGTACTCTAATAAGGATAGATGTAAGGGAAGAAATGCTGATGAAGAAAAACGGCCGAGAAGTTGATGCGATTGGGGAATTCGGAGATACGACCCAATGATGTAAAAGGTTCATTCATCATTCCATTTTCCCCTTGGTTTTCTGGGCAGATGCTATCGATAACATGTAACAGGGCATACGCCAGAAGTGGTTGGGAAGTAACTATATCTGTGCGCTACTGCTTTGTAAGTGTATCACCGAAAGCTACCCCACGTAGCTGCCCACATCTTTAGACCAGGCTAGTGCTAGTGTTACCGCATGGGTCTTGCAGCAGACTATTAGTCATGTTAACGATTAAAAGGTGTCGCGAATAGGTTGATAAAGCATATAAACATTGAATATTTAAGTACGAATCTATTACATAATCTAGTGATATACTTGATAGGTACTCGGAGTATACGCATCCTGTAAGTTTATCTGTTTGGAAATAACATATTCATTATTTGACTGCCGCTTCAGCTTAACTTTATGTAAGTATTAGGTAACTACCTAAACCAATCCAGTGGGGGCTACATGCAAATATGTATTGTAATGCGGGGTGCAAAGTCTTAGAGTGCTAACTTGCATGTAGATATCTTCCGCCAGTACATAGCAGAGGTATCTGCTGTATAACTCCAAAACGGATTTAGCCTGTGTCATTCACTTTCATATACATAATGCATGGCTTGAAATGTTCAACTTATGTCTTATATTCTACTTAATTGGTAACCTATAAGAAACGAGCTTTTATAATAAGACAATAAGAGTCATTTATGCATGTGCCTTGTATAAGCTTATCTCTTAACTACTGCTTTCCTTGTAGTTTACCTTCTAAGAAAACGTATGACACATGCAGCAACACATCCATTCGGCGTGTAACCAGCTCGGACATCGCCTCGGAGAAAGAAACATCCCCGTGTTAATTCATATACTAGGTTAATATAGTTATATCTACCTACTTCGTGCTGCCGATGTACTTGCGCGAACCCATTCTCCACAGCCCATGCATGCGTAGCCATTCTAGATCCAGTACCATAACGAGAGTTTTGAGTCTCACCAATACATTGTTAAAGTCAATATATGTAGTTCTGTGACGTCTTGTATCGTTTCTCATTTAGCAAAAAAGGGGTGTTTGTACTTTAGTAGCTGAGGGGTTTCTTGTATGTCTGTGTTACCAGAAACCCCAAGACCCACCGGCTAGAATCATTTGATAAACTCTGTTGTGAAACGTTTATGGAAAGAGCGAAGTCATTAAAAATTCTGAGGGGTGTTAATGCCGAAAGCTCTCTCCAAAATCCGCCAGGTCGGAAACTTCAAGTTGCAAATACACCTGAAGGAGTCCCAGGCAAAAAGGGTTACCCGGATGGGTAGCTCATTTAATCCTTCTTCCAGTTAAGTAAGTTGGACAACGTTGCTGACAACCGTCTCTTCTCCTTAGGGGCTCCGACTGGAATCTCCTTTGGATCGAAATCCGGTCCGGTGCCTTGAAGATGCGATACCGCATTCTGCTGCGACGTACTGTCGGTCCGAAGACTCGTACTACTGCAACAAGTACTTGATTGGTGAGTCCCGTTTTGTGCTGTGTCGTTGACTTTATCGCAACATGGCACCAGTACGCTACTCTCGTTTCTATTGCTCGGAATATCCAAGGCCGGGTTTCTAGTGAAGAAGTCGGCCGGACGGAGATGGAACTGGTGGATTTCCACGGGCCTATTTATCCCAATCCAAACTTGTTAGTCATGCTTAAAATAAGAAGAGGTGGTAAGGGGCTCGTGCTTACATCACGGGCCAATCCTCAACTCGTGGATTGTGTGTAAGGCCGAAGACGCTCCAAACTACAGGACTACTCTTCTTTCCCTTCTTCTCTTCGGCCGTATCATCATTATCATCATCATGGGCCTCCCCACCATCATCAACGAACCAATCTCCCCTCTCGACCATCGTCTTCACGCCACCTTCCTCCCGCGGCGCCTGGTTCGTGAACTCGCCAGCAGCCCATAGTTCACCGTCTCTATATCCGGTAAACCAAAGGTGGTGTTTTGCGAAAGGTGCTCTTGCGGCTTGAACGCTCCTATCGTCTGCAAGCATGAGCTGCGTAGCACTGGGGACTAGCTTATAGCCAACATTCTTGCCACTGATACTGTTCTTTTTAGTTGCGTGCTCTAGGCGCACGACTCGATTCAGTTGGGGCTCGGCATCTGCAAACCCGGCGCGCTCGACACGCTTCCGTCGAATCTCGTATGCGTTACCGTGAGGATTCGTCTCCGGGTTCATTGGTATGGGATGGCTTTCTTCGAGGACTACAGCTGTATCGCCGGTGACATACGAGTCGATAGCTGGGTCGATACGTACGGCGAAGATGTGCTGGTGATTTTGTGCCATTACTCCTGGATTGACAATGTTGCCGTATCCTGATACCTTACCCTCGTCAATGGGTACGACGCTTACGATACCCGTGGCCCGCGTTTCGATTGAGATACCACCTGCCGTATCTAACTTGTATGCAAACACGTACTCGTAATTCGCTAGCGTAGCGACGAATTGCACGACTAACTCACGTAGGCGTGTCACCACTGCCCGATTTGTCCGGAAGTTAGTGTGCTTCCAACCGATGCCGTTGTCTTGCTCATGTAGACAAATTACATTACTCGCCAGATCAGGCTTACCCTCCGTGTTGGGCACCACGCAGTCAAAGTAATGTATTGCACCTAGACAGTCGCATCCTAGTTTCAGATTGTTGGCCGCGCGCCCGATTCCACCGTCTCCGAAATCAAAGGCTTGCTTGCGTTGGAAGGGTGGGCGCGGGTCACCGTACGGAACGGTCATCTCGGAGAAAGATAGCCGGTATAATATGGGCCGGTTGTCATAGCACACATCATGGAGTACAGCACCCTCACGGGCCGTGAAGCCAACGCGGAAACGCCATTTTTGCCACTCGACAAGATTGTCGGCGTGGACTTTGAAAGATGCACCCTCTGGCTGGATAACATTGATGGGTTTTAGATCGGTGCGAAGCGGCTGATCCAGCAGCTCCGGGAAGTATTCCGCGGAGCTGCAGTTTTCGAACAGCTTCTTCGGCTCACCTCCCGGAGGGGGTGGATACAGTCCGTCGCCAATCCCTCCGGTAGCGAGGCGGTCCACTCTTATTAACTTCTTGGTGGCTACATCCATGATAGGGATTATAGGTAAGGGGTAAGAGTAGTGATTGGAATCAATATTGTTCTTAGAAGCATCACGGGCGTACACGAGGCCTTGCATGTAGCGAGGGATTTCTTCATCCAGGTCGGGGCCGCCGTATGGCCACGGATCTATCGTGACGACGAAGTTTTCTGGTAGGACAAACTCTTCCATGGCTGACTTAAATATCTCCGAGGATACACAAGCATCTTGAAATATGCCGAACTCATGAGCTGTGTAGCTGGTCTGATATCGTGATTCAAACTCCTTGCTACTTTGAATGACCCCGGCATCGACATCGACGACCGTCTCCGTGAGTTGAGCTTTTCCATTATTGATGACATCATATAATAGCCTGACCTGTCTCGGCGGGATGGTATCGGGTATCCGACCTTCATGTTCCGCAATGAGGAACTTAGTCAGATCTGTCTTCTTGGGCTCATCGACTATGGCAGAACGAAAAAACAAAGCAATCCCATCTCCCGCATGTGCTTTAATCAAAACATCTCGAGCTTTTGATAGCTCATCAGGTGAGAGTGGTCGTAGAGGGTGAGGCATCTTCGGTCCTTGGTCGACAGCCATATTGCTAATAATCAATTTGCTTTTTGGTTCTTTGTTCTAAAGATTCAACGCTATAAAATTGAGTAGGTAAGACTAGGTAATGTGGAAACAATGACTCGGTAGGACAAAACAGCAATTGCCTCTCTGATACGTGGTAAAGTATATGATTTAAGTTAACTGAATATACCTAGGTAAACTTAATGGACCCTAGCTCAACACTCGGTCCAATTTATATACCTTACTCACCCAGATACCCAAAAGATCGGGGAGGCCTCTGGCACGAATAGGTGAAGAAGTGATTGGGTAACGCGGGATACCCTAGATACAGTTAGTCTAAGGGAAACATGCACGTACATACCAGCATACGTGATCTTCGTCGGCCTCGGTACCAGAGCGAGCAAGCACTGTATTAGATCAGAAGACCGCCACCGGGTCCGGTTCGGTGCAGCAACTGTGCAGCGGTGCGGGCTGGTGTGGGGTATTATAAGGTATATTGGGGGCAGGGGGGTATTAGGGATAGAATTGGTAGATATTCGTTCTTTATTCGGCCCCATACGTACATCATCCATGTCACCTAGGTATTTGTACCAAGACCTTACTTACAGCTTACAGGCGGCTACAGGTTCAAAGTGGGGTCGAAAGCCCTTCTCCTCGTCCAGTCTTGCCCTGTTTTCGTGTGACGCCCTCCGATATAGCTTATCATTGTGGCATCTATAAGCGTCAGAGGGAAGCTTGATCAGGCAAGTCCTTGCGAACCCTTTATTTTCCCGATTTGTTTGACTGCCGGCATCCGCCTGGATGGGTTGACGGCGTCGTCCGAGTGAAGCGTCAAATATTCACCAAGCGCCCGGCTAGTATTGATTTTCTATTAATATAAACGTCCTCTAGATACTAACCTAGCAGACTGCGCATCGCACACATGGCGAGATATATCTGCACCGGAGATCAAACGCGGAACGTAACCTGCCCCCTAGTAGTTTGAAGACTACTTAATTAGGTATTTATACGCTACGATGACGGTCTATGGTCTACTACGGCAGGCCTCCCACGCGCTCCCACCTACATCCGTCATATCACCAGGGCCGTAGTGGAGGGGACGTATCGCAGATTTGACAGCCGAATCCGCCCGATTCAGGCTTAACATCTGGGAAATCCCGGGTAGGCTTACCAATGATCGACCCCTAATGCATTCAATGCATTCAAACCCCGGCTTATCACAAGCTCTTCAGCCGCATGTGCGTGTGCGTGTGCGACCCTCCTAGCATCCAGGAACACAAGAGAGGCCCGAGGGATAGGTCCATGTATGATATATCACTCACTGCCGCGTCCCGGTTACTTGCCAACCGGTCGGTGCAAGTCAATTCTCTCATAAGACTTCTCACGAGAATTCCTGTCGAAATGAGGGCATATACCTCATCATGACGTTCAACATTCAACATTATCGAGCCATTAAACCCACTAGTGAGTAAAGATTAACTTATCCCGTTGATATTTATTATTAGGATGAATAACTAGGCGCGATCTAGATATGGTCAATGTGAGAGCTTGTCGCGGCAACTTGAATTATTAGGTGGCTTCATGACACAATAGCTTACATACCTAAGGTAGGCTATCCAACCGGTGTGCAAGGTGACAACGATACCGGACACACTCGAGGTATACGAAAACCTGGCGTTCCTATACGGTAGGACAGCCCCCATGTTATTCGCTTCTGGATTTGGCGGTAGACCACATTGTGGAGCATACATGGCTTATCTCTAACAGCATTTGGGTCAAAGGATTGACCGGAGAAGCAATATTCAAAGCTGCAGGTACCGCGACGGTATCTCCTACATTTTGGATATTCGGTTCACCATCTTCGGCAGTTTTTGGATGTTTTGTTTGGGTCTTAAAAGCCTCTCTATAGGTAGGACCCAAAATCAGCGCACCGTTGGTATTTGACTGTTCTACCTGTCCTTGGTGGGCAGAAGAATAGAAGAATATCCGTGAGTGATACAAGGTGTACAAGGACTAAACAACTCAGGGACGTTACTTCACGGCAGAATGCATTGCTGCAATACCCAATTCATGCATATGTACCTGTCCCTCACCTCATCCTTCGTTTGAGATATTGAACAAAAATGTGCCTTACGCTTCCGGTGCTCCTATATAGGACCTCCGTAAGAGTGGGCTTAAGCTAACAATGTAGCTAAATGGGAGTACGACGACTATGGATCGAATAATGGTAAAATGAATAAATTTCGATCCAGATTAATCTCAATGGATTATGTATATATAGGGTATCTTCCCACGCAATCATATGTTCCCAAAAACGACCATGTGCTCCCACTCCGTCCACGCTTACTCGGCTTTTTCGCCTGTTTCCGTCTTAACAGAATCCTTCACGTTCGGCGGCGTCTCGGTACCCGATTCCGCTTTCCCGTCAATGGTGGTTGCTTCATTTTCCGCGCGGATAGCCTTGACATGTTTCTTGCCCGACAGGTCGAGCGCAATTGCTTTGAAGGTCCTCGCTAGGGTTTGCCGTCCCTCGAAAACAGGGAATAGTCCCACGGCGCCGAGAGAGCAGAAAATCCAGATGATGCCCACGGTGACCCAGCCTGTAAAAAATGGCTTCGAAAACACATAACTGCTACCGTACATAGGGAACGGCCAGAGTACCAAGAACGCGAGCGTTAGTCCGACCGTTGTCCACTTGGAAATCTTGCTGGCGCGCGATAGCTTCATCTGCTCCTCGACTAATTCGTTCGTCGTCTCGACGTGCCCCGCCGCTGTCTGTTCTAGGTCAACGCCCGCCGCAGTAGCAAGTTCGTGGTCATCACCCCGGCGAATGGCCATCATTGACTTCCAGTCGTAGTTATCCATTCCAAAAATGAGAGTGAAAATGGGAATAAGCACCAACGGCGAAAGAAGCGCAACAACGTTCCCAGCAAGCATAGGGTTATTAGATCCCGTACATGTAACATCTAAGGCACCGCACTCCTTTCGAGCCGTGACAAGCCATGCGATCAAAGCAAATGCGAGACCGAAGATTGGCGATAGCGCCGCGGCCCATTTGTTTTGTCCTTTCCATACGAGGGTTAATGTAGCGGGTATCACCGCGGACGAGATGATGCAGCCCATCATAAGGTAGAGGTAACCCATGGAAATGCCAGCGTAGTAGAGCCCAACGGAAAACGTCGAGATAAAAAGCGCATATATCACAACGATGACATGAGACATGTAGATGAGGCGTCTCCCGCTGGCGTCTGGTTTAAAATAGGTACGGTAAAGATCATAAGTGAAAATAGAGGAGACAGCGATCAGCTCGGATGATGTAGCTGATGTGACAGCCATGAATATAATGAGAAGCGTACCGACCGCACCGCCTTTACCTAGAAGAGCGACGGCAGCATACGGGAGCACGAGCCCGGCAGAGACGTCGGCTTCTGACATACGGTTAGGATATGTCGGAAATGCCGGTGTATCTTCTAGAGCTAGAGCAGAGAGGCCCATGGTGGTAGCGGTTAGCCACGGAATCGCAAACCAGCTAAGACCACCAATGATATAACCAGGGAGAGCATGGACAGGCGAAGCAGCAATGGCTTTGTTGTAGTATCCGTTATCGAGGAACACAGTACCGAAGTTCCCTACGATGTTGATAACGAAGAAGATAGCTCCTTCTTTGGAGCGCATAGTCAAATAGCTTCCCTGAGCGTTGCCTTCAACTGGATGGTTAAGGGCAGCTTCGACCAGAAGGTCGTAGACAGCCGACGGGGAACCAAGTCTGTCGGAGGAAGCGTAGGCCGTCAAGGAGAATATGATGATAATGATCAGCAGGATGAAGGTATGAATCCAATCCGTTAGAATCGTTGCCTTTAACCCGCCAACCAGGGTATATGCTATGACACCAACAGGAAGAAGATATATAGCTGCGATAGTGTGCATTCCCGTAAGAGCGTTCACCGTAGCCGAGCCACCGACAACCAGCATAAGACTGACGAGGATATTGGTCACGAGGCCGAAAACCATAAAGACGATATGGGGAATTGTTCCGTAGCGAGCCTTGATTCTTTATCGGTCGTAAGCGTCACGTATATCTAATAACAACCGGTAGTTATTAAGAACTTACACTTCGAGGAATGTATGCGCATTGGGTGCGCGTCGCTTCAACTCGATGGCCAATGTCGCGAACAGTAGAATCTGAACCGTAGCTCCCGACGCGTACCAGAACGGACCGGAGACGCCATATCTATAGCAGACGCCGGAGCTCTGTAGAAGCGTAGCCGCCCAAGTCCACGAGGACACGACGGCGGACCCGACCAATCCACTCTTTACCGTGCGGCCGGCGGTGGTGAACATTTCGGACGTTTGGAGCTCTGAGTTGTACCTCTTGAGGATGAATGTGACTAGGATCTACATATCGCGATTAGTACCTAAGGTACGCATGTCTTTCCGAGAGTCCAGGACAATATCCAATATCCTCATGCGGATCAAGCTGGCGGGGATTAGAGAAACATGTATAAGGTATAAGTCACTGCTTACCATTCCAAGGGCAAATCCAAAGCCCAGACCCAAGACGATTCCATAGCCGACGCCCTGGTCTAAAGGCGCGCCGACCGTTGTGGCTGCCATGTTTCCTTCTGCTGAGACTGAGATGAAGATGGCAAGGCAGGACCAAGATCAAGAGCTCACCAACGGTATCGGTAAACAAAATCACATTTAAACGGGATGTGCCAGGGAGGAGGCTAGTAAGGTTTTAAATATCTTTAAATGTACAATATGTATTTTGCTTATCAGTGGCCTACCTAGCTCCGCGCTCGAGGCTCTCCATGTAGGTAGAGTTAGACCCCGGATTGGCGTCCTGATATGGCACCCTACCAGCCTACCACAGTATGTGATGGAACAAACCCCCGCATACAGGGTCTCGCCTGGGCTGCTGGGAATACACAAAGGAGGGATACCGGCCAATGTCTCACCGGATAGGAGCCGTAGCTGATAAACGAGCCTATCACGTCCCAGACCAGACGGCTGGTAGTGGCCATATCTACCGAAGAGGGATGGGATACATCGCAGCTCTTGCAACTGTAGCTTCTTACCACGTCGCAATTCAAGGTTTAAAGCTTGCGTAAATTATTCGACATCTTGAGATCTTAGATATCGGTGTTTGATAAGGTTGGCCAATCCGTCGAGGGAAGCTTCTTGTGACTTACACGATAACTGTCTAGGTACAATACCTCTAAGCAATACCGACACCAAGCCATGACCACGGCCACGTCCAGGACATGCACGTTGTTGATGATAAGCACCGCAAATAGAATCGCAATGTCAGATCCAGGACAAAACGAAACTAGGTACCTAGGGTCGCGATCAAACGAGGTTGCGAATCTGTGACCCCCATGAACGTGTAAGCGGAAACTTATCAGGAGCCATTGGCCAATCGTAGAGTCGAAAGGGTTAGGTTCGCTGATAAGAATTGCGATCCTTTTGGCAAAGAAATTATAAAGCCGCCTTATGTAAGTGCCGCTGGTGTCGATACGCAGCAAAATCGTCCGATTGGTTGGTTTATATCTTAGTTGGGGAAGATCTTGATTGAAAGCCGGGGAGAAAGAGGATTGGTTGCGAGCTTATCGATCAAGTTACGTCACGAATCCAGTCAAGACTTGATGTGGTGGTCTGTGCGCACACAACTAGAAATATATTGGCTATTTCCTCATGTATTTGCATCGGTCGCGTGGTGTAGTTGGTTATCACGTCAGTCTAACACACTGAAGGTCTCCAGTTCGAACCTGGACGCGATCATTTCTTTTGCTTTTTGATCTTTCACTATCTGGTTCTTCCTTGCCTCCTTTTTATTATTCGTGTACATACTCGTTATCAAGCCTGAATATTTTCGAACCCGTTCATCTCCGGACTTAGAACCTTTGCTGATGGTGTCTGACTTATCTTATGTAGAGTGAAGTTTTGTTGTTAAACTTTCGACGAGAATATGCTTCGTTCATCATCATTTGGTTGATAGAAAAATCTCTAATTAGTATAAACTACTCTATCTTCTCTATAGCACCTGTAAATGGTTTATAAATTTGTCCGTTTATCTCACCTCCTGAGCCCGCTTGTATTTGGTGACATCAACCCTCCAGTTCTATAAATGTATCCTCTACAACCCTGGTGATTCGATCCACGATCTCATCGATATCTGTCTGGGAAACAATATACGGAGGACAAATCAAAAAGTGATCCCCTGCATACCCATCATAGGCACCATTGGCGTCGAACAAGGCGATCTCATACCCTTTCTTCATACCGCGAGTATGTATCAGGTTACTTACTTTCAGACCGGGTGGGAACGGCTCCTTTGTCTCCTTGTTAGCCACCAATTCCACTGCCCAGAATAGACCTCTACCACGAACATCTCCCACGTATGGATGCGGCAATAGCCTTTCCTGAAGCTTTCGCCCTAGGTAAGCTCCCATTTTTCGAACATGGGGTATTAAATTCCCCCTCTGGATTATTTGCTGAACTTTCAATGCAGCGGCTGCTGCCAAGGGGTGGGTCATATATGTCTGCCCATGAGCGAACGGCTTGCCAGACTTTTTCAGCGAATCTACAAGCCGCGAATTGACAAGCACAGCTGATATAGGGCAGTATCCTGCCCCAAGCCCCTTTCCAACAGCTTGCAGGTCTGGCACGATGCCTTCCTGCTCCCACGCATGGACGGTTCCTGTGCGTCCCATGCCACACATGACTTCGTCTAGGATCAGAAGCGCACCATACTTGCGACAAACGGCACGTACGGCCTCAAAATAGCCAGGCAGAGGCAATGCACAACCAGTTGCCTTATATAATTATCAGCCTAGACAGTTTAATCCTAAACAAAGGACAGGCACTTACACTTCCGCCAACAGTCTCGGCAACGAAGGCACAGACCTTGTGCGGACCAACTCTCTGGAACTCGCTATCCAACTCTAGGGCCAGACGCTGAACGTATTCCTGTTCTGACTCTCCTACACGTAGGCCGCGATATGTGCTGCACGCTGACACGCGGGACACTGTTTGGGGGATCATAGAGATAAAGGGGTCCTTTCTGCATCTAAAATCACCTAGAGCCAAGGCCCCCAAGGTAGCGCCATGCCAAGCACCAGTCCTTGAAATGAAATGGCATCTCTCAGGTTGCGGATTGGGAAGATGCATGAAATATGTCTTGGCTAATTTAAGTGCCACTTCCACTGCTTCTGAACCTGCGGCATCTAACAGTTAGCGAGATATACTCTTTTCCCTACTGCTAGGTATCTTGTTTATTACCTGAGCCACATAATACAGCCTTTGACATTACGCCATTAGTGGAGTGGACGAGATATTCAGCAAGATCCTCAGCAACTTCTGTCTTATAGAAACTTGGATGGCAGTAAGGGAGTTTCAGCAGCTGGTGCATCATGGCCTCTTGAATCTCTTGGTTACCGTAGCCCAGGCAAGCAACGGCAGCACCACTGGTCGAGTCAAGAATCCGCCGGCCATCTTCGGTGTGGAGGAATATTCCAGTGCCAGAGCTGACAACCGCAGCCGGATGGCATTCGAAATTCTTGTACAGGAGACTGTCTCTTTGACCTTGCGAGCCCATCTTAAGTGTCTGAATACCGGCGTCGTAGTTGAATAGTTGAATCGATATACTAGACAACTGAATAAGGATATCATGTTAGAATTTATAGTATTATCTTGAATACAATCAAGTCCCCGTTCCTGTGATAGCACGATCTAGAAAACATTAAGTCTGATAAAGATCTGATACATTCCAGTGAAACTATAGTCACATTGTATTACCTTCAGCGACGGATATGCACTGCTTTGCCCCGGATACGAGCTCAAGAGCTGAAATGTCTCAATATATGACCCCCTAGTAGCAATATACGCAATGATATTGAAAGCCTTCTACGGTGATCCGTCAGTACACCGAATATATGAAGAAAAGCATAAACCCGTACTAGCCATATACCAATTATCTTATTCATGTACGAACGCTTCGTGTAAATGGGTCATTTTTCTTAGGTATTTGGTCCAGCCAGCCTCTGTAATATATCCAGCTCGAACTTTTACTCAATCCGGTCTCTTTCCCAATTTGGTTTCTTCCTCCGATTGGTTTCGCGCAGACTAGGGCATTTTTTTCTTGAAAGTGGCAAGCTCGTCGGAATCCGTTCTCTTAAGGTGACGTAGAGGTATGCAATAAAAACGCCCAAGCAGACCTACCTACATACAAACAAACTTTCTTTTTCGCGGAATCCTGTCTGGCACGATAACCCTCGTAGCTCGGATACTGTCTTTCTGACCGGCGTCTGGTCGGACGCTTACATCCGATGGGCTTTGGGGTAATTCGGGATGAGTATAATGCAATTATGTTTCACTAAACGCCAGGCAATGGCTCACGGGATACTGTGCCTAATGCATGGAGAACTTCTTGGAAACTTGCATAAGTTAACGTTGGCCAGTGATGCCCTGAAGCTACTCATATAAATAACCTACCTTAGGTAGGTTAGGAGGTAGTAATATTCACATTCCCACCGTCAACTCTCCCATAACCGTATCCACGTTTCGACAAACTACTTTATCTATCATGGAGAAGCTTCACTATATCGATGCTGATGTAGTTTGCCTTCTTAGCAAGCTCAACACCTATGACTACATCATCGTCGGTAGTGGTTTTGGAGGTGGACCTATGGCCGATGATCTTGCTCGGAAAAAGAAAAGGGTTCTATTAATCGAGAGAGGTGAAGTCATTTTCTCAACTCATGTTCTCAATACTTCGCGGCCATACTTCGGTCGTGGCGCCAGTAACTCTCCGGAAGGTAATGAGACTATCTACGACAGCGTCAAAGCGAAAGTCCAATGCAGTGAAGGCTCAGAGACCTATGTCGGCGGTCCAGTGTATTGTGTCGGCGGCCGCTCTAACCTCTGGGGTATCTGGACCCCAGAGATCAGCTCACAGACCCTGGAAAAATACTTCCCTGCCGAAGTCGTCTCCTATCTCCAAGAAGGCGGCGGATACGCCAAAGCATTCAATTTCATGACTCAAAATTCACAGGAATCTGAGCCATACCCAATCGATAGCGGCCAGATGACCCAGAGTGAGATTGATGGGGTAAAATCTACTCTGCAAGCGGCTATTCCAGATGTCGACTGGGATCTCATGCCTGTCGCAGCCGAGTTCAACTCTTCCGCACCTTACAAGTTCCCCCAAGGCGCATACAGTACTACACTGGCCATAATGAACAAGATATTTGCCAAAGACCAGTATTTGACAGTCCTTCTGGACACTGAGGTCATATCGGTTGAACACTCCAAGACGGAGAATGCTCAAGATCCCACAGAGTAAGTTTTCTCCATTATAAATTCCTAGTAGGTTTTCGAGAAGAAAATTATGTAACTATCTCCCAATTTTATATTTCATACTTCATATAATTTTATTTTCCCTAATAACTAATAACTTCAACGTCGGTCAGGGAAAGAAAGGTACATTCGATTAAGTTTCGAAATGGAGCCGATACAACCATCAAGGACCTCCCTGTTGGGAATGCCAAGGTGATCATCAGCGCTGGTACGATCGGTACCGCCTCTATTGCCCTTAATAGTGGCTTCCAACTGCTTAATCCACTCGTCGGCAAAGGTATCATAGATCACGATATTTGCTACGTTCGGTTTTCCATGGAGAAAGAGGGGGAGATGAAAAAGCCACTCAACTTGAAAACCCTCATCACCATAGAAGATAGGCTCTGCCTCCTTACCGTCACCGTCAATGCCAATTTTTTCTTGGCTGGCTGCTCTGCATCCCTCCCAACCACACACTTTTACGACAGGCGTGGCAGGTTGATCGACGGCAAGGATAGACGCCTCAGAGACCAGGGAGCTTTTGATACGATTTGTATACTATTCGAATTTGTTGCCGATCTACAAGATTCCAACGAGGTTCTGAATCTTGCAAGCGTGAACCCCGTCCTCAGCATCACACGGCCACCTTTGGCCAATGCGGTAGATTCTGGCATGCTGGAATTCGTTAAAAACATTAGGGACCAATTTGTCTACGATGGGAACCCTCCAACCCCCGAACCTCCAATTCCACAGCCATCGCACATGGGTTTTGGCGTTTTTGCTCACGAGTGCGGGACAATGCGGATGGATGGGCCCCAAGGCAATGGCGGTGTCGTCGACTCCAATTTGAAAATGAAGGGATTCGAGAACTTGTGGGTATGCGATATGTCAGTATTCCCAGTTTGTCCAGAGGCGAATCCGGCCTTGACATTAGCGGCCCTCTCCATTAGGATGGCGGATCAGTTCGTCCCAGATCCTCAGCAACCAGACCTACCTCCCATTGGACCAGGAGAAATTTAGTTGGATTCAATGGGCTATCTCTGTTAGCAATATCTTCCTCCCATACTAGGTAGTAATTAGTCTGTTATAGTTCTGAGGTTTCGCATAGGTGGTAGCTATGACTGGCACTTATTTTATCCCTTTGGTCCTAATATGTATATGGCTTCATATGAGTATTTCTTAGGTTTGGTTTTCCGTAAAATAGCAACGTGGCACAACATCTCGCTCACCTTATACATGTATACCGCCTTTCCGCTTCCTAAGTGGCGTTGAAAAGTGAGTAGGGGGGTGTGCATAACAGATTGACTCCTCGATCATTCACTGTGCTCCTGACACGTATTACCTCTCTTATAGATACTTTCCTTACTTGTTTACACCCACTCTGCATCTCTCATCGCTGTGCATCCGGCGGAAAGGGAAAAAAACTTTAAATGGAAGAAGCCATACACAGAATCGAGAAGAACACGTGAGTTCGGACATGACATTAATAAAAAGGGACCGCCGGGCTTTATAGTTACATATATTTCTAGGCGATATTACTCTAGTCGCGTCTAAATGAATCCACCTACGCCGTTCCAAGTGCATTATCGACTCCCGACGATATATCATCGTGTGTTCCCTGCGGTGTTGCCCCCCTTTTCTCGCTTCCATAGCTCCTCCAGAAAAACGTAGTGATTAAGATGTTATACAACAGTTTCAAGCAGCCAGCAACAATGAAAGCAAGCCAAAAACAGTCTAGGTTAGCAAACAGGCCTGTAATGTAAAGTCCAATACAACTACCAACTATTTTCACCATGTTAATGACCCCCATTGCAGAGGTGCGTTCCTCGTGGAGTACACCGGCGGAAATAAAGGCCTGTCTAGGCGCGTTGTCGATCTCTCGCGTGACGATACGAAAGATGAAGATGACAAGCGCGAGATGCTTATTAGAGGGCACCGACACCATGATAAGCGAAGCGGAATTGATAGTGTGGCAGAGGACCATTGTCTGGACTTGGCCAATGGCCCGTGATAGTGGTGATGCAACAAGGTTAAGAATGGAAGATATAATGCCGGCCGCAAAAGTAGCAGAACCTAGAGCGGCCTCAGGCATATCGTATTCGCGTTTGAAAAAGTATATCATCCAAGAGATCTGCGCGAGGCCTGATCCGACAAAGTCGAAGCTCATAGCAAGGGACAGCTTCCATAGAAAGGCGAATGATTCGGGAGTAAATATGCGCCGGCTAGTCATCGACGGTGTTGTCTCCACGTCCTCTGACGATTCCTCTCCACAATATGTACTATTCGTTGGTTGATATTCGTCAACGCAGTTTTGGAGGAGCGGCTCTCTCTCTTGACTTCCGTCTCTATTCTTATGCTGTCCCGGAAGGGATCGACTGTTGGCGATTTTATGTGGCAACTTCAATTCAACATCCGAGCTTAAAAGTAAGCAGAGCAAGAGCTTGATAAAGCCAACAAGGGCGTAAGTGAGAAACACTGCTTTGAGAGCATCGACGTGGTCATACCCGGTGTCCCGCAGGAAGTCTACGAGGAAACCAGTCAGCATATTGCTTACCGCGGTCCCAATCATGCCAAGCATTGACCACCAAGCAAATATATCACTGCAGGTTTCATGTGTACTCAAACGAGAAATGGCCGACTCCTCGATGGCCTTGAAGGGGTCAATTTCGTTCGCACTACCGAAAGTTTAGTCAGTTGACAGGCCTCCTGTAAATAAATACCCAGCAACTCTTGTAGAATTCTCACCTAGGGTTTATGACACCGATGATACTAGCAAGTAATAGAACCCAGAAGTTAGTAACAAATGCAAATGCAATGCCACTGGCACACATTAGTAAAGCGCCAAGCAGGACGGTAGCTCTGACACTCATCCCATCACCAACATAAGTCAGGCCGAAACTTATAAATAAGTCGCCAACCAAGGTCGAGGTCATGAAGAGGCCTATTTCAGAGTCCTTGAAACCGAGGGCATGTAGGTAAAGTGCGAGGATGAGAGTGGTACCGCCATATCCAAGCAGCCTGACCATACGCAATATTATTAACAATTTTAAATCTCGACTTGAATGCCAGAGGGTATCTGCCCCAATAAATGAAACGAATCTGGGGAAGACTCCAGATACAGTCATGGTGGGTAATACGAATCTGATGTGGGCCTAGAGTCGAGTTAAGCTGAGGAACCATAGATCTCTGCGTTGGATTGGACGTAGGGGTATGACAAGTGATACAGCGGCGATATGTATTAACCCCCACCCTTCCCAAGACAGTGGGAGAGATGCCCCCCTTATAAAGATCCTGTATCGAGCGACTACCCTAAGGGGCATTATTGTTGTTGTTTACTGACAGAATAGGACTAGATTATCGAGCCTAAATTATAAAGCCGAACACATTCCTCGGAGTACTCATTGTGCTACCGGTCCCCTCTTTTCTGTATCAGCTCGGAACAGCTTCAAGACATTGAACGTCGTGTCCGCTCCAATCAGAGAACAGAATGAATGAGATCGATATGGTAGTTTTCGTCGTGGCGGTTAACTATTTAAGGCAGAGGCTCACAATTACGTCTACGCACCCGTTAGTTTTAAAAGCACAGTAGCCTATGGACACTGTAAAATGAATGTTTGGTATACGGAGGCTAGATGCACGGGCAGGTATCCGGGCGGTTACGACACCCAACCATCTCTAATCTGACGCCCATCGCTTCTCCCGCAAGGTAATATCTCGATTAGCCTCATGTCTGCTGCCGTCATCCTCCTCGCGCCATGCTCTGAATTCCGCGAATCGTTTCATTGCGTAACCTGCATAGTCAAAGTCGATAGAGCCGGTGGTCGCTTGAGCCTGAATGAGTGCACAGAGGCCCCTTGAATGAAAGGTTAATTTTCTTCTCTGACGGGAAACTTGCCTTCGAAAAGCAGCGAGACTCTGGGGGCTTACCAGTAGAAACCAGGGAACCCGCGATAGTTATCCACTTCATCCATCAGGTTACTCAGTTCATCGTCTATGGACCGTATCTGGTCAGCTTGAGAAGAAGCGTCCACCTTTTTGCATCGGTTCGCAGTTTCTTCATATGTTCGGAGATACTCCCGAATAAATTCGCGACGAGTTGATCTTGTTGGTAATAGGCTGTAGTCGCAATCAAACCCAGCCCATTCAGCAAAGTGATTCGCTAATTCGAATGCGCGAGGGCAATAAGTCGAGTGTCTATTAATTGAGGCTCTTGTTATTAGAGTCTCAATCAAGTTGTAAAAAGGGGCAAGCCGTACTCGTAGTCGATGAATTTAACATTCCGATCAGTCGTCCCCTCTTCAGCGGAATCAAGCAAGATGATATTTCCACAAAGCAAATCACCGTGCCCAAAGACCTATGGATTTGACTCTTAGTAAGACCAACCCATCATTGCGGAATTGGAATATCGTTGGCTTACCTGATGATGCTGAGAGCCTCGCTTGGATAATAACCTATTCACCAGATAGTCGAAGTCGTTGTTTAGCAATTGTTTCTGGGAGTTTTCATACTCTGTACCCTTTGCGATGGATTCAAGCCATTTCTTTGCGGTGGACCACACATTAGGTGCATGGTTAAGCACAGTTTGGGATCCACCATCGTAGTCCAAGTCGGCAACAGGGAGAATGGCGTGCCACCGTGCAAGCTCTTTAGAAACACCGCGCCAGACTGTTTCTTGTGTAATATCCTCAAGCGAGCATACCTTCCCCTTGGTGAACTCATACCCATGGCCATTTGGAAAGTGAACCAGGAGTAATGGAGCCAGATCATGATCTGAAAGAACCTTGTGGAAGGCAAGCTCTTCTTTTCGAAATTTAGTAAAATACGTCTTCATAAGAAAAGATGAGTCGGTTTATATACTTTTTCGATCTATTGTGATATCTGTACCATCTCCATAGACTTTTACAAGTGCCGTCTCCGTGAATACTTGGCTGTCAACGGGTGTTGCCCTGGGTCCTTGGCGTGTCACCTTGTATAACTAGGTAAAGAGATGGTGAGAATCAGAAAATGATACCGAAGAGGACTTTGTGCGGCTCATACTTACCCAATTTGTTGTGCCTTGGGTGAGAAGATCTACTTCTATCTCCTCACAGTCTCGTGATCTATGCGGGAAGAGGAAAGGGAGCAACCGATCTACAGATGCTTTGATATCCTTTCTATCGAATATGTGCGGTACAAGAGGTACATCCATGTCAGCAGTAGGTGATAGTAAAAGGAGAGTGATGAATTAAAATTTTGATACTCTCAGCTATTTGTGTCAATAATTATACCTCCTGGACGTTATCACAGTCTTCTTCGGCTAGCTGTGTAAAAGTTGGCAGTATTGTCGTCATCTAGTCAATGCCCAAGCATTAGGAGTAAGAAATAAAGATGCCGATGTTGTGTAACAGTATTATCAGAACGATCAAAACTGGTCTGAGGCACGGTTGTCGATTGCAAGCCCCCCGAGGCAAAAGCCAAAAGGCGTGGTATACACTCTCCAATAACATTACAGAAAGGGACTGCATGTACTAGTATGTCAAAAATTACCGGGATAATTTATTAAAACATCTTCGTCGCATCATGATTTTGATGTGACAGTTTCAACATAAACGAGTTAAAAGGAGCGTGGATTTTGGTCCTAGGAATGATGTCTTATTCGGCTTGACCCGAACGAGAAGACACGAGTGAAGGGTATCCAACATACTCGCCCGGATAAACCTCCTTACAAGCATAGGGAAGTAGATATCTGCTGCCCTAGATGTCCTGGAAGTAGTTAGTCGCACTATGGTAGTTTTCTCACCAGCGAAACCAATAGTCAAGCATGTATCCTCTTTTTAGAAACCGTTACACATTCCGTGTGAAGATTTAAGCTGTGACAACCCTTTACCAGAGACTTTCTTTAAGGTTGTTATTTCATAAAGGTTTAGTCATACTTTATGAAGACGATTTAGGTTCGTATCAGCGCATATTTTCGGCTTTCGACCCATGTTTGCTAACTGTTGAGCAGCAAATAAAAAAGACTGCGTGGTCAGAACCCGTTGTTAATATACAAAAATAACAACAACAGTAGATATGCGTACTGAGAAGCACTAGGGCGATTGGTTGAAGTAATAAATGTACCTAGCTAGGTAGGTTTGACTCCTAGAAAATGGCATGATAATCGTGATACATCTGATAAGTGTCTTATATGATAAAGCCTCTATTCGCTGGCATAGAGTCGATTGTTTGTCTAGTCTCGTCCTAAGTTATGTTAGCAAGACCCACAAACAAGAACAAAGTGGGAATTGACATTTATTCAAGACCTAGAGACAGGAAGATTTTATCACTCTCCTAACAATTCAGAATTATTACCTTAGGTACATAACAGTGTCTTCCTAAATATGGACTATGTAAGATATGGTAATAATCGTACCTATACAATTTTTGTCTTAGTTAATACTAGTAGGACTCAATGTATTAGGTATAATATTAGTCAGGCTGTAAACCATACATACTACTTGGTGATAACTATCCAATCTATAGTATAGTTCATTTTCTTCATATCACTCAGTTGCGATTGTTAAGGATCGTCTACTCCACACCAAGATACTCCTATTACACGAGAAACATGGATTCTAAGAGTTATTTCATACTAAATATCCTCGCGTTCTTCTGAAAGAACCTCTACAAGAAGCGACCACGAAACCCACAGACCCCTAGCCCCTGGTGCTGAAGCCCTCTCGTGGTGTGCAATAGATGATTCCTCCGTCTGTTTTCAGGACAATAAGTGTTTTCACTAATCACCCTAGTGTTTAAGACTTGAAATATTGGGCTAAGCGTCTTCGTACATCGAGAGGCAAGCCACGTGTTCCAACTCAAATCTGCGGTAATTCTCTTCGTTTGGTAACTTGATTTGCCAATGGAAAGACCCATCCCTTTCATCGTACGCCATCCTAGCTTTCACGTAAAGGGTAGCGTGCCTTATAACGTTGGAAAGTTTGATATGCTCCTAAAATACTATAAATCATAAGTTCGTTTTCTTAGCAATGGGAACTCACCTCGCCTCCCAGATATGGTGGATTTGGAGAAGAGTGGCGATCGGTTGTTGGAGGAGCATTACCATCATGTACCGCTTTCGGTTTCCGGTTTCCAGGCATTTTTAACGAGTTTCGTATCTAATATTACACAGTTGTCAGTAAAATCTAAGCCTTTTTCAAATAAAGATATTGATGGATAAATATTTACATACGTCCTTAGAAGAACAGATAACCAGGAGTGTGCTCTATTGCAGACCTAGGTACGTATTATTCAAGTTATGGCAGAGTTCTAATACTTTTGGCAATATTATGAATGTGTATGATCATGAAGCAGAAGAAAATCTCCTCCGCATGGTCTAGGGGTTCTTATACGAATACAAACCCTCCTATTGACATGAATTCATACCTTTAGTAGATATTTTACTCATACTCAATCACCTGTTACGTTTCGAATCGCAAATAATATTAGTTTGTCAAATATTATCACAGGAAACTTCAAGATAAATAGCCATACCTTCGTGATTGATGATTACTGAGCTACCTTAGGTTAGGTACCTAAGGTAGGTGGCCAAGCGCAATCTGCTGATGATTTGTATTTTTCCCCGTAAGGAGGCACTCTTTGCTCTGGATATCCTATCCATGATATTACACGTTGACTTGGTATCATATAGCAGTGACTCATAAATGTTTCTATCATTTACCTACCTACCTAATCGCTTAGAGGCCTGGCTAAGGACCCCCATGTCATAGAACGAAACTTGAGAGGTAGAGCATGTTATTTTGCAGACTACGTACAACTAAATTTTAGTAAGTTGTCGGCATTAATATGTTTTACTTCTTAATTCTACTGGCCAAACTAGGTACCTAGAGAAATTGGCAACTTACTTGCTACGAACGTCTAATGTTACTCAATAATAGGTAGTTTGATGGAAATGGTCTCTGGAATTATGTGACAACACTGCGAGATTACATTCTGGAACCTATTAACACCACGAATATCGAATGAACTTTACGTCTCAGTAATCTGCGACCCTTCTTCAACCGTACGATTGCGTTCCACTAAACCATGAATAACATATCAATAACCTACTCATCTCGCAGTATATCAAAGCAAGCAAGTGTACAGAGAGCAGTTTCGATATTCCGTAGATGTCTTGGCCATTCGTAATTATCCTCCTTTGCTGTTGCTCTGAAGTGTTTGGCTCATAAACGCAGTAAGTATAGCCATATACCTATATTTCTATCAGTCATATCCAAAATTTCTACAATCATCTAGTAGGAATATCAAGCGAAGTTAATACTAACCCTGCAGAGTATGCAAACAACTCCTGTCTCTTTGGTCGGGTTACAAAACTGAGACAGCAAGTAAAGACACCTGTAGAGATAAGTTGAATGAATATGATACCCACTAGGGTTGAAGTGGTCATTTCGCCTTGGCATAGGCGGTATAAGGGGTAAATCGGGCATACGAGAACCATAATAAGTGTAAAGACCAGAATGATTTCTATAGTAGTGTTAAATTTTCCTGTACTAAGGAATAATGGGTCGTTCTGGTGGGTGCTCTCCTAGAAAATGTGTTAAAAACTTTGCGAGATTATTTGAGTTAGTATTTCGAACGTACTTCGTGTTTGAAAATTTTCTATCCCCAAAGAGTGTTAGCTTTCAGTGTGGTAGATGCTTTGCCTTTCCCCTATTTGCTTCACTTTGCGGCAGATATATTTACCTTGATCAGCTTATTAGGTTTGTAAAATATGAGCTTTGTAAGGAGCCCATCCACTCGTGCCGTGTCTTCCTGTGAGTTCAGCGATATGAGATCCTCCTTGTACAGGTAATACTTCTTTTTCTCGTTGGCGAATGGGGCATGTACTTCAGAAAGGGCCCCTAAGTTTTTTATGTCTGTCTCGGAGGGATCTTGCTGGAGATGAGGAGAGGAAGCATAATCCAGCATTATCTCTGGTTTCATATTAGTTAAGCCCGGGGTGATATGCACAGCACATCCTATTATAGCTTACTATATCTCCTCAGTGTCTCTTCAATATTTCTGAGCAGGTCTGTCTTCCGGACCGATGACATATTGTTGGCACCTTCACCATGGCTCTCTCCGTCACACTTCTCAAGATCCTCTTCATACCCTTGTAGCTTGTCCTGAAGATCTAGTAGCACCCTCGCATGCAAGTACCCGAATTGGCGGATGATCAAGTAGTCTCTATTCGAAGCAACTATTGCGGCAAGTCGCGGGCATCCTTGTGAATAGCTCGTAACTAGATAGGAAGGCCGTTTAATGAGCATATAATTTGTAGACATGTCATCAATTAACTCACTGCTCTTATTGATATAGCGTGGTATATCAGACTGAGAGTCTTCGGTGCTACTGTTGAATAAGCCACCGAGACTTTTCTTTACTATAGCGTAAGCTCTGTCTCTGATCCCAGAAGAGGTGATATGGCTAGGGTTTGCACCTTGAAACTGATGTTAGGCCTTCCCGAGTGAATAACTCAAACCATTTCACTACCTCTTAACTATGGTGACTTTGGAGAGGCTAGGATAATGTTTCAAAATACTGTGGTGGACAAATGCTATGCTTGAGTAAGGTTCTCATATGACATACCGTGGTTTGTATTGGCGGCATTATAAGGGCCAGACTGGCTTTCAAGATTGGAAAGGCTGTCCATGGTCTCGTTAGAAGTTCTTCTGACTTGAATTGTGTTGGCGCTACGAGTTTCATACCCGTCTAAGCCTTCAGATTTTAAACCTATAGAGAGGGTGACTGGAGATAATTTATATTCGACTGGATGTGTCTCGACTCCCAAAATTGCGGCTATACTATTCGGGCGAAGCCTCGAAAACTTCTCGGTACACCAAAAATGCAACTAGCCTGTGTGCAGTGAACCTCCCGATGCCTATGCTACCTACCGAGTATCTGTCGCACGAAACACTGTAGCGTACAACATTAGGCACCATAGGATATAGCGTCTAGTAGGTATCTAAAGATTAGGAACTTTAGAGTCGTTGTGCGAATTGTATCTAGGTAAACAAGAGTAGTGATAGTTCGTAGGCACGTCAATTGTGTCCCTCACCCCCCCTTTTTCTTTCTTTTTTTATTACCATGGTATGATTTAGCTCAAAGCTACCCCTGATTAATGCCATAGTAATTTCTTTCGCAAATAAATGTCACTCATCTTTAATTAAATATAGAAAGTTAAATATAGTAAGAAGTAAAGTTTATTCAGGTAAACGCATAAGGTGACGCTTTCTTTTCATTGAAATTTCTAGGTCTGAGAGGCTCCTATGTAATCCGAATAGGGCCGAAAGCTTTAAGTCTGAATCGAGGTTTAGTAGTAGCCTTATATGGTTTCGCGGCTAGCAACAACTACGATAGGTCAATATTGCAGTTATTACCTATATTGCTAACCTTCTTATCATGCGGGGACCTGTCCGAATCTATATTGAGCCCACGCCATGCTCCCTTCGTGTAACGTCCACGTCCTCTTTCCCTCATCATCACCAGCCGCGCCAGCTGATACATATACCGGCATTAAATGGTCGAACCGCTGAGATTGGTTAGCCGCGCCCCTTGTAGTTTGGGATCCTTTGAACTCACCGGATGGGCTTGTCTAGCATCTGGCCGCTTAGCAATCTCTTTCATACGGGTCCGTCGCTCATTTGGCGGAGACTCTACGGCGTCTTTCAAGGCTTCATCAAAGGATACTGTATAAGGCAATGGCCTCGGGTCACCCCGAGTTGTGTACAAGTCTCTAAGATTATGTACTGACATCCCCGCGCCGATAATGACGATGTTCTCATCGCGCAGAGAAGCAACGGCTTGCCCCAGTTGGTGATGCATATCCACGTCTTGGTTGGCGTATAAGCTCACCTGCACAATGGGTACATTGAGGGGATTTTCTTCAGGGTGGAATGCTATAGATTGTCAGTTGAATCAAGGCACATATTGCATAGGAATAAGCGTGGCTAAGAAGTAAAAACCATACCGACATGAAATCCCGACCACACTCCATGGTCAAGCCCTCTGGTCACGCCTTTGGCCTTTATGCCAGCTTTTGTCAGGAGATCAATGACCTTGGAGGCTAATTCGGGGCTTCCCCTATTGGGATACTGTGCCTTGTAAAACTCAGGCGGGAATCCATAGAAGCTACCCAGACATATCAGCATCGGTTTCGTGAAGAATTCCACTAGGTACCAACGCACTCATAAATCAAGTCTGTGTGCTCAGCAGTGTTGACCTCGATGACATCGGGTTCAGCCTCCCAATGGCCAGAAAAAACGACGACCGCTTTGGGTTTCACTTTCTTGGTAATCTCCCTCCCGATATTCTGGAGAATTGGATAGACGGGATGATCCGTCTTATATTGCACATCCGGCTATATCTCCAAGTTAGGGTAATGAATTTAAGTTATGTCAAATTTATAGAACTCACACCGCCATGGCTGAAAAAGTAAACGGGAGTTTTATTAGTCGTCATTGGTGGTGAAGGCGAGGTTGTTGATGTTTGATATTGAGCTATGATGGAGGAAATGGGTTTCCAGATGGAAAGGGGTAATACGGCGCGAGAAAGTGATGATGAGAATAAGAAAGCCACAGCTACGACAAGTAAGGATACAATTAGAATTGTTCTAGTAATTAGTGTTGGAGAAGCCATTGCTACGAAAAGGTAACAACTATATAAGAGAAAGAACAGGAGGACGTTGAACCCATTTGTAATTCGTCCCCCTGCCGTAGCCACACCGAGATTTCCGGTGTAAGTCACTAAAGAGATGCTGTATTGACCGATTCTTCAGCAATTACCAAAGATCAGTCAGCATACCGCCTAGCGTTAACTTTCAGCCGTTATGGCGCTAGGTATTGTACCGTAGTGGGCCATTGCATTAGCTTAGGCGATTAGGTACATAAGGTAATCGTCCGCATTCCTAGCCGTTTCATTACAAACAGGAGGACGAACAGGAGTAGCCAATCAAGGCAGGAGTTATAAACATATTGTACACAGAAATGGCGGAATAACCCCAACTACCCCACCAAGTTGAAGTTCTCCCAGTGCGCAACGCAACGGGGAAGAATGAAAACGACAAACCAGAATCAACCATCACGTAACTCATTACCTCGGCCTCAGTCCCGACCCGCTTTGCTCATTTTCCGTCTAGCGGATGCTTAACTTCTCTACTGCGGATAAAATAATCTTTTCGTTCATAATATTATTGTTGTTTCTCTTAACGGCTACATTTGCCAGAACGAATTCCGATCCCACTATGGCGATGCGCCGAAGTCCACCGCTGCTATTCCCGGCTGCCGCCAAGCACACAGCTACTGTCATTTTCATCCACGGATTGGGTGATACCGGGTACGGATGGGCATCGGCAGTAGAGAACTGGAGACGGAGGCAGAGATTGGATGAGGTCAAATTCATCTTGCCCCATGCCCCGCGCATCCCGATTACAGCTGTAAGTTAATGTCACTAGAGGTTGAGATGCGCCGGTGGGACTCACCATAACTGGACAGTCGGGCGGAATGGCTATGCCTGGGTGGTACGATATTGTAAGTGGCCTTCCTCCCCCTTATATATCCGCTGTCGTGTCTAATGATTATCCAAGTTTGCACTCACTGGCAGAATAGAAGATATCAAACGACATCAAGATGAGAATGGTGTCATGCAGAGTAGAGAGTACTTCCACGGGCTGATCCAAGCCGAGATTGACTCTGGAATACCTGCTAACCGCATCGTACTCGGCGGGTTCTCACAAGGCGCGGCCATGTCCCTCTTTGCTGGCTTGACGGCTAAGTACAAGTTAGCTGGCATAGTCTCACTTTCGGGCTACCTACCCTTAGACTCAAAGCTTGATGATCTTCTCAAAGAGAACGATCACAACCATCAAACACCAATCCTAATGTGCCATGGAGATGAGGATACAGTCGTACCGACGAACTTGGGCAAGATGTCTTACGAATCATTGAAGAGCCGTGGTTTCGACGTTACAATGAAAATATATCCGTAAGCAACTCCTTTTTAATTCATCCCCGCGTATACACTCTTGCATTTTACATTCAGCTAATTGAAAATAGGGGGTTGCCTCATTCAGCCTGTATAGAGGAACTTGATGAGGTTGAGTCTTTCTTGAAGGCTCGTCTTCCACCTCAAGACAACAAGAAGACGGAACTATAAATTCGATAGGACTGGAGAAGCGGATGCACAATGCAATAGAACTACATTAGAGTTAGAGAGGCAGACTACTATGGCACCAATTATACGAAGTGGTTCGTATGACGTGCGAGTGTGGATAGTGTCCGTTGCGTATTGGACGATAGAGAGGCTTTCCGGTACAAATCAGAATGGTTGGAAGCCATCGTATGATTGTTAATATGATTGGACGCCAGACTTTTTACCACTTATACGCTAGGCTCGAGATACATGCGTTAGGTAGTCTACAGGTTACAGGTGAATGTCTTAGAGTTCTAAGTTCATCTGACACGCCGGACCTCGTTAGAGTTGCTAGTGAAATTTACAAAATTCATCATAAAGTAAAGCCTCAATATATGTAATTAAATTCGGATCATACATACATGTATATAGAACTAAATAAGCATTGATAAATTCATGGGATAGTCGGTCGGATATCAGGTACACTGTGGCTATAAGTATTCGTATTGTTGGGAAGTCTATAGGGGGTCTTGATAGGGGGGAATGATGTCTTATCTTATCGTATAGTTGGAGGTAGTGGAGTCGGAATCACAAGATGGCGGCATAACGGCGTAAGCTTGCTTAACTGGGGGCAGCAAAGATAGCAGGATAGGTACCTTACCTTACCTAACCCAAGCTTTTTATTTAACAAAGTTCCAAAAACAAGATTCATTCTTCCATCGAGTGTTCAACTTTGTCTCTGGATTATTCTGTGCATCTTGTGGCCTTCTTCCTCAACAATTCTCCTAATTTTTCCTACTTATTTAACTGTTTAACTATAGGTAACTTAGGTAGACTACCCTACATACCTATGTATGAGGTAGTCAGCTACACTGCTGTTGGATTATGTCGTCTCTTCCGCGATTAGCCCGATAATTAATCATTAGGTATTATTATCTATCTACAACTGCTACTCTAGCCCGAATCCACACCAACCGTTGCTACGCTATCAGATCGTCTAGGCCTAGGATTACTAGGTTAGGTACCTACATATCCAAGTCGACACGGCAGAAGTAAACAAGCCCCGCCAACCAAAACCATCATACCGATATTAAAAGAGAGGAGGCTCTGGAAGAAAACAACAATGCCGTCAGCAGCACGAGCACCAACATCTGGTAGGCCGCCATCGCCATCTCCTTCTCAAATCCCTCTTCCCGCGTCGCCAACATACTCGTACGCCTCCACAGCCAATCCGCTCTCTCAATATAACCTACCACTCCCGCCTCCGCCCCGACCAGCCCACGCCGTCCTCTCCAAAAATGACCTCGAGCAATCGCAGCTAGCATACTCCGACTTGCTAGCCACAGCTAAATCGTACCGGATCGCGCTCGCATCCCTTTCTACCGCCGCCTCCGCATTCGGCTCCGCCCTCGAGTCCTGCGCGAGGCTAAAAGAAGCCCGAGCCGACACCCTCGGCCCACCTAGTGGTACTAGCTTAACCAATAGCTTTACTACGAAGGGATCATGCACCGCCGAGCTACTATTGAGCGCAAGTGGTGTGCACCACCTAATCGCAAACCACCAGCAGATCTTAAGTGAGACAGTATATAAGTCATTCGAGGTGCCGCTACTGCATGAGTTGGACCAGTGGCGGCGAAATATCGAGGACGAGGATGAGACGTACAAACGTGAAGTTGCCGCGCGCAGCCGCGAGATCCGCCGCCTCGAGAAGGAAGGGTTGAAGCTGCACCGTCAGAGTCGACGTCGGGATGTAGCCAAGTTCCGCGAGCACCTGGTTACGCTAACTAGTAAACTTGACGGTCTAACAGGATTGCATGCAGACCATGCCCGTACTCTACTACGCGACTCACAGGAGGCTTCGGCTAAGATTCTCGATGCAAGCTGTTCGCTCGTACGTGCCGAGGTCGACATTTTCGAGGGCTTGGCGCGGAAAGGGTGGACGGGCGGTGGGCTTGAGGATTTGCTAGAGAAGGGCCAGGACTTATTTGCGAGCGACGAGGATGGGCTGCCAGGGGCTGTAACGGCGGCGGGAGTCACTATTATGGCGGCCAACAGTGCCGTCGGAGAAGGAGGGGCGAAGCTGTTTAGTATACTCCCGCCCAAGAGCATCCTAGCAAACGATGCGGCCTCGACTTCCGTCTCGGATTCGGTACTAACAGCACGTGCGGGTGGGCGCGCCGATAGCTTAGTGGTCGATCCGGAGGAAGATCAGTTTCAAAGCTTAACAGGGGCCGTGGAACAACCACAAAACCGCGGGAGAGATAGAGAAGACACAGAGAGCATATTCTCAGAGTCCAACATGAGCCGGGGGTTAAGGCCGTTCAGTCCACAGCCTATCCGCCGGCGAACTACGGACGTGGTCATGGACCCGGAGGAACTATTATTTGGCGGCGCCGAGCAAGAGGAAGTTAACAACGACCTCGTATCGGATGTAGACGAGGACGACGGGTATGACGCTGCGACAGTTAGAGGCGCTAGCAACTCTCCGGGTCGAACGCTAGAAATGGAACTAGAAGAAGCAGATTCAGGTCTGCAAGACGACGAGGACGAACTAAACAAAGACCCCGAGTTCCAATGGAGAGACGACGGAACACGGCAGAGACAAACCAGTAGTAGCAGTGACGACCCGGTTTCGTCACCATCCCCGCCGCCGACGGGGAAGGACGAGGTAGACGATAGAGAGATAGATAGGCAGTTTGCTTGATTATAACTAGTTACATAGCACAAAGTGCACATACCTAGGTACTCCCCATACTGGTATGGAGGGGGTGCTGCTGCACAAGGATGAGAAGGCGGAAAGGTACCTAGCCTATAGGATAGGGTAGGATAGGATGGTTCTAACGGCGGTTACGGCGGCGAAATATTGATTGATTGATTGATTGATTGAGTACTGTATTAAATTTCACGAAACGGCAGACGAATGAATAGATGAACGGAGTCATATCTTCGACATTAGAATGGCATCTCCCGCTTTGTATCTTTGCTTCCTACCTAGCTATTTCTCCATTAGTACAGCCAGCATTTGGTCTGCATCTCAAGTATTACATTATGTACGTGTAGGCACCTACCCAAGCTACCTGTTCCACGGCTGTACATGTATAACATTACACACATTACACAGCCAACATTTCATATGTACGAAAGAGAGCAAACACAAACACATCATGACTTGGAGTCCATTATTTTCCCCATTCCATTGGTCTCGAGTAACCTAATTCATCGTACACAAGAAAAAAGCAAACTCCTCTTGGTAACAACTATGCGCAGTATGTATGCCGCTAACCCAGCCCCATGCCATGCCCCTATCCACGTGCAGCTCGTCTATAGGTAGTAATAGTAACGAGATCAAGCATAGCAAAGCTCCTTATTCCTTATCTTTCACTTTACTGTCTGTCTGTCTGTCTTTAGGCATTTTATCGTAGGGCTTCCGAATGTGATCCTCAACTCCAGGGGGGAGGGCGTATTACCAAAACCCGCTTCGCCCTCATGCCCCCCTACTTTTCATAACGTTACGAAGTATAAAAAATTTGATGCTATAAGAGGTTGGTATGTGTGTGTAAAGTCTCTTAGTCTTCCTTATCGCCACTAACGAGCTCGCGACCGAAGAGACCAAACCAGAGATCCAGATAAAACATCAGCTGCCAGTACAAACTGGCTTTGTTGAAGTCAAACTCCCCGAGGTCGTTACGGGGCACCTCGTTTCCGATCATCGACCCTCCAAACCACCCTATCAGTGGAATATAGAATAGCAGCTTCTGCTGCCATGTCATTTGAGGGGCTAGGGCTTGGTCGGCCGGCAGGATTCTAGCCCGCTTGGCCTCTGGAATGCGCCGGCAGAACGTATTGTCCACTGGCTCTACACTCTGCGGTTCCGGAGCCGCACCTGTCACCGTTGCCGTCGATGCTGTAGTAGTTTCCATAGTCTGGGTCGAGCCTTGGGATCCTGGAGGGGAGTCGGTTAAATTTGTAGTCCGCTCGATTGTCTGTGTTAAGAGAGTCCTAGGGAATGTCGCTCCCTTATCGATGCGGGGCTGCGACGGCCTCTTCGGCACGCTTCTGAAGGTGTTAGACCTAAACGGATCGACCATGCCAATATCACCGACCACATCGGGCACTGCAGCGTCTTCCTTAGGAGGCAGGCCACGGTAGGGTTCGGCGTAGACAAGATGACCTAAAATCTTCTGCGGAGAGGCATACGTCGCGGCTTCTGCTGCTTCCGATGATTCGAACGTTATTTTTATCCAGTGTTCACCGCTGGCCACCCTACTAACTTTAGCCCGCTCAAGGGCTGATAAGGGTTGTCGCCTCGTAAGCGCGGGATCTCGTAGGTCTGACTTATAGCGTCGCGCCTCGACCGGGGGCTCTCTAGAGTAATCCTCACATATCCTCCCTGCCAGCTGCTCGTAATGGTTGATAGCCGCATATTGCTGCGACGGCGATGAGTAACCCCTCAGGATAACCTCAACAGGCTCCTTGCGATACGTCGAAGCTTGGGTGGCAGAAGCAGGATCTTCTTGCGACTGCGCAGCGGTCTGCCCTAGATAGCTAGGCTTTCGTTGCGTTGCGGCGGTACTTGTTGTCGTTGTTGTCGCCGCGTTAGGGGCTTGCTGTCGGCTTGCTATGTAATTCGAAAAGATTTTATCGGCGTTATGCATCGTAGCATCTTCACGTTTCGGCGGCGCGCTACCCGTTCGAGAGCGTGATCGTCTAGTTGATTTACCGAAGGAACCCGACTCCGTCACCTCTCGCGCACGCGTACGTGGGAGGGGACGTTGTCGTTCGCCTCTATCATCAGACATGGTGGTAAGCAGATTTGATTTAAGGTAAGGCTTTCTTTCAAAGGAAGAATCGGTTGCATACTCGGGGAAATACATAGCATATGGACGCTGAATCCCATCATCTCCGGTATAAAGTTCCTCGTCCGGGACGTTATGCAGGATCAATGGCCTCATTGTCCTCTCCCGTTATTCGGTGAATAGAAATTCGAGGAATGAGATACAATGTTTAGGACACGCAAGGTAGATAGGCAAACACAGATACCTAATCAGAGATGGATTCCTTGGATTGCAAAAGGCGCAAACTGGCGGGTGGTTACGAGAAATGGGTTGAGATGATTGGAGGGAGATTTAATTGATTTAATTAAATTCAGATGTTGCTGGCAACGCTGAGATGTCACCAAGAAAAAAATCGTAACTGCAACGCGCTTCCAAATATGTTATGTTAGGTACTTTGTATACCTTGTGTGTATTATGGAAACCGCCATACCCACCCAGCAACGAGTATATGAGGTACGTACAGTACGTAGCCTGATGTACATAGTATCCGTAACATGTTCTTATGTAACTTCCCTAATTCCACTTTTTCAGATAAAAATTGCGCACAGGCCATTTGAACTTGGCTTATGGTACTTTTCAATGTACTTTTAATATTTAGTAGATTTATAATATATATCAAACCAGATACTGGGTTACAGTTTAATTTATGGCCATTTCTACAGTTTGGATAGATACCTAAGATATATCACGTAGGGTCTCTAGCCTAAAGCTGGTAGCTCCCCTTCTAAATCATGCCCATTGGCAGGAAAGGACATTGCAGATGCTGTGTACATAGGTACTTGACTTAGCCAAGCATTGTAACGTTATGTACTTCGTACCGAAGATACTAAACCCTCTAAAGGGACTAGCGTGGAAGGTAACTTTGTTCCTGAGCTACATAGTACATAGTACCTCATACATGTGGCTAACAGGCCATTGATAGGCCGACGTCACCGAATTCCCGGAAGCTATCGCAGCTTCCAACGCCAAATCAAAAGCTGTCCCAAAAAAGTAAATCCAACTACATCACCGGTTTCAAACGCGACTTCCTCTTCTTTAATCTCGCATTGTTAGTTGATTAAGTCACAAGTAAGCCACAAGAAACCGTAGCCACAATGTTCCGTTTCGTAAGTTCCAATGTTGGAAGTTCTGATCCGATGAGCAACAAATGCTAATGCGTGAATAGCACAAAACTCTTGATATTGTCACCCTCTTCCACAAGGCAAGCTCACCGGCTTCTACAAGAGTGGCAACTCTCTTAAAGAATATTTCAGCCAAGGCCACAGAGACAGCAACCGAGGATCAGGCCAAGCCCTCCCGTCCGGTGTTTGAATTAAACATCACTGAGGACCCTCCCACTACCGACCAACTCAAGACTATTTTAGAGTACGTCGGCAAGAACAAGATCGGCTCTGTCGTGCAAGGCGCGTCGACGGAGAATGAGGCTTTGAAGAAGTTCAGAGAGAACCAGGAAAACTTCAAACGGCCTGTGGTATGTCTCCTTTTCTTTACCTACTCATGATCATGCCCCCTTCCCCTATTTGTCCAGATAACATGCTAACTCCGGAACAGGTCGTCGACTGGAACAATGGAAAGGCTGTTGCTAGTGATAAGGAATCAGAGATACTCAAGATGTTAGAGCAAGAGAGTAACAATAACAAGGAGTAGTTCCCAATCATTGTACATAACACAAGTGGTCATATCTGTCTTGTGCTAGTATTAGCTAGGCTCCATAAACCCCTTACCAGCTTAATTGATACTCAGTCCTAGTTCTAGTTTGTTATAATTAGTTCTCTAGCTAGCTACTGAAAGGGGTATCTAATTTAGATTACCGTATACAAACACTACTCCCATTGTCCACATTATTATCTTGCTTCCAAAGTGACTTGCTTATAAGTGTTCAGAATTACCTACCTCTCTTAGTCATGTACATATCCATGTATGCCCCTTATTCTGACCTTTACATTCCAAATAGAAACTTAGGTACATACCAGCCAGAGAGCAAAACCACTTCCTGTCATTAACTCTAACAGTTAAACCCATTGTGTTAAAATAGATTATAGCGCGATTCTCCCTTGAATTCATTGCAATAGGAGACATATCACAGATCCCCGTATTAGTCATTCTTTAGGGTTCTACCAGAAATATCAGGGGAAGGCAGCAGTATGCCTACCCCTAATCACAGGCTCAGGCTACCAAACCATTGATTAGGGTTACAGCTCAGGTACATACCTAAGTTCTCATGTACAAGCGAGGCTTCAGTAATGAGCACCTGCCCAGTGTGATATGTTAAAGGCAGGTACACAGTTGTAAAAGTGAAAGTTTTCTTTCGTATCTAGGTCCGTGCTACCTGTGTCCGTGCACAAACATCGAGTTGACACCTGGAAGGCGTCGTTACTATGGTCACATTCACCGATCATGGGCCGTCAACTGCTTTTGCAGCAGCTGTAACTGCCGGTTAAGACCCTCCACCTTCCGTCATAATGGCGAAGTATCTCACGAGAACATCAGATCTAAGGCATTTATTTGCCGAATCAGTTTGATGAGGAAGTAACGGCGCTACAACGTGTTTATTATCGGTCGTAACCCTCCAAAGTTCCTCTCCTACGTACCTTCCGTCCGTTCTTTTTTCTTCTTCCCATTTCTATTCACAACACTATTTAAACACCGCCTTTCCCCCCCGAGGAATTCATTTCCATTACTTCTCTTCTTCATAATCCTACTTCAACCCTACTCTTCTCAACAAGGAATCACATTAATTAATTCTCATCCTCCCTCACATATCAATCCTTTACCTTATATTAACTACCTCTTACTATTCTACCATCCCCCATCTCCTTACGCCTCATCTAACATTAATAACAAACAACCCTATCCTAATACCTACCCTAAAACATTCAACCCTCTCTGACTACCTATCCCCAAACACTTCAACCCTCATATCTTGATGCTCCACTCAGCACCTACATTTATTAATCTACAACTTCTCTCATAACTACCTACTCTAAAGGCTAGTTGGCTGCTTTCTTCTACCTAGAAGAAGTCAGCTTCAGATCCCAGCCTCAGCCCCGGCTCGTAAGTAACTACCCTTCTCTATCTTCACTATCATTGACTATTACACCTACACAATCTTCATAAGGTATTACCAATACCGACCTCTGCCCTATACACTATTAGTTGTCCTACTAGTAGGCAGCTGCATCCTCTTTACCCTTATATCATTACCTTTGACTTATAATTTGTTTTACGCGGTCGCGCTAACAAGTATTTAAAGACTCGTCTGGCCTAACATTGGCATTCAGGTCAACCTCAGACCCCCTTATAAAGCCACACAAGATTTCCTATCCCTAATTCACCACTAAATAACGGAGCGGCAAAAGAAGTTAAAGGCGGGGTAATAACAGTAACCTCAGGAACCTCAGGGACCTCAGGGACCTCAGGAACCCCAGGAACCCCAGGACCACGAGGAACTGGTGCCGGCAGAGCTTCACAATAACTATGCTATCATGTCAGAAAAAGTGTCGGCGCAAAAAAATATCCTGAATGGCAATGGCAACTAATGTGCCAATGGAGACACCAAGTCCCGGCCGATCAGTGTATGGCTGGCGACATTTATTCCTCTTTCACCCTAACTCTGGCATATTATCATCCCTGACAACACTACTGGTGAATCTAATATAACTAATCACCATAACGACATCACAATAAACCTAAACTTGGAGTCCCCTACCGCCTCATCATTCACCACACAAGCCCTCACTCCACTCCAAGGACATGCTGAGAAGTTCAAGTCGGGCGTGCTACGTCCAGTACCAAGGCGTCAGTGGACGCTTACGGGTGGAACGCTCCAACTACTATTCCCCCCAATGGTCATTCTGGTCTTGTCAATCCTCGCTACCTATTCTTCCATACCCATGAGGAAGACGACCAACGCCCGAACACAGGAGACTCAGTGGTAAGAAACTTCTAAGGAGATACTGCTCCAACTTAGAAAACCTACTAACATATACCGTAGTATTCATGCTCTGGACTAGATCCGGACCATAAATTTCGCTATCTGAATGCGAAAGACGTGCGGCGTCAAGTCCAGGAATGCGCGGTCTGGACGAATCCCTGGGGCTTTAGGTCTTGCTGTTACCGGCCTCTTCCCTATTTGTACACGATCCGCCTCTACTCCGCCGGCTACTAAACTAAGTTTAAATATTTTTAACAAAACACCAACACATTACTTTAACACGTGAGGAATCTCTCACTTCAGCTCTCACGTCAGGCGAACAAACATGAGAGGCGACCATATTAGTCACCACCCTTAACATAAGTTCCGATACGGATAATGATTCCGGTAATGGTTCCAGCAATAATGGTTCTGGTGGCAACCACCTAAGCCTTACATCAAGCCAAGGCTACGTACTCGACACGTGGAGAGACTCTCACGCACTGGGATCATGGTGGGTGGCAGTGCTTCCCCCAAGTCTATTCCGATAAGGGCCGCACTCAGTCTACCTTCGGCATGTCGTGGCACACAGGTTGTAGCCAAAATAAGGGCGGTTTCTTAACTAAATAATTATAATTACCTACCTTACTAAACCACATTCTCTTATCATGCCGTGCCTGACGCACCCCCATGTTAAGCAGAATTATGGTGTCTGAACCTGTACTGTACTATCATTAATAATAGGTAGCAAAAACATAAACAAGAACCAAGAATAGCAAATGCACAGGGAGTTTCTATATTCGGCAGGGTCTTGTTCTCATTATAGTAACACGGCAATACGAATGGCTACTTTTTTTTTCTCATAACTCCAGCTATAAGTGAAGTGTTTACGTAGTCTCGCTCTTGACTAACTGTGCGACCGTCTCCTCGATTTGCTTATCTGTGAGTCCTGTAGTATCATTGTCAGCACGTACTCCCTCGACGTTGACGTGAATCCGCAAAGTACCTTCTAACGACTGGCTCTTCTCCTTTCCAAACTCTGCAATCACATCCCGTTAGCATTTCCATTGTTTCCGCAGGACCGCATAGCGCAAACGAACCATATCTCGCGTAGACCCTGGGTAGGGTGCCGGAAGCTTCTCGGATGAGGATGGGTGTGAATGGGTTGTTCTTCTTCATCGTGGGGTATGCTCTATTCAAGAATGTCCTATATAAATACAACACAAATATTGTTAGCTACCTTAGCATCGCGAAATTGCTTCAATTCGCGCTCACCTTGTCGCGGCACTACCCTCTCCGGTATGGCAGAACAGGAATCGAACCTCCTTCAGGGCCTTCGTAAAAGCATACTTTCCCGACATCTTTGCAATTGGCGCTCGGCGATCAAAGATGGCAGGTCAGATCGGGATGGTGGAGGTTGAGCTTAGCTTCGGTTCGGTTCGTACATGGAATGTTTAAAATGGGCTGTAGTCGGAAGCTTTAGTCAGGACCGATTGAATTGACGTCGGCATGTGCATAAAATTTAGTTCAGATGCTACACGCCACTTATGCAAGATTTATGCAAATGTAAGGAACTTCCAATCCCAACGATTCCCGGGGTTTAGCATTCCAACAGTCTAAGTTTAGATAGGTACCTAACTACCGGGGTACGTATCTTATCTTCGGAACCCCAACTAAATTTATCCTAACATCGGACCTGGGAACCTTTCCAACTTCTTTATTCTGACAACAACTCATCAACCCCCCCCCAAGGTCCCGAGGACAAAGCGGAAAGCGAGCAGGCTCCCGGTAAAATTTTGTTTTGTTTTACTCTCATCGCATATTCCTAAGAAGCCCGCCATCCTCATATAAGACCCTTTCCACCCGGCCAATCCCTAAGGAAAACAAAACAATGCCGCCCGCTACCACTCTCTTCCGCGCCGCCCGGCCCGTGTTCCAGCAGTCTGCGCTGCGCCCGGCCTTCCGCAGTAACTTCGCTCCCAAGACCGGCCGGCGCTTCGCGAGCACCGCGACCACCGGGGAGGGTGCTGCCCAGAGCTGGTTCCAACGCATGTGGAACAGCCCCATTGGCATAAAGACGGTGCATTTCTGGTAAGAACATCCCTTCCGGATCGCTTATGTCCGTCCGTCCATCCATCTGCTATAGCGCATCCCATATTGACGACGAGATTGTTCGCATGGCACAGGGCGCCGGTGATGAAGTGGGCGATTGTCATTGCGGGTATCTCCGACTTCGCGCGACCTCCCGACAAGCTGTCGTTAACGCAGAACGCTGCCCTAACTGCTACGGGACTCATCTGGACGCGCTGGTGTTTCGTCATCAAGCCCCGTAATGTTCTCCTCGCCACCGTCAACTTCTTCCTCGGCTGCGTCGGTATCATTCAGGTCTGCCGTATCCTCATGTGGCGCAGATCGCAAAAGGACGCACCCGCCGCCGCTGAGTCGGGCGACGCCCAAGCTAAGGAGGCTGTCAAGGCTTAAAGATATACCTAGAGCAGCAGCAGGCACATGGGATTACGGGGTAGTGTGATTTTGATACCGAAGTACGGGGGAGCATTATACATCGGGGAGGGCGGGTGGTTGCATGACGAAATGCCAGCCGGCACACTCGAACGAGTCCGGACTTAAGTATTTCGCAAAACTTATAGACTACGGGTAATTGCTACTTTGTGGATTATCTGGCCTCGAAAATAGGGGCGGCTAGATGGTGGATTAGGTACACAGGGTATTCTCTTGTTGATTCTCCTAGGTAGCATGATAAACTCGGAAAAGGGGAGCTTGCTTGTACCACCACTTTACTACCCGGTGCATCAGAATCAGTTAGGTAAACATGGAAGTTTTCTATCTTATGGTTGCAGTGGGTACTGGTTGAAATATTCACTTGAAGTTGACAATGTGTGAAGAATCCCTAAAGATCAGGATTGGCTTGAAGATCGAATGTCAAGAAATAGGATACGTCCTTTTTTTAAGTCTTCTATCCACATCTATATTCATATTGTTTGGGATACTGCAAAGGGATCGATCCATTTCCTCCCTAAGTAGTAGCGATAGCCGGTTGATAATAGCCATTTCTAATAGTCGGACTAGTAAGATCCTAGCTAGTAGAGACTTTCTTTCAGCCAGTTTCTCTACATAGTAAAACCGGATTAACTACGGCCATTCAATAGACTTCTCTATTATATTTCGTCGCATTACACCCGCTATCCGTCTCAACCACTTCAACACACAGTGCCTAGCTCATATTGAAATAGGTAACCTTTAAAATATCACCATATGCCATGCCATAAAAAAAATCCACAAAAGGTTTTGTTAGAAATACATGACTACGGAGAATTATATATATGCCCAATAAATATCCTTGATTTATGCTGCGCTCGCCGATTTTCCTTGCAACCCTACTTGGAGTCCGTTGAATGTTGCTAGGTACCTATCTACATACGTAGATCATAGAAGATTTGTGACATATGTTAATTGAATATTTTTTTTTTTAGCATAAATGCGTATATCATCTTGGACTTTACCTCTCCTTCTATCGAAAAAAAAAAAAATCTAAAAGGAGCGCTCAAACTCCCTCGGGTCTTTGTCTATGATGCTATACCCGCCAAACACACTGTTTCGAGGGCTGTAAAGTTCCTTCACGCCCTTGTAATCATCCTCCTGGATACACATTAGGCTTGGATGTTCGAAATAGTTCATGACTGACAAGTTATTGCGTCTACCAACTAATAATGACGGCCAGCGGCGCTCATTTCGGGCCGTGTCTGCAAACTCGTGTCGTAGGCCAAGGATGTGACCGAGCTCATGGCAGAATACATTGGCCATATACTCATAGTATGGTTCGTTTCTGTCGAAACATGGTGCACACACATATAGTCGTTGCCTTTCCAGAGGAGAGCCTGGGAGGAAAGAATACGCCAACTGGTTAGGATCGTAATTGGTCGAATACACAAGCTGAAATACGGCTGGATTATCGTCTGCAACTTTCTCGAATTGTATACCGATCTTGCCTTTGTTCCACTCACTAGCTGCCTTTTCGAGACTCTGGACAGCATGGTCTGCATCGCCATTACTAAGAAAGCTGCTCCGATGAACGTTGAATGTAATCGTGGACTCCGGTCTCCATCGGAATATATAGAATTCATGTTCGATATGCGCAAAAATGCTGGTGATCAGGTCTGGCTCTGTTTTGCAATGGTATCGACAGCTATGTTTCCCTTTTACAAGGCCCGGAGGATGTTTGAAAGCGAGCTCAACATGTTCCAGGACTCTGGAGGCGCTCAATTGAGATTTTAAGTGAGCCTCGTTGAGATCAATTGCATTGTTCTTAATCTTGATGTCTGTATTGTGTTGAGTTGGTTGCCCACCACCACTCCTACGAAAGATGTTGAAATAAAGGTATGGACTATGACTGTATCTCCTAGGAGTGATTGAAATTGTCTCATCAGCTTCAAGAGAGCTTTGAGAAAGGCTCGCGTGTATGCCACTTCTTGCAGTAGGAAAGCTGCTGGGTCGCTCATGTCTCCATGTAGCTATCGCAGGCTCGCCGCATTTAACATTATAAGCAGGAGAGCGAATCTCATTCTCAGTTACTAATGTTAAATGATCAGTCCAGCTCGTATAATTTGATAGAGACGGAAGAGATAGTAACGTTTAAGAAAGGATTATTGAACTTGGTTTAATATAATTTTATGATGTATGGATTTATAGTATATGTAGAAAATGGGGTATATGAGCCACCACTTACAAACCATGATGAGGCTTGGTGTTCGCCTTATGATAGGTATCTAGGAGGTGCCGAATTAAAGAATGATTTCAGAAAGTATTATATAGGGCAAGTTAAAATGAGGATGAAAAAATAGGTGAGCGAAACAATAATGATGTGAAGATTATATTTCAAATACGCTCATCGGACTGTATTGGGGGTATTATTAAACCTTTGCTGAGTCCCAGCCCAAGAAAGTACCATAATCTTCCCTTTTTTTTTTTTTTTTTTTTTTTTGTATTAATTCATTTTCCAAGGGGAAGGGTCGAAAATGTGGTTCATTTACCAATTCTTGAACTTGCTGTTATAGCACTTTGTACATGAATACATTTTAATATCAGTGTTAACCAGTTACAGTACATTACTCATTTAAATTTGAAATTTGATTGGCTAGGTTTTCCATACCATTCCCAACATGGTGTGTTTGAAGGCTTTTTAAGGTCTTGATTTATTAATATAGATGGAGCGTTACTTGAGGGTTTGCATTTGTAACCATACACCGCCGCCATGGAAAATGTTGCCTTCCAAAGTTGCCTTTTAAACAACTGTCGGCTACGATACATAGATATTCTCCACTTCTCATAGATATTCCCATACATAACTTTAATCAACACGTCAATTGCTATTCACGATATAGGTTAGGTACGTAATCCGTACAGAACCCTTGTCATTCCAACATGACAATTCATGAATAGTTGCTTCTCCTATTGTATTTAATTGCCATACCCCTCTGAATATCTTGCATTAGCCTCCACATCAGTCGAATAAGCACTTCAACAGCACGAAACCCAGTAAATGTAGCCCGGATAGAACCCGTCATTTATTTCAAGATTATGTAACTCTCTACAACACAAAGCTTGCAAACGGGCTTACACCTAGCGGACAGCTATAGAGGAAGGTATGAATTTAATTAGGTATCTTGAGAAAAACAAATTCCCCTCCGCATGGCAACTAATCAAATAGCTAAATGCTGCAAATGCACGCGTCAATGGTATAATACAAGGTATATCGAACCATGCCGAGCCGACTGTCTTCGGCTCTGCAAGTTCTTTAAAGGGGAAAATATGACTGTCCGTCTAAACATCACGGCCTAGTCGGTAGAAACCCACGTAATTCCGAGACGCCAGCCTGCGGGGGTCACTCTATATGCCCAGTTTCTGGATACAAAACGTGACTTATTCTTTAGCACCTTGCTGATTACTAGCCTCCGCAGGCTTATCCATTCCATCAATGAATGGGTCTTCAAGAGATGGTCTATTGATCACTCTCAAGGCCCGTTGAGATCGCTTTGAGCTTGGAAGGGATGAGGTTCTAGACGGGAACTGCTGCTCGTCACCGCTCTCGTCAATTGCGGGCGGTGTAGTGGTGATCCGGGTGTTCTACATCACGGAACACTCGCCCTCTTGCTGTTTGCCGATTTTGCTTCGGGAGATGCGCTCACGTTGACGAGGTCCGCTCCTGCCGGATCGTTTTAGATCTTCTAGGCGCTCGCGAGCCTTGGGGAAATCCTGGCCTATATCATCGTTAGCCTATTAGTTTACCCAGGTATAGACTCAAATTAGATAGTGGTGACAAAACTTACTTGCTGCTCTCCAGTACCATCGTTTAGCATCCTCGAGATTCGCAGGCACGCCGATGCCAACCTCGGTGAAATAGCCCATTGCGTACTCTGCCTTTGCTAATCCAGCCTGGGCTGCCTTTCTAGCCCATAAGTACGCTTCGGTATCGCTTTGCTGTAAGACACCCTCGCTCCCTGTTAGATACCATCCGCTGAGAGCCAGCTCGGATTGGTGTTCCTCTTGCGTGGCAGCTCGGCTGTACCACATGATAGACAATCGCGGATCGACGGGACATCCCATGAGGCCGTATTCATACGCACATCCCATCCTAAACTGGCTGAACTTATATCCGAGCTGAGCAGCCTGTTCGAACAGTTGTAGGGCATATGCTTCGTCGCGTACGATCGCGTCATTCGGTTGCGCCGACTCATACAACAACCCTAATTCGTGTAGTGCATGGGGATTTTCCGGGTCTGCGCGCTCTGCTGCTCGCTTCAGCCATCCAACGGCCTCCCTCGGGTTCTTAGGCTGACCAAGCAGTCCCTTTAGCATGATCATTCCAACCTTATACATCGCGGGAGTATCCCCGAGCGTCGCAGCGCGCTTATACCACTGGATCGCTTTCAACGGGTCTTTCCGTGTGCCACCTCCTTCATCATTGCCTAGCTCGCAGCAGACGGCTGTCCGATAAGCTGCCGCGGCATTTCCCAATTTCGCCGCAGATTGGTATAGCGTGAACGCTTCCTTATGGTCTGAATCGCCGAACATGGCACGGCCTATGCAATCCGCAAAAAAGAACATAGCATCCGGATTTTGAGCACTGGCAAGTTTCTTTAAGATTTTATGCGCATCCATCACGTAACGTTCACGGGATCTAGCCCTTGCCTTTTGGTCGGGAAGTCTAGGAACTAAGACATCCGCAGCTTCGACGAGTTTCTTCGCTAGCGTGAGAGCAGATTGCTGATCGTTCGGATCACTCTTAATAATAGTCCGTAGGCGTTCCAGCTCCTCGGGTGTGACGGGAGTCTTTTCAGTAACGGAAGCCGGTCGTCCATTCTGTGGGGGTGGAGGAAGCCTGCCTTGCGGTCCGGCCGTAGCAGGTGGCGTATCGGCACTATAGTTACGAGCTGGGGTAGGATTTTCGTTCAGATTCACCATGGAATTCGGCATCAACCCAGGCCTAATGGGTGCTGGATGTCCAGAGCCCGGTCCGCCTTGGGGGGTTCCTTGAGAACTACGTCTCGGAGCGCTGGGGGTGTTGGGTAGACCTGGGCCGGCACCTGGGGGCTTATATGCTTGAAATCCACCTGGTGGTACCGGCGGCATGTCACCCACCATCTCGAAGACAGCTGCTTGAGGTTCGCGCAAGTTTGGTTGCGACTTGGCCCTGGACACCTCGGGCTGGCGCGCAGGTCCGGGCTGGTGCATCCCGGGTTGGGCAGGACGCATATGCTGGTCGAACGATTCTCGTGGATTCTGGGAAGGAACCGCATCGAAATCTGGGATTTCCTCGTGGTATTGATTTCCGTGCGGACCATGCGGATTATGCGGACCGGGTGGACCATGCGGGCCAGGAGGGCCAGAATACTGTTCTCCGCTTGCCCTCTGGTCGTAGTATGAATCATAAAATTCGCCAAAGGAACCTCGATCCGGTTGGTCGTTCCATCCTGGGGGTTGTAGTGACCCATTCTCGTACGGCCCCGGAGGTCCCTGAGGACCTGGAGGCCCGGCAGGTCCCGGGGGGCCTTGGTCGGGATACATCCTCTGGGGTGGTGGTCTGTTTCCTGAAGCGGTCGAAGGTCGAGGAGGGGGGTAATTACGCCCAGGAGGGCCATTATAAGGTGCGCTATCCATACGTGGAGGCGGCGGCGGTATGGCGTTTCTCATATAATCATTATTTGCGGGCATCGTCATACTTCTTCCAGGCGGCCCAAATCCTCCATCCCTAGTAGGAGACATCGGGGGACCGTAGCCATCATCTGGATAGCCGTAGCCTTGATCACCAGGTGGGCCTCGTCTTGGATCCGGATATCCTTGTGGAGGCGGCCCTCTCCCTCCCCTTTGACTATCCATAGATGGGCGTCCGTAATCATCCATTGTTGGCGCTCGCCTAGGTCCCGGCATAGGTCCCGGTCCTCTGGCTGGCCCTGAAGTACTTTTAGGAGGCATGCCCGGCCTCCCTCCGTTCAAATCCATTCCACCCATTCGGTTTAGGACATCATTCTCTTCGTCAAGATCCGTTCTTCTGTTATGCCCTGGAAATACTGGGAATGGACTACCGAAATCTTGCTCGTTCGGACTTGCAACGTTCGGGCCGTAACGATCTATGGTGTGAATTAGTTTTAAAATCAAACCTATATAACTTCATCTTCTTACCGTTCTGATCTAAAGAACCAGTGCGATCCGGAGGCCCTGGCCGGCCACCTCGACCAGGAGGCGGATAACCTCTGCCGCCGGGACCTCCGGGACCTCCAGGGCCACCGCCACGTGGAAATGGAGGTCCACGCATCGGGCCTCCTCTTCCGCCAGCACTGGGTGGGGGAGGACGACCGCCTCTACCGGGAGGCCCATACATATCTTGTGGAGGATAACCTTGATTAGGCGGCGGTGGCCGTCTACCATAATTCATATCTTGAGGCGGCGGGCCGTAGTCCTGCTGATAACCATTGTCATATCCATCGTATCCGTAATCGTAGTCATCTTGGTATTGGTTGTATTGCTGCTGTTGTGGTGGATATGCATCCCTGGGGGGGCCTCGAGGTACTCGTGCTGCCGGTCCTGCGTAAGGTCGCTGCTGATCTTGATATCCGCCATTGTATGCCATGTTTGCGACTCGAGGCTCAACGCTTTCCCACCTGCCAACGTAGGATACCACAAATTCTCCAGAAGCTAGCGCTCGATATACTACTAAGCCAGCCCCTCAGCACAGCCTTGTTCCTTTCCTATATAGTAGTAGGCAACAAAGCGCGATGGTCGAAAAAGGCTGGTGTATAATAAGAAGCTGTATTTGGCAGCGTAAAAAATCGAGTATAAGTCGAGGCTCTGGGCCGTCGCAAGTGCTAGGGTTGTTAAGTCGTGGGTCGATTTGGTACCTGAATACTGTGTTTCGGCTCAGTAATGATCGTCGGTTTCGGCAGGCCAGCGTATGCGAAAACGCGGCGAGTCTTGGCTTGGGATTGGTTGACAAACTTTATCCGAGACGCGCTGTAGGCTCGAACTTTGATGCTACAGCACAGTCTTACGCCTTACGCAAGATTAGGTAGTGAATAAGTCAAGTGTTAATATACCCAGTACTGCTCTCGAATGAAGGGATGGTCTGTTTCGGAGACGTTGTGATTTGGTAAAGAAAGTCAACAAGCTAGCGCATTATATAAAGTGAATGCGATATCTGAATTGAGGGGAAACCTTATATCCTTCACATCTCAACTCGGTAATGAGGCGTCGGTAGCTTGGCAATAGAGTTTGTCGAGAGATTTAGAAGGAAAAGGAACAGAACAGCAAAGCTTTTGTTGATGGGTCAACAATGATGTAAATGAGGAATAGATGAAATAAGTCCTGATGAAAGGAATGTACTTAAAGTTGGCGAAAAAGTCGCAGTATAACAAGTATTACCCCTTCCAACAGAGTTGAGAGACCAGTTCCCTATTATTAATTATTTCTGCTCTGCAGAGGGTGGAAGAAGAATTATGTATGAATAAATAAGGACGATCTTTTTTAGGGATTGGTAGGTACTTGAAAGAGATGTGGAAATGCGAAGTTGAGACGATTCGGCAAATCGGGGTACAAGGAGATTATGAAAGTAACACTGCAACCACCGGTATTGAACTTTAGCGTTGCAACTGCCCCTCTACGCCAAATGGCAGGTGCACGGTTAACATATCCGGGTCCAAGTGGGATGTCCACGCGCTAAAAGGGTACATCTTTTGTTGGGTAAAGCTACATCTTGCCATAATATTGTACCTGCATACACTATTTGCACAGCCATAAGAACATTGAATGATTAATTAAAGCTATGCATCTCCCATTGCAATTACAAGGGGATCCGGAGGCCTAAGAATACCTAAATACCTTATATATTATCTACTCTTCCTATCCCTTTATTTTTCCTAAGACTAAAGTAATTAGGTACATATTGATGTAGGTACCTAGGTACCTATGTATGTACTCCTTCAAGTGTCAGTGGATGCAGCAGGTGTTTTAACTTCGGCCGGCTTCAAGAATGTCAGCCATCTCGCTCTGCTCTTCTTATGGTTTGTCTATAATTAAAAGAAGGATGGGTACACAACAGCGCGCAGCGCTTCCATTAGTAACAAACACAAACAGTCACCGCCCACAACATAAAAGTGCTGATTCAATACAACTTTAAAAGATATTTATCGAACTTGGCTGCATTTGCATGAGCCATAATAATATAAAAATAAACCCAGCACTATAACTCTACTAGTGTAATAGTGTAACTAGGTACACATACATACATGCGTACGGACATATCTTCGTCATATGCCAAGCAATGTTACAGTATCAAAATCAACTAGGGCTGAACTCATAATAGCACCTGATTGGCTTGATGATCCCATCGGATACCTCACAAAAGTAAAGCCAGCCTCATCCGCCCCCTGTTAGCATGAACCAACTTGGCCACTCGCAATGCCGGGAACCGGGTGAAGTCGCTCAAATGCTAGTGTACAGGCTCTAAAATGCGAAAATTGAAACATGGCTTTTATATTTCAGAGATGGGTTTAACTTCCATACTATTAGCAGTCTATTACCTACATCTATATATTCCATACCTCGCTAATACCTATTCTAATTTCATCAATTGTGTTTGTTTCATGTTTGCTTTTTACGTACTATGTACTTCAGCTCATATGCATTACATCAAGCCAGCGGGAGGATCCGACCCGGTGAGCGCTTTGGAATGGGAAAGCAACGTGCTTTAGCCGCGGTTGGGCGGTTTACATAGAAACATAAAAGGCTGCTAGATAATACGGCAAATACGCGCTGGTTACCATGTATTAGACGAATGGGCGTATATTCAGACTTATGTAAAATAGTATCATGTACTTCGTATCATACTTAAAGTTGCGATCCAATGGCAAGGAGAGGATTTGTGATAGCCAGGCCCCACCAGCCACATCAAATTATGTAAGAGAGGACCCTGAACAATGAACTTTCGTCATCGACCATTATACTACCTTTAAACCCGTACCCAAGCAAAGAGCACTTTTAACTTGCGCGCGCCCTTTTCAACACTTTACCCGCGCCTACTATATGCCACGAACCTAACCAAATAGCAGCGAAACTCACAAGATGGCAGTTAGGCCAGGAAGGCTCGGGACATGGCTTAAAATGCTTGTTGTGTAAGTAAGCGCGCTCTAATGCATTTACCCACCTGATCTACCTCAAGTAACAAGTAACGATACATTCACCAATGTCAAAAGTAAGCGTCAAAAGTAAGCGCCGCATGACTAACCTATACGAATCCACAGCGGCGGCGCAGTTTGCGTAGGAGGCCCCGCGTTCGTCATGTGGGTGCACCCGACCGACGAGGAACTCTTCAAGAAGTATAATCCGGAGCTGCAGAAGAAAAGCTTGGAGCGGCGGTACGAAAAGCAGAAGGAATTCGACGACTTCGTGACCCAGCTCAAGGAATATTCAAAATCAGATAAACCGAGTATGTGCGATTATCCTTTCAGTCCCAATCCAATGTCGAATCTACCCCGCGCAACATAGCTGTCCAGACGATATTGCGAGGGGAAGATGGGGAAGATAGGATTTATACAAGCGCGTGCTAATATAGTGGACAGTATGGGTGGTACAGGAAGAAGCCGCACGAAAGCGGAAGGAAGAGATGTTGCGGCAAGACTTCTCAGAAGCCGAAGAAGCAAAGGCGAGAAAAGAGGCCTTGAGGAAGGAGTCCGGACTATCGTCTAGTTCTAATAATTGAATGATACCGCCTATACGTTTTACGAGACACAGTTGTATTATAAGATACTGAGACGGAATCTTGGAATAAAAAAAAGGGGGGAAAGGCCGGGGTCAAAAGGCATTATAACACGGCGTCTGGTCGAAAATCGGGCGCAAGTTATTTGCGGCTTGCGATGTATTTCTATATATACGATCATGAACGCCTATCAATGTTTATTCATTCAAATATGGTTACTAGTAGACTTCTACTCTTCAAGACGCGCAATATTCGTGTCGACCAGGTCTTGGATCTGCTTCCACCTCTTGATTAGAATCTCCTTTTGCTGCGGCTCGCCAACATCTAGTGACTGCGCCTCGGATATCTTCTTTTCAGCAATATTTCTTTGTTCCCTCAGCAGCTCCAAGACCAAACGATCTACGTTCTGCTGACTACGCTCCCCGTCGTCGATCCCATCCACGAACCTCTTCCATTCCCTAACTCCACAGCATAGCAACCTTGCCGCGACCTGTGTCCTATGGCATACAGTCTCCCGGTCCAAGATATATTTCCCTAGAAATCCGACTTCTTCTAACCTTTCCTTTTGTCGTTCGCTTAGTCTCGAGAGCAGCACTTCGTCGAGTAAAATCTCGTCCCATCGATTCTCATCCATGACGAACCCGTATTCGACAAGTAGGAAATCTCCACTATGTCTGCCATAGCAAATCTTGACCTCATCTCCCTGAGCATATGCGCGTGTGGCCTTAATAGAGAACCCCTCATCATCAAACGCTACGTTACAACCCCCGTCGTCCGTGTGATTGAACAGGTCCGCAACGGGTTGTAGGCACATGTGGTCGTCTTTGGGTCTCTTCTTCAGCTTGGTATTGATATAATAAAAGGTTCGTGTATTGACCAACATCCACGCATACCTGTACCTCGCTTCGTCTAGCTGCTCGGGGAATGCTGCCGAGACGGTAGCCCAGTCGAGCTTGAGTTTAGCTTCTTGCTTCAACAGCAGGTCTCGTGCCGCTGGGGGTAGTAAAGCACGGAGTCCCTCTGGCCAAACTAGCGGCATGCCAGCGAAGTCTTCGGGGGTCGGACACACTGCGTTCCAGATAGCGTACTTGGAAGATCCATCCAGAGCCAGATCAGCAGCTAGAAGGCCATGGATAGAGATGGCCTTTGGGAGATGGCGGATGATGGGCTTGTGAACCGTGTCTATGCTACGGATGCAAGATGTAGGAACATCAAGGACGATCTCTTCGGGCTATGGACTATGTTAGTTGGTATTCTTAACGGAGCTTTTACACAAGAACAACCCCCAGCACAGTGGAATAGACTATAACGGACCTTAATCGCTCGAGTTGCCACTATACCGATACCCCTATCGGGGATACGTTTAGGCTCGATGGCATTAAGCTTAACGCCTTTCTCTATAGCCCAAGAGAGGAGCTCTTCGTGGGATCCCATGGTTATGTACCTAGGTTAGGTAGGTTACGAAAAGGAATTCAAATAGACGAGTTCGTAAAGAATGTAGATAATAAGAACGCGATTATGAAGGAAACTATAACTATAACTGGCCCTGCCTGCCATGACTGTATATGGAAAGCATAGTTGTCATAACAGCTTTAGCAAACATTGAGTTGACGGTGGTGGATGCCTAACTGACAGCAGAAAAAGATGGAAGAATTTTGTGCTTCCCAACTCCGATACTTATACAAAAATTTGCGAAACCAATAGATTAATAAGAGGTAACATGATATAGGTAACCACAGTATAGAATCGACGATATACAGCGAACAACATATGTTTTTAACTTGTTACCGATAGTTATGCCATTTTTCTATTTCTATCCGTTATAGTTGACGGATTTCTTTTCATCATTCGGCTCTTCTGTTAGGTATTGTACAATAGTTACTAAAATTTAACCTATATTTGAGTCAGTTAATTGGGATAATATGTTTTAACTAATGTATTAATTCCTATCCGTTTTATTTAATACGTGTATTATCTCATCATCTGTGCTATAGGTATTAATTATTAATTATTATATTCTAAGCTCGTCATTTGGAAAACGATCTGGTGCGCCGGACGGAGATGTGACCGGCTGCAATCATTCTTAAATCCGGGGTAAAAGCCGATGATAAGGAACACCCCGACACCCCGCCATAGCTTACGGAACTTCGGTATGTGTCGTCATATAAGTTTTAGGTACCTTCCCCCAGGACCTATTCTGGCAAGACCAACCTATCAATTTCGTAATTTAGGTTCATATGTATAGGTTAGGTAATTTTCTGCTGGCTTAAAGCTCTTCCTTCTTTTTGATCCCTCCACCATCTAGCGTCCCACCAACAATCCAGCAATCGGAGGGATACCGGAGAGATACCAACAACACAATCCACTTGTGCACCCACAACACTTCCAGTCTAGACACGATGAGTAGCTCAAGGTCGACGTCGACGTCGGATTCAGATCTGGGGGCGCATTTCCCCGAGTATTTCGTCGACGCCGAAGATAATGATGACGACGAGCATGATCCCGAATACGAGGAAGATGAGGAAGATGAAGATGAGGAAGAGGATATGCTAGATCAAGATGACATGGCACACGACGTATTCGAGGATGAGGATGAGTTTCATGGTATGCGAGACTCCCGAACAAGTCAGAAGCTCTACAGCTAACTAATAAATACACCTCCAGATGCCGAAATGGGGAACGTCGAGTTGGTAATAGAGGTAGGAGACGATGGAGAAGGTTCATATGCGGCCGACGCTGAAAGGGTAGCTATACAACAGCGCCTAATCAACTTAATAAGTAGTGCGTCCCATGTTGCTAGAAATCGATCAGTTGTGATCTAACAGCTGCCATACAAATAGGCCGCCGTACTGGCTTACTGTCGCAACGACAAGTCCTGGATTTCCTCCGAAGATCAAACCTCGGTCACTTGGTATTTGGCGAAGGCGAAGACGACGACGACAATGAAATCAGCTTCGAGTACCGGAGACGGCGGCGCGAACTCGACCCGGATAGATTCCCTAAAGTTCCGAGCCAGGAGGGGAGAAGTCTGATGGACTCCGGCACGTTCGGTGCGAGTGAGATTCAATCTTCTATTAGCTCAAAGAAACAAATAGCCCGTCGGATACTTGATCGTGAGCTTGGCATAGGAAGTAGGAGGTCTCGCCAGATCAACCAAAGCATGATGGCACAGTCTATGATTCCTAGCTCGGATGCCGAAATGATTATTAATTATCCCGATAATGTTTATTCGGGTCAATTCTCAGATGATGGCAACTTTTACTTCGCTTGCGTTAAAGACATGAAGGTTCGGATGTACGACACTTCTAACCCGTATAGCTGGCGACATTACAAGACGGTGCCGTTTACGTTCGGTTCTTGGACCTTGACGGATGCATCTCTAAGTCCGGACAACAAGTGGCTAGCATACACTTCTATCCAGAGTAATGTCTGCTTAGCACCGACTGATCCGAACGACACGGGTGATCCATACATGTTGAATTTATCAGAAAATGGGAGGGCAGGCTGGCGTGGCGGGTTTGGTATCTTTTCGATCCGGTTCTCTGGCGATGGACGGGAGCTAGTAGCTGGAACGAACGCAAGTTCTATCGTCGTATACGATATCGAGTCGCGTCAGGTGTTGCATACGATAGAGGGCCATGATGATGACGTTAACGCGGTGTGTTTTGCGGATAAATCTTCACCTCACATCTTATACTCAGGTAGTGACGATGCGACGATTAAAGTCTGGGACCGGCGGAGCATGGGAGATGGACGAGAGGCCGGCGCGTTTGTCGGCCATATTCAGGGTTTAACGTATCTGGATAGTAAAAACGACGGCCGATACCTACTAAGTAATGGCAAGGACCAGAGCATGAAGCTTTGGGATCTGAAGATGATGTACACGACAGCGCGGTTCGAAGAGCTAAACCCGCGGCAACACACACGATACAGCGAATTCGACTACCGCTGGGGCCGGTTCGACGATGCCGACTGGTTCCCACATCCAAATGACAACTCGTTGGTAACCTTCCGCGGCCACGAGGTACTGCGCACCCTAATCCGCTGCCACTTCTCGCCACCCGGTAGCACCGATTCGCGTTATGTATACACAGGTAGCCACGATGGTAAGGTCTACATATACAATATGGATGCTACCATTGCCGCTGTTATCGACGTTCGGAAGTCCACACAAGCATCGCCTCAGACCGGTGCCGAGCGCAGGTCCTACGGCGGGTATAGATCTCAAGGTTGGTCGACAGTCGTTAGGGATGCGAGCTGGCATCCCACTGCTCCTTTTATTGCTGGTAAGTCTAAGTTTATACGCGTTTCCGTCCCCCATTTTAGGGATTGTTAGGTTGGTGTAGTAAGGTGGGCAGCTAACTTTGAGAAATAGCATCGTCACTGAACGGCTGGGATAATGCCCTGGGTACGGTCACGTTGCACTCATATAACGAGTCCTCGGCGGATGAGGCTGAACCACGTATGGGTACACGCTATGACGAGAAATTGAGGCCGCTAAGCTCGGGCCGTCGCTCTGAAGGATATTCTGATGAAGAGGACACTGATGAAGAGGACGATTTTCAAGGAGATGAAAATATCTTAGATATCTTCGCCTAACGAACTTGAGACGAATGGTACGGATTAGGAATGGGGGAGGGGTTTTTTTTTTTCGAGCGACATATCCTCTCTGCTTTTTTGGCCATTATGCTCTTTGTTTGGCTGTTTCATTTTATTATTTTATTAGACAGTAAGTTATGGACCCTTTGGACGAGGCGTTTGAGTTTTCAAGGCACATATGGGATTTAGGGGGCATAATACGTATCAAGGCGCACTGGCTAATTTTCTACAACTTCGCTCATTTTCATGAAGCACTGAAAAGCAATTTTATACAATGGTCTAGAGAGATGCCAACGCAGGTAGAGCAAATACAGGAGCGCTTTTTATGACCTCAAGCTTGCCTCTCCCTTTGTGATGGAATAATCGAGCAATACCTATAGCTTTTCCTCGATCTCGACCGCGATGATCAATCATATATCGTATAATGCCACACTAATACCGACATGTAGTATAGTATTATGGAAGTCTTTCTTCGTCCCGGTCTTCACTATACATCTGTCCTGTTTTCGTGCACCTTAGCCAACCCAACTCCGCGCCTCGAAATCCATCTCTCTTGAATCGTTTATGCGGCTCCGACTAGGATGTTGTTGACGGGGATGTGAACTACGGGTAGAATATTAGTAAACGACTCTTCGCATTTCGCATACGGAAGTGAGGCCATACTTAGTTTTATCAAGTAGCCAATTGCGCCCATGACTAGGAAACCAACACCGACGGCCTTGCTGATCTGGATGAACTCGCGCTTGTCGGCTGTGAAGTATAATTGTTAGTATACTCGTTCTTATTTTATGTCTTCGCTGTGCTTTGCTCCGCTCGTTCCTTGTATCCGTCTATTCGGCTTGCGGTTATCGAGCTCCACAGACATAGCACGGGCTATATATGGGGGGTCATGGAGCGAGGGATAGATAGACATACGCTTAGTGCATCGCGTCAGGAATTGCGTGCCGTCCTTGACGAAGTCCCTGGGAATTTCGAGGATATCTTGAATGTCGGACATTGTGGGTGGGTGGATGGTGGAGATGATGGTAAAGTTGCGATTGAGGTAGATGAATTCGTAGAAAGGCAAGAAAGAAGTGTCTTGTCGAAAGGGAAAAAGTTGAATTGTTGGCTTGCTAAGGAAAGGAGCGGGAAGTAATTGAAGGTGCAAGTGATGTGGTGATGGATACTAACGGCCAGATTTCCTAGTAAATGTTCAGGTACGTTATCTCCAAATGCGCTAGCTGCAATCTGGCCTGGCCAGCAAAACATTGAAAGCTGTACATGTACCTAACAGATACACTTTTTTAGGTAATGTAATGCTACCTCAGGTTTAGGTAAGCAAGCCAAAGGACGTTGAACGCTAAGCGGGCCAATACCGGTGCTTGCCAGCTTGCCCACAGCCTAGGTACAGTACTCGCAGCCTCATTTAAGCATCTGAATAGTGGGTCACCCACCACCCACCACCCCCCAAAGCTCAGCCCGCTCTACCGATTTAGCGTTAGACCTTCGGGCTTGAACTCCCCTTGTCGCTTGCCGCTTGTCGCTTGTCGGCGGTTTTTAGTTGTCGAGTCCATCTAAAACCGTTTCCTGTCAGAAACACAGTCAAACTTTCAAGTTCAACAACAACGGCAAGCACACATCAATCTTTGCTTCATCCCATCAACCACGTAACCGTAACCCCGTCAACATTGCCAGGTGTAGTGTGGCCGACTGACTCATTCCCTCTATTACCCGACTATGTGTATCTCTAAGTAGTACCTTGCCCAAGCCGCTTACGACGCGTTGCCAACTCCTTTCCCTCCTCCCTCTTAACTTTTGACTCTCTTGACTCCTTAGGTCATTTTATTTATTTATTTATTCTTTCTTTTTTTTTTTTGCCCACGTTTGACTATTGAGATCAAAAAGGGCATTAATTATCCCCGGACCGTTCAATTACCGGGTCACAGGACATTTTTCGGGGGGATGCGTTTTCTACTAATACTTCCATAATATCGAGCAATTCATAGGAAAACTTGGGGAACCGCTCTACATCTTTTTCTACTTCAGAATTCAGACTTCAGACTTCAGATATCACGCTGCTTGTACTCTACTCTACACAAACAACCATCATTTCTGCAGTCACACCACAGTTTCAGACATTTGGGAATAAGGAACCTTGCGCACGCGCTTATTTCGAGGAAGGCTGCCTAAAGACTGCAAGCACAGAGCTTCGTCTTTAATTATTTCCATTTATCCAGGGCCCTATCGTCGTGCAAGGAGGATAACCTGCTTGAGGAGCTAAGCTCATAGGAAATATCTATCACAAAGGCTGATAAGTGTACGTATTTGATACCGTGAGAAATCTCTTTTCCTCTTATTTGTTTTGTTTCTTCTCTTATCCGGCCGAGGATCCAAACATGTATTTCTGGTTGACTGATGATATGGAGTGGAAGACGACAGGCACTTGTATCTACTCTGAATACATCCTCACTTGACAGACATCAGAGCTTCAGAACTACCTTTCTTCTTAGTCTCATTGATATTGCAACACCCTTGTCAACTTTCAACCACCTTTTTCCGATATGGCGGACGAGGATTTCGAGATTGACGTCTATGGTGACGCGAACGATGCGAATGACTCCAACACCAATGTGGATGCCGATGATTCTAGACTCGATGATTCGAATAATCATGCTTATGAAAACAACTCTTCTATAACTATTGCCAACGGCTCTAATTCGGAATCTACCACACACGCACACAACGACGATTACGACAACGACCAACAAAACATGGATGCCCAAAGTAGTAGCGCGACACCCACCACGTCATATCCGCAAGGCGTCAAGCGTAAGGAGGTGTCCGGCGGCAACAGACCTGTCGATCCAGGTGCTACCAGTGCCCTGTTGCTCTCGGAACTTCAATGGTGGACCACGGACGACGAAATCCGCGGCTGGATTCGACAAGCCTCCTGCGAGGACGAACTGAAGGATATTACGTTCAGTGAACACAAAGTTAATGGTAAAAGCAAGGGGTATGTAATGTCTATCCGGTAGAGCTAGCGATCCTTTACTAATATTCTCCTTATAGTCAAGCCTATATCGAATTCGCCTCGAAAGAAGCCGCCACCGCTTCTAAGCACCAAGTAGAGCACGCTGCTGCCACGTCCACTCAGCCAGGTGGCAAGAAAGTTACGGTCATATATACGTCGCATACAAGCAACCCATTCAAGACTTTACCAAAGGATGCGCCTGCCCGAGCCAACAAGGACGGGCAAACCCGAGGAGGTTCTAATGTGGGAGGTTACAATGATCGCGGCAATTTTAGAGGACGTGGTAACTTCGCCGGGCCCCGTGGAGGATTCAACCGCAACTTCTCAAGCAATATGGGAGGCGGCTTCCACAACAATGTTCCTAGCGGATTCAATAACAACATGGGCGGAGGAAACTTCGGTTTTAACAACATGGGAGGCGGTGGCGGCGGCGGCGGCGGCTTCGGCTTCCGTGGTGGAATGATGCCCGGAGGAGCTATGGGAGGAATGCGTGGTGGTGGTATGCGCGGTGGCCGAGGTGGAGGTGGAATGAATCCTGGTATGAACGCCGGCATGAACAACGGTATGATGGGCGGAATGGGTGGAATGGGCATGCCTTTAATGGGCTTCCAGCAGCCGGCACATTTCAACCCGGCCTTCTTCAGCGGCAACCAGCAGCAATCCGAGTGGCAGAACCCCCACGGAGCGAAGCGACCGCGCGAAAACTAAAGACAGTATAACTGTCTCAACACTAAACAATCCCTTCTCGCATAAGAATTAGGGCGACTACTACCTATTTAGGTCGAACATTTCGGCATGGGATAGCATTATGGCTTTTGCAGTTACGGAAACAGTTTTCAGGTATTGTAGACAGGGAGGAAATATGGACAGATGAGCAACTAAGTTGCAGGTAGGCGGGCCGTCTCGGCTTTCAGGGGGTTACGGTCAAATTCTCCGGTCCATTGAAAATTTCTAGTCACTAGGGGCTCTTCGTCTTTCATAGGTATGAATCGAGCAAAGGTAGCCTTGTAGTGTTACTTATTATTAAGAGTGGTAGTTACCTAAGTGCCTAACTCAAGTAGCCTTTTTGGATATCGTGACGGCTTTGCGGTCTGAACCAAAGAGCCCGAGAAGGTAGGCTGTACGGGTTAAGCATAGGAAGGTCTTTTATTAGATCAGTGTTAGTTGTAGTTCGAGCATATCCCCGTAGGCTCGTTGTGAGTAGGTATTTTGGGGGATAGAAGAATGGGAGTATAACTTACAGTAAACCCGACGTTACCCCAAGTCACGGCGTTCCACGAACCGACATCCAACGTCCTATCGTATCCAAGGAGCCAGCACGTAACGCCGACGTGACTTATATCCGCGATCCTATGACGTGAGAAGGTTAGTATCAAAGTAGGATGTGCTATATGGGAAGCTTATGGAGTGTTTGCTACCCTGCCGTATGATGGGCGTAAGACTGGTAGGGACAAGGATGCCACTCATTACTCAAGATAAAACTATATCTACTATATCCCGTAATATGAAACATGAAAAAGAGCCGGGGAAACGAACCATAGAGAAATAAGATAGTTACGAACAACCTTAAGCTCGGTAGTAGTATATAGTACAGCTACACCAAGAAGGAATAGGAGCCCGTATGTGTTTCCTAACTGGAGGGCAATCAGGCGCGCATTATCGTCTCGCGGGGCGAGATTACTGCCATCTGCGGCGCCAATCTGTGAGGCTATAAACCATTCGGGGTCTAAGAAGGGCCCGAGAAAGCCACCAATACTAACGAGTGACGTTAGTTAGGTAGTAAATATATACGTGTTAATCAAGATATCATAGCTTACAGAGAGATAGGCTCTACGATAGTGAAGATAGTGCGGGGGAACGCCGGTAGTTGCGAGGCCATAATCCCAAGTACCCTTTATATTATAAACTTGCAGTAGATAGTTGATATTAATATCTACCTAACCCCCAACCAGATATATTGTGGCGGGTAACGGATAGAGTATTGGGTGTAAGTGATCCGTCTGCTTGTGTATAAGAGAGTCCACGTATACCTAGTAGCGGGTCAAGCCGTAACCATGCGATAAGCGTTTGGCTGTTAGACTTGATAGACTTATATTAGACTTGTGAAGTAAGACCAATATAAGATTTAGTAAACAAGAATTGATCTTGCAGGAACGCTTCCTTCTAGAAGGAAAAACAAAAAAAAAGATGATGAAGTTGAAACAATAAGGATGCGGGTTGGGTATGATGAGTAAGTCGAACGATTATGGTGGATTATGGTGGATTATGGATTATGGTGTCAAGCAGTCAAGGTACGTAAAAGTACCGAACCGAACCGGCGTGGAGCGCGGTGTCAGAATAGGGGAAGGAGCTGCTAGGATAGCGGCAGGATAGAGGCGGGATTGTCCCGATTGGGTCATGATACAGGTACGAAAACTTTAAAGGATCAAAGGGTAGCAAGAGGCAAGGTCCGCGGACCGCAAGGAAAGAAGAAATGCATCAGAAAGTTTCATTCGCAACTGCAGATATGAGAAATGCTTGGCATTTTACCCAGCCGAGAAAGGAGGATGATGATTAATTTGAATTTCTCTGCTTTGGTTATCTCTAGTGTAACCAAAACATCCCTCCTCATTTCTCTCACCTTTTTTTTTTTTTTTTTTTTTTTTCCTTTCCACTCTTTTCATAAATAACTTTGAGAGAGTTTTTTTTACTTTGCAGGCCATTGACCCCCAAAATGGTTCCGGCACCCCGAAGGCAACTATCATCATCCATAAACCTAATCGGTTCAATAAATTGCTGCATTGGTTTTAGTACATAAAGGTAGGTAGGTTACTGGTCACTGGTCACTGGTCACTCTACATTAAGGAGGGATCAATGGTCAATGGTCAATGGTCAATGGTCAATGGATCAATGGTTCCTATGGTTGTTTCTTGTTTCTTCACGTGAAGAAGCAGCAGTTAGAGAAGACTGAAAAGAATAACGCAAACGCAAACGCGGCCAATCCGCACTAATACCTTTTTTCTCCCATTTCCTAGCACCTGCAGCCATACTTTTGGTCCTATCAATGATAGGAAGAAGTTTTCCTTTTTCTCTCTCTCTTTCTTAATTATTATTACTATTATTATTATTCCCTCCCCTCAAAGTAAAGAAATAAAAGGGGGCAACGAGGATATGAGGATCCTAGGATCTATTTGATTCTTTTATCGGTGATTGATCGTCTACACAACCTTTTTTTTAATCTTTTTTTTTCTCCCTGTTTCTTTTCTCGTACCATAATCTAAAGCCTTCTTACCCTTTTCGCATCTATTTACCAAAGATAGACAGAGACAGACAGACAGACAGTATCATACACACTGTGTTGAATTCTCGTGGTTATTTCTCACTCAGACAGATCAAACAGTAGTGTCCTCACTATTTTCCCTGGTCTCTTAAGAGTCTCGACTGTTCTTCATTCCCCTTATCGCCTATCCCACTTCTACTTCTACTTCTACTTTCACTTCCACTTTCACTTTCACTTCTCGCCCTCGCTCGCCTCCCACCTCCACTCTCCTCCGTGCAAACAAAGAGTCCGTCCGAGACCCTTTTTTCCCTCTCCCAATGCCCTTCTCTTGCCAATTCCCATCGACCCACGATGGCTACTATCGAGCCGCGACTCATTCATCTGCTGAACGAATCAACTGCTACACCACGGCCTCACCATGCTGAGCTCCCGCCCATCAAAGTCCTTCCTCTACCCAAGGCGTCCGGCCGTCTCCATCCAATCGGGCCCGATGCTAGTCAGAGATCCGAAATCCCGGACACAAATCTAGGTCAATTAGCTTCGCAGTCTATGCCCTCGCTGCATTCGGTCGTAGACGAGGCTTCCGTTACGAATGCCTCCTTGAGGGCCGACATTAGTCAACCATCGGATCGAGCATTACTAAGTCATATATCGTCCCAGGATTTGCGAATGATACTAGATGACACGCCAGATATCACCGAAGACCTCGGGAAGAAGAGACGACCAGTAAAGGAAGACTTCGTGCAGCTACCGCAGCCGCTCAAGAAACAGAAAGCGGCAACTCAACAGCATATGTTTCCACCAATCATAGTAGGATTGCTCGAGCCACCATCCGATGCTTCTCTTTTCCCGCCAATTTCTTCCGGATCGTTCGATAATCGTCCGCATTCCGAGCCTCCGCAAGCTCTCAGTATTACTAAACCGCCCGAAACATCAGAACCGGCTGAGGAAAAGACGAATCCCAGCCCTCCGCCCGAACCCGAACGGACGCCCACGGGGAAAGTCAAGCGACGGGCTGCTAAGCCGCGACGAAAATGGTCAGAAGAAGAGACCAATCACTTATTGCTTGGCGTGAGCAAGCATGGTGTTGGAAGATGGACAGACATCTTAGAAGACCCTGATTACAGATTCAACGACCGGACTGCGGGTGATCTAAAAGACAGGTTTCGGACTTGCTGTCCGGAGGAGCTCCGAGCAAGCCCGTCGGCTAGGGGCGACATATCCCGAGAGAAGCAGCCCAGCGTGAAAGCCAAGGGGAAGCCGACGAAGGGTCTCATGTCCGAGAATATTCTGAACGAAACGGAAGAAGAGATTGAAGTCGAGCAGACGCAATCTGCCCAGAACGATTCTGATCCCACACCCCAGAGGCAACGAAAGAGCAGGGCCCATCGCAAGAAAATGGAAGATTTAGTAGAGTTAGGTATTAAGGGACCATTTAAAAAGTCACATCGGAGAGAGCGGCGTCCATTTTCTGAGCAGGATGATAGAGAGATATTGGAAGGATTCGAGCTATATGGGCCGCAGTGGACCAAGATCCAGAGGGATCCAAGGTTTAACCTATCTAGTAGGCAGCCAACCGACCTACGAGATCGGTTGCGAAATAAATACCCCGAAAAGTTCGCAGGTACAGAAAAGACAGCCATGCAAGTTAGAGAGCCTGGGCAGCCGGGACGAGGCAACAACCTGTTAGAGCCTTCTGTCAATATGGCAATCGATAATTCACTACACGTTTCCAAGTCGGCTTTGCTCGAACCCCAACTTAACCGAACCAACTCGAAGGAAGATATGCCAAAGTGGCCGTTACCTTCCAGTCTTATTGAAACGGGAGATTCGTCCCAACAACCTCACCCTAACCTTTACTGGAATGAAGGCTCAGGACCCGGATTTGGGTCCGGTAGTATGGGAGAAATGGATATATCACGCCTCCTCCTCGATGACACGCAGGTTACAAGTGAGCCGCCTTCGGAGAGACGTGGTCCAGGATGAAATGACCCAGTTATGTCGAAGGAGGCATTAGAACACAGAGTAGTGAATCCCTTTGAAAGGGAACTAAGAAATTGTGACGATAGGCACATATGGCTAAGACTAGCATTCTACCTAGAGACGGGAGGATAAACTACAAGGTAGCCCGAGGTATGAAGGATGGGTTTTAAGTCGATATTGCCAAAATTCGGCCCGGAATGGTGTCGAAATTACGCAGGAAGATGTACCTGATTTTATGCTTGATTGAGCATAAAGGTCCTGTCGTTACAGAACATACGATACGGCTGTATCACTGGTTAAGGTGCGAATGGGACGAATACAATATATGTCGTGGGATGAGGGATAGAAGGAATGGGTTTATGACAATGACTGATGACTTTTATAGTCACAGCAAAACAACTCTAAATTTATTGACAAATTTGTATTGACCGATCCTATATTTGCAATAAGACGAAGGGAGAGTTTGAGAGCTTCTGGTCGTTTACTACCTATGTACAGTTCACCCCCTGAAATAATGTTCGTTTTTCGGACGTGCACGATATTAAACAGGGCTTGTAATTCTGAATAGAACAACGCCCTTTAAAGCGTTTCAACTATTATAACAAGGCTTTATGGGCGTACTATAACCTAGGCTCAGATATATATACATTCTGATGTATGAGGATTAATTTATGGTGATCAATATGCATTCTATGAGAGCATGCCAATACCGAGTGTCTTAGTGGATATGTACCTCTATTTCCTCCGCAATTCTGGTTTATACGTACTGGGCCAATCCCCTTGAGATGCTATATCAGTGTTGGTAGTATATGTATGTTAGAAAAGCGCTCAGATCTCAGATGACTTGGTGGTCTAGAATCGACGATGGAGGTACGTACCTCTGAGTAGATCTTGTAAAACAAGTGCCAAGAGATTTCTGCAGCTCCCGTGCACAGACCACTAACCCCCAACACCTATGTACATAGTACATATGTACATATGTAAATGGCCCCACATCACACTAGGGCACAAACCTGCCTTTTCTCGCTTCCCGCAAAAATTTGGAACTAGGCACATCCAATTCAACTTTTCTCAAGTCGCAATTGACAACCCTCCACACCAATCTGCCACTTCACGATAACTCCAATTACCCATCGTTGAACAGTCAAAATGGCCCGTGGACCGTAAGTATATTATCTCTAGATCTCGTATTTACTTCAACCGTATTTGGGGGAGGGAACGATGCGTCTGCTTAAGAAGTTCTCGCAACTCTCGAAACGCGCATTTCCGCGTCGAATTTCCCACCGCTGAAATTTTACAAATTCTACACGACATGTACTAATTATACTTCAACCTGCAGTAAGAAGCACCAGAAGCGCCTGAGCGCCCCCTCCCACTGGCTTCTCGACAAGCTTTCGGGTGTCTACGCCCCTAAGCCGTCGGCCGGTCCTCACAAGCAGCGCGACTGCATGCCCCTCATCATCTTCATCCGCAACCGTTTGAAGTATGCCTTGAACTACCGCGAGGTCAAGGCCATCCTCATGCAGCGCCTGGTCAAGGTTGACGGCAAGGTCCGCACCGACAACACCTACCCCGCCGGCTTCATGGACGTCATCACCCTCGAGAAGACTGGCGAGCACTTCCGCCTCATCTACGACACCAAGGGCCGATACACCATCCACCGAATCCAGTCCGAGGAGGCCGAGTACAAGCTCGGAAAGGTCAAGCGAGTGCAACTTGGCAGGGGCGGAATCCCATTCTTGGTCACGCACGATGCGAGAACGTGAGTTCTGTCAGACATCATTCAGCCGTTGGATCAAGCTTTGGTTGAACCACCTTTTCCCATCTTGTGATAAGATCGAGCTTCGAACTAATGGCTGGTATGTCCCCTCTTCCTCCGCGCATGCTAACATGTCTCTTTTTTTTTTGCAGCATCCGCTACCCCGACCCTTTGATCAAGGTCAACGACACAGTCAAGATCAACCTCTCCACCGGCAAGATTGAGGACTTCATCAAGTTCGACACCGGTGCTATTGCCATGGCCACTGGTGGTCGCAACATGGGTCGTGTCGGTGTCATCACCCACCGTGAGCGCCACGATGGAGGTTTCAACATCGTCCACATCAAGGATGCCATTGACAACACCTTCGCCACCCGTGAGAACAACGTCTTCGTTATTGGCTCTGAGAAGCCCTGGATCTCTCTGCCCAAGGGCAAGGGTGTCAAGCTCACCATTGCAGAGGAGCGTGACCGCCGCCGAGCCCACGCTCTTGCCGGCCACTAAATGGTCTTCTTTCGGTAAAACAACAAAACGGGATCTGGCAGAGGGTTGACTTTTTCGCAACGCATGGGAACTGGAGTCTGGCATATCCGATTCAATCTTACCAAACGAGTAAGATTCGTGGTTTACCTAGGTCAATGATAATGAGAATTAATTGACCCCTGATCCCGCCTTTACGTTAGGCAGTTATGTATCTGATCTTCTAGATTGTGCATGCTAGTATTTTTGTGTTTCTCGTTGGTATGCTTGGCTATATGCCTTGCCTCTATGCCTTGCCTCTAATCGTAGTCTCGCCTCCATACCCCCTAATATCGTCCCTATCGTATCATACCAACGGGGAATGGCTAGGAAGGTTGCGTAAATTTACCGTGTTCGAAGAGTCTTTTCTCTTACGTACCTCTTATGCCAGCCAGTGATAGTAGAACAAATCAGTCTAGCATTAACTTGCAGATAGTGCAATCCTCCGCATGATGGTGCTCAACGCACGACATGTAAACGGTATGTTACGCCCCTTTGTTCCATCTTTGCCGAAGTCATCATCCTTGTTCCAGCTCACCGCTTGTTTTGTCCTGAAATCTGCCTCCTGTAGACTACATACAGTGCCCGATATATGTACCATATGCTTCGCAGCATTTAGAGGAGCCTATATGTAGGTATTCATACCTAGGTACCTACCTCATACCTTGGTATCTAGGGTTGGATGAGTAGAGTGGGATTATCCAGGCTCTCGAAGAAAACTAAACGCTGGGACATTGTGATGAGGTTCTCTGGACTGTAGGACTCGGTGGGTGATATAGCACCCAGGCTTTTTGGAAAGGGGCTGGAGTCTTCTCGGTTCGATATTGGGTTCTACCCTTTTGGAGGGCTCTGAAAGGTTGTCTATATATGAACCTGTCCAGAAGGTAGATGTTTATATGCTGGAGAGATGATAGTCTAACATGAAGTCTAAGGGGGCTAACTTGTTAGATACATACCGTTGGTCTAGGTGGTTGACCTGCCCTGAGTCGGTTATTTATGTCCGTAGTATCGTCTCCCTCCATGTTTCATCTTTCCCCGTAGTTATATTATATTTATTAGAGAAACTTTTGCCGGATGATGAATACCTGGTCTACCTAGTTTACCATTAAAGTTGCTTTGGTGATAGCATCATTAAAATACCGGACTTCGTCCTGGATAAGTAGGACGATCTAGGTAACTTTGGGTGATTGGTAAGAGGTTAGTGGAAGGAATTAGGTACACGAGGCTAGCTTCAAGGTGCCTTGTAAGTTGTAAATTTAAAGCACCCATAGTCTATTATGAACTATCTATTTTCTTCATAACCCTGTCAGGCAAATGGGTAGCCCTCTGGTCTCTGTAACTCTTCTCCGCGCTACTCTTGACGCCTCTTTCACCTAAGTAGTGTCCTTGAATTAGGGAAGGGTAGGGGGGCATCTTGAGATATAATTTTTAGCTAAAAGATGACATATAGGGTTCAATTTTATGTATGTACTGTTACTTCCGCATAGGGGCATCTGTACTAGGTGGTCACGAATGAAGCTAGCAATAGCAAAGGTATGTACGGTAGGTTGAGCATATTAATTGACTTTAATATACCTCATACAATCCGCCTACGAGGCAACCTGGGGTCGAAACATGTTTCTGTAGTTATTTCTCAGGGAGATACCTAGGAGGAAGACACTAGAAGAACTGGATGTTTGCTTGAAGGCTTGACTATGAAGGCTTGACTAGTGCGTAAGCGCAAGAGTGTTTCAGGCGGTGAAATTCGGGCCTGGGGTGGCGCACATACATAGAAACATGGAATTCTATGAGAATAAAAAACAGTAGCAACAAATACATATACTGCGGATCATGGCCCGCGTTACCTGGAATTCGGTGGGATCTTGTCTCATAGCTCTACGAGACGTTCGTAACACAGGAGGCCGGTACTGTAGAACATTCCACAGCAAACGACTATGGCGTTCCGAAGTGGGATAGAATATGGGCCGATCGGTCGTCACGTAGGTGTCGGGAAAGGGAACCCGAGGCCATCGCTGAAACATGTTTAACCTAGTCCATTACTGAGGTGGAGCTGTTCTAGCGTAGAGCGGTAAGCGATGATGGTACGTAAAGCTGTGGCTATCCGGTGGATAGCCGGGGTTTATTGGACGAGCCTTGCTACATACTTCAGACATGGCTGGTTAAGTGGCGTATATAGGTGGCTTCATTATATATTATATCTTGACACAATATGGCAGAGATGTTCCCTATGTAGTACCCGGTACGAACTGGTACGGAAACGTGGCTATACATAGAAGCAGCCCAGTACTCCATCGATAGATACCAACTTTGGTTGAGGTTCGGGAAGTATGAAATGGTGGAGATGCATACCCGCTAAACTATTGAAAAGCACGGTTTGCTGACCTGGATCGTATCTGCTTAGGGGTGTTCGGATCTGGCTCGAGAACAAGGCTAGTTATTTTAATTCTCTTGGGTGAAGATAGCTTCAAATAGCCAGCTGATTTCTTGCTTGGCTGATGTTCGAGTTAGTCCACTTACATATGTGAGACGAATACGATATCAGCGTTTCTTATGGAGAAGGGGGTGGTACTGTTAGGTGATAATGCTTGTATACATTAAGAGATACTTGCTTACCTACCTAACCAAGAAAGTGATTTAGGACTTGTCAACGCCATGAGTGAGAGGGACCTCTTGCACTAGGTATCTCCAAGCGCGCAAGCTCCAACGAATCACTTTTTTACGCAAAGATCAGTGCGAATTATCCACTTTTCTCCTGCTGTTACTTCTCGACCTTCGTGCTTTAAACGGGGTTAGCCTTTCCGCAACAAGAAACATACCGTTTAACATACTAGCAAACAGTCATCGCCATGTTTATGAAGTAGAAGCAACCCTGTTTCAGGGGCAATGGCAATTTCTTCTTTTGGTGATTTGCGGTCTCGAGGATAGAAAACGGTTTCTCCACCAGTACAGCCTTCAGCCGCCGAAGTCAGATACAACAATAGCGTCCAAGTTGTTTTGGTGTTGATGGTGCTAGATGACTCGTCAGGGTGTTGTAGAGTCACTAAATTTGAGTCATCGTCTGTAATTACAGATTAGTAAAGATAATTCTCACATGCAAAAAGACACAATCCTAGATGCCGAGGATTCGGATACAAACCCTTGCTATTCGGAAAGGGAAACGCAGGGAGTTTGCTGCAGAAAGGATGGCACTCCTCGGACCAAATAACCGTTCTTTGCATAAGTCTGCAGTCACTTGACGAACGTGGCTGTATATAAGAATCCAAGACAGGAAATGTGAAAGGTAAAGGTACGTACAGTGGCAATCAAAATATTGCCCTTTGGAGTATCGATATACTCGGATGTTGGGATTTAAGCCTACCGCATCGCCACCCCTATAAGTATTCGTTAGCTGTATTCATCAGTGGTATTCGTTATTGAAGTGGTTATTAACCATAGATGTTTATAAGACTCGTCCAGCAAGATATCCTTCAATCCTGTTTCAAGCCATAGTTTCTCAGCGAAGCGGTTGTCGTCAACTTGGAACCTATCGTTCACCCTTACTGCCTCGCCACGCTTTGGGCGGCCAGGGGTAGTCGTCAAGGGTAGCGTCTTGAGAAAATTGACATAGTCTCGACAAAGGCTCTTTGGCCAGAAGTTTCGCAGTAGGATAATCTTGTCCTCCAATCCCTCGACAGGGGCTTCTGGGTAAAGTTGCACAACAGGTAGCGGCGGCTTAAATGGTGGCCAACTTGGTGATCGGGCCGCAACTGTTGCGGGAGGATTTGAAGATTGATTCTTCTTGACCGACTTATCTTTTCCCATGATACTACGTACTTAAACTATTATTTTTAGCTTTTAGCTTTTTGATGTCTCGGATATTGGACGGTAATAGAGCTCTTTGAATATTGGTATTTATAAGATTAGGTAGGTGTATGTAATGGAAGTGAACGTACCTAAGGTATGTAAATTCGAATAAGTGGAAATTAAATCCGATGGGTTGGAACCTCGGAGTCTAATCGCATACTAGTAAAAGCTTCCCGTATTTTATGCAGATCGATCTGATTGATAGGCCAATCAGCTAGGCTTGCACCTTATGAGGTACTTAACCCGAGTGACCCCACCTTATACCAGGTATGTAGATATGCTTAATGTACCTTTTACCTCTTTATACTTCGTAGCTGAATTTTGGAATTGATATAGATTTATCCTAGGTAATTTGGGCAAATTTTAGATGTACGAAGTACTACTTTGCTTACCTTAGAGGTATGTCCATACCGCAGGAGCTCACGTGTGCTCGACCCTATGCGGGTAGGCGAACTGCCGTAAGCACTTACATGGATGGGTACATATACGTCGGACTGTATCACACAGCGTTTACTTTCTTCTATCATTTCCCTCTGTACCTAAGTTAGTTTGCTTCACGGGCCATAAAAGCAACAGCCTATCAAAAAGGGTATCGTTTGATATCCAGCATATGATATTCTTACCGCCCTATTTCCGGCCACTCTTCTCCGGAAGCGTAGCAAAAGAAGCACAGATCTGTCGAGTTGCAGATGCTAGTGACGATAATATCGGTCCGAGGCTTGCTTACACGAGAACCACGGGCGACAGTGACATTAGCACTGGGAACTAATCAATACGCCACAACGTTATTCTCACCTGATTTTTGCGTCGACTGTTTTGCTTTTCCCTCTTCCCCACGAGCTGAATGCGAGAATATGTATGATGGCGTCCGCTGACGATTCTTCGGGTTGTCGGAGAACCGGTGGTGTCCTTACATACACAAACATACATGATTTATACATCTCTATCTCTGCCTTGTGCCTAAGAGTATCGTAACTTTCCCTGCTGCGACATAACGTGATCTTCAAGAGGCTATATTATATGGACTGTTCTTGGCGTTATACAATCATCACTCAAGCTAAACGATGAGTAGATTCGCAGTATACTGTGACTGGGTCACTACTGCTCGAAAATGTCTGGACGGTGAACAGCCTCCACACCATATAGCAAGATTCCACCTTCGAAAAGGACCTGTTTGGTTTCCTCTTGCCGGAGTGGAACCTTCTAACCGCGTCGCTCAGTTTTACGAAGAATTACTCGCAGAGGTCGAGCAATCCAGGCTGAGAGACGGGCGAAAGAAGCTATACCGACGATTCGTAAATAGGGTTGTCGCTGCCCACGCCGCTGTTGAAGATCCGGGAGTACCGCATGGGACAGTTTCGATGCTTCGAAAACCCCTAGCTCACTTGGATATAGCGCTAAATCGGATGGTGGACTTGGTGGAATACGACAATAAGCATCCAATTCATTGGTCTGAAGTGTTCCCGATAGAAAATGCTAAGAGTCAATCGTCGCCGACCGAGCTTTGGCTCTACTTCAAGCTGGAAAGCATTCGGCCTTGTCTCGTCTTCGTGGTGCGGCTCTTGGGGCTAGTACTTCCGACATATTTGGATATGTGGCGTGAATGCTACGAGAGCCTAACGAGTAAAGAATGGATAGTTCAGTTCATTCTCGATTCACCGAGAGCTCCGAAGGCCGAAGGAGTCAACATCGACACGTCGTCCAGAAATTGACCTGTCATCTTAGTAGGTGGGCTAAGCCTAGCTTGCATGGCATATACAATGATGCGGCTCGGCTTTAGTGAGACATCCAAGAGTCCAGTCCTTCTAAACATGGTTAGTTCTCTGCACGATGATAGATGGAGGTTAGTGCTAATACGTGGTGAAGAAAGAAAAGAAACTTGAAGAGAGGTTAGAATGTTGTGGTTAATGAATGGAAATAATCTATAATTATAAAGATCATATTAATACTCCTTATAGGACTCGTATTATAGATCTACTAGGTGAACTAGTTTAAAAATTGATAAACATTATATGAACCCATATTCAGTTGTTTTGTGTTGGTATGTTTGCGCGAAGTTGAAATAGAAGCTACCCAAGTTTTATATTTTGGTAACTGAAAAGTGTACCTAGCCGAGTTTGTAGATAGCGTTAATTTTAGGTACCCAATTAATAAGGCTTATGCTACTATCGAATGTATCGAATGTACTCTCCCCACTTACCCCAGATTCGAGTTGGGGAATTCGCTTTTGCAAATTCTGGGCTCTTTTAGATTTTAGATACACATTTATTTCCCTGTACACACGACATCAAATCCCTCCATCTTCTTTCGATCTTGATTTTCAAGGCTCATTAGAACCGTTGTGAAACGCAGGACTGTCACTCTTTAATGTAGAAAAGTTGATGTCTTGATACGTTGATCCTTTCTTTGCGTCTAGTTACATAGTTCGGTTTCTCATTCTTTTCTGCCGCATACAAAACTTCGATATAAAACGCATAAACCCCAATGTGGTCATTCGGAACTACTATGACAATGGCGAAAGATAGCGATCCTTCGCCGGCTTCTACTACGCCGGCTCAACCACCTGCTGAACCTTCTCAGCCTTCCCAGCCTCTCGAACCCTCACAGAATACGATACCATATCCCCGGCCTCGATCGCCGATACTATCGCAACGCTCACTCAAGCAACTAGGCCTATTCTTCGCCGGCGCAGGCTTTTTTACACTCTCTACTATAATAACAAGACGAGCGGTGGTTAGAAAACACTTGGCGACAATTCCTAAATTCTATCACCAGAGTCATCAACAAGTTAACAAGATACAATCCGATGGCTCGTTAATAGCCCTCGAGGCTCTAAATCTCGCCACGCTCAATGTCCTAGGATTCGGCATTATGATGACAGGTGGCCTATCGTGGGCCTTCGATGTCTCGAGCGTCGATGATTTAAGGGCTAGGGCGAGGGGACATGTTGGACCCTCTGGCGGCCAAACTGACGAAGAGGCCGAACGAGAAATCGAAGAATGGGTAGCAAAAGTTTTGGGGAGGAAAGAACAAAAAGAAGATACCAAACAACCGCCAGGGAAGGACGACTAACCGTGCCAAGTAATTAAAGCCGGTAGAGGAAAGGTCTTGGTACTCAACTCATACTTGGGTCTCAACACCAAGAACCAATCTTATATATTTCCGCTCCTCCCGCACGTCGAAACTCGATAGTACCTATGTCCCTGACAACTCGCTGATTGGTGATATGCATCAAATATTCACGTACTGAAGTGGGATCCTACTCTAATAAGCAAGCCACACACGTTCACACACGTTAGCTCATCTTCGGTACCAGCAATTGCGCATAGCAAAACGCACTGTGTCTGGAGTTAGGTATTTGTTCAGCTATAGGTGGCGTTCGCGGCCTTGGTATCACGCAGTATACCTATACCCGCCTAGCTCTTAATCAGTGTTTCTCCATAGCAGGTACTTGTTCTGCGGAACGGTTACCAAACATCGGTTTAGACGGCGTAACACAAGTCCGTCTGCCTTTGAAGTCGTGTCAAGGCTGTATAGGTGTTCGTCATGCGTCTCAACGATACCCGTTCCGAGTAGTTGCTTATTATATGTCTTACCCTTAACCCCATGTCTCGTTCTAGGGTGTGTAAGGCACACTTACACTAGGGATACATATATACTAAATACGTCCGAATGGTGGTATTGGCTACGCTTCACATACGCCCTGGGTATAAAGACTGAGAAGTCTACCAATTTTATATGAGATTATCCTAACAAGAAATCACATTTACCATGGCTATTTATCACATACGAGTCCGGAACTATCGTTGGGCCCATCAAAATATCGTCGTCCAGTCTCCTATTCCTAACCTCGACACTTACGCACCAGCATTAATCGTCCGTCCCCTAGAAGGCGTCAATATAAATGAACCTAGAATAATCAGTAACGTCTCTGAACTGAATGACGATATCTTGGAAGACGAGTATCAGGTAGAGGCACACGGCGTGTTCATCTCAACGGATCAGCAGAGAACCGGTTACTTCCCCCTCTGGGTAACAGTACATGGCCACGAATGCGGAAAGAATAAGATCCATGTTGCCAACTTGACAGCATTTGAAGCTTCTAGCGTTTCCATTACAGATGTTTGCTGGATTCCCTGCCTGGAGGCTCCTGATGGCAGCTTATATACGGCCATCGGAGCCCCACGGAAAATATTCAAAACGACACAGGTGCTGGCTATCATGCAGCAATTAGGGAAACCTAGAGAGGCTAGATTAGTTCTCGTCGATCCGGATAAACTCGATAGTTACAAGGAGATTGGCGACGATCAAAAAAGGAATATATTCGATATTCAACACACAGCTATCCGAACAAACTCTAGGCCTTCAGAACCCCTTCTAAATGCGTACCGCGTATTTGCTTCCCCATATAGACATGACTATGGCCGACTTACACTGGGAGAAATTATAGAAGAGGATCTTGAGATTCCTCGATCCTCTAATTCCGACTGCAGCTCTCAAGGTTTCTCGGATAGCTCAGACGACGACGATTCTCTTTATACCAAACCTAGATATTTTTCAATAGTAGACGCTAAGACCGTAGGTCCCCCACGACTCGAGTAGCATGTGTGAGGATATTGACATATCTAGCAGCGCCCCTATGCTTGCGATTGCAAATACGCTGATCTTCTCCCTACGTGTTTCAACCCGCGCCCAAGCCACCGACATTGTACAGATGACGAGTGCTTTCTCGGATCAAGCCACATAAAACACTGTATATTCGCGGACCACGCACCAAAAGATTGCGTCATACCTAGTTCAAAAGAAGTGCACGAACATTGTATCCCTGCTCCCCCGTGGGAGGTAAATCAACCAGACTCGGAGGGATCTTTCGAGGAATCTTATAGCGCTGGCGCCGACATCCTGTTCGAAGAAGGGGAAGTGGGCATAAACGACACTCTTAGCCCTACGGATTCCGAATCGGCTACCACCGAATTACTATTTATGGATTCCTAGGTTTATATTGCATTCACCTGCTGCAAATGGCATACGGGTGGATGAATAAGCAAAGGTGTTGCTGTAGCATAGCATTCATTCTTGAGGAGGTTAGCACTGCTCTGTTCTGGTTAATCACAATACGAGTATCAAGGATATCTCCTTTCTTACCTACGTATCATGAAGAATTTCTAGTTGGACAGACATCGAATTCCCCGCCGTGATATCCCAGGTTTATTAGCTGCCTCATACGACACTATTAAACCACGGCGTAATACAATATGTAAAAAGCTGATATCCCCATATTATGCCTCCACCACCATCTCCACTTAGACACCCTACACTATACATACTAGCCCAACACTTACGTATGAGTATTTCCGCATCTATCCCACTTCTCCATTCAGAGTTACAAATATATGCCAAATTTACGTATACGCATTCCATCACGTGATGGAAGGATTCTTCTTCCATCTTCTCCAAGGTCGGATGGTGTAGTTGGTTATCACGTCAGTCTAACACACTGAAGGTCCCCAGTTCGAGCCTGGGTTCGATCATTTCTTTTTTGCAAACTTGTTGGATTTCCCAAGTAAAATTTCTTTTTATCAGGTTACCTAACCCATTCATTCTATACAATCTAGAATAATTGTTCAATAATCTGATTCTTGCGCGGACATGTTTTCGCATGCGTGAATGTGTATCCTAATAGTAACTTGTTACACGAAGAGAAAATAATGCCCCATACTATAGCTATGACATGATACCCTCACCGTAGTAGGTATCTAATGTAAACAATACAAGTGTATGCAATGAGTTGGCGGCTCGTGGTGATGCTGACACCGTCTAGTGCCACCCATGTCCCAACTCGGGGACTCTAGCACAAATCGCTTGGCTCCCCTTTTACTCTATCACTGGCTGGCTATGATTAAAATTATCACCATAAAAATTCCGCATCAACATACGGCGCTCCATCACGTAGCGTTGTCCTCCGCACGTTCCCTCATCCGTGCTTCTAGTCCCTCACCCTCTTCGAAGCTTCCTCTTCGGCCCCAGTTGCGGGGCTGATGTTTAAGGAATGCGCCCACGGCACCTAAATATCCCTCGTGCCGCAGGAAGTACGCTTGTTTCTGGCCTTTACTCCAAAATTTGATGGCGTAGCTCAGAGTATTCATAGTTTGCGGGTGGCCGCGGATGAAAGACCCGCCAAAGTATATGCGCGATAGGTCGTGTACTTGCGACTGCAGGTATGCGATCTGTCCGATATTATTACTGATAGCGTATAACAAGGATCGTGAAATATCAGCGCTAGAGAAACGCGACAGCGCTAATTCGCTTGCTCGGGATGATGGAGGACGCTGTTGTTGTTGTGTTTGCGAACAGCATGTTGTTGAAGAGTTGTGTTCTGAGCTCTTCTGCTGCTGTCGTCGGTTTTGGTCATCACCGTTTGAAAGGCCACCCATGTCCTCGGCCTCATTTTCTGCTTCTCGCTTCATGCGGAAGACTTTACCAAATGAACTAGCGATTGTGGTGCTTTTCAACCCAATTTTACCGTAATCGGCGCCATAAATATCGCCGACCAACATATCTACTTTGGTATTATCGCCGTGTGCGGCCATATCTAGCATCTCGTCGAAGGACTCGGCGGGTGTAAGAAGCGACAGAATTCCCCAAAGGGTACCCCCACCGAGGGACGTGCCGCCTACACGCTCGTAGGTTCGCGGGCCGGATACCTTGAGGATGCTAACTCCTGACCCTATATTTACGAGCATATACGGGTAAATATTGGCGTTCGGGGAGGCGAAGTGCATGGGATCTGTCTCGGAATATGTGAAGACCTCACGGGGTATTTCGGTTATAAAGAAATCGAGACCTGTCGCGACGATGCGCATGTTAGTCTCGGACACTTTCAGGATTGGCGCACCCAGGACCAACCAATAATTAAACATTCCATTTCATCTTCTCGTAGGACATCAACACCAAGCCGTTGTCGGATTCTGTCATAATACTTGTAAGCACCTCCTCCCGTCGCCATCACGCATAATTCGCCATGCTTAGAGCCATTGAGGGCGAGTTGCTTGTCTTGTAGATGTCGCATAAGCTCAATACAGTCGTCGATGCGATCCGTCTCGAAAGATTGGAAATTCAGTCGGCCGCCGGGATCAGTCGAATGCGCTTCGCGGGAGAAATAGACCAGCTTAGCTAGCGAGCCACCGATCTAGATTAGGGAATTGCGCATTTAGCTCGGAGAACCCAATCGCAAAATTTAGGTCTGGTCTTATGGAGAAAGCCTACATCAACAGCGATATGGCTGACAACAGCCGTATGATAAGGAAGGCGAATATCTTTTGTCTCATGATATCCATTACCGTTGGACCCTGACAGATTGGCAGGAGAGCCGGGCTGCTCAGGTGTATCGACGATGAATGCGCCTTTGACATTGATACGAACGGAGCCGGGATGTATTATAGTACTATCGATCTCAGCCGTACTCGTTATGTTGCGCGGTCTTCCAGCAGATTGTTGCGCCGTATCTATCTTCCCATCGCTCTCGTCGTCAACGATGGCGGCGTTGGCTTGATAGGTGTCTTCAGACATGATTTCTCGTCGTTCTGAGGCGGGGCTACGGAGCAGATGGTGGGGAGAGGGGCAGCAATGAATGTAGAGATAAGCTGAAGCAATGATCAAAGCTTCTGTTGGCTCAGAAGCCCACGGGTAGAAACAGATTAAGGAGGCATGAATTCAGGAATAAACCAAGAAGCTTGTTTTGACAGCTAGAATGGATATTGGTAATAGCAAGCGCAAGCGAAAGCGAAAGCGACGAGGGCATTTGAATTACCTAGGGCTTTGAATTGTGCTCAGGATGCCAAAATGTACCACGGAACGGAGAAAGGGAGTCAAAGCCAAGACTGAGCCAAGACAGCCTCAAAGACGTAGGAATTGGTTTGGTGGCAGGTTTGGTGGGACAGATGAGCATGGATTCGCATGGATCACTGGGATCAGTAAAAGGGAAAAGACTAAAAGTTAGGTAGTTTACAGGTAGCTTACCTGGAATTTACCTGGAAAGACGATGTTCAACAAATGTGATTGACCCGTTTTTACGTATGCTACCCCACAGTATGTCATGCTTATTTCTTATCGATAGTGATGATAGCGTGGTTTGACCCCCAAACCCCCAACAAGACCCTCAAGAACCCTACGTGCGGCGCAGTAACCACCCTCTACAGCGACCCTCTACAGTGTAACATGCCAACCCACGAATCCTGCCGCCGCGCCTACCCGAGTAGCCCGAGGTACCAGCAAACCCAAACATGAAACCGCAGCACGCCGGAATAAACATACCCCTAACATCTTAAGGTTACGTACCTACATATATCTATCTACACGCCCTGACTAATAGGTTAGGTACATATCTAGACATGATACTAATAATATTGAGTGATGTTATTTCAATAGTAGTGGTATTTCAATAGTATTTAATTTCAAGGCTAAATCGGCAGCAGCCACAGTCAAAGTGGGACAAACCGGAGGTACGTACCCCGCCATACAATTTTTCTAGTATCTTTTCGTACCTCATGTTCATTCATCTTGTACTTGATGCTTTACAATACCCTTATCTTATACCCTCTCGTACAGCCTCTTATTCAATTCAATTTAATTAAGATGCAAGGCCCGTACGTCTTATTATACTACTTTTACTCGGTCGCATGCATTTATCAAAAGATTATACGGTCGCATACAATTATTGCGAGGTAAAAAGGCTGAAGACATAGTCCCTATGTAAGGTCTAAAGGTAGGTACCTATGTATTTGTATGAGGCTGCTGTATGTGGGTGCATCTTAAGAGATTGGGGATTGCGCGGAAAAGATACATGCGCGGCCAGGAGAGTTTGTATGGGAATACATGTAGTACTTATGCGACTCCCGCGTGACTTCCAATTGTGGCTGGATAATGTGGCTACTGCCGATTTAGCCTTGAAATTGAATACTATTGAAATACCACTACTATTGAAATAACATCACTCATAATATTTACCTAAGGTACCTACCAAGCATATCAAACCATGTACCTCTCATCCTCTCATCCCTCATTCAACTCCTCAGAAGAACCTCCCAGCAGGCAAACTCACAAACACACCCGTCAGCAAGCCAGCACCCACCAGCGCACCCAGCAACGCCTGCACAAAAATGACGTCCTGTATCCGCCTAAGCGCCGGCTCCCGGATCCACACCTCGCGATCAAACACCTTTCGCAGCAGTCCGCGGCGCTCGTACCGCACCACCCACGGCTCGTCCTCGTAGCTATTACTATCAGAGCCAAACGAGTCGAAGCTGTTATTGTTATTGTTGTTTCCCTTAGCGTCTCTACTACCCCTCTGACCGCCCAGCTCAGGCTCAGACTCAGACTCATCGCACAACGACGTGGCGGAGTCGAAGAAGAGCTCCCACGGCCGCACCTGTCGGTGGTGTAGCCCGTGTAGGACCACGCACATGCCCTTCCGCGCCGCGATCAGCGTCGCGATGCCCAGGACCCAGCCGATGGCGAAGAGAGCGCGCCAGCCTCGCGCTGCGGAACTCAGGGTGAGGACTATGGCGCCTGCTGTAGCGCTGAGGATGGTGCCGACGCCTAGGCTGAGGGCGAAGGTTACTCGTGCCGGGTTGCCGTTGCAGATGGTCCAGCGGATGAAGTTCGGGTGCGCTTGGCGGCGGAGCGTGGCCTCTATGCTTCGGGCGATGGTCCGGAATGCCGATGGATGCGTTGTGTATGCGAGGGCTTGGATGACGCCTTTTTGTTCCCGGCTTGAAAGATTTAGTTGCCGCGGGGCGTCTTCTGCGATGTAGGTCGCGATTACGCGGTCGATCTCGGCTCTGAAGGGTTGGATGGTGACTAGGTAGGTAAGGTAAGGTATTAGTAGTGATACGTATGTTAAAATTGGCACCTAGACGCGACTTACATGGCTGTGTTGCACTAGCAGCACTAAAAGCATCTCGAGACTGCGAACGGTAGCTAGAGGCTTGAGAACCCGATAGCAAGGAAGGGGCTATCTTCGTATTTGGTGTAGAAGGGGGTGTCAAAAAGGGGTCTCCATTTTCTATTACTACGTCTACTGCCCCTTTCTCAAAATCAGTCCCCTTGAAAATGGAGACTGCTTTCGGCTCTCGTCTCATTTTCTCCACGGCGTCCTTCCGGATCTTGACGGTCGACTCATCCTCCATTGCTTGTGTCCATTCTGGAGAGAGTTTAGCGTCTAAAGTATCGGCTTCGTCAAACCGCTTTGTGTAGTCGCGGTACCAAAGGAAGAACTGTAGGTTCTCGGCCGAGTGCTCGATGTAGAGTAGGTAATTCATAAAGTCACGGACGGTACATGGCTTTGAAACATAACGTTGTTAGTCTACGGGCTGGGGTGGTGTTGGTTTATGGTACTCACCGGACAAGTTCCGCCGCTTATGATCCTGTCGAAGGTGAGGGCTTCAGGAATACCGGATGAAGAGCCTAGCTGGCCCGACTTCAGCGAGGCATCACTGCTTTCACTTTCTTGTCTGCTTGATAGAAATTGTTTCTTATTTACATATGCCGGCCGCCGATACTTAAGTGTTGAGAGAAACCCCATCATGAGATAAGTGTTGGACAATAGCTGGATGTGTTTAAGCTTTTGATATGAAATCTGTGAAGCTACTATAAGTAATTGCTAGTGAAGATGGGTAGTTGCTTGGGACGAGTGAAATAGACGATAGGTATAATATATCACAGCGAAGATATTGAGAGCTGAGATTTGGGGCGTCTCTCCTGTCTAGACTATAGAGTGGATTAGCCCAACGGCTAGACGATGTCTTACATCTAAGAGCAATTGTATCCGAGAGTTAGGGTGTGGACATACAGCCCCGAAATTTACGGCTATGGCTAGGAATGGCTACACTACCTAGTGCCAGGAGCGTGGTTTTTGTTTTCAAGTCAATGGCTAGTAATTGGGTGCTACTAAATATATTCTCCCTTGATTACGAATTAATAATAACTATCTTTTCGATTCATGAGCTGCCTATAGAACCCGCTCTATGCTATTGTGATATTGAATTTGAGGGCACTACTTTAAACTATTAAGAGGTATGTTGCAGAGCGTCGACGCGCTTTGAGCCAAGTGGGCGCCAGCTTCCCTCATAGAAATTTCCAAATTGTCCATGCTTGCTAGTTAAAGGGTCACGTTTAAAGGCAGGATGCCTGCCTAGTCGTAGCTCCTCGAACTCAGCTAGCCGCCTAGGCTTCGGTGGGTAGAAGACGATATACTGGTGCCTTGCTCATTGATTGGACAAGTGATACTGATGATGACTCGGGACAGCTTGAGCTCGTCGAGGCTAATGCCCGCTAACTAATAAGAAAACTAGAACTCGACTAGCTAGCCAGCCCAATTGGAGGCTGATAATAGGTAGGTAGTAAAGCTTTCAAGAGGCCCGCGTGAGACAAACAGCCTCGAAAACACTTGCCGTGGAGACAGCTGAGAAGTCGAGAAGCTAGAAGATAACCCCTGAGCTGGCCCTACCATCCCCACAATGTGATCGGCGATATTAAATCTACGGGATCGCTACAGGGGTTGTGATGTCATGCATCGGGTCTTGTACTTGTGCCTCTTGAGCACCATATTGTTGCGATGGTAGCTGACATATGCTCATGGGTGATTAGGCAAGGAACAGTCTAAGGTCCCTTATTAAATAATCGAATAAGTTTAAAGCGTATCGTCTAAATTCATTATCATTCCCTTAGGGGACACCTTTGAGTTCTATTCTTAGTATCGAAGCTACTCTATCATCTATTTTCAGCTCGTATGTTTTGAGTTAGTACACATTTCTTTTTATGTATGCAGGCACAGTTACCATCACTTTGATGTTGGAGGTTAAGTTAGTGTCTACCATAGGATCAGTACGATTATCAGTAGAAGTGAGCTACCTATAGTCGTCAGGCCATGATGAATCATGTCTCATATTTAGGTGTCAAGATTCTAAGAGATCCATTAGCGAGTTGGGAACTAATACAGGGAGCTGGCCTGCTAAAGTAGAGCTGTGTTAGAATTAGGTCGCTCAAGACGCCTTAGTAATATATTACCTATTGTAAGATGTAGGTAGTTATGGTAACCAATATTCTGGAGTGGACTTGATATGAGCTGAGACCTATGTAGGTACCTCTTATCTAATAAAGGGGGAAGAGTACGGTACTACTTTACAGAAGCGAATTACCTAGAAGTGACTTCAAAATTTAGCTAGATATCCTTGTAGATAGTTCCGTTTAGTCATTTTATCAGGACATTCCCAAGTATAAGCTCGGGTTCAGCTCCGGAAAGGAAATATACGCCAAACCCCCTTCGCGTCTCCTGTCGTACGATATGCGCATACGCCACCCAGCCCCTAGGGGCCGAAAAAGCTTAAGACATGCGTGTCGTTCCTGGATCAATCAAGTCGCTATGTAGGAAGAAAGATTTGGAGGTCTGCCCTGATTCGGAACCATGTGGTCGAGGCCATGTGGCTTGCATCTAGGATATCATGATAGTGTTCCATACATATGCGTACGCATCTAGTAAGGAGTATAACCTTGTGTCTTTGCTAGGCATTAATGTTACTAAATTGGACGGCTGTTAATCATTCATCGACGAGGAATAGGAAGTGGTTATTAATTAGTACCACCTGAGCCCCTTTATACGTTTTCCTGCTTCTCTCACGCACCCATAACTTTGATGGCTATCCTGGCTGCATTAGTATTATGAATTCTCGTGTAGACTTCAAGCATGGTCATTGTAGCAAGTGATAGCTTTGCTGTTATACTGGTTCTTATGGGTAACGTATTGCTTACACCAAAGTCCCTAAACCATTGATTCTTGAAGCCATACATACAGCAACAGTATACTTCTCGAATATACACCACTACCCGGGCAAGAGGCCCTTCCGAGTTACCAATGCTTCTCGGAGATGGGAACCGTATTCACATCTACACCATCCTTATACCATCTCTCTTCGTGGGTGATCTTGACATCATTACCACTCACTAGGGGGAGGAGGCTCGAGTTAGCAAACACATTCTATATGTATATCTGCGAATATGGATACGACCAACGGCCAAGAAGTGCAAAGTAAGTAACCTACTCTGGCGTTTCCTCATCAGCCCGTCATCGGCAAAAGTCCAGTCCTCGAGCCCGTACGTCCGCCACCACTGGCCCTCGGCGTCATACCACTCGTACCAAAACTGGACGGCGATCTTGTTGTCGGTGAAAGCGAAAAGCTCCTTGCGGAGCCGGTATCCCTGCTCGCGCTCCCATTTCTTCGTTAGGAAGGCCTCGATTTCATCTCTGCCTTGAAGGAAGGTGCCTCGGTTTCGCCAGATAGAGTCTGGCGTGTAGGCCAGTTTTACTTTTGCCGGGTCTCTTTTGGAGCGACTGGTTAGTTTTGTCATTTCCTATGCAATATATATATATATATATCTTGGGGTCGATTTCAAAATTGGTGTCCTCTGCAAGTGAGAAAAGTAAGGGAATAGGATAAACGTACTTGGTATTCCAGGCGTCTTGAGCGGCCTTCACTTTGATATGAGCAGTTTCGGCCGTGAAAGGCGGGTACGGAGGTTTTCCCTTGTTGTCGCTGGCCATAGTACTTAGGTTACTATCTTTACGCTTTTTCGTCTCTTCTTAATTGTTTTTGATGAGTGGTTGTTATTAAATTGACTTGGAATTATAAAAGTTCCTTTTATTATTATTTATACCTCTTTATAACTATCGACATTTGATATCAGTAAGCGCCATACTTAAGCTCCGTTGAATGACGCAGAGAGTCAAAATTCAGGACCGGAAATGACTACGTGCCGGTGTCTACAGCGCCGGACCCCGCTCGGTCGCTCTCGGGGTTCGAGATTTGAGAACGTTAACATTAAAGCTATGATCGGCTTAAAAATAAGACCGGTTTTATTTAAAAGAAAAATATAAATTAGCTCCATATAAATTAAGTGGAGTAATAATGTATTTTTTTTTTCTATTAACTTAACGTTAAACTTAATTTAATAAATCGTAAAATATTATAACTTTAATATTTTATTTTTTTTTATAATTATATAATATTTTAAAAATTTATATTTAAAATATAAATTTACGTAAATAAAAACCTTTTAATTTTAATAAATTATTTTTATTATTATATAATATAAATTTATAATTTTATTATTACGAAATAATTTTACGAAATATTTTTAAAATAACGATTTTTTTAACGTATTAAATAAATTACCGAATTTATAATAATATATATAAAAAATTTAATTATTTTAATAAATAAAAATATATTTAATATTAACCGATTTTAAATATAAGTTTTAATTTAATTACGTTTATTTAAAGTTATAAAAAAAGTTAAATTTTTAAAGTTTTAAATTTAAAATTTAATAATAAAAAAACGTAAAATTAAAAAAAAACGTTATTTTAAATATTAAACTTTAATTAATAATTTTATTAATAATAACGATAAAAATAAAAATGGTTGTTTAATTATATTTAATTAATAATAAGTTTTATTTTTATAATAAAATTTAAAAAATAAATGGTTATATATAATATTTTTTAATAATAAAAAAATATATATATAAACTTTTTTTTTAAATAAATTAATGAAAATATTTATTTTAATTTTATTAAAAAACGCGTTTTAATTTATATTTTTAAGGTTTAACGATAATAATATCGATAATAATATTAACGATAATATTAACGATAATATTAACGATAATAATTTTAAAAGTTAAAAGTTTATTAACGATTTAATTAATAATATTAATTTATTTAATTTTTAAATTAATATTATACCCGTTATTTTTTTTTTACGTTATTATAAACGCCGAAAGTTAAAAAAAAAATTAATAAACGTAATTATAACTTTAATTTAATAATTAAAATTTTAAACGATTTAAACGAAAAAGTTTTTTTTATAATTAAAAAAAAAACCTTTAAAAATAATTTATTACGTAAAACTTTTTATAATTAATAAATTAAAAAACTTAAATAATTAAATTTTAAATTATTAAAAAATACTTTTATATAATTTACTTTTTAAATATAATAAAAATAAAATGTTAATAATTTTAAAAAAACTATTAAATATTTTTCGAAAAATCTTTTTAATAATATTAACGTTAATAAACGCATTATTATTTAAATAATATTTATAATTTTAAAAATAATAATTTTTTTTAATACGTTAATAATAAAAAAAAAAAAATTAACGTTTATTAAATTTAATATAAAAAAATAAAAATAATAATTTAAAAGTTAATTTTATATTATTAATATTAAAATTATATAAAATATTATAAAATATTAATAAATTTTTATTTTTTATTAATATTATTAATAATTAATTAATTAAATTTTACTTTATTTTAACATTATTAATTAACTTTTATACATTATATAATTAATTAATATATTATATAACGTATATTATAAAAATACTTTCGTATAATTAATGTATTATATTAATGAAGTTAATAAGTTACGTATATATAAGTTAATTAAAATAATATAATATTTTATGCGTAAATTAATTACATGTAACCACGTAATTAACCTTACGTAATAATATTTTAACATTAGCAACTTTTCTCTTTTCCCTTTTTTTCTTAAATAACGTAATTACATACAATCCAACACTGGCAATTTCTCTTTTATTATCCCTTATCCTCCCTTTTATTGTTGTGACGTAATAGCCTCATAACAAATAACCACCGTTTAAATAGCTATCGTAATCATCATCCTAATCTCCTCCGTCTCCGTCGTCGCTATAACCTCCATCGTAGCTATCCAAACAGTTATTACAGATAAACGGTTCATCGTTATTACTGCTATCCCCTTGGCAGCTTTCCTCCTTCCTTTCTGGGCCTAAATACCCGTCACTATCGTATTCCATACGAGGTAGTGCTATATTTGCGCCATAGGCATACGCCGTACGCTCTGGTAGCATAGACGGGATGGATAAGTAGCCTGGTAAAGCGGTGCTATACGAGGGTTATCCGTACGGTATGTTACTTAAGAGCGGTCCGTAAGCTATATTGTATAAAAGCGGTTTATAAGCTGTTAAGGCCGGTCCGTAAGCTAAGGGCGGTCCGTAAGCTGTTAAAGGCGGCCCGTAAGCTATGTTATATAAAGGCGGGCCGTAAGCTGTATTGTATAAAAGCGGGCCGTAAGCTATACTATATAAAGGCGGCCCGTACGAAGGTGGTTGAGAAGCAGGTAAGGAAGTAGCTAAAGCAGCTACTTGCTTTCGGGGTATAGTAAGTGGTTAAGGAGTCGTAAAAAGCCTCGTATTAAGGTTTACGAGAGGGGGATTCGTAAAAGGATAAGTGGGGGGGTTAGCAGCTAGGGCTTCAGTAGCTCGCTAAACGTTCGAGATTTTAGCCGGTCCTATACGATGCCTCTGGTCGAAGTAATGCTTAAGCCGTCTCTTCGAGCTGAAGATCTCAAGGCATATAAGGCAATGGTAACTTATCGTTATTGTTGTAAAACTGGTCCGAATAGTAGGTACTTCACCATTAAAAGTGCGTAATAAACGCGATCCGTACAATACAGCTAAATTAATTCGAGAAGTTATAAATCCCATAACGGCTGTTTTTTAATTTAATTAAATCTTTAAGATTAACTTAACGTAAAAGTATTTACGTACGCCGTACAAAAATACTAAGTTTCACTCGTACGTTAACGGTTCTCGTAAACGTTTTTATTAACTTTATTATTTTACGTCATTTAAAAATACAATTAAATAAACATACAGTTAAATAACATTAATTAATATTAATTAACTTTTATACATCGTACAATTAATTAACACACCGTACGACGCGTATTATAAAAATACTTTTATATAATTAATATATTATATTAATAAAATTAATAAATTACGTATATGTAAATTAATTAAAATGATATAATGTTTTATACGTAAATTAATCACGTGTGATTACGTGATTAACTTTACGTAATGATATTTTAATAAACATTATATTCGTTTTTTATTATTTAATTAAATAATAATATTTTAAATTTTTTATTTTATAACTTTTTATATATATTAATTATATATTTATTATTATTTAAAAATAATTTTTATTTTAATATTATAAAAAACTTTATTAATTAATTTATTTATTTTTAATTAATATTTTTTAAAAAATTTTATATTTTATTAATTATATTATTTTTATTATTAATATTTTTAATTTTATTACGTTTAATAAAATTATATAAATTATATATAATATATATAAATAATATTTATAATTTAATATTATATTTAAATATTAAATTTTATATAATTTTAAATTTACATTTTAATATATTAAAAATTTATTTTATAATTATTTATATTTAAAAATAATATAAATTATAAAACTTAATAATATAAATAAATTTTTTAATTTTAATGCGTTATTTTTATAAATAATATTTAATATTTATAAAAAAGTAACATTAATTATATAATATACTTATTATTACCCGTGTAATATACGAGGTATAATTTTAAATAATTTTAAATCGTTTTTCGCACATTTTTTTAAATAACTTTATAAATTTTAATCCGATTTATATATAATTTAAACCGTAATTTAAATAAAGAAATTAGTAAAAATACAAACTTAAATGCACGTAATCCGGACTAATATTAGTTTAAATACGGTTAAAAATATAAATTTTAATTATAATAACTACTTTTAATAATCTTTATCTTTTATAATCCTTATACATATCATCTTTAATAACTTTATTAATATAACTCCGATAAATTTCGAAAAAATCTTATTATTTAAATAACTAAATAGCTAAAATTATAAAATAAACCTTAAATTTATACTTAATTATTTCGTAAAGATACGGCTATTTTTATATAATAAACTAAAATAAACTAATAAATACTAGTAAAAAAGTCACTTTATATATATAAATGCTTACTTTTTTAATATTTTAGCCAATTCGGGGCCAAATCACATACACCTTAAACCGTAATTTTCGTTATTTTCTTATTTAAATTATAGTATAAATTATATATAAATCGGCTTAAAATTCGTAAAGTTATTAAGGTAAACGTAAAAAAAGTAAGAAAAAAATAAGGTACGTACCCCGTTTTATTACACGGGTAACAATGGGCATATTACACGATTAATGTTACTTTTATAAAAAACATTAAAATATTTTAATAAATTTTATAATTATTATTAATTAAATAATATTTATTTTAAAAAATTTTAAAATTATTATTAAAAATAAAATAAATAAATTTTACATTATATATAAACTTTTTTTTTTTAATTAATATATAATTAAAAATTTCATTTAATTTAATTATTATAAATATATTTTAAAAAATAAAACCTTTATAATTTTATTAAACTTTATATATTTTAATAAAAATAAAAACGTAAATATAAGTTTTATTTATTACGTTAATATAACCGTTAAAAGTTTTTTTTTTAAAATTTAATTTAACGTTTAAAAAAAAGTAATTATTATTTAAAAATTTAATAAAAATATTAAATAACTTTTTTATTATTAATAATAACATTTAAATTATTAATTATACCGTATTTTAAATTATTTTAAACTTATATATAATATTACGTTAAAATTTATTATAAATAATAATTTATAAAAATATTATTAATTTTTAAATAATTAAAACGTAATAAAAACCTTTTAAATTATAATTATTTTATAATTAAATTAATAATTTATTAAATATAACTTTTAACATTTAAAAATATTTTATAAATTTTATTTTAAAATTATTTAATAATTTATTTATAACTTTTTAAATTATTTTATAACTTTTTAAATTAATAATATCCTTTTTTTTAAAAAGTTTAAAATATTATTTATAATTAATTTTAATATTTTTAAATAATTTAAAAATTTTAATTATAATTAATATAAATAATTATTTTTTAAAATTTATTTTTAAAATAATATTATTAAATATAATATTAATAATTACCATTTTAAAACTTAAAACTTAATTTATTTTTAATTTTACTTATTTTTATTATATCGTTTTATTTTTACTTTTTTTATTTTTTTAAAAAAAGTAAATAATAAAACGTTAAACTTTTTAAAACTTAATATATTACTTTTATTAACGTAATATATAACTTATAAAAGCTTATTTAAACTTTAATAAATTTTAAAATTTATAGCGTTAAATTTACTACCAAATTAAAGAAGGTATTGCAAAAATATTTTTTTTAACGTAAAAAAATATTTTAACCTTTTCTATTTTATTGTTAAAACCGGCTTTAACGTCAAACCGATCAAGGCTTAAATCTGCGTCTAGCCTCATCTAACCTAAACAACCCATTTCCAGAGTTCATCTTGAATTTCGTGGAGAAGGTCCGGCATGAAAAGGCGCGTACATAGTTAGGTAATTGAGGACTTATAGTGATTTGTTTTTCCTCAGGGTTCGAAGTTATTAGGGTGCGGTATAACTAGGTAATATTATGGTGATTCATAGAATTCATAGAGGGCGTAACAGGTCGATTTGTCCCTCCTTTTCCGGTTCAATTCCCGCCCGGCGAGGACCGATAGTAAATCAAAAGGTACGCCGAAAGAAGCCGGAGATGGGTGTTAGTGAAGTCAAACATTCTTCTACTTATACTAGGATTATCCTTGGTGGAAATAGATTCTACTGGTGCATATGCTGTATTTGAATTTCAGAATCCAACAGGCCACGAACAACTCAAATACCATCCCTTGACTCACAAGTTCTCGGACCGTCGAGATACCCGTCTGCCCGTATAAGCTGATGCCGTAAGACTTGACTGGAATTTGGAATTCAGGGGTATAAGGGTATAGGTCACATCGGGGGTGACTTATTTGAAATACTGTTACTCCGTAGCTAATGTTGGCTAATGTTAGCTAATATACACATGTCATTACGCGTTTCCAAGTTACATACCTAGTTTATACGTAACCAATTCCAAATTTATCCAAACTCTTCCCTTCACATGCCCTCTTTAGCTTAGCAATCAAATAGTCTAGTTAGGTAGGTAGTCTATGTAAATCTGCTTGCTAGCCCCCCCACTCCTTTTAATGCATTGGTGGGCACTTCTAATGTCATATCTATCTTGAGGTACCGGGTTCCGAAATATGTAGCATTTAAACGGCCCTTTTCCCAAATGTTGAACAAAAAATTATATGGGCATTGTACTGTAGGTTGTTAATTTTGTGCCGAGGATGACTATCGAAGAAGATGAAGAATTACTAAAGCGTATCGATAGGAGGTGTACCTGGGTATGTAGGTAGCTAAGCTGGTGGATAAGAATGGACGGCCCTGAATGACGAAATAGCGAAATGACGAAATATTAGTTAAAGCTCGCGAGCGGCACAGGCGGCCGCACCTGCGTTAAGGAATCGAGTTACCTCACCTCAACTCCTTCCATAGGAGGTAGCTAGTGTACATATCAGGTCACACTAAATTATGTAGGTCACACAGTCTTATCTGATCTATTGCCTGTAACAAAATTTGCAGTATGCAAACAGTAACCCCTCTTACCATCTACATACATATCATCAAGGTTCCTCTTTACCCCACCACCAATTTTCACATCTAGACCCCACCATCATCGTATGTATGTAATTGGCAATGGCGGCAAAGAGATGATGCCAGCGCGCTTATTATATTAATTTATATGCATTATTGTACTTACCTATATCGCGACCGCGCGGTAACATGCCGACCAAGTTGAGGATATACGAATATTAATGTAATGTAAGTGCATCTAGGTAATGTCGGCTTTGTATGTACGATGCAAACTCTTCTTACTCACATGTACATACATACCTTATGTTAGGTACCTACATATGCAACATGGAAGTATCTCGGAACTTGGTTTACGAGGTCTTCACTCATGGGAAGTACATACGCTAGGTACCTAGGGAAGATGTATGTAGTAATGTATGTAAATATCGATGGGACGGAATCCTTGGTATCCGAACTCGCAACGCTATCTTAGACTTGGCTACCATCTTACTGTAACAATAAATCGCCTTGTCCCGATCCCTTGTTCCCTTGTCGAGAAGCTGTTAAGAGCTATTTAGAAGCTATATAGATAGGTAACCAAACCACTTCCACAAGGCTTCGAGTTCCCCTTTCATCTTCATCTTCATCTTCATCTACAACCATACAATTATATATATCCTCTCACACGTCCTCTTACACACATTCTCATATAAAGTAAATATTAGTCTATATAAAAACCAGCAACGATGACTACCCTCAAAGCCGGAGACAACTTCCCCGAAGGCGTCACCTTCACCTACGTCCCCTACACCCCCGAGCTCGCCGGCGTAACAGCCTGCGGCATCCCCGTCAAGTACGACGCCAGCAAAGGTACCTACCTATATACAATCCCTTCTTTCCATAAAAGCATAGGTATAAACTAACACACCCCCGCAGAAGCTAAAGACAAGAAAATCGTCATCGTCTCCGTCCCCGGCGCCTTCACACCCACCTGCCAAAATACCCACATCCAGGGCTACATCGAGAAGCTCCCTCAGCTCAAGGCCGCCGGCGTCGACCAGGTCCTAGTCATCTCCTACAACGACGCCTGGGTCCAAGCAGCCTGGGCCAAGGCCAACGGCATCAAGGACGAGATTGTAAGTTTTGTTGTAATACCTTTTTCCTTTCCTTCATTCCTCTCTTTTTTCCAAAACAGGAATATTCCGGATACAGCAAATAACTTCAACTTCATTGGACGCCACATGTCTAAGAAAGATGTCATGTCATTGCTCCAATCGTACCAAACTCAACAACAACAACCAACTAATACCGAAAAAACAACAACAGATCTTCGCCTCCGACGACGGCGCCCCCTTCAGCAGCAGCATCGGCTGGACCCTCGGCGCCCGCACCGCCCGCTACGCCATCGTCGTCGACCACGGCAAGGTCATCTACGCCGAGAAGGAGCCCGACAAGGGCGTCACCGTCTCCGGCGTCGACGCCGTCCTAGCCAAGCTATAATAAGCAAAAAAGAAACTCACCTACCTACCTAACTACCCTACCCATGATACCAACACTGAAACCGGACTTCGAGCTATATATAGAGTAGGAAGATAGGCAATGGACGGATGGAAATTAGAAAGGGGACTGGGCCAAGTATACCGAGACGTACGCTGAGCAGTCAGTCGTGGTCTGATCCAAGACATCTATCTATCTGGCTGGCCAGCTCGCTGCTCTGGAACAAAGCCCCCCTCCGAATTAGAAGTTAGTAAATAAACTACATTTTAATAGATTCTATTCTGCTCATTTAGTAAATATCCTGTCTTATGTATCGTACTGTATAAGTTTGCCGACAAAGGTCTGAATAATGCATGTTTTTGGTGTGTGTTATTTCATAAGATAGGTATTTGATAGATGCGCACTCGGGTACTTGGACTTGAAATTCAGTAACAAAATATCTCGTTTCACATGGCAAAAAGGGGACCGCGAGATGTACGAATTCAGACCGTAGAACGAGCTGGTATTATGAAGCTACCAGGTTTAGAATTCCCATGACCATATTAACCATGAGAGATTCTATGCATTCCCCCCCAACCGAATACATATGTGTGTGTGTGCTACGTGAAGGTTTTCTCTTTATTCGCAATCGAGGAAGAAAACTGTTTCCCACCCAAGACGCCGCCGGACGCAAGAGGGCTTACTACAACAACACTAGAGATGCTATGCCGTATCATCATCACCCCTTTCTCTCTTTTTGTCCTCGTACCACTACGTTAAAAAACCCTTCACCCTAGGAATCCTCGCCAGAAGATTGACCTAACAACCCCCGAACCAAAACCCCATGACCCCAACTCGACTTTGACAGACAGACAGGGGGCTGGCTGGCTTAGCGGGTGTTGGCCTGGATCTTGGTCTGGGCGCCGCGGGCACTCTGCTTGCCGACGATGCGCTGGGTCTGGCCCTTGGCGGCGGTGGTAGCCTTCTTGGCCTTCTCCGACTTCTTGGCGGCGGCGGCCTCCTGCTTCTTCTCCTTGGACTCCTTGATGGCTTGGGCGCGGGCGGCGGAGCGGGCCTCGGGTCGCATCGATCGCTTCTCCTTGATCACTTCGAGGGGAGCACCGACGATGGGTCGCTGGGCCTTGACGGTGCGGCGCGTGCGCTTCTTGGTGACTTCCTGTGGCGGGGGTTAGCGTACCGTCTCTTGATATGGCTACGTAGATAGATGTCTGTCCTCGGTGACGGAATGATTTAAATTTCGTCATCATCGACCCGAGAGACGCGAATGGGAGAGCGTACCTCAGAGACACCCTTGCGGTGTTGTCGTCGGTAGAGAACGGTCCATGAGATTCGGCGGGGGTTCTTTCGCTGTAAGAAGAGCGACTCGGACTTGCCGTTCTGGAATCGGAAGACTTTGCTGTCGCCTCGGACGTAGAGCTTACCCTATTGTGATAGTAGCGTTAGTACGTATTACGTATTATCCCACCGCCTTCATCCTCCTCTTTATTCTTATTTTCTTGGTCCTCCTCGAGGATTGCAGCAATTGGAGCAATTGGAGCAATCAATCAATGTATTGGTCGGGAAATACGGAATCGAATTAGGGAGTGTGTGTGTGCGTACCTTGCCAGGGTAGATCCTCTGACCGGAGAAAGAGTCGTCGTAAGTTCTCATGGTGGCGGTTGTTGTGCGCTGAGAACTCGGTTGACTGCTGTGAGGTTAGTGGTTTCGAGGTGGTTTTGGTTGGATTGTGTTAAGAGGACGAATTTCGTAAATGTCAAAGTTGCGCACTTGTGTGGGCTGCATGACTAAGCCCCATCTTTTTTTTTGGGTTGGTCTTTAGGCTTTAGGGTCTCGCTTGATGTGGCTTAGATGGTGGAGCGTGGCTGGTGGGTGAGCAAACACCCGATAGACACCAAGGTAAGTTCTATTATCGCAATACTTCGGTTATTGCATACTACGATATTCATATAGCCTCTCCTCCTATCTCTTCAAGCTTCGCTAACACTACGTTATATTCAGGCTCTGTACCTAACCTTTGGTTGCATCTATCATTAAGTATCATATTATCATAATTTAAGCTCTTTAAATATTCATCATCACTTGGCTACTTTAGACTTACCATCTAAGACTCAAAGCCCCGAATATACCTACTCCAATGACAGTCACAGCTGACGACATCGCTGCACTAGTACAAAAACACTACGATTCTCTTCCAGCAAAGAGGAAACCACTCGTCAGAGGCAATGGGCTTAAGGAATGGGTGCCTTTGGCTGGAATAGTGGCTCAAGGTATATATATATCACGGCCTTCCTCTAACTAGTCTATCCTACATGTACCTACTTAGTTTTAGCTCTCTCAACTGCGTCATGTATATAGAAAAATATCTTGTCCTCATAGACTAATACCTAAGAATAGGAAAAGATGGTGAACTCAAGTGTCTAGCCCTCGCGTAGGTCAGCCTCTCGAAATCAATCACATATTCCCTAAATTAAATTCACCTGGCGGCAAAAGAAACACTTAAGAAGACCCTAACATAGAACCGGTCTAGATCGGGCATGAAATGCCTCCCCACGTCCAAAGTATCGCAAGCGCAGGGGAACATACTGCACGACTGGCATGCAGAAGTGCTGACTATACGGGCGTTTAACCGCTTCGTACTCGACGAGTGTAAGGTATTAGCTCAGGGGTGTTCGTCTGAGTTTCTACGATGGCGGACTATCGATGAGATAGCTTCGAGTTATTGTCGTGATGATACCCGAGCAGGAGAGCCAGGAGGACAAGGAAGCGAATGGCGCGGACAGCCTTTCACTTGGAGGGAGGACGTCCTCCTACACATGTACTGCTCTGAAGCACCTTGTGGCGATGCAAGCATGGAGCTGATAATGGAAGCCCAAGAGGATGCTACGCCATGGGAATTACCCTTAACAAACCCTTCTGTCCCCCTTCCCACCACGGACCCCTCAACCTCCCTGCCCGGCCGTGCCTACTTCTCCCAACTAGGCGTCGTCCGGCGGAAACCCGCACGTTCGGATGCGCCTCCTACGCTGTCCAAGTCGTGCTCCGATAAACTAGCTTTACGACAATGTATCTCGCTGCTCTCATCTATAACCGCACTCCTCGTTGACCCGCGTCACGTCTACATACATACTCTAGTCCTCCCGGAATCACGGTACTCCGAATCCGCCTGTCGTCGATCCTTCTCCTCTTGCCCTATAGATGGACGCATGAGAAGTATGGCATCGGCGGAAGAGCAAGAAGAACGGCTTAAAGGAGAAGGGGAAGCTCCTTATACATTCCGCCCCTTTACCGTAAAAACAACATCATCCGAATTCGCCTTCTCTCAGCGGGCCGCAACCCAAGCCACCGCCAATAACGCCAACCAACATGCCGCCACCAATGAGCAGAACAGACCAGCCGCGCAGAAAGTTTCAGCCAGCAACATATCCGCAGCATGGACTCGCTCCGGCCTCGAAGAAACGACGCTAGGCGGCATCCTACAGGGGCGAAAGCAGTCTGCGGCCGACGCACGAGGGGCTAGCTTTGCTTCGAGGCGGAGGATATGGGGACTTGCCGTAGAGGTAGCTGATTTACTTCTACCACAGGCGGGAGAAGATAACGAAGAAGGGGAAGAGGGAGAGGGAGAGGCTATGAATACTTCCGCCATTGCTGATATACGGAGGGCGCTTACCGCGGAAACGTACGGCGAGATGAAGGGCTGTGCATTGCTAGAGCCTCGAAGACGGGCCAAACACAGGGCTAGAGCAGAAGCACTAAAAGGTTGGGTAAGAAATCTAGGCGATGAGTCCTTCAACCTATAAATATGGCAGTATGACAGGTTAGGTAGTTCGTATACATACTCTTCAGAGGCACAATGTGCACAAGTGACAAGCATACGAGGTAGTCAATAAACAACAACACGTTTACAACATATTTCTTCTTATTTCGCACAAGCAGTGGCATCGATTCCCCACTAACCACGCCCTGCGTATCTAAGGGTAAAAACCCGCTAGCAGAACCTGGCGGAGGAACAAAATACGACTAAACGCAAGTTGCTACCGTAGGGAATGGGAATGGGAAATGGGGAGGCCCGAGCCCCTCGCGGACCCAGAAACCAGCCATCCAGCCACCCAGCCCAAACTACCTAAAATGATGATGATGATGACGACGATGGTGGGTGGGTGTGGGGAGGGGAAAAATCCCACCATCGCCCTTAATTGATTGCAAAAGGACAGCTACCGAGGAACTCCCTTTCCGACCTTTCCTCCTTGCGCGCGAGAGAGAGAGAACATGAGAGACAGGGAGAGAGAGAGAGAGAAAGACCACCATCAAACCGGATTCGACCAAATGTCCCATATTCATTCCCGTTGTTTTGTTTGCGTTCCGTTCCATTATCTTATCTTTCCGCGTACAGCATTTCCGTTTCGTAAAAATGAGAAAAGGGTGGTTGGGTGGTGTTGTTGGGTTGGGAGTAAGTCTGGTATCTTTGGTCCGCTTGTAATAGGTGAGGTGTGCCGATTAAAAAGGTGGTTTATTCGACCTTGCTCTCGAAGTTCTCGCCGGCGACTAAGTCGGGGATATCATCATCGTCTGCGTCCGCGTCCGCCTCCTTGGACTCCTTGGACATGCTCTGGTAGCTCTCAGCTAGTTTTCGGAGAGAAGCTAGGGAGTCGGGTCCGAGCTGGTTTAGGATGCCGGGGACAAGTTCTGTAAGCTCCTTGTCCTCACCAGCGCCGTAAATAGCGAATGTGTTGGAGGGGACAGCGGCGTGAACTAGTAGGTATGTAGGTATTAGCGGATGACCCTTTATACTTATTTCTATATTCTATTTCTATATCTATATATATAGATATATATAATGTGTGCATATGGGTAATTTAAAAAAAAACTCACCCTTAGGAGCGGAGAAGTGAATGACGTTTCCGTCGCTCTTGAACATGTTGACCTCCTCGATAGCCTGGATAGGCTGAGTGTTGAGCTTCTTCAGGGTAGCCTGTAGCTTCTTGTCGTCGTTGGCGCTTCGGGCAACATTGCGCTTTTGCTTGTGTCGCGGGGTTCCCTTTCCACCTGCGCACCACAATTTTTATTAATCGCTTGCTTCTTTAATAGAGATAGAGATCAAGATCAAGATTAAAAACTTGGCGATATTACGTACCGGTACGCGAAGGCGCGGCACCGCCGAACTTCTTCTTAAGGATCTCCTGCACGTCCGCCATGGTTGTGGGCAGAGGTAATCTCTATTCCGGTGCTCGGGGTGGATGGTTGGTGAGAGAGAGAGAGAGAGCAGAAGGGCTAATAAGCTGGGTGGGATGGTAAGTAAAGTGGTTAGCTATTTTTGTTGATTGTTCATGAATTTTGGTGCGGGACAGCTTAATAAAATATAATTATGACCAAAAAAATAACAGAATTGAATATTTACAAAGCTTTAAAAAATGAATATCTAACTTACCTCGAGAGGAATTGCGATATTTTTCCTTGAGTCGTCGGAATATCGTAAGCTCTATCGAATCAATCAATCATTCAATCGAGGGGCGATGAGGCCTGAAGTTGGGGCGAGTCGGCATTGGGAAATTGTGCGTTGCCAAGACTTTTTCGCTTTTTCGCTTGAGGATCAACCCTCTTCCGCCGCACTTACCTACCTTACCTAACCTAACCTACCTAGGTAGGTACCTATTATGTACCTAACCATATCTCGCCGTATGCATTTAGCCATCATTCCTCGCACTGACAGGCCAAAGATATATCGTGATGCTTACTGTCCACTTTATTTTCTCAACCTTCTTTACGATGAGTATTACTTCAAATCGGGAATGCATTGCTATATTATTAAGTCAAGAGACAGCAAGCTATGGTGCACGGCTACTTTAGCTAATCAACTGAAACCACCTCCTGATCGTGAGCACATCGCACAACTCCAACCTCTTGCAGGTCAACTTGCTCTCATCATGTCTCATACGCCATCCTAACCACTCCTATTTTGGTATATTGTCATGCAACCTAGTCGGCCAGCCTGGCTAGAGCATCCATACCCGTGTCTTCGTCCTCTTCCAGCTCCACTAGCTCCTCGTACGTAGTAGATTGCTCCTCGACCACTTCTGTGGCTTGGGTCGCTTCTACGCTTTGACCGATATATAGGTCTCTAAAGCCGTCGATTTCCTCCGAGTCATTGATACTGATGCCAATGATTCGCTTAAATTCGTCATCGTCGCCTGTGTAATCATCATCTAATAGTGCTGTCGTCGGCTGAGGTACTTCCTCTAATTCGAATTCGTCCTTCGCCATGGCGATTCGACCTAGCTCGTACTCAAACACCCACGGGAAACTAATCAACGGCATCGCATCTGTCCTCGATTTTTCCTCTCCCACGGCTTCTGATGCCCGCCCCCGCCCCAGTGTGATCTGCACTTCTTCCCATGTGATGCGGTAGGTAGCTGCCACCACGGGATATAAGACGTCAGGATCTCTGGATCCCGCCAGCTTGATGCAAACGTCCCTGAACCGTTCTCTATGGTTCGTCATCACCGGTTCCATATTCTCCTGCCGCTTGTATTCACCTCCAAGTCGCGGTTTTGACATCATAAATGTTGACCAGGCTTCGAATTCAGTTTCAATATCATACTGATTCATGATCTGTCGCATAGCCTTATCATGTTGCCTTTTTATCATCCTTACCGTCTTTAATAATTCGTCTTTCAGCGAATACCTACGGAGGATTCTCTGGTCGAATGTGCTGTCTAATTCGGGTTTAAATTCAATCTGCGCCACTTGGTCGTATAGTCGACCAAGAATCTTCATCGAACGATACGTTCTACTTGGCACCTTCTCCATAAAGTGCGGGTACTTTTTTGGCCGCAACGACGCTCTCAGGTAAGCTTTCTGCCCGGTTTTCGGGTAGTCGACGGCATTGGAATGTAGGTGTGCTAATTCGATGCACTGCGGGTGCTTGGGACCATCGGTTAATGCGTCGCACTTGGCTAGATGGGCATGGGCAATGGTGCTGAGCGAGTCATTCTTCATATAGCTCACGAAAAATGAAATGAGATCCGTTACTTTTACGTCCCGATTGAGTTCTTTTGGCTTGAGGCTATCGTGCTCTATAGGGGGGTGATTCCACTCCGTAGGTATAAGCCGAGGATCCCAGATCACAAAGTAGTCGTCCCCGTCAAGATCTCCCCCGGAACACATGGAGGGGATATCGCGGTCTCCAACCGTGGGGAATACAACAACGTCGCGGAGGTGTCTTAACGCCGGAACGTCTACGGCCTCCACTACTCGAATATCTCCAGGATGGAGCGATGGGTTCCGCCCGAGCACGCATATTCCAGTTATAACGGTGTATTCACCGGGCTCTCCTGGCCTAACACCCGTCTTTGGTACTTGCAGGAAAATCTGCGGCAAGGTATTCGTGTCTTTACTCTGGCTAGAGTCGGTTGCATTGGAATGACCTCGTAACGTGCGAGTCTCATCTGCGCAACCAAAAACAAATGCGCCTTTATCGACCATAATACGAGCCTTCTCACGAAGCAGTCTCATCGACCAGGCACGCCAAATGTGTAGTAGGGTCATAAAAAAGGGCTCTTTAGTTTCCATGAACCCATCCGCAATCATTTGTGCCATTATCGTGGTGATGCCATTTTGATCAACGTATCTGCTGAGTATTTGCATAGCAAATTCGGCGTCGGTCATGGCACGCTCGTAGTCAGCGATCTGCTTCTTCATCATCTCCTCAAAAGCCTCGTCTGGTACGCCAAGGCAGCTTAGAATAGTAATAGTCTGCCGATTTAAGGTTGCGACAGAAAAACTAGACGTCTTAATAATCTCGAGCCCCTTCGAAACTGCGTTGAACTTCTTCTGCGATGGTCGTAGGTGAACCTCGTTGAAAGGTACATCGGGCCACTGTACTAGAATTCCCTTACTACCCCCTAGCCTGAACTGGAAGACAGACGGGAGAGTTTTTGAGGTCCTGCTCATGTCAAGATTCTGCATGAGGAACTTCGCACGGCTAAATGCTATTTTCCCAACTCCATCGGTGAAGCACCGACCATCATGTTCAATATCGTTAATGTGTATAATTGCTTGGCCGATTGGTGATGCTTTGGGTATCCTCGTTGTCGAGAAGCATTGTCCAAGCCGGGAGGCATACTTGGCGACGACTCGGATGTGATTAACGTCACCCATCCAGGCCCGGATGTTATCGCAGGTTAAGAAGTCTGCCGGGCAGAAGAAGTAGGCGCCGTGTTCTCGAAACTGAGAGTTCCCAGTGGCAAGATACTGGAAATGACGACCGCCGATCTGTATGCCATTCTGCAATACTCTATATACTCGATTAAATAGAGCATTGTCCCGCGTAGTATCGGGATCCGAGTAGATGCGACCTTTGATGAGCTCATCTGTGAATTGAACACGTATAAACCGGTCTTCGTAATTGATGTACTGACGTAGGACGCGGTTCGACGGCTCTGGTGCCGGGCTACTAAGATATATTGTTGTAGGAGTGATCACTACTTTTCGTACCCATATGCAGTGTCGTGGGAGTGAGATCTCCGGGTAATGGCTCGTCGCTTTTGTGTCTTCAAAAAGTGACATCGGATCGTATATCCTTTTCACATCCAACTTATCCCGGCTCTCAATGCGACTTCCGATGCGTGACTGTAATACATACGTCAAGAGGTCTTTTGCTCTATCCCGACGTCGGGTACGACCTCGCGAGAGGTTTGCCAGCCTTCGGAGGAACTCTGTAGTAATGTTAACCTCGTTGAAAATACCCTGAGAGATGCATGCTTCAAGCTGATATCGGACGTCGTAGGGAAGATAGATGTCTTCCATGTCGGCGAGAAGGGCAAAATTAGCTTTAGACGTGTCTGCGCCAGGCTGTTGAGGTTCAAGTGCATCCCAGAAGCTTGATATCAAGGGTGGAACTATCTTAATATCATTTGAGTTTTTGTGATCTATAAAGATATTGAATTCCTGCAGAGCCGCTTTCATTTCCTCCCATGCAACGAGAGAAGACTTTGCGAACAAAAGCCGGTAAGTAGTCCATGTTCCAATGTTAATAAACCGATTGGTTCTGGATAATAAGACGGGTTCATCTATGAACCATGATGTATCATAAGCAATGTCGACAATTCGGTTCCAAGCATCCTGCTCTTTCCAAATATTCTTGCTGCTTGTATGTGAGTTGGTGTAATCACATTTTCTATAGAAAAGGGGCGGGCTAGGTAGGTGGATAAGTAGGGCCCATGTATTCTCATCGACGTCTATAAAGACGATCCTCTTTACATTAATAAATGGAACTTGTGCTTTATATTGCAGCATAAGTTCCTTTTCTCCGATGGGTGAAGGGTGTTTTATACTGGGGTCTTCGCGACGTGGATCTGTGATGCTGCATGCAAATGTGATTTCTAGTCTTTTTGAATTTAGATCAGATCCCAGGGAAAATTGACCTCGCATGTTGTTTTGGATTGTGCGCATTGGCATCACCTCATCCTCATGCGCAAGCACCCCGAATTGAAGCGCAACCATTGCAATACTCAAGAATGGCGGGTAGCTACGGTTGTTGGAGCCAGGTATTCGTCGTTCCTGCCTCTCCTTCTCGAGTTCGACTTTCACTTTGACTGATTGACCTTGAATGCTGAGTACCATAACATTGTCCCAGAATTGACGGATAGGAGGCGGCGAGAAGCGGATACGGCCACCTCCTTCTCGAGTCCCGTCATTCTTTTCAAAGAGCTCGATAAAAACAACCTCCCCATCCTTCTTGAAATGAGTCCACAAATCAAATGTGGTGGTAGCGGGAGGGAGACCGCGTATACGGAGGCTGATCTCAGCCCACGATGACCACTGAGGCTTAATGCCGATAATGTTGGATGATCGGCGAACCTCGGACCCATATGTGGGATGTGCTGGAGTAGGTGTTGTAGGGTAAGATTGCACATCCGTATTGCGAAGTGGCTGTTGCCCTTGATGTAAACCACGAGCGGGGGGTGTTCTTCGAGAATGGTTATGGGCTCCTCTACGCGCACGGCCGGAGCCACCTCGATTCTGATTTGGAAATCTTCGGGTTCTTGATCCCCTGGAATTAGGTGGAAATGTATTGTTGGACGATTGATAGAGATTATCCTCAGGAGACACACCGCCTCCTTCTTCCGATACTTGGACATTGCTTCTAAAGAACGGAGAAACAGGTGGCCGATGTAAGCTCGAGCCTCCCCGGTATTGGCGAGCTTCACGAGCCATTATATTAGGAGGCGTGAGGTGAAACTTGGAATAGGCCGGGTTGAGAGCTACATAGAGTTCCTTGTTAGCTGAAATAAACTATAAGACCGAGTCCTTGTTCAATGAAAGCAGCAGTTACTGCACAAGTGGGTAGTAAAGCGGGAATGATTGGGGTGGAAGAAGACTTGGAATTGAAAGAGACATTGGCAGGTGTGTTTGATTAAAGTTGTTTGACAGGTGCTTGCTTGATTAATAGGATAGTGACAGCAAGAGTGTGAATAGGTGAAATAAACCTCGCGATATACTAACGTGGCGCGTCTTGTTTGGTTTAACGAAGGAATTCCATTAAGGTAATGATCCGAAAACAAAATATAGTTAAATATTAGTAGAGCTTAAGTTGAAAGCTCAATTAGAAATGAGAAAAAAAAAACACCTGGATGAAGATGTTTAGTGTGCGATGCGTAAATTGGTTAAGGGAAGGATGCTGTCGCCTAAACTACCAGGTGCATTACTACCTCCTAAGGTATTAATGATTTACTACTTTCCATCCTTCCTTCCTCAAACTTTTCTACGAGCAAGTACCCAAGTACTTACCTTAGGTACATACATTAGATAAATATTGTATCTGAGCCGTATGTTGTTCCCCTGAATTGAATCGGTAATTGCCACGATGATGAGATGGGACGAGTAAACATGCCTCCTAAGGTAGGTACTACATACGAGGGCACACCTACTCCGAATTTGTTACTGGAAATTGGCATTGAACACTCAACCAAGTCGTAAATTCTCGTTTGGCATCCGAATATGTGTTTTATACGTTGGGTAACTTTTGCAAACCAACATTCTTTTGAAATGTTTCCACTCATAATGTAAAGCATCCTGCATCTAGCCGAAACGCCGCAGACCGCTTGCTCACACGTATATCTTCACCCTTGGATTTACTCTCAGCATAGTGACTCACACAGCTATGAGATACTAAATTAAACCAAAGTTGTTCCAGCGTCTTAAAATTTATTGTGTTCGGATGATTGGTACTACCAATCCTAAACCCCGACTAGATATCTTATTATCGCTACATACCTCTTAGGTACATTATAGTATTGGAACCATGCTAACGATAATGGTGTTCCCTTGAAATATGGAAAGGAGTTGTATACAATGGGGAGGTATTCCTCTTCTGTACTTCCTCTGGAAGAATCGACACCGGGGAAGATGACTGTTTGATTTCTACTGGTTAAGGAACTGGATCAAATAAGAACCTTGTATATGTATATATCTTGGGACTGTTGAATAATTATTTGATGATTTTCTAAGGCCTCGCATCCAAACCTGACGAGAATGGTCACTTAAAGAAGGGTTTCTACGGGGTCCCCCAAAATGTTAGAAATTACTCGATGACCTAAGTAGCTTGGGAAAATATAGTATTAGGTGGATTATTACGATAGAACAATTATATTGCGGTGTCTATTTGCTATATAATATAGTAAACGAGATAAACAATGGGGAAGAAGAAGGGCCGCATTCGAGTTTTCGAGCATCAAGAAGTAGTATGCCTTTTAGAATATTATTCGATAAAACCCACCATAGAATTCGTGGTTAGAAATAGCAACTAAGATATGTTGATATCAGCAGAGTTATTTATCTGTTAAAACGGAGGAGATGGTCTCAATAATAAACATTTGCTTGATGAATTCCTCACGCAATATTTCTAGGTTAAATGATACTAAAAACACCAACAATTCGCATGCTCGTAAATGGTACCTCTGAAAATAATAGCAAACAAATCTGCAATGAGATCTTAAAGGGCCCTATTGATCCTATCCCATAACGAGGTATGCAAGATCCTGTTTACCCGCTACCTAATATCTAATCAAACCCCAAAAAGGGGGCAAGCAACTTTTTTTTTCTCCAATAACCCATATGCAAAACATACCAGCAAACTTGTCCCATGTATTATCCTCTCATGCGCCGAAGTGTGAGATTGTTTCCCTTTAACACAAGAGATTGGGAATAGGTAAGAGGACCGACATCAAGGCAAGTCCATGATCTTTCCTGGGTTCATAATCCACAGGGGATCAAGCGCCGACTTGATCTGCTTCATGACTCCGAGCGTATCTGGGCCAACCTCTAATAGCAGCGAGTCCTTTTTGCCCCAGCCGATAGAATGCTCTCCCGTACATGTCCCCTCCATGTCTAGTGCTCGCTTGACCATGTTCTTCACGCACTTTTCTACTTTATCGAGCTCCTCCTTCTTCGTCCGGTTGTAGATAATGCTTTCGTGGAAATTGCCGTCCCCGATATGGCCTAGAATACTGGCGAATAGACCCAAGTCGTCCATCTCTTTCTTGCTGACTTCGATAATGTCTGCTAGCCTGCTGAACGGGACTGCGACATCGGTAGACCCTGTGGAAATTGGTTAGCTGGGGATTAGGGTTGTTATGTCTTAATTAAGCGATCAGGGATATCAAGGACCGCTGTAGGCGAATAGCTTGCCGTAAAACTAGACACGTCTAAAGGACCAGAAACGGAGAGGGAGAACTTACAAACTTCCTCGCCCTCCTTTCTCAGAGCCAGCATCGACCATAGAGACTCCTTCCTCGCCGACCACAGAAGCTTCTGCTCTCGGAGATCCTTGGCGAATTCAAAATTGCTGCCCTTATTATTCTTTGCGATGGCTTGGACGCGGGTGATGTTTTCCTTCACGCTGGTCTTTGTCCCTGCGAACTTGAAGAAGAGCGTCGGCTCTTCCTTCCATACCCGGGGCGCGGTAGCTCCACCTAAGTTGACGACCTTCATTTGGACTTCGTCCATGATTTCCATAGCTGCGATGGGGACGCCTGTCTGCATTACCTCGGCTGCTGCGGAGGCGGCATCACGGATTGTGGGGAATGTTACTACTGCCACGGAGAACTCCTCAGGAACGACGGCAAGTTTTAGAGTTGCTTACAAATTGTTAGTAGGCATTTATATCGTAACAAATAACAAAAGTGGGAAGATCAAGACCTACCTTCAGTCACGAGGCCCAAGGTCCCCTCGGAACCAACAAACAAACCGTTGAGGTTGTAGCCTGCCGAACTCTTTCTAGGACGTCTCCGCGTCTTGATGACAGTCCCGTCTGCCAAGACTACAGTTAGGTTGATAACCCAATCTTTCATCGTACCGTATTTAACTGCATTTGTGCCAGAACAATTGGTACCGATCATGCCACCAATTTTGGCGCTTGGACCTAAAGTAAATGGTTTAGTTGGTTTTCTTTTCGCGAGGTTTCATTTCGAGAATGAATGTAGGTAAGATAAGAGATATGTTATTTCCAAAGGGAAAAGCCTCCCACAAAATAGGGGTAAGATGTAAATTCACTTCAGGGGCCAGGCTCGCTCACCAGGATCAATAGGGAAGAAAAGACCGCTACCCATTCTGCTTAGCTGATCGTTGAGATCTTGCCAACCAATGCTTGGTTGGACGACAATATCCATATCGTCTTTGTTAAACTGGATGATTTGGTCCATATACGCGAAATCAACGCTGATGCCACCGAAAGGGGCCGAAAAGTTTCCTTCCAAGCTCGAACCTCCCGAATAGGGGATAATGGGTACCCGATATTTATAACAAACTCGGGCGATGATCGATACCTGGTCTGTTGAACGCGGGTACACCACAGCAACCGGTAAGCCATCCGGATTCGTTGTCGACCATTCGGAATATCCATGAGCCAGAAGGTCTTCTGGGTCCGTACTGATGATGTCTTCCTCCTCACCACTTTTGGTAAGCTCTCGACGAATCTCCTTTAATGCCTATAGTGAACTTAGTAAGGGACTTAGTGGGTTTTCTATCTTGGTACACATTTGCTTTTCTGGAGTAGGGTAACAGATAGACTTACGTCCTCCATCTCATCTAATGATGCATATTGCGGCGTTGGCGTCTTACTATCAAAAAGTGTAACGGTACGTTTAGGAGGTCCTTGGAGTGTCGCAGAAGCAAGTCCGAATCCTAATAGGCTAGCGGTGGCTGTCAAAGCAAACACGGAGCGCCCGGTCCACCTCGGGTGGTAATACGCCGGGTTGGTCCACGCTCGTTCGGCACCGGGCCCATTTTCACTGATAGGTTTCCTCAACGAGCGAGATGTGTGAATTGTTCGTCTCCAAGCGCCCGGGAGACGCCCGGTGAAAAGTTTAGCTGACATGAGTTGCGGATTTATAGATATGGTGTTCACGTGTCAATGAATTAGGACGCACACATCAGAGAAGATGACACCGATAATCGAAGGAGGGTATGGGCGATTAAATTGGGACTACGGGTTCTGGAGAAGTAGTAGCCCCCCTTTTGACTGGGTTGGATCCCAGGCACGACCTCTGTGTTCCTCTCTTAGGCAGAGACGTCTGGGGGCAAGTTTCCCGCTCGAAACTGAGGAAAGCTGTCGCCTAGATCCTCGATTGGTGTTCAAGCCGTCGGACTAGAAGTCAAGGTTGTCTAAGGGAATATTGACGTTTGGAAGACCCCAGATACATAAACCCCAAAAAGGAAAGCCGAAATTGAGTAAGAGTTTAGCGGGCGGGGGTAGTTATGTGGATAGAGAGTAGGTAAGAGTGGGCGTGTTCGTATTGTCGCCTTGGTCCGGGAGGAGTACGGCATATAGAGGTAAGAGAAGTTATGGGAAGCTCCTGAGAGCGGCCGGGTCAAGTATTAAACTATAGCACTTGGTTGAAGCGAACCCCGAAAATAGCAGACGCAATGCAGACTAGCCGTGATAGGATTTGTAAGTGAAAGTGACTAGGTCTAACTGTTCCTATAAGAGTCACCTATGCCCGTTTCTAGACTCGGTGAATCTGCTAGTAAGCGTTGAAGTAGGAAGCGCGGACAAATCCTTGACGCGGACCAGGATACCAGAAACGATCAGGGATCCAGTCACGAGATAAAATGGTTAGTTGCTGGTGCTTTTGAGGCACTAGATGTAGAGAAGGGTAGATGCGAGTAATAGCGACTAATATCGTTACTAGTGACTACTAGTAGAGAGGCTCGGGAAAGAAAGGTGTCCAGCTTCGGCAAGAGACGTACGCTGGTAACGTCGAGTAAAGCTTTAATAAAGAGATATAAAGGACCTACGTAGATGTAATACAAGGACGGCTGGCTATGTGGGAACTAGTCCCACGATTGGAAGCTGGCAATACGTCTATGCCACGCCACGCCATGTTATCCCTGGTGCTGGGAGAGTTGGCAGTTGTAAATGGGTAAGAAAAGGCCCACAAGTACGTTGACGTTAAATCCCAATCGTAGTCTGCGTTACTAGATGGCAACGAATGAGGATCAAGACCAGCCTAGACAAGGGGGGGCCTAGAAGGTGTGGGAGCGAGAGAATGTGTTAATGTTACTAATGTAAGTAGTGTAAGTATGTGAAGAGGGGCTAAATGGTCATATGGTTTCCAGCTATACGGGAAGCAGCTGATATAGTTAGTATAGTTGAAGGGACGTTGGATATGCTTCAAGGCAATGGAGTGCAAAGAAGGGAAAGAGAAAAAGAGGAAAAATAGTTTGTTGATCCTTGCTGTAGCATGTCCCTGGTCCGTGGGGTTTGTCCCTCTAGGTACCGCCCAGGGTAGTGCAGAATATTGTCACGAACTACATGTAGGTACAAGCAGCTGCATCTATACGTATTGTAACGTATTATAGTCTTATATCATTCGTCGCCCATTGTCTGGCGAAGAAAGGATTTTCTTACCACGTTTAGCCCAGTATTGAAGCTGGGTTGGTAGGAGACTGTGTGAGCATCTATGCTGACACGGTTACCCTGTCTGAACTGAACTTCCAATTACATATGGCCAGCGCGCAACTACTCGTCGATTCATTGGCAAAGAGCAATATGTAGGTATGCATGATGAATAGCCTCTTCGTAAAAATAGGACATCGGAAGATCTGAGCAACGGTGCTATCGATTGGAGCGTTTCAAGCCACCACTCTCACCGTGAGACAAGCTGACAGACAACACGGGACGGGATATATATGAAAATAAGATAGGTACCTGTAAGGTATGTATGAGCGGGACAATATGTTGGTTGGTTAAAATAAGGATATACGTACATTATGTTCCACACCACCATCTTCCATAGCTTGTTCTAGCTCAAGGGGAAATAAGAAATGCCAATGCCAGCGTACTCGGTACGAAATACAGCTTGATAAAGATGTCGAAAATAAATAATGAGGGGCTAGAGCTAAGTCAAGACCGCTATTTTATTTTTCTGGTCTTCTTAATGAGGGGTAAATGTTCAAACCCTCCGGAATGCAATTATCAATCCCTAGCCGAGGTGGATATATCCATATCCCACATGGCATCTTACACCGGGGTGTAAGTCCGCTAGTTATACCGCGTCTTATACATGATTTCTCTTGATAGATGGTGAGTAATCGAGCCTCATAACTAGAAAGCCGTAATTGATCCAACGGGGTCTTCATTAGCTTCGCAGCCCTACACGAAGCATATCTAATAAGTGTACCTAAGAGGTAGGAATGACATCAATGGTTGTCATAGGACATCACTAATATATCTTCCAGCTGGAGCAAGCCTCACCGGTCCATAGGACGCATGTATCCCTCAAATCATATTCATCATCTAACTTCTATAGTCGGCTTCGTTGCAGTGGCCGTATGTAGGTCCAAAAACGGAGCCTCTGGTGATGGCCATCTTCCCGGCTTACTAAGTGCATCTAAGGTCACCATATATTGGCCGGTATATGCCTTCTTGAATGTGGATCCTTTACTTACTCAAGACTTCGGGATCCAAAATGCGCCTGGTGAAAGGGTCATGGGCGGTTCCATCGTTTCATATATGCATAGCCTAGTCTAAATACGACCTGAAAATCATATGTAGAAGCAAAACATGGGCGTGGCTTATGATTAAATGTAGAGTAAATGGCGATGTACCCTCGCCTAATCTAGCATAGCTTATGATAGAGTAGGACTGACTTGCGTATAGAATTTTAGATGAGAAAGGTCATGCGGAATTATTTTATGAAGGGTACCGCCTGGGTGTCAGGAAATGGCTCAAGAGTCGGCAGTCCTACTAATACTCTCCAGGTGACTTTTAGAAAAAACATAACATATCTTACTCGCAGTCCTTTTTATGCTGCCGATGCAGACTTTGGATGATGTCCTACTAGCCGATAGGGGGGAGGAAGACCTAAGGTAACCTTTCACTTGCTGTACTAGAGCTACACATGGTCAAACATGAAGATGGCAAATCCAACGTATGTAGAGCCTTTGGTAGGAAGGGCAACAATTATGTGCTGGCGTAAGCCGGCTCGAGAATAGTAGATGGCTGTAATGGTAAGCAGCCCAACTTGTTGTCCTTCACCTAGTTGCGCTTATCGTGGCTGGAATTCCGTCACAAATTGGTCACAGCCCATCACTGTGTAACTACAGCGTCGAACCACGATGGGGGGACAATATCCCAAGCATCGCTGATTCAGGCTAATTCTAACCGCGGTGATGATCATGAGTAAAGCATCCCGGAACTGGGGAGTCTACCCCAGACTTTCTATCCGGGACGCCACATGAAAACCTGGAGAGGTTGTGGGTAGTCTTGGGTGCTTGCTAAAACAAGAGTATCCAAGCCCACCAACCTCCAATGCAGCAATGGCTGTTAGTAATAGCTCTGTAGAGAATTCTCAAAGCGCCTTGAAGGAATAATATTAGAGGGTAGTTTCTACAGAGACTACCTCGTCCAGGTTTAGCGGCAGTGGGGGTTACGTTACCTCAAGTAAGGTATCTTTCATAGGTATTTAACGGCGGCTTTCTAATGTCGACCAATAACGAACTTCAACGTCCACTTCTTCCAGTAGTCGTCGACAGGAGAAAGAAAATAAAAGAACCAAAAAGGTAGTACTCGGGTAGATGATGACCCTTCTACAGTCGAGAACTACAGTCGAGAAGGGTACCTCGCGTTTCAGCTTTGGGTATCTCTCAGGATAAAAAGTGCGCCTGGCAACCTCACCAATAACAGATCAGGCCACTACTAAATGGTATAAAATAAAGCAGAGGAAAAGGGGGTACTAGAAAGTAGAGCGATGTGTCTTCGGAGCACACATTAGCTGAACATTGTTGAGATCTTCAGGAGTGATGGGTGGTAAAAAGACATCTTGCTTTTCGTCAATGTTGGATAACTTACACGCAGCTCACCAGTTGCAACCCATTACACACGCCTTGACACCACGCTTATCACCGGGTGAGAAATCGAACGAGTAATCCGAAGATACACGTATAGCCTAGTCACCCAGTACTATGGTTGACATCACTATACGCGGAATGAGAGGTGTTGCCTCCGAGGCGCGGGGTGAAAAAAATACGATTAAGCCAGGTGGAGGGCGTTAAAAGTCGGTCAGAATCAGGTAACAATCGGGCCGCAGGCCAAGCAAAGGACAGAAGGAAAAGCCCATCTTCATGCAGCTTTTCTCTAGCCTGCTTTTAGGAAAAGGCTACGGCTTCGCAGCAGATAGAAAGATACCGGTCCCATACCGGTCTCTTTCCCTGTGTTCTCTATAGGAGGATTTCGCATGCGGTATGAAAATGCGTAGCACGCACTAGCTACCACGGATGCGTCTACGTCGGGACGGAACGTGCAACAAAGTTGCCCAGACAGAGATATCTACTTGATTCGATGCTGTTATGCATAGCGTATAATGCTCGAACGGGAAGCGGTAGGCGATACATGATCGGGCATTGTAACTTGCATACCAAAATGCTACTCTGAGTTCCGAGATCTCGGTCCCTGGCGAGAAACAATTGGGTGCATGTGTCAACTAAGCGAACCAAAGTCTGCACCAGAGAAGTGATTGATCATTACATACCGAGAGGAGGGCCAGCGACTATCGCGACCAGACACTACATAAAGCGAAAAGTCTGTCGCGAGGAGTTCTCGAAGCTAGATAATATCGTATTTCAAAAAGGGTATTATAATACGCGATAAATAACCCCGCGGACTTGACGTGCTTGACTTGATCCCTCTGTCCCTCGGGTATTCCGGTGAAGGCGATGATTGGTTTACCGGTGCTCCCGGCCGATCTTCCACTTATGTATAAGTGGCCGTTATGTGACCCTGTTACATACACTGATACAATAGGTAATACAATAGGTGCATACATAAGACGGGTTATGAGGCTGACGTAGGTAGATCTAGGTTGCTCAAGATATGTGATAGGAGAACAATGATTGAACGACAGCGAGTTGCGGAAGAATGCAATCGACGGATCGAGACTCGGCAAAAGTCCGGCTGGAGCTGGCGATATTTCAATAAAAGAGATATGTCACATCAATATCTGAATATGCATATATCCATAGGCCAGCTTTCCCCCCCCCCTGAGATCATCGTCACTTATCATCCACTGATTCTATGCAAAAATTACAAGTTTAAACTCCGATTTATTATCAAGATCTTCTCACTCTCTAAATCCTTCATATTCTTCCCCGCGCCAACATAACCCAGAAAAATAATCTTCATATTAATATTATATCATACCCAGTTTCCCATACATGATAATATCAATTTGATTAATACAGACCGCCTTTTGACAGTCATCATGCCTGCATACTATACCACACCCATTCACCTGCCTCAATACCCAATCTCATCTATCTACCAAGGTACTGCAAGTCACACGACACATACGACGCGCACGAATCACTCAACAAGATGCGTTTTGTTACGTACCGTACCCAATATAAGCCCCACCGGAAATAAGGTATCAGCGAAGACCACACCCATGCCAACCTGCGCCTACGTAGTTGTGACATGCATGCTGCCCTACGAAATAGACGTTTTTTTTTTCCTCACTTGCATACTACAGTAGCATTCCGTCCCAGAAATTTCAAGTCTTTTAAGTCGCAATTCTGGCCGTTGAATCAGTATTCCTAGACCAGGTGCTAATATCTACCTATAAGGGTGACAGCAGTAGTGGTTGATTATCTAGGAAGTTAGATTCTAGATAGTTATTAGACTTATATCCGTGATGAAAGTCACACATAGAGTGAATTTCAGGATACCTAGTTGAATTGAACTATTAACGGCTGTCTTTCCATCCTCTTACGAGGGCGCTGTGTGCCTCCGATATAGTCGACCTACCCCTGAATCCACCCCTAACCCTGACAATAGCCCCTTAGCGGGCGTCTAAATAGACTATATTTATTAACCTTGTAGTTATCCTAAGCACACATGTTCAGTTTAGCAGACACTAGGCTACCCTTGCAGCATCGTATGTGTAGATGTGATATATAAAGGTGAAATTGAAAGAGATTCAGATAACGAAATCAAGATCCAATGCCTAGGCCCCTCAGAGTTACTCAATATCCACAGTCCTGACCTGTGCCTGGTTCAGTGTTGTGAGAAACCGGTCTCTTATCTCCGACTGAAGAAGGTCGATTTGCGGCGTGTGTGAATCGAGCTCCAGAATACCAATCCGTTCAAATACTGCCCCAGGCCCAGTACGAACAGCTCTTATAACCAAAGATACGTCGAGATTATCCTCAATGTGCCGAATCATCCTCAGGCAATGGACTTCGGTTCCGGAAAGGACTTGGTATGGGCCGGCCTGGCTCAGGTCATAGTCCGGCCAGATCCGAGGACCAACGGCTCCATCGTGAATGTGTACGCGGTAGGTTGGTCGTTGGTAAGTATCCGGGTCAGCCTCGCGAATGAGCCGGGCTGGTAAAATCTGACTAGTTATGCGCAGGGGTGCAGACTTGATCTTACCGAAGGTATCCAATCCATCCAGGGTGCATGTGCAGTGCTCGATCGACGCTATCTCGATGCGCTCAGCTTATCGTTCTAGGAATATTTCGTCATGATAATAGACCAGCTCGTCTCGGTAGGTAATAGATGATTTGGTGCTAGCCCACGACCAGGAGGGGGCCCTCCACTCCGACAGCCGTGGCTTTTTCCACGTCACTGCCGTCCACAACAAGTCGTCAATAAGCGAGTCCTTAAATAGGTCGGCCAAGTATTCTGATTTTCTCTTCTCTGCAAATGTCCTCGCTACACCGCTCAGAGCTGGAAAACAATCGTTGGGCTTGGCTAGATGGAGCGCTGAGTAACCCGTGACCAACGACCGCCACATTCGGGCAATGAAGAATGTTGCCTTTTTAACCCGCTTCTTATTCGGTTTACCAGTAGTGGTTAATGCTGTAAGGCTGAAGAATACATGTCGAAGCTAAAAAACGACGCCGTAATCGCTCACGAGCAATTACGCCTTATATATTGTGCGACAATACATCTTCCTGGGATTTGGTAAAGGTATATTGTCCGAGTCACCTAGATAGCCGATGTTTTCACACTCACAGTATGTTTCAGTGGAGCATTCGAAAGCAAGTTCGTAGTAGCCAAAGTGTAAGACTCGCGGAGAGAGCATTCGTTCCTGGTGAACCCAAGCCCGTGTCATCAAAGGGAACTGGGATGTGTTGACCACAGACAAGTGATGCTCTATTTTCTCTCGGAAGATGAGATAATAGTACTCGCCTTCTGGAGTAGTCCCAGACACCTCGAAATCCGGCGTTTTTGCGAATAGGCTACCACCGCCATCACTTTACATGGTAGCAGCAATGGTCAAGTATGAATTCCTATAGATAGCTGCCATTTGGGCTGACTCGCGATCCCAATCCGCCGAAGCATCTTGCATAATGCATAAAGAGTCAATCTAAATATAATCAACGCCAAAGAGCCTTGTCATCGATATTGCATCCATGAAGGTTTTTGACAAATCGCTAGGTCTGTGATAATCCATTGTAGCTACTAAATTAGGATCTTCTCTTTCTGGTGTTTTGGTCGCGTAGCTGCTGTTGCAGTTTTGAATCTGTTGACAGATCTTCGAGTAAGCCGAAAAATACGATTTTTTACCTTATGGCGTTATTTTAAGTCTCAAGTCAGTTAGTTATACGTTACCCTTAAACAATGTCTTCAAACGACGTTGCTAATTTACTCTACAATCCACGGCCATATTCACCCGAAATAAAGTGAAAACAGACGACCATTTATACAGAAACGTTTATCTCATTGAATATCTCTACCTCTTATCGGGTTGAGTTCTTATGACCGTTCGTCGCGTTACGACTTCAGCCTAGTTTGGACATGCGGACTAAACTAGCACAGAAGCTTTACAATGCCCAATAACTGAGCTGTTAACAGCCTAAATACCATACGGCAGTTGTCTAAGGCTACCTAACCATATTCTTGTTCAGTAAACGGAACGGTCACTTCCAGCTGTTCGAATACGCCTTAATATTACCGAATGTGAAGGTATAAATATAGCCAGCGAGAGACAAAATATTTATCTCTTACCAGGTTTCACCAACTCACCTGGCCCAACATGTTGCTTTCCGTATTTATGAAGCAGTTGTCAGTGATCAGCACTCTTATTACATGCGCAGCCTCTCATGGGTTTGTGCAGTTCATCGTTGCCGATGGCAAGAATTATAGCGGTTGGGACCCGGGTTTCCGCTATCAAGATCCACCACCAAGCATCCCAGGTTGGACGGCGAATAATCCTGATATCGGTTTCGTCAGTCCCGATTCATTCGCCCACCCGGACATCATCTGCCACAAATCCGCCACGCCGGGTCAGGCATATGTCGACGTAACCGCGGGTAGCACATTAACACTTCAGTGGTTCACATGGCCAGACAGCCATAAAGGGCCCATCATTGACTATCTGGCTGATTGCGGCGCTGCCGGCTGCACTGGAGCCAAGAAGGAAAACTTGCAGTTTGTTAAGATTGCACAGGCTTCTTGGAAGTCTGGCAACGAATGGGCTTCGGATGATCTGATTAGGAACCAATTCAAGTGGCAGGTCAAGATTCCATCAACTCTAAAGCCCGGTTACTATGTGTTACGCCACGAGATAATCGCCCTCCATGGCGCCTTTGATATCGGTGGCGCTCAGGCATACCCGCAGTGTATAAACTTACACGTCTCGGGTGCCGGATCCAAGTCTATCAGTGGCGGCGTGCCCGCTACCAAGTTTTACAAAGAAGATGACCCCGGAATTTTCTTCAATATTTACGGCGAGATTGCTAGTTATCCTGTACCGGGGCCTGGAAATATTTGGACTGGCGCATAAAACTCCGACGTTAAAAAATGAATGTAAATTATGAAATATATAGGTACTGGAGGCCAGTCATGGCGTTAAATACACATACAAAGACAAAACCAAAATACTAGAGGTTGCCCCCCGGGCAACACAAAAGCCTAAGGTTTACACCGCACCATGTTTCTATACTATTTTTATTGTTATATTAGCAACGTAGCCCCTATTAAACTGGAGGGCACCCCTTGTTGGGATGATAATCCGTCCCACACGAGTATATAGATGCGTGTCTTCCTCGAGACCGCATCTATCTCGATCTTACGGTCATGCATCATTTAATACAAGAAGGTCTCTTGCTGCATCGTGTCTTTTTCCTCCCCCCTCCCCCCCCCCCTCTTAATCCGTACGTACGTATAATATGAACTAGACCTTATCTACCGGCACCCCTACAATAGCCCGAATTTACTGCTATTAAATGGCTGGAGACAATACTCTCAATACCCTCGAGACCTAAGTAATAAAGAAGCCTTAAACAAATACATAAACTTATTTCTTTCATATTTACTGCTTTATAAGGCAGGAAAATTATCTGTAAGGTAGCAAGGCATGTATCCCAAATAGGAAATTTTTACTCGCATTCAACACAACATCCTAAGGTAAACCTTAGACATAAATAAAGATTGAAAATATAATCGTGTAAGACAGGAAAAATTAGCGTAAGAGAGCAAGACATGTATCCCGAATGGGGGATTTTTACTCGCACCCAACACAATATCTTGGGGTATAGGCATCAGTATTATATATCGTAGTAACATTCTTGTTATTACAAGATACCTTTTGATTGTGTAGCTAATTTGACACAATGCTACAGTTTGCTTGATTGTGTACGTCTAGCCGGTTTGCCTTGCGCGATGCTATAGCGCAGTCCATAGTAGGGAATAGGGGAAAGGGGAAAGGTAACCATAATTGTTATTCCTAGATATCAGCCTAATTGACGAACATACTGTTTTATAGCCTTACTTCTTCTTCTTCTTCTTACTCTTACTCGCACTTGTACTCGGTGCCGAACTCGTACTAGCAATACTCGTCGGCGGCGTTAAACTCGTGCCAAGCAGTAGCTCCACCGCTGCCTTTTGCTCTCCCGTAAGTGAACTGAAATCCTTAACTGTCACCGTGAATTGCAGGGCCGACACGTCGTTGGCCGTTCCATTTTCGCTCGCCGTCGCATTATAGCTCACCGATGAGATGGTCGCCCACTCCTTGTGGTGGATTAGATTGGCCGACTTGATCTGGCTGCGCTCCGAGTCTTCTTTCATATTTTGAATGTAATTGTAGTCGAGGAACTTGGTCTCCCCGTCGTCGTGCATGTGACGCAACCCATACTCCGCCATGATGATGCCACAAACCCTGCGCGCCTTTGTGAGCAACTAAGAACGCACCTGGCATTGTTTCTTGGAGCTTAGTTTCTCGTAATCCTTCATTTGGTCGTTATATCCCGAGCCAGCGAATTTAAAGAACAGCTCGTCCCACCGTTCGTTCCATTTTCCGAGCTTGCTACCATTGGCCTCGCCTCCGACGGTGCATATACGATGGACTTTAGCTGTGGCGTTGGTTTTGCGCATGATCCTCCCCCCCCCCCTTTCCCCCGTACGCGCTTGCGCGGGCGGGTAAGCCACTAGTTCAACTGATAAAATAGCATCCATATTGTTCACTTGATAATAATAATTGTCCTACCCAACCCCGAGGCGTGAAGTAAACTAAGATGGCAACGTTCAGTGACAGTATTTAGGTAATTCATAAACGTTGACGTTACCTCCCTTTGAGAGTCGTAATGGGCTAGCTGGCCTTTGGATTTTACTCACACCTCAAAGGTACCGGTAGCTAACCTCGTTTCTTATATGTTCCATTGGAAAAATCGTATATCACGGCCGATACCAAAGAATAGCTCCGATATTCCAAGGTCACTAAACTTGTTCCAAAAGCCAGTAGTTTATAATTTCGCCGTTATTGTTTAGAAGGGATTGTTTAACTCATCTACATCATGCTTTTCTAAAGCACCAATTTTGCCCCTTGCCTGGTTCACTGCGGGCCGAGTACAAAATCAAATAATCGTCCGTCGAGGACCTAACTATAACTAGTTTAGTTAATCATGGATTTATCTATGTAAAGAAGGGGCTGTTAGTTTTTTTAATCAGAGAGATGGGTGGGACTATTTGCACGGAGAAATACAATTTAAAATTTTTGCGTAATAACGATAGATTTCTAATTTTCAACGTGTACATATTGTCGCATCTCACATTTCCTTAATAATCATACATATCATCAAAAAATCCATAACTTTAATTGATTATTAATAATCATGCCAGACAGTGTTCTACCTTTATCGAGCTGGAAATGGCAAGAGAAAGGTCTCGTAGCCCCTGATGAGAGTGTAGATGAGGGTGTGGACTTTGGCAACCCGCTAGAGCTCACCAGTTGGATTGTCAATCAGCTTCGAGTCTCTTCCTTCAATGATGTTCGTACTATAATAGAGAAGCATAAGGTATGTTCGTTATTGATCAAGCTTGTACAAAGCCACGCTCACAAAAGGTAGACCATCACCCGCTTGGTTCAACTCAAACAACTTCGAGAGAAGGGTGCAGTCACCCAACCGAAACTTCATCTTGACCGGCAGCAAAAAATGTCGGCTTTAGCAGCATATATGACGATTGATAAAGTTAATTCGGGCCCGTGTCAGCAATGTTTACATAGAAAGTCGCGTGGTCCATGCACTGAATGTGTTGCCGGTAGCAATAACTTGTTTAATGGAGCTTGCACAAACTGCCAGTTTTCGAGTACCGCTGCAGGATGTTCATTCTATCAAGGTAAAGTTTTGGCGACCCCTTTCAAGATTCCTAGCAGCTAATTCAATTGTCACAGGCAAACGCCGGAAAGATAAGAAGCGAAGCCATTCGACGTCCGACGACGACCGCAGTACCGGAAGATTCTATCTGACCCCCGAGGTACTAGAGGATCTGACAACTCGCGAGCTTGAACGTTGGAAAAATATGATTGAAGACGAACTAGATCTACGCAACCCGTCTTCGGCCAGGAAGCGACCACGCTCTTAGCCTTTGGGGCTCGCGACTATCGATCAACTCAGTCGTTGATGTTGAATACATTACAGAAAAGCGCATTTCTTTAAAAGGTTAGGACATAAAACTGGATGTCTATACTTGGATATGCCCCGTACAACTTTTACGATTCATAGGCGAAGAGTCATATTAGGGGGCTATTCCAAGACGCCATGATCTAAGAAAGCTATTAACAAGATACCTACTAAGTAGAGCGCGGTCGCGTATGGAATTAGTTAAATTTAAAGCATAAGTTACCTATATACCCGTTTCGCACGCGCCGGATAGAGAGAGAGAAGACACGGCTCTTATACAGGACCTAATGCCATGGATTTGATAGCCTTGTATGAAAAGAATGACTTGTATATTTATGGATTGTTGTATGTGAAATGAGTGTGTGCGACCATGAGGGGTACTTATACTACATGACTGATCACCTGATCGAGACAAGGTCACCTGATACACGACCCCTTGTTCACCGAGTTGACAGGTTATGTTAACTATGCCTTTGTCCAGACCCGTCTTTGATATATAATAGAGTGGCATGACCATCGTTTACGATAGATCGATCACGACCTTGCCTACTTGCTTCCCGCTCTTGAGTCGCTCATAGGCCTCGTTATATTCCGCAAATGGATACACTCGATCGATAATCGGCCGCACCTGATGAGTTGCCATTGCTCTGAGCATATCCTCAAAGTTCGTACGGGAACCAACATTTGACCCCATTACTGTGAGGCTTCGACGAAGAACTTCAAACGGAGAGAGGCCGCCGCCAAAACCGCTGGCATAGCCAATCAGGAGAATCACGCCGCCATTCGCGGTTGATGCGGCTGATTTGACGATCGTTTTCTCCCCTGCGATATCGAAGACTTTATCAACACCCTTGCCGTCGGTGAGTGCGAGAATCTCTTGATCCCAGTCGGGATGAGTACTGTAGTTGACTACGGACTCGGCACCTAATTTTCTCAGCACCTCGGCCTTTTCATCGGACGATGTGATGGCAAAGACACGCGCGCCAGCGATCTTTGCGAATTGCAGTGCGAACAGTGACACGCCACCGGTGCCTTGGATCAAAATGGTCTGTCCAGGCTGGATGGGCGTGGCCTTATAGAGCGAAGTCCAAGCTGTAACGGCAGCGCAAGGTAGGGAAGCGGCCTCGATGTAGGACAGGTAGGCTGGCAGGTGGACGAGTGCATTTTCGTGGAAGAGTCCATATTCAGCCAACATCCCATCGACACGGAAGCCGACGCTGTGATTCTGGTACTCGGCCAGATGCGGACCCCCAATCCAGTGAACGGTACAGCTAGCAGCGACACGGTCGCCAACTTTAAATCGCCCAACATCTTTTCCCACTGCAACTACCTCGCCGGCACCATCTGACAGAGGAACAACATCGGGCTTGGTTGATGCAGGGTAGTTGCCTTCGACCAAGACAAGATCGCGGTAGTTGAGTGAAGCAGCTCGTATCCGAATCAAGACTTCGTACGAAGCTGGACTAGGCAAAGTATCTTCATGTAAATTCAAAGATACTTGGTCGCCCGTATTAGTGACCCTGAGGACTTTTCTTTGCGTCATATTTATAGAAGATGAGATGCACCGTATAGTAGTGTAATGTGAATTGCTGGAGGCTCGGATGAGTAAAGAAAGATACGAAAAAGAAGTTGAACATATTCTCTTATATTTATATGTCTCTCAGTCCACCAACTTAGCTCAGGGGTGACATGATTGATGATAAATCATCTAGACTTCCACTAATAAAAAGTCACCGCAAAAGTCACCGCATCCGATGGACTAAGTGGGGCTCTCGATTCACTATGTACTGGCTTGTCCCCAAGCAATATTTCTTTTCAGTTCCTGACTGTTTCTGTTTCTGTTCCAGCTGCCCGTACTCCATATAGTCGTATGGTGCATGTTCAGCTGCCCTTGAACCGCCTTACTCTTCAGTAGCAGAAACCCCCCTCTCCCCTTTTGCCACTATTCACACTAGGATCTCCTTTATAGCCTGCAGTTATGGCCGGGTTTGAATACTTCTGCTGGCAACATCTTGTCAGACGTCTTCCTGTCACGAGGTGGAACCAGACAGCTTGGAAATAACTTCGTTGTTCCGCGGGGAACTCTAACCTATCTGGCGAGCCCATGGCTCGTATATACATACATGTTCTTTGTCCTAGATGTCTCATCTAGAATGCTGATGTACGTCCCTCCTTCTCTGCGGCGAAAAAAGAGCCAATTATATACTACCATCATTATTCCGCAAGACTATCATCGTAATACGTACACAAGTAAGAGTTCAGGATCCTTGCCTAGTCGTTACCGTGTCATGGGTAGCCGCTACACGGGCATGTTACACTTCAACACCATTGTCTATTCGAACCTGAACATTTCTCACCCGTCCCAAGGCAGGGTTTACAATGACATGTTTACCTAATTCGTATGAAGATATATACGATAAGTTAACACTAAATTTACTAAGTTGGTATGTTTTTTCCAGATCATTACAATTAACGCTGATTTGTTCTTCGCTCTCTTATGCCTTAGGGGGCAGCCAAGGCTTGGCTTGTCAGAAGCTTCGATGATTAATAATTCGAAGAACGACAGAGATACGATATGATTTATAATCAACCGTATCACGAATGTATATTAGACGTCCTTATAATTGCAAGTTCAGACTAAAACATCAAGCATAGTCTCTCAATACAATATAATCGGACAACTCCAACGTTATCCTTACGATTTCGACGATACCTTATATCTCCTATTCGAGATGTCCACTTTCCTAGTCACTCTTGCTACTGGTCAACAAGGCAGAGCAACAATTGCAGCTCTGCTCAAAGGCGGTGCCAAAGTACACGCGGTAGTCCGAGACCCTACCAAGCCAACCGCCCGTGAACTTGAAAGCCAAGGTGTCGTCCTATTCAAGGGCAGTAACGACGACATCGACGTCTTTAGCAATGCAGCTAAGGGATGTAAAGGCGTCTATCTAAACCTCCTTTCGTGGCCAGACAACTTGGACCCGGGTCGACAGGCAGCAGATATCCTCAAAGCCTGCAAGGAAGCCGGGGTAGAGCACGTGGTAGCCTCTACTGCGGGATGGGTAGGCGATAGGGGAAAATGGGATAATCCTCTTAACAGGAACGAGTGGCTGAGGGGGTTTTGCAAGAACGACGCGCTTGTTGAAGATGCGGTCCGTCGCTCAGGAATCAGGTATCTCACGATACTTCGTCCGTTTTGGTTCCATTCGAACTACCTTCCGCCCTTCGTGCAAGAGTTTTATCCGGAACTCGTCAAAGAAGGAGAACTAGTCCACTCGTTCAATCCAGGAGTTGTTTTCCCACATATCAACGTGGATGATATTGGGCGGTTCGCAGCTCTGGCACTCTTTGATCCAGCTACATTTGATGGCGAGGAAATCGAATTAGCCAGTCAGAATCTCACGATAGATGATGTAGCCGATGCAATTCGGAAAGCCACGGGAAAGCGCATTACAGTTCGCACTCGGACACTCGAAGAAACAGACGACTCGAATCCGATTGTAGCATGGCATCTCTGGGCTAATGCGGTTGATCTGACAGTTGATACGGAGGCGCTCGAACAGAAGTACAAATTTCGCTTCACGACGCTTCAGGAGTATCTAACTCAAGAGAAAGCGCAACTAGGATACTTAGCATAAGGGACGGTTGGCTGCGGAATAGGGGGCGTATGAAATGCAATAACGAATAAATAATGAATGACTGCGGTATCACGTTCTTGACACTATTGAGGTATAACAATAATTAATTATACGGTTATGTCTCCTTATATGCTTCACTAATATTTGTATGAAATATTGGAACTCGGCAATTATCACTCTACTGCTAGTTGTAGTATGTCTATAACTCTCCAACCCCACGCATTCATCAACACTGGTTACGGTGTATCGATTCCTACAACTTGTATCACACATAAAAAGCCTGTTTAATTTGATAAATCATCGCTAATTTGCCTTCATAAATTCATTCAGCCTGTACAAGGTTTGATACTTTCAATTTCATTAAAATGCACTTAAATACCACCCCCTTCTTTATGTAGACAGCGACCTCTCGCCACCTCCTGATTCAAAGCTTAAAATTAACGCTACCATGACTTTTCCATATCTTGTTATATAACTACCAATTTAATATATAAATGCTCCGGCTACCAAGTGCCCGAAACAGGTAAATCCTTCGAGCTTCGACCAACCATGAACCGGTATTCACCCTCGACGACCATAGCCCAATTTTGCGCCTCGACGTCCCAGTAACTCAGATCTCGCCTCGTCAGGTTGAACGTGATCGTCCTGCTTTCGTCCCGGTCCAGCGAGAACTTATCAAATCCGCGCAGCACCTTGACCGGGAAGTCGACTGGTAGATCGCTGCTTTGGGGATAGCCGAGGTATAGCTGCGGCACGACCTGGCCTGCTTTGCCGCCGGTGTTGGTAACCTTGACAGAAACGGTGACATAGGTATCCCAAAGGTCAGGGTTTCCACCTTCGTCTCCTCCCGCGCCGGAGAGTGGTTGCTTTACGTCGTAGCCGTCGGGATAGGGGTAGGGATCTGATACTATATCATCGATCGTGTCGAGGTAGGGGTAAACGTATTTCTCTAGTTTCCGAAGGCCTTTAGGGAAGAGCGCTTCCTCCTCGTTAGGGATGGTAGCATCGTATTCTGGGGGAATTGCAAAATCCTTGGGTCGCGGTGCGGGGAGGACGGTCTTCTCCTTTAGCCCGGTGACGACGCAATCGGAAAACTCAAATGTAGTGTAGCTTAAACCGAATCCAAACTCGAACCGCGGCTGTATTTCGTATTTGTCGAAATAGCGGTAGTCGACATATAAACCCTCTTTGAAGTCCTGCTGTGGCACGACGCCGTTTGGTAGGTACATGACTTTAGCACCTTCGCCATAATCATCTAGGGACTTGCCGATAGTCCAAGGCAGCTTTCCGCTAGGGTTGACATCTCCAAAGATGACGTCCGCTAGGGCATTGCCACTCTCCTGGCCTGGTAAGTTCGCGAGGAGGACCGCTTTGATATTTGGTAGGTCAATCCACTTTTCCACTAAGACAGGGCCAACTGTGTGAACGACGACAAGGACGTCGCCGGTGCCGCCGTGGCATCCTCGAGAGACCCGAGTGATCAGATCATCGCCGCCTTTCTGCAGAAATAGATCGGGTCGGTCGCCTTTAACACCCTCCCATGCCTTGAACCCCTCGCCCGAGTCGGCGTTCGCGAAGACGATACATAGCTGAGCGTCTTCCAGAATCTCGGGCTGTTTTTCAAACGGCGGCTCATTCGTCAGATACGTCGAGACCTTCACGCCCTCGTCGTCTTCCCACTTCTTAGTTAGTGCTTCGGCGGGCGTGACCAGGTAGGGAAATTCAACAGAACCAGAGCCCCAGCCTGAAGCTAAGGTACCCTGATTGCAACCGCGATCTGGACAATGATTAGGACCGTCACCAGGACCGGCATCCTCGCCAAATATTGCAATCTGAAACGGACCGTCGCGTTGGGTCGTTTTATTCGAGTTAGTGCTAGAGTTATGTGGGAGAGGAAGCAGTCCTTCGTTTTTCAGTAAGACGGTTCCTTCTGCTGCAATCCGCCGTGCAATAGAGGCGTGATCACCCATGACGTTGACGTACTGATTAACTGGGACTTTCTGTTGCTCTGTAGGGCTTCCGGGCGCGAAGCTACCTTCGGGCTCGTCTGTCCACGACGAGAAGTTGGGGCCTTTACGGTCAAACTTGGTCTTGTCATCCTGACCTAGTTGGTACCATGCCGCGACAATCCTTGTAACCATGTCGTTTAACCTATCGAGAGGAACAGAGCCGTTGAGGATAGATCTCGTAAGCTCGGAGCCCCAGAGCGATTTGCCATCCTCCCAGAACAGCCCATCGCCGGGCATCGTCATATCGAGGCCTGCGAGCGCGCTGGCAACGCCGCTTCTCTGCGCCAACCAATCGCTCATTACGAATCCCTGAAACCCCATCTCGTCTCTTAACAAGCCGTTGAGTAACTTCGAGTTGCCACACGCATACGAATTGTTAATCATGTTGTAGCTGCACATGACGCTTGCAACGCCAGCCTTGACAGCATTTCCAAACGGCCATAGGTAAAGCTCGTGCATTGTCCGATCGTCGATGTTCGTACTAAGAGCATTTGGGAGACCCCATTCCCACGGCTGGCGGAAGTGCTCCTGTTCGTTTGCGACGAGATGTTTAATAGTCGCCATGACACCCTCATCTTGAATTCCCTTGATCGACTGGGCTGCTGCGATGCCCTGGAGATAAGGATCCGCGCCGAACCCTTCCCAGTTCCGTCCACCTGCTGGCATGCGGCCCAGTGGACCGATACAGGGCCCTAGAATCACATTGACACCCTTCTTTCTAGCTTCTATCGCATGGGCGTTTCCCCATTGGTACATGAGCTCTTTATTCCAAGTCGCGCCGACAGTCACGCCGGCAGGAAAGGCCGTGGCGTTGTCGGCAAACCGAATACCCAGCGGACCATCCTGAAGCGCCAGAGCAGGGAACCCTACGTGGACTGCCGGACCCGTGTTTCCTACGGCCGGACCCATCTTCCATCCGGTCCCGGTCGTCACGTTTACTTTCTCCGGTAATGTCATCCTGGCAACCATCTCGCTGGCTTTCTGGTAAGCCTCGGCCCAGCTTTTTGCTGTGCCGCCCTTTGGAGTCGGGTACCATGGTGGCGAGAGGCCATCCGGAGGTGATTGTTTATATTTCTTAAACGCGAAGAAGCCGCCTGCACTGAGTGCTAGCCATACCAGAGCGAAAATAGCTAAACAGCCAATGATACATCTGGTCGAGCGGCCGACGAGGCAGCCGCATGATTTCCTCAAGAAGCGGTTGCGAGGTTGGGTAGAGAAAGCCGTGGTGGACGGTTTAGAGGATGTCAGGGGGTCGGATTGGAGGAACTCGGTTGCATCGAGATCAGAGTCGAGTTCGAATGATGAACGAGCATCATAGGAACGGCGGAACTGCTCTTGCTCGTAGTTCGGGGTTGGACTTAATAGTCCTTCCTTACTCGAGCTCATCTCGTCACCTATGGCCCGAAGCCTAGTCTCTCCCTACGAGAGTGTGGTGTGTGGTTTAGCAAGCAAGTCTTTCGATAAGATTGATACGAAGAAATTGTTGGGCCGTCCGATGCTCGCCCAGATACCTTTGCCACCTGAGCGAATAGCAGCAATTAAATTAAAAATTCATCATATGTATGTATTACTATCGTGAAAGTTTCTAAAGTCATACTTAGAATGAAAAGACTTGGTCAATTCTTCAAATTAGCTAAAGTATTGTAAAGCAGCATCGATCCCAACGTCAGAGCCTTGGTTTGAAACCTGGAGATCTTCTTGGCGGGAGCTTTTGGGCTCTAAGCATTGGATGGATAAGGTATATTTACATAAAACCTGTACCCTTGTGAGCTGTAACCCTGCACAACCTATCAGCCTATTAATAGAAATTTATCTGCGTTGCTGGTTACAGTAAAGATACTGTGTTAGCTAAAGGAACGAGAATGTATGACATACATTGTGTGTAAAGAACTTCAGACATGCCTCAGGTGTCAAGTACAAACTACATCTTTTCCCTGTATTTATACTGAAGCATCGCATTCGAACCCACCGAGCTCTCGTCCGCCAGTTTATGTGCGCTCTCAACACCGGCAACGGGGAGACGATATTCGAAGCTTGTCGCAGATGATGCCCCTGAATCCGACACGATCGGATATGGGAACGGAAGATACTCTGGAAGCAAGCCTAGCTGTCTAAGAAGCGTCGCTTGATCCCAGCTGATATGCTCGTGGTAGAGACGATCGCCGCGTATGTTCACCACGCTCGTGAACGGAACGCTGATAAATCGCCCTGTTGCTGGGATGCCGGGGATGCTACAAATACGCAAACGTATATGATTAGGCCGCCTCGCCACTTTTTACGTTAGGAGAAGCACTACAGTAGGTAACACGTACAGCCAGTTTATTACACGGTCGTGAGTCGCCTTGAATAGGAACTCATCGACCACGCGATCGATACCCACGGTCCGACTCACGAGCTCAAGCTGTGTGTCGGGTGGATTGCTGAAGATGAAGTTGTCTCTGTAAAATTCGGTCAGAGCCTGTCGTCCAACACCTCCTGTGAGCGTCGGCACGTGGTTCACGTAGGGTTCTTCAACCATAGTCGCCATCGTCTCCTCGACGGATCGCGCTTGGAATTCCCAGTACGTGTGCTCGTCCCACACTTTCTCGAGGTCGAAATAGGGGGCGCCAACAAGCGGCTTCAGAAAAGAGAGCGAACGCGTGTGGGCCACCGATGCTGAAGTAGCGTGATAGTTTTCATGTGCGGGGATCGCAAAGAAGGATTTGGCACTCTCGTAGTGATACTTCTTTTCGTTACCCCCTTCTTCATTATTACTATCATCCTCTTGGGCTTTCGTAAAAGGTCCAGGTATGTGAGCTAATAACGGCAACTTGCTAGTAGTGACACCCGTTAGTAGTGCACCGTAACAGACGACGGTACAAATTTCGGGATGGGCCTCGATGGCTTCTAGTACACCGGATTCCAAGACAGGCATATAAGCTTTTAGTCGTGACGCAGTCAGCTGAATCATTGTTCATTTACACATAAATCTTAGGTATGTGTTCTGCTTTCTCACTGATGATTCCAATCTTCTCAACTTGATCACAAGACGGTAATGTGAGTAGCTTGGAGAGTGCCGAGCGTATGCCATCGTGTATCAATATTCTATCGGATTTCGTTACGCTTAATTGCGCAACTGCAAAACCCTCTTCGGCCCATTTATACAAAGGCGGCGGGTCTAAAGTCTTCTTGTGCTTACGAAGATCGAGCTCCGCGTCGACTAGGAGGAGTAACCCTGGGCCGTGGCCTCTTCTTGAAAGAGGACCTTGGATTGTTAACTTTGGATATCCGTCATCGGATGAAGTATTAGAATAAGTGGTCGCTTTTGACATGGCCAGATCAGTTCTCAGCGTAAGGACACTGCCAACCTACCTTTAATGTAGGCTCTATATGAAAGTAAAATAATATGTAATATGTCTGGTACTCTATCAAGCGGGGTCTTTATACATGATTTCATATCCAATGCTGCACTAGCTAAATAATCCGAGTAATCCGAGTATTCGGGGAACTTTCTTCCTTTTTATTCCCTACATCTTCATAAGATGATTTTCTATAGTATCCAAGTACCCTTCGTCAGCCAAACCCCGCTCTACTTGGACGAATCTCACACCTATGTAGGGATATATTTCATGCTTTACATTTGAAAATCTTCCACTACACTTTCAATTAGCTTCCACTAAGAGAAACACGCCGGTAAGGTTCACGTTTTGATTCCGAACTAACCACCTAAATATGATACATTGCGGGGAAGAATATTGGGAGATCCTAGCTGCTCAGGATAAACACCGTCATCGCAAGCATTTTTACCGGCCAAACACAGTTTACAGTTTCAAGAAAGGATTTAAATTTACCCTACGGCGTGACAATAGGAATGGCAGGTTAGTTCTACGGCTATTCTACAGGATATCATACATCCAATCCAAAACAAAAGCCCTGTTCTACCTATACCTCATACCGTTTCTATGTATCGTTTCAGCTCCCAATCCGTTACCGCCTCATCCCAAAGTCGTATCTCGTTTTCCCTGGTACCTCCAAAGTGATCTACAAAGTCGTCACCGAAAACTTCGCGAGCGATGCTATTTTGGCTCATGAATCTGTCGGTAGCTTCCCTCAAGTTTCTCGCGAGGCGAGTACCTTGATCGGCCAGGTCCCCCACATCCTGACCCTTGCCGAGAGGAGGAATCGGGATCTCAAGTTTCTTCTCTACGCCGCGCCATCCGAGAGCTAGGATAGCCGACATGACAAAGTAAGGGTTCGCATCGGCACCTGGTACACGGACCTCAAATCGCGTTGCCCCAGGCTTAGAAGTAGGAGGTGCGATAAGTCGGACAGATGCAGCACGGTGTTCCAGGCCCCAGGAGACGGTCACGGGGGCCCAGAAATTCTCAACCAACCGCTTATAGCTATTTATAGTAGGCGCAAGCATCGGCATGACATCAGGTAAGCCGTCCAAGATGCCCGCAAGAAAATGTCTCCCAAGATCGCTGAGATGGGCAATGTCAGGGTACTTTGGATTCTCGTCCTTCTCCTCGCGGAAGAATAGGTTCTTGCCATCCTTATCCACGACAGACACGTGGGTATGCCCGCTGTTCCCCGGCAGACCGTGCTGAGGTTTCGCCATGAAACAGGGCGTAATTCCGTATTCGCTCGCAACCGATCTAACGACGTACTTGAAGAGAGATGCCCGATCGGCCGTCTCTGAGATTTGTCCAAATTCCAATGCCGCCTCGTAGACACCAGGTCCGCTCTCGGTATGCCAACCTTCCAGGTCGCACCTAAACTTGGCGCATGAATCATATACCCCGTGATAGTAAGACTTATTTAGCGTCGGCCGCGTAATGCTATATCCGAACATACCCTCAGTCAAGGGGGGCAGCGCATGTGGCGGGTGGCTGTTAAGATACGAAGCGACCGAAGGAGAGGGCGAGTCTGTGGTCGAGGAATTCGAAGAAGGTATCTTGAATTGGAAAAACTCGATTTCGGCTATACAATAGTTGGCATTATAATACTTGGAATTGGTGCAGAGATGAAAATAGAAGTGTGTTCAATGTCGAATGGGAGAATAACAAACCTCCTGCCATGGCATCGTAGCCCTTCTTTTGCAGCTTTTCTACGGTAGTTCTAAGCAGTCCGCGCGGATCGGCGCATACAGGCTTTGCGTCGTCGTCGAAGAAGCTAACTAGGAAGAAGGGAACATCGTCTTCCCAGGGAATGCGCCGGAAGCTATTCAGATCGGGTACAGCTATCAAGTCGCGATAACCATTCTGCTTGTTGCTAATCTTGAGTTCCTTTCCATAGGTCCTATCGTGCATATCCCAACCGAAGATGACACTGCAAAACCCAAAACCTTCTTTGGCTATGGAGAGGAACTTCTTTTTGGATACGATCTTCCCTCGTAGCATTCCATCGACGTCTACTCCTGCCAGCTTCACCTTGGTATCATCCTTAAGGAGGTCTGGGAGGTTCTCAACTGTGATGCGGGGTGGTAGAGACATGTTAAGGGAGAGTATAGGAGAGTAATAAGTTTGGGTCGCGTAGTAATAAAAAAAGAGGTATAGTATAAGGAGAAGGAAGAATTGCTCTCTGCATACACGAGGAATTGATTTAGAATTCGACTAGGTCTGTGATAGAATAGATATAAATATAAGTTAGACTTGTCAATAACAACGGATGTAGGTATATATATAGGTAGATTTGGTAGGTAGGTAGGTTAGTATGTAGGTACTTGGGTATGTATATGGACGGTGAAGGGATGTAAGTAGTAAGTAGTAGAGGGGTAAGCTTCAATTAGAATATCATGTACCTCCTTACATTTCTGTAATGTAGATGCACACGTGTGATGTATGGAACATGGAACCAGAAATATCTCGTAAGGCTGAAAAATACGTCAAGTCAAGATCGATCCAACTTCAACTCTAATAATTCTGGGTTAGGTAGGTACCTACCTTGGCCTCTTGCCGATACCGAAATATTGAGTTTTTTAATATGATTGGTAAAAGATAAGCTTCCAATCTGCGGATTATGTACAAGCTTTAAGACTGAAACATCGGATAATGAGATCCCTGTCCACACGGGAACTTCCATCAGCTACGTAATAAGTACCTTGGTACCTATATCAAATATCACTTATCATATTTTACTATAACAATTCTAGCGATTCTCCCTCCTGCAAACCTGCATTGTTCCCAACCCGCAGATTTCTCTCACATCGTGATCATATTTCATGGTGGTACATATACGACGATGACGTTACACGGGTTTGATTTATGCGAGGCTCTCAACCAGGGCTACTAACCGAGTAAGATGCCCCGTCTATTGCCCCGTCTACCGGTATAACCACCCGCCATTTTCTATCCTATCGTCGGAAATTCATAAAATTCAACCCAATCGATTGAGCTTGATCGAGGTCGAGTTGCGTGATTTTCATCTTGTGCTCATCTACATACCTTGTATAAGTCTGTCAGCTGACATCTCGCTGTACGTCCGAACCTATTCAGACTTCCCGCCCTTCCTCGAGCGATCCTTGATCCAAGGCCAATAATATGTATGTCAACATATAACAGGACTCGACGTCCTAACTTAGAGTATGCAGAGCAGTAAATTGCTACTAACAATCCGCTTAGATGTCCTAGATGTCCTATAAGCATCTCTTCGGTATACTTGAAGCATAGTGCAATATCACACACGCCAGGCCGATTCTCGACGAATGCTGACTGGCGGCCACGATATTCTTGGCCCTGAATTGCATTAAGCGTTTTCCGACATTCCTACCCGGCCGCGTGGTTCAATCTATTATCGACATGATGACTCAATATCACCAACCACGGACCCGACCCGATGGAATGGACAAGTGTTACATAGGTAGTCATCAACTCACCGCTTGAAAGTAACAAGATATACTAATTGTGGAAACTCCGCACGAATCATGAACCAAGAATTCACCAACAGTATCCCGAAAAACGTAGACGTATCGGTGTGGAGTGCATGTTAAATACGCCTTACTTACGATCATCTTCTCGGATACCTCGATACCTCTGCGGGATATGGCGGAAACAGATGTGACCTTCGACGGCTCCCGCCTTTCTTAGGATACGACGAAAGTGACATATCCGTGGCATATCCAAACGGGTTCCAGCGGGCCGCCATCTAAACTCGGACTCAGTTAAGGCACTAATGAGGACGCACTGTAGCATATCACTAAGCTTCGAGTTCCATAGGTATTCTATCTGGAGTAATCCAATACCCGACTGCTCACTGCATATGTCGGAGGGAGTCTTCTCAACTTAAAAGTAATGAATAGTGTTAAGGCGGAAAGGTCGAAGCGAGTTACCTGTCAGCCACGATATCTCATCAGAAAGTCTTTGTTTATCACCCAAAAGCCCTCGTGACTATTATCCAATCAGTCAAATCCACGTCAAGCAGTACTAACAGACCCATTTAGCCCTCGAGTCTTACATTTAGTGCCAATATAAAGCGTAAAAAAGTGAACGAAGTGGACTTGGACTGTAGTGTATATTATGAGATTATACCAAAATGGATGCCGATCACAGCCCTCAAGCTACATAGTAAGCACCCCTGATGCTATGTGTTTGTACTATGTGTTTGTAGAGAGGGGCCTGGCCTGCAAGATATTAATGTAAGACCCAGGTAAGTAATAAGGGTACATACATACATACATGACTTCAATTGGAGGTGGGAACAATATTATATTCCATATATACATAATAATGTAACTTTCGAGGTTTATACCGGGCTGTTCGTGATAAGAAATATAGTCTTATCACTAACATCACTAATATGCCGCCGTTGTCGGAAGGAGAGGGGTTATGTTACGGAGCGCCCCTCCAAAATTAGACCGGACAGATACATACAGTACGATCTATAGCCAGCCTATAGGTCAACATACAGTACGAGTATAACCTAGACTATAGTGGACTACCGGCCTAGTGATAACGGACGGTATCTAATATTGGCCTCTTTTGAGATAGCTGATAACCTGGAAACAGCTGATAGACTTTTGCGAAATATTCCGAGCGGATCGATTCAATTCTACCTTCAACCTCAAGTCCTGGTGTTAATTGTTAATTGCGTTCTATATCCCGCGCGGTAAACCCCTCTTCTTCGCCGTTCAAACGAGATCCCCTATTATTAAAAGTACGACAAGTTGGGGTAGTAAGTAGTCAAAATGGCATCTGAGAGCAAAGGTCGTCTTGCTGGTAAGAATGCCATAATCACGGGAGGTGCTGGGTATGTAATTCCTATCATACATACAAGTCATAGACTTAAGTAAGGTACCTAACCTAGGGACTGACGCAAATTATCTACCTAATATAGCGGAATTGGTCTCGAAACATCAATCCTCTTTGCAAAAGAAGGTGCCAATGTTCTAATAGTCGATATCTCTGGCCCGGCGTTGGAGAAAGCCAAAGCCAAGGTCTTGCAGCTGGTACCGCAAGCCGGCCGAGTGGAAACAAGAGTATGTCGTCGCTACCATCGTGCCTCTCTTCCATCATCAGTACCTACACAATACTATACTCCAGGCCGCGATGTAGCGGTAGTTAGTTTCAGCATCGTAGACTAACATAGGCGCCTTACCCTCCTTTATTAGATCTGCGACGTGTCCAAGGAAGACGACGTAAAGGCGACGGTAGAATATTTGGACTCGTGGGGCGGGCTAGACGTCATCTTCAACAATGCGGGTATCATGCACGCCCGAGACGACGACGCGGTCGGTACGCCCGAGGAGATATGGGATCTCACCATGTCGATTAACGTGAAGGGCGTATGGTACGGGTGCAAGCACGCGGTGCTCTCCCTGCGGCGCAACAAGAAGACCAAGGGCAGCATCATAAACACCGCGTCCGTCGTCGCCCTCGTCGGCTCTGCGACCCCGCAGCTAGCGTATACCGCGTCCAAGGGAGCCGTCCTAGCCCTGACGCGCGAGCTAGCTATTGTGCACGCTCGCGAAGGTTTCCGCTTCAACAGCTTGTGCCCGGCGCCCTTGAACACGCCGCTGCTACAGGATTGGCTCGGAGACGACGTGCCGAAGCGAATGCGGCGCGAGATCCATTTCCCGGCTGGAAGGTTTGGCGAGGCTATAGAACAAGCCCAAGCTGTGCTGTTCTTGGCCTCTGATGACGCTGGCTTTGTTAACGGCCACGAGATGGTGGTAGACGGCGGCATGAGCAAGGCGTACGTCACACCGGAGGGACCACCTCTACCTGCCCCTACGAATAATGCGTTGAAAAACGAGCTATGATTGGAGGGGGAGGTTCGAAATGCTCATAATAAGGAAGAAAGTGAGTATGTTATGTCACCATTAGGGTGAGCTTCTACCCAACCTAGTTACCTTAATCGAATATGCTCCTTTGGCTATATGGTTTACGTCTCCTACCTAGCCCCTACCTACCTAACGTAACTAAAGATATTTTAAAAACCAACGAAACCGCCTGTCTATGCGTGACCAACCATACAATCCGCCAGTCAAATAAAGGATGGACAAAAGAGGATGCCTAGACTCCATCGCTGCAATGCGAATGATCAACATATAAAACACCTAAGCAAAGGGAATCCCAGACGAGAGCAGTACTCTAGTGAAATTGCCCTTCCGTATTCCCCTCTCCCATGCTCTTGCTCGCACTGCTCCCGCTTTGAATGGCGCCTAGAATTCCGTCGATATAACTCGCGCCGCTCCACTTCTGATGCGTCAAAACGTCGCAGCCAAGTTCCTTCTCGCGACGCTGCACGAGATTAACGTAAGCCAACATGCCGTCCTTCTTGTACTCTTTAGCGAGCTCGTTCGTGATGGTAGCGGTACTGTGCAGGCCCGCCAACGAGATTAGTTGCAGGACGAAGCCCTCCTTGGCGATGTCCCAGATGAAGGATTTGAGCTTGGCGTCGGTGAACCCGTGGGCCATCCAGTTGAACGAGGGCGATAGATTGTAGACTAGGCCCTTGCCGGGAAATGCTTGCCTTACCGTGCGGCCGAGCTTGGTTGCCACCTCGACGTTTGGATCGCCGGTTTCGACCCAGAGGAGATCGGCGTAAGGCGCGAATGCGAGAGCTCGCTTCGTGGCGGCTTTCATGCCCGCGCGATAGTGATAATATCCCTCTCGGGTGCGGGGGATATCCCAATTAAAGACGATAGGTTTGTTGGCGTACTGGTTCGCCATCTCACGGCGTTTCGTTATGCCCATGTTTGCGTTTGCCTCGACAGCTCTTAGGTATGAGTCTATCTTGTCTTGAGCTATTCCTTGAGATTTCAGTTGTTCGACGGCGGCCTCGTCAAATGTCACCAGCCGCGTCTTCTTTACCCATTCGGCTTCAAATGCGTCTATTTCCGAACCTGGCGCGCCTGCAGCCTCCATCTCCTGAAGCGTCTCTGCGAGAGGCGCAATACCCTCCTCCGCAACGCCGAGAATTAACTCGTGGTCTCTCACGTCGATCGCGCTAGATATAAGCTTCCCGCTTTCCGAATCGGTACGTGCGATGACAAGGTTTTCCGAGCCCATAACATCCCATTGGAAGCGGGCAGCGTTGAGCCGGTTGATATGCTCTCCTACAGGTACCAGAACTTTGCCCGCTAAATGGCCGCACTTCTTACCGCCGTGCAGCTGATCCTCGAAGTGAACAGCAGCAGCGCCATTTTCGGCGAATAGCTTAGCAAGCTTTAGTACCGCGCTTAATCCGCCGTGTCCCGTATCACCATCTGCGACGATAGGGCGGAGATAGTCGATATACGGCGTTTCCTTCCGGGCTTCCGGGGTCATCTTCCGCCGCAAATCCCATTGCTTTCGATCATGCATTGACTGCGCCTTCGCGAGACGTTGAACCTGGTTTGGCACCGTGTTATAAGGATAATCGCCAAAATCCGGCGACACCTCGTTTGTACTGGTAAGGACTGAGGAGCAGGCCCATCCGGAAATATAGAGTACTTCTTGATGCGGCGCTTGTTGCGTCATCTGTACAGGATCGATCGCTCCCACTGTTCACCGAGTCGAGAAGGGTTAATTTGTGATGTTCGACACATGAATAAGTTATATGAACGAGTAAGCATACTTGTGTGTATCGGCTCCCCCTTTGCTTCCCTCTCCTTGATCAGATTGAAAAGTTTCCTTGCCATTACGGAGCTGGGATAGTTTTGAAGCTGTGATCCTCGTTTTGATACGACATCGGCGGGGGTATATGGCCTCTTAATACCCTCGTATCGAGGCGATGCCCACCATGCCTCGACATCTTTAATCTGCTGCTCGTAGAGGGCATCTTCTGCTGCGCCAGATTTCTTAGCCTCTGGTAGAAGTTGGAACGAGTCGGAATGGAGGACTGTTGATACGGGAGGATCGACGGGAGGTAACGACATTCTTGCAACCGTAGAAGAGAAGCACTTTGTTGAAGCGATACGGACCGAATTATGGGGAGGGAGCGTAGCTCTTCGAGGAGCTCGAATCACCATCCGACGAAGCATCGCGGCGGTTATCTGCTGCAAGTTGACAATTGGAGTCTAAGGGGTCACTAAACAACAGTATATACAAGGGATACGATTAAAAGACGGGAAGAGGGAAAAAACCTCATTTCTATATGTACCTGCAAAGGTGACGATTAAGATGTTGAAGCTCTAACCGAAAGATTGTAGAATTGGCCTTGGGATTAACAAATCCCAGGTTTGGCCGATAGCAGCCGAACTATCTTTCCCCGCGGTCGAACAAATGCCCGTTAACCCCAACTTACCTAAGAGGGCTCTCTCTTACCGGTCTCGGTCTAATGCTGGATGGGTACCTGGGTCATGGGGGCGGAACCTTATATGTAGAGCGGATACCTCCATGGGGTATATTTTTTGAAAGTGGAGGTAAAATACGTATACCTAACAACATGTACCTAATAAAAGCGGCTATCTCCTATACGGTAAGCCGCGGCTTCTAATTGTTTGCTTCAGGTGAGGTCATCAATAATCCACCCAAATACATTATATCTATGTACATGTAAGAATAAGGGGTTAGGCGCCTGTTATTTTATTGGCCAATTGACTTATTTTAGTATTCTCTTCTACGAATAGACTCCATGAAGAATATGCCCGCAAGACCCCGAGCCGAGATATCGGTTATCCCAGATTCAAGAGTTAAGGAACCGTCAAGTGGTTGGTTGATCCTAGGGATTCGAGGTCGGTTATCTACATGCGGTTACATGTTGGCTGCTTATATGTTAGGTACATTTGTACATCGTTACCCTACGTGCATCCTAGCATTCTATATTTTATTTTGTTTGCCCGTGAATGTGACATCGTCCCGGAGTGAACAATTGTAAGCAACGGGCAGTGGGCAAATGGGGTCAACGGACGGGTTTCCTCGGTTATGCGGGGAGGGGTTGTCCTGCTGCAGTCTGGAGAAGTGAAATTGAAGTACAATACCTGAATGCTAATGTAGGTACCTAATTCACCTAGCTACAGCAGGTACAATACTTAATAGGCAGGTCGTAAGTGTTAGAAGTACTTCACCTGGACCTTCCCCCACATCAGATCATCTTCTCTCAACGGTTGGAGTTTAAGAGAGAAGGCCCGACGTGCTTTCTTGTCACTTTTCTTTCCGTCTTGTTGCCATATGTTTATATTTCCTCTTTGCCATTGACAACTTACTTCTTCTGACTTGCGTCGGCGTTTTAGAGAATTGGCCTTAGAAATCTAGCATATCCTACTTGAGAACAATTTATATATTGTTCGATCACATATATATACCTACCTTATTTAATCATTCCTCCTACGTCTATTCTAGCTACCTCGCCCGCCTCGTTTGAATATGGCTATGAATATTAGAACAACGACGAGAGCGCTAGGGGCTTTAAGAGTAAGTAGTTAATTAGAAAGGCAGACGCAAGTCTCTATATATGCAGATATAGATATATATAGCCCTTGTTTCGCCTAGGTTTAGCTAACTTGGGTTGTAAATAGCCGCGAGCCGCCCCGGCGATAGTCCTCCCCACGGTTAGGTCGTACTCTTCCTCGTCCGAGCCCGACTTAAAGGAGACTCTAAAAGAAGTCATCCCCGCCAAACGGGAGCTTCTCAAGAAAGTCAAGGCCCATGGATCCAAGGTTATCGGTGAGGTTAAGGTTGAGAACACGATTGGTGGCATGAGGTATTGTCAATGCCGGCACTATATGCTAATTTCAAAGGGCTAACTCTGACACAGGGGGTTGAAGGCAATGGTCTGGGAAGGCTCTGTACTGGATGCGAATGAGGGGATTCGATTTCATGGCCGAACGATAAAGGATTGCCAAAAGGAGTTACCCAAAGGCAAGACGGGTACTGAAATGCTCCCGGAAGCCATGTTTTGGCTCCTCTTAACCGGTAAAGTGCCGTCGGTTGGTCAGGTCCGCCAACTGTCGCGTGAACTCGCCGAGCAGGCTCGGCTTCCTGATTTCGTAAATAAGCTACTTGATAGTTTTCCTCGAGACCTACATCCCATGACTCAGTTCGCTATTGCGGTTAGCGCTCTGAATTATACTTCGAAATTCGCGAAAGCGTACGAGCAAGGTTTGAACAAGGCCGACTACTGGGAGCCTACATTCGACGATGTCATTAGTCTGCTCGCCAAGCTACCTACGATCGCGGCCAAAATATATCAGAATTCCTACCGCGACGGTGGTGCATTACCTGGCGATGTTGACCCCGAACAGGACTGGTCCTATAACTTTGCCTCTATGCTAGGCAAGGGTGGAAAAGAGAACGAAGACTTCCAGGACTTACTAAGATTATACCTTGCCCTTCATGGAGATCACGAAGGCGGAAACGTCTCGGCTCATGCTACTCACCTTGTTGGGAGCGCCCTGAGCGATCCGTTTCTGAGTTACAGCGCAGGCCTCCAAGGTTTGGCCGGGCCTTTACACGGGTAAGTCCTCTAATCATTATATGACCGCTATGCGAGACCTAATCAGCGACACCTCACAGACTCGCCGCGCAGGAGGTATTACGGTGGATTATCCAGATGAAAGAAAACATCCCGGAGAATTACTCCGAGAAGGATGTTCAAGACTACCTATGGTCAACACTCAACAGCGGTCGAGTCATTCCAGGTTATGGGCATGCTGTCCTTCGCAAGCCCGATCCCCGCTTCGAAGCGCTGATGGATTACGCTGCCAGTCGCCCTGCGATTGCCAATGACCCTGTATTCAAGCTCGTCAAGGCCAATAGCGAAATCGCTCCTCAAGTTTTAACTGAACACGGAAAGACCAAGAACCCCTACCCCAACGTCGACTCGAGCAGTGGCGTTTTGTTCCACCACTACGGCTTCCATGAGACCCTTTATTACACTGCAACATTCGGTGTTAGCAGAGGATTGGGACCCCTCGCTCAACTCATTTGGGACCGTGCTCTTGGTCTACCCATTGAGCGGCCTAAGAGCATAAATCTAGAAGGAATATTAAAAGAGGTGGGAGCGTGAATGAGTAAATATGTAAGGTAGCACTCTGGAGTTGAACATGGTCATTATCGGATAAGCGTAAGTATAGTACTGTCATCGAAAAATCCAATGCTACAAATGCTTTATGAGCCTCTTAGTCGCTACTGTTGGTGTATCATGTATAGGCCCATAGTATGAAAATAAAGTCTCCTTGAGGTTAACGTTATAATGATTTATATTTTCCTAAGGTAAGAAATTGTCAGCTTCGTAACCATCAACTATCCTCCTTTCTCGATTAAGAGACTATTTTAATTGACACTGACCTAGAATCCTATGAATTATGGTTATTTATGAGCTATCGTTCGTGCGGTATGTAAATAGTTCGGGTATGCTTGACGGCAAGATCGTGAAAGTCATCGCTGACCATACAAGGTAAGTTTTCGATGTTAACAGACACTCTCTATGTGTGCTCCAAGTCGCTTGAAGAAAGGAAGCATGCAGTGAAGAGATTTACTCTTGTGTCCTTTTGGTGGCGCGACGTCTGTCGTACGCTTTACCTACTTCGCGAAATAGCTTCTAGCCCCTCGGCGGGGTGTAAATGCAACATTGATAGCTCCGACCATCGAAACGAGCTAATGAAGGACCTTACTGGCGTGGTGCCCATGAGGCCATGAGGGGAATTTATTATATTAACCGCCAACCACATCTCGGTTACTGAATGGCGAGTGCTACGAAGCAATACCACCTACAACGTCCCCACGTCGTCTTCGGTATCGTTACATGTATCACGTCAGGTGGTCGAGACAACTTCAGCTTGACAGTCCAGACCATGCAGTAAATACGTCTGTCTATACGACCGTGCGAGCCGTGATCTGGGAAGTTCGGACTCGAGCACGTCGTCGAGAGCATTGCTCGTCGAGTAAGACGGTCTAGCCCGCGAGACGACCTTTTTTCCCAGTTCCAGTCCCATCGTCGGGAGAGAAGCATTTCGGAACCGGCTGGAACTACGACAAAGGAAAATACGGGCCCATTTCATCTCAATTCATCCTTGGACAACACGTGTAAGCGGCATGTATGTGTATGTGTGTTCTTGGGCTTAGCGCGCATTTCTTTTTCTTCCTTTTTTCCCCTTCTCCCCTGGCGCTCGCCAACGCGGCTAAAGAGGTTAAAGAGGCTTGAAAGACCAAATAGGGAGATTTTCCTATTGCTTACGATCGAAGTCCTACGCGACTCGAGCGTTCTAGCCAAAGCTTGCTGACGGAGTCGCCCGGTTCTCGCTGTCGATATGTCCTTCTGGATTCGCTAGGCTCGTCACGATCTCCCCGTTTTGGATCCGTCGAGCGTTGTTAGTTCTTGTTTAGGTACCTATATATCCTTTCAATTCGGATGGTCCTAAGAAGAGTTAGGCCTGGCGGTTGACGGTCCGATGCCTCGACATAAAATCGTTTGGTCTACGTTCGAGACGCTCTGATACTATAATTGTCTACCTGTACTATTACCTATCCTTTCTATTCTAAGGTCTCTTGCATTTTCACCTGTCCCAACTAGGCAATATTACGAGCGACTCATTCATTACGTAGGTAGGTATTAGCTCTTCCGTCTGACGTAAATGAGCTTCAGCATTTATTACAGTCGTTTATGATGCATTCACGCTATCGTTAATGAAGCCTAGGTAATCTATCAATACCCTGTTCTGACTCGAAATAGTATCACTAGCCATGTCTCTGTCCGGACGCACAGTGGCTCCATGAAAGCGCCTCGCCCGTTCGTCGGGACCTAGATTCCCATGCGGTCTAAATTGCATATACCCAGCATCTTGTTTCTGGAGCCTCCATCATTCTTACCCTACCCGCGGTTTCGAATCGAATTCCGTATAGTTGGATGGTGAGTCGTTTCAGTCCCGCATCATCATGTGGTTTGGCTTCTAGCATCAGTCAGGGGTTTAGATTCGCTGACGCTTCTATAAAAAGAAATCCGTCCCGAACCAGCGGAGTAGCTATAACAGTATAACAGCTAGGCTTCCTAGTATTAATTTGATTTCATCTATTCTTCCTTGATCATCAATTCAACCGTAAATTTATGGATGAGGCTGGAAGGTCCATGGCTAGGGTCGAGCTCCTGGATCGCGAGGTCTAGGTTCGCATTCTATTCCCGAAATTAATCAGCGCGTCTTCTTACGATTTCTCACGACTTCCCATCATGTTGTCTAGATCGCCTTAGGCTGCTGGAGCCTGTCTCCGTGCTAGTCGGAAGACGAGTTCTAACCATCGGCCTAGGCTCCAGGGTTAAAGCTCGATAGCGTGCTGAGGATGACGATGGAAAGGCTATAAATATACGACCTTATCCCACGATGAAGTAGATCTTTTCCGTATCAGCACAATCCAGCAGATTCTCCTTATCTAGGTAGTTTCAATCTACTCGTCCATCGAAGCCCCAATATAAGCCCCTTTTACCTACCTAGGTAAACAATCATCATGCGATCCTTCGTTGCTCTACTTACTCCGGTCCTCGCCGCGGCCACCCCCATCGGTATTATCGGCGGAACTGATACCCCTAAGCCAGATGAGATTAGCATCATCAGCGCTTCCGCCAGTGGAAACGGGTGCCCCCAGGGAACTGTGACTTCTGACCTCTCTGCCGACCGAAATGTGATAATTTCAACTCTCTCTGGATAAAGAAAACCCTACCTATTACTAACCGATCATCTAGGTTATCACCTTCGGGTTCGATGCTTTCCAGGTCTACACCGGACCTGGCACCACGCCGGCGGATAAGTCCAAGAACTGCCAGCTCCACTTGAACCTCAAGTACCCTGGAGGATTCCAGTTCGCCATCGTCGAGTCTACTTACCACGGATACGCCCAGCTCGAAACCGGCGTCACCGGTACCTTTTACTCGACTTACTACTTCTCCCAGGACGCCGCCGCTACCGTAAGTATATATTCTACCCCTGATTCCGCTGCTACCACATCCTAGATTTTAGCAATCTCGCTCACACACACACATTAGACCACCACGAGGACCTCGATCGACGGAGGCGGGATCTGGGCCGACGGCCAGGTATACACCAAGCAGGACCAAGTGCCAACGGCATCCGTCATCTGGTCTCCCTGCGGCGCCAGCGGTATTCTCAACGTCAACAACCGCATTGCGCTGACGTCGAGCAACGCGAGCGCCTCGGGCCAGATCTCCGACGACGACGCTACGGTCGCCTTTACCCAGCAGGTGCACGTCAGCTGGCAAGCTTGTAAATAGATGGGATGGGGATGACCAAAATCGAGAAGTTTGTATGCAGAGAAGACCGGGTTAGGTGAGCGTGTAAGGGGGGGCATTAAGAGCACAGAGTAAAAGGGGATGGGGCTTGGTTACCTGACGAGTAAACCGCTCGTGCGTACTATATAGGATAATCCAATTACCTCTTTTAAACTGGAACCGTTGGGGAGATATCTTCGTACTTGCTTCTCGTGCTATCTTTGAGTGTATTATTACATATTAGACGAACCCGGAACACCTTAGGTGCCTAGTTATAAGTTTCAGGATTCCCAGTGATACTCACCTTTGATTCATCTTCCGTATAGTACCTGGGGATTCTAATGTCGTTCGTGAAATCGACTAGATAGGAGACTCGATAGTGTATCACCCAAATGACAATTAAGGCGATTGCGTTTTAGCATAGACTAGAATTACAGAAATGTGGTCTTTCATGTCATGTAAATTTTACATAGATGTCAGTATATCCAATTATTGGGGTATTGAAAGATTAAATAGCATCCATGATCCTATCGTAGCCAGCCGAAAAGGGAATATCTCTTTTGCCACAGCATATTCCCAACTCTTTTGTCCGAGTTCTCGACGCAAATATCTCGCAATTATCCCCACCAGATCTATTTATCTACCTACCTAGTCAGCTTCCCATCCTTGTAAACCCAGCGACAGCAAATATTAAAGTCCACCTCGTCTAGCCATTATAATCCAGCCCTATCATCGGGCTCCCGGAGATCCCGTTTGCCCAGGTGCGTTAGAGGGGGAAAAACTACGGTTGACCGGAGATGTAGAAGTTGGGGCCGGAATTTGAGGAGCCGGGCCTGAACCTGGATTATCTCTGTAATTATTCATCGTATCGTCACGAAGTAGTGGCATGGCAGCAGCGCCACTTGAGCCTGTCGGATCCCAAGTTTTTTCTGGTGCACCGGCAGAACTTCCCGGAGGTGAATCCGACATGCCGTACGGCGTAGCAGCCATTCCGCTCTTGGAATTGTATTCGGCCCCGTCGAAAGCGAGTGCGTCAGGATCTCCCCCTCCCCTCTTGAACCTCTCCATCTCTACACGTTCTTGTTCAAGTTGCTGAGCCGCAAGAGCAGCCTCTTGCTGACCACGACGTCTCTGCTTGAAATAATAGAAGATCAAACCGGCCAAAAGAATAGCGCCAACTCCACCTGCAGCGGCATAAACGCCAGCTTTGGTGCTAGAAGGGAGCTCATTCCATTTCTCAGAAAGTGACTTCTCTGGTACCTTGTTGATATTCTCATACGCCGTGGAGTTGCCGCTAAATTGTGTCAAGTTAGCCTAAACCAGTCGTGACACACAAGGACATATTCCCGCCTAGAGAGCAGACCTACCTCGTAATCTTAATACTCTCCCAAGTCCCACTATGGTCGCTGTAGGTATACTCCTTGCCGGAAGAGTAGTCTTCGACAAAAGCACTCTTCACGTACATCGTGTGCGGTTCGGAGTAATCCACAAGTCCACCAGCCCAATCAATAGTTCCCTGAGACGCGTCCGGATCACCACCGGCCCAAATACCGAGACTGAGCTTCATCGGCGTTTGGGGGTAGTTGTCTGTGTTATTGGCATTCTTGGGTAATAGCGTACGGGTGAGTACGCCGTCTAGCCACCACTCTAGTTTTTCCTTGGTCCACACGCAAGTGTAGTTGTGATAATCGTCCAGCACCCCGCCTGTGACGGGATGATCTCCTCCGTTTTGCCAGTCTTGCCTTCCTTTTCCGAAGTAGTTAGAAAACGCGTGGGTTGAATTCCCTCCCTTGAATTCCCAATCGACCTCGTCGAGAACATCGGAAGACCAAACAATGGAGCTGATCACACCAGTACCGGATGCTGCTTTTAAGAGCACTTCTGTTTTTCCAAAGAAGAAATAAAAATTCGAGGTCAGGGTTACCGAATCTCCTTTCTTGCGCATTGTGAAGGCAGCTCCTGTATCAGCATCGTATTCGACGGTTCCGGCAGTCAAATTGAACACATTTTCCGGTGGTGTAGCATTGAAGTTGAACATATGACTTGTCCCGAGAGCCGGGTCCGATGGGCAGGTCGCATTCAAAGGATTGCAATCGGTGTATAGCTGAGCGGCGACAGGAGATACGAACACGGAAGAGAATAGCGCGGCGGCTAGCATCAAATATGATTTAGCCGGCATCGTGATAGATGATCGAGGGCTGGGCCTCGGGTCGTGATAATTAAGCAGTGAAGCAATATAGTCGAATAAGTCAGCTACCTAGTAAAAGGTAGTATTGATGCCAAACGAATGTGGTGACCCCGTTATACCAGCCAAGGGGTCGTGAGTAGATAACTCTATAAATTGCTGCAACCTACTACGGGACTATCTCGTCGACCGCATAGTCTCCAGTGGTAAGTAGACCGGTTTCTAGATTTGAAGCGGTGATGATAGATCGAGTTAGGTATTAGATAGCAAAGATGATATATAGGTTATATAAGTTATAATGCCGATTTGCCGATTAGGTAGGTAAGGAGTAAGGATCGTGGGTGTTGTTTCAAGTGGTTGACGTTGACAGCAGAGTGATGAAGGAGTGTTTGGTGCGCAATTTTTTAAATTATTGGTACTAATTGATAAGAGGTATTAATGAGTGACAGAGGTTGGATTGGATAAGTGAATGAACGGATGGACGATGGCAAGAAAAAAGCATAGAAAGCCCCTTATTCAAACCTGTCCTCCTTTATTTCCATGAGGACGCGTGATGTTGTGAAAGGTCGAAAGAGAATACATGCACCTTAGGGTTAGGAGGTACCTGAGGTACCTAAGGAGGTAACTAGGTACCTACCTAATTTCCATGAGAGTCCCGCCAGGAGAAAAGGGGGCTTCGCTAACCAGTCAAAATCAATTTAAAGCCACCAATTGAAGCCAAGGTAGCTGGGCGGCTAAGCCAAGCAACCCGGGCCCACGTGTCAAATATTAGATAAGCTGGATAAGGTACTAGCAAGGAACCAGGGGGTCTTTACCGATCTGCAACGGGTTCCGTTCGACGCTATACTCATCAAGGATTAGTTGATCGGCATTGACTAAACTAATTAAGGCGGTCGGCTCGTAGCGCCGAGGGATAAAATACCTAATATAGTAACACAGCTCATGCTAATTCTATCTCCTTTTTTTTTCGTATTTGTTCAGAGGGACTCGATACTGTAAGTCTGGGAACAATTAATGGCGAATAGTGACTGTTGTCTATAAGGTAGTGTATACGTGGACTTCCCGATAATTTCATTTAACCCCTAAGAGATGACGTAAGTACATTTATTTCCAGCATAGAAGGCATTTATTTCCAACATAGAAGGCAAAATTATATACCGGACAATAAGAGGTAACTAAATACATCCTAGAATCTAGATGCATGTATCCCTTCGGCTACGTACAGTTAGCGGAATTGGACTTGCACCAATAGATCCGGCTTAGGTCTTGTTTGTTTATGCGTACCTAGGTACCTCTTATATATGTACATATGTCCGAGGCTCCAATGAATCAAACACGTTCATGCAAAACTAAACCAGAGGCTCAAAAGTCTTGCTCTTGTAACCCATCTAGTGTGTGTCTAGATTTATGTCTAGGTATTACACTATTACCCTCGGGAAGTCTTGGACTCTTGGTGCCCAGATCGCGTCTAACCGAGTGATTCATGAGAATCAGTTTTCAAATTCACCAACACGCCACGGCCTTTTAACAATTTCGGTAGGGGAATAAATCCTATTGTTCTATTCAATTCGAATGCGGATAACCCCAACCTCCTTCTATTAATTAGTCTTGACCTTTCCTGTCGGAAATATTAATAATTACCTAACCTAAGGTACCTACCCAAGAATGATAAAAATTATAAAAAATATATGCATATATACATATTTACATATATAATACCCGGCTACCATGAAAAGGTCATGAGCGCAGGGTTGAGTGCAAGAGGCAGAAGAAAGTGACTGCTTGCGACGGTCGCCATAGGTAAGATGGCGACGAAATCTGTAATGCGCCAATTGCTCGGGACGAAGGGCGCGACGGCTACGATGACCATTCCCACAAGGAAAAGTAGCGAGAAGAGCATAGAGTATTTAAATTTCTTTATGACCTTCGGAACTTCGATAAAAAAATTCGAAAACTCTGCCTCTTTCGACGTCGCGCCCCAGCTCATGTCGATTTCGAACATGTGGCACAATAAGGCTTGGCTTATATGGAGAGATAACCCTCCTAAAAAGATGGCCAGAAGGAACGTCCACTTGAAGTTTTCATACAGGGCATACGCAAGGGACCTTTCTCCCATACGATATCGCATAACAGCTAGACCTATGTTGCCGAGGCCGTTGAAGACGATAATGATGGAGAACCAGACTTTCCAAGAATCGATATAGTACTTGTCCAGGTACCCGTTGAACCAACCCATGATGAAATAGTTGACCGACGTCATGATCCATGCTGCACCGATGGCATAATACGTACCGATGTATGAGAGGATCGTGATCTTGGACGTCAAGCGGACGTTGGAACGGAGGAATTGGAGAAACAAAGGTGTAAAGGGGCCCTTCCAAATCCACTGCCGAAGAGGATGGAAGAGTAATTCGTTGCAGCCGTATGCATATTTCTCCCATCGGGCCAACTCATCATAAACGGTCAGAGAAACGCCTTCTTTAAAGCCCTCTCCAGCCCATGCAGCAAGGCGAATGATATACCCGCGGCACTGTAGGCGAAGGGACATGTCAAAGTCTTCAGAGACATGCGATTCGGACCAGAACTTCTCGTAACCGTCTTCGTCTTGGTACGAAACCTGCTGAATTGCACTCCACCGCAACACAGCGTTATGGCCGACGAAGGGAGCAACGTCGCCGTTAGAGACCGTATACCTAATCGCGCTATATATAAGATTCGTGAAGAATGTAATGCTGTTCTCAAAGTACGTGTGGACGACCTGCATAACACCGGAAGAGAACTGCATGATGCCAACGTCGAGAGACTGTTCCATCTCCGAAACGGCATCTAGAAGACAATCGGATGGAACACGCGTATCGGAGTCGACTGTAGTTATAGTCAGTCTTGTTAGGTCGTTACCAGCATTCTAAAGCGATCAGGAGAGGGAACTTACTAAGGAGAATATAGTCGCCGACACGAATGTTACCATCAGCCCAAGCCCTGCCGTCCTCTTCGAGAACCTCTTTTAATGCTTGCTCGTAGGCGAAAGCCTCGTCTATCTGTGACCATTCGGGGCCGCGGTTGTACAGTGCTAGCTTATCCTCCACTTTGCAAGTGATCATAAGCGCGAAGTTCATATTGGAAGCTTTTTTGAACTTGCCGCGGCGCAGGAAGCCGTTTTCGCCGTGTTTAGGACGGGCAACCCAGCCTATGCTATGGCTGGCGTAGAAGTCGATACGAGCCATTCGCTCCTCCTCGGGGATAAGCTGCAAACCGTCGTCGTTAATAAACAAGTTTGCAGAGCCACCTTGCAGCTCGTATGTACTGATGGCACGTTGTATCGATCTAACGGTGGGTTGAATGACACCTGCGAGGCCTTCTTTGTAGACTGGACATTGTACGGTCTATCGTGGATATCAAGTTAAGACGTTAGCATCGATACATCCAGAAAGGTACCCATGCTGGGTTAAGACAGCATCCAACGGCCACGATGATATGGTGTTGTTACCTAGAAACGGTGCAATTGCCAAAGGGTATACACTTACAACATGTGGTAAAGTTACAGTTGCCAGTCGGGTAGGCGGCCGGGCGGAATAGTATTTGGAGTTGATTGTAAGCTGGCGGATAGGCCCAAACATCTGCGCCATGCATCCGACGAGGACCTGGGCGAAGAACAGGGAGAAGAAAACCTGAATCGGGAGTAGAGCCACCAGACCTAACCGTGCGAAGCTGTCGTCGACCGAAACTTCAATGGCAAGCTGTCTCCAAGCCGCGCCCAGGGTAATAGTAATAAGCAATACGACGCTAGAAACGAGGTACGTGTTTAATAGGTGTACCGGCCTCTTTTCGGGATCGATTTGGCCGCTCTCCTCGTCTAGTTCGATTTCTTCGGAAAAATACTTTGGATTTTTTTCTCCGTCGTCGTCGCTGGTCTCGCTACGTTGCCAGACTAACTCCATCAACTCCGACTCGATGGCTTGAGCTCGTTTAACGAGATTAAACGCATCATCGTCCCAGACGACTAGCAACGATTCCGCTGCTAAGAAAGCTGCAAACTGGTGCTTTCTTGCTCTTGATAGCTCGTCAATAGACGGCATAATTTGAATTCGAAGGCCGTTCGTCAACGGCACATCCGTAGCGCCGGGAGACCACGAGAGGAATGTCTTGATAACCCTGGAGTTAACAGTCATGGCGCACTATAGATTATTTAGCAAGAACGACCCTGAATTAGACGTTAGAAATGAAGCGTTACCTCAACGTTAAGAGCGGCGCAAGCCATCGCAATAGTTGAATCCGTCAACGAAGACGGACAAGTTAGGTAAACCCCCCTAGACTTACGGAGGAGAACTCCTTCCAAATCACCGCTGCCATCGCTAACCCATAGATGCGAACACTGTTGCTGATATATATAATTTACCATCACCTCATGCTTTATATCCTTCGTAAAAACCAAACCAGTCGTAGATCGCGTAGAGCGCCCGGAAATCGAATTTCTTGACGAGCCATGATCAGGCGGCGCAGTAGGAGCGGTGAAATCATTCGGATTTATCAGCCCCTTGAGGACTTTCTCTGCTAAAAACCCCCTACTCCCCAACTGAGGCGGTCTTCTTTCGTCTGTCGGCCGCTTGGCTTTAAAATAGCTTGGCAAGCCCATGCTGAAGATTTTCTTTTCAGCATAGGACCCTAGTACTGAACTAAACGAACGAAAGAAGCCTAACTACACGGGCCACCCTCGTAGAATCAAGCCGATTCCGCAAGCCCGGCAAGATAAAAGGAGCGTCTGTGGGGCGAGGAACGAGCATGTTAGCATCGTGGTAATCAGTAAGAGGAATAGAAACGATGGCGATTAATAGTAACCGTAGTATAGTTACGTTGCGAAGCCATTCAGGTTGAAGCCCCGGCGTGAGAAGAAGCTTGACTGTAACAGTGACGAAGCATAGGGAACTTACGATAGTAAATAATTCAAGCAGCTACGCTCGTAAAGCCGCTAAGAAAAGCTAGCCTTCGAGCGTTATCCAGATAGCAGGGCCTCTAGATGGAGGCTAAGTGGTAGGCTAACGAGAGACGGTCGATGCCAGCATATCATAAGAACTAAAAAAGGGGGGACACGAAGGCGAGTAGGCGAAATAAAGATATTTGAGCCGGCGTAAACCTTCACTCGAGACTTCGGAAAGACAAGATAAGACTGCTATATGTATTAACGAGAAACTCTATTTGTCAGTACGACTTAAATAGTATGAGAAGTGGCTTGCGGTCCGAGCAAGTTGCCCCAAAAGCTGGTGTGCGGTTACAGGCCGCGAGTAGATAAATACATACTTACATATAATATAATCAATGGCTGCTGCTAGTCTTCAGCCGCAAATAACGGCGAACGACAGAAATAGAGGCCCAATGGTTCTAGAAGCCGAGGGGATGGATGCGTGAATCGCTTTCAGTACCACTTAGTTCTACTCGACCGTGGTGATGGACAGGTAAAGGGGCAACTACAACTTCCGACTTATTATACTAAAGGACCGGACCGGAGCTGACTGCAGTTTTCTGATGCTACATCCTGATAGCCACGAACCTTTTCTAATACTAC